CTACGCTTTCCTACCTACCTGGCTCTGCCCTAATTTACCTTACCCTAAGTCTTTTAAAACGATTTTTTATTTTATTAGTAATAAGTTTTGTTATCAGCTGTTCAGCAGAGGAAATGCTTATGAAGTCTTATCATCATGATGTCGTTAAAGTTGGACTTTAAAGTGATTTACATCCATGATAATAATATAGTTGTTTTACAACTTGTTTTGTCGCCAAATTATTTTTTCTTACTTTCTTAAATTTGATTTTAATTTTTTTTTAATTTTCAGTTTTTTTAATTCTATTTTAATATATGTCTATATAACCCTTGCCTAACAAAACAAAAAAATATTTTAGATGTTTACGTTTTAAAACCATAAACAATGTTTCAATTTGAGACTATCAAATTAAATTTGTAGTTTCTCAACTATTAAATTTCACATTACATTTATTTTAAAAATTTGTTTAAAAACGAATATACAGTGTGAAATGACATCTTCTTTGTTTTAGGCTAGGTGGTTTGGTTTTTCAACACTTGACTTTTTTTTATGAACCTTGCATTACAAATAACGTTTGTCCAAATTACGGAGTTTTGATGAATAGGGTAGGGTAGGGAAAATTAGGGTAGGGTAACATAGATTAGGGTAGTGGTGTCAGTCAAAATAAGGCACAACAGAGAGATCGTCAAAAAAGAAGCCTTAAAATTTACTTTTTTGGTCGCAAAGATCACACATTAAAGCTCACAAAACTCTCTTAATTTTTTTACTGTAAACAAACACTACTCTATAAAACATTACTTACAGCCTTATAATGTAGATATAGCTACGTTTGTCCTCGTATATTTTGATCTCAAGATCACTTAGCCTTGCCTCATACGTACTCTAGCCTTACCTTAGTCTTGCTAGTCCTGTCCTATCCTAGCCATACACTAGCATACCTTTATGTTAGCATTACACTAGCATCTCCTTTAGACTACTTTTGGCAGTTTAAACTAACATTACCCTACATTATCCTTCTCTACCATTATTATGTTTCTAGCTTTAAGAAAATCATACCAATTTCTAGTATGTCTTTGTTCCATATGTACGTCTGTTCTTACGTATTGTGTATGTTTATGTTTTGCCAAAACATTTTACATTGTTCCATACGCAATAAAAATTTCAAAATGTAGTCTTACACTTCCGCCAGTACTTTGATAGACACCTTACTTCTTTAAGATAATCCTTCACTTATCGTTCTTCGTTTTTCAAATTACTATGATATTATAGTATGTTGAAAAGCCTCTATCTTACCCTAGTACCCTACTCTGTTCTGCCCTACCTTACTTTATCCTACCTTAACATACTTTACATTACCTTACCATACATTACCCTGCCTTACTATACCCTACATTAACTCACTTTACTTTAATTTACTTTACGTATTTTTAATATTTTTACCATACCATATAGAATTTTATTAATTTATCTATTTATTCTTATGTAAAAATAGCTAACACTAATTAATTTATTTTGCCACGCCATTAGGTCTTTGAAATTTATGTTAATTTTCGAACGCTTGCCAACGATGTGCATAACATAAAAAGGTAAAAGAAAAGCTGCAAGAAAAGAAATGTAAATTAGAAATAGAGCCAATTTGGAGCCGAAAAAATATTTTTTATAAAGGGCAATTGGGGCCAGTTTTTCGAATGAAAACAACACATTTGTTAACATACGATGATTGATTGTTACAGACGCCTTTATTTGAATATGTTTTTGTTGTTTTCCAGTTTTTACAGACAAGATTTACGTATTGTGTCTTTGGACTTTGATAGGAGAATAGTACTGTAGATAGGTATAGGGTCAAGTTTAGATTAAATTAAGGTTAGAAAAGGACAGGGTAACCATAAAATAATGTGGCGCTAAAGCAAGGGCAGGGACGGGCTTAATTGAAAGCTAGTAAAAGTTATGGTAGAACATGGTAAAATAAGGACGAGGTTAAGTAAGGTAGGGCACAGTATGGTAAAGAAGGGAAGTGTGGGGGAGAACAAAGTAGGGAAAGGTAGGATAGAGTAGGGTAAAGCAGAGTAAGGTAGGGTAAGTCGCAGTACAATAACTCATGTAACATAATCCGTCATAAAGCTAGCTACATATCTGTGTCATACACATGTACCTTAATACCTACAACCATGCCTTGGAACATTATACCAAACGCTTAGTAAGAAAACGCATGCTACTAAGCCTAATCTCACCTATAAAATTAGTTACCACCATAATGAAAAGCAAAAGTAATTAGATGATTTTCCTAAAATATGCTACATATAATACTTCCTTCTTTTTTACATTATGTTTTTACCCATTTTTAATTGTGGTATCATGGCAATATAATGTGAAAATAGTGGCTTTATGCGAAAAGATTACATTTCAGACCAGTAAGATTAATGAGGAGTATTAAGGTGGTTTAAATATTGTGTTAGATTAAAGGCTTCCAGCTTACAGTCTATTATATTAATACTAGCACTTGAACAGTTGCTTTTTATCAACGTGGCTTGTTAACGTAAGAGGGGAGTAAAGTACGTAAGGGAAGGGTATTGTAAAGTATGGTAGGCCAAAGCGAGATAAGGTAGGCGATGCAAAGTAGGGTAGCCGGATGTAAAACAGGGTAAGGTAAAGCAAGAGGGGTGCACGACAGGGTAGGTCAAAGAAAAGGGAAGGGGTAAGCTAGAGTAAAGCCATGTTACGATATTACTAATTATAGCATTCTGCTCTTTATTTTTTACTACACATCACACATACAATCTTTTTCTACTACGCCCCACACAACCGTTTCTACAAAATTCAACAACTTTCCTCTAATATTACAAAACCGTCTTACTACGTTTCGTGTTCGTATCATCCCTTTTGTAGTTAAAATTGTAAAATCGTCTCACTTTCCAAAATCTTAATAATATTATCGTCTGTGTCACGTCTTAGTCCGAGTTTAAACGTACTAAACACCACTCTACGTATTATTTTTGTTATTTCTAGAACAGGATTTACACTGTAGTTTAGTCTGTAACATAACCTTGAAAAAAGATAGTGGACTAGTCATAAGTCTTGGTATAATAATACCCTACCCTATGGCTTTGTATACTTACTTTAGGTTTACTATTTGATAACTCAATTTCAGACTTAGATCAATCTTTTTTACAGGTCTATAGATCAATAGCATCTTTAATGTAACAGAGCCGTATTTTACCCCTCTTATGCTAAATATTTGCTATTTTTGATTTTTGCTTCTTTACATTACCTTTAAAGCGTAATTCTATAGAATTAGCGCATGACTTTGAAAACAAAACTACAAAAACATACTATGTATACATTTCTACCTCTATATTTATGTCGGCATGCCTAATTTAGCCTGTTTTTCTTTATTAATTTATTTTTACGTAGCAATGTACACGTAAAACTGTTAACACATTTTTATTATTGTGAGCAATTTTACGCACTAAATAAAAAACATAGCGACAGGTGCAAGTATACATTTATATTAGCAATACTTGGTTACTTTTAGTACTCTGTATTATTATATTCATTTGAAACTAACACTGCTTTATTTGGTCATACTTTACTCCACCCTAACTTACCTTTCTCTGCCGTACTATACCCTAACCCACCCTCGCAATACCCTTTTCAACCCTACCCTAACTTAATCTACCTCCTACCCTGCCCTACATTGCTCTACTTAAACCACCCTTACTCTACCCTACCCCACGTACCCTTTATACAGTACTCCCCTTAACATTACGCCCTCGTTTTGCAAATCTCCAAAAATTGACATTACGTTTGCCCTTTTCATTTATTGTAATTTTCTAATTTTATTTCGTTTTGCAGTCGTTTTTTATGACAAAGTTGTCGTGTTGAACTATAATTAAAATCGTATTTAAAATTACAACAAAACTTTTTCTAAAGTACACTTTGTTGGCTAATGTAAAGTCCAAATTTCAGGTAATAAAACGCAAAAAGGGGGTTATTTTTGTAGTACTTCCTTTAAAAAGTACGTTTTAAAGGCTTTGATTAGAATTGAAATCTTATAGCTTATAGATTTTCTTGCTTTGCGAGAGTATTTTTTTTATAGTGGTTAGCCCCATCAAACTGATACTGATCTGCCTATACAGTTATCCCTATCTAATTAACTCAAAAGCGTATTGCCGTTGGCTCTTCTAACAAAAAGCCACAGTATATTAGATACATTTCGTAACTTGCCTACTTATGTAGTCTACAAAAGGCTACTTATATGAACAATTATCAGATTGAACCTACATACTCAATTTTAATCTTTCTTTTGCAACATTTATCAGCTCAAGTTTTACGTACATCGTTTCATCACAGAAAGAACAGGGTGAACGTGCCAATTTTTACAATATTTTTTAAATCAAACAAGCTACTTCTTATCTTTTCGTAAAAGAAAGATATTTCTTACGTTATACTTTAGTATGACAAGCTACGTTTAACATTATATTTTGGTAAGAAACCTATGTCATCATTGTTAGCAATGTATTTTTTATATTATACTAGGTTTACGCCTGAACTATTCTAATACCATTCCACTTCTAAATATACCTTTTTTATGCCATATAAATGCAGGTTTGGACCAAAAATAGTCTTTAGACAGGTTTGCAAGCTCAGAATTCTTAAAAAATGACGCTGTTTCTTCGAGAAATTTAATCCGTGATATTAAGAATGAATGGACAAACAAATAAGCATGTCTGTGTCTTATATATAGACTATACAACGTGAACTCATTGGTTTAAACGTGTTGTAAAATATTTTTTTAACAATTTTTTTAATTTCATAAAATTGTATAGTGTTCGTATTTTACCTTTCGACTAGACCTGAAAGAAGACCCGGCCCCTTTACAGGTCTACTTCGCCTGGTTTTTAGTTAAAATCGTATTTTACGTTTTAAAGAAATCATACTTCATTTCGTATTTTAACTTTTGACTGTGTTCGTAACCTTTACCATATTTTTAATTTTTTTGTGAAACAGTCCTTTTTCAGCCGATGTCACCAATTCATCGTAATCATACGATATTTTCCCATCCATCCTCAAGCCATTTCGTGTCACCCCTAATTCTACCTGAAAGTATAACCCCAGATGCCGCATACGATGACAGTATTCTGGACCAAGTGTCACGCCGACCAGAAGACGGGTCAATCGACTTTATCGCCCATGTTTATGTCATGCCATGCCTGCTTATTATCGGTAGACTGTTTTTACCATCCCCTACTCTACCTTTGTAATATCTTAGTTTACCCTAACCTACCATGCCCCACATCACATTAAAAAAGCCATTTTCCCGAAAAACCAAAAAATTATTAGAAATTAAGACCCTACCTTACTTAACAAGTCGTAACTTATGACATAAAATAGTAAAAGCCACAATTCTTTGTCAAAACATCACCAAGACTCTGACACATCATGATAATCTTAAAATTTCAGGATTCATCAACCAGTCGTTAAACATTGGCACTTTAAACTCACTAGCATCAGCTGGCTACCTATACCTCAAAGCCTCCGCCATCGCGGACGTCCTATCCATAATAGCACTAATACCGTTTTGTGTACGACAAGGTCATGCTCACAATGCACACTCGTACATGGCAATGTTCTTTCACGCTCACATTGAACTACCACTCATTAATTCGTTGATTACTGCAAGGTATGACATTATTTTTATTTCTAATGGCAAATGTCATAAAACCCTCATTTCTAATGAAAAATGTCATAAGATACTCATTACAAACTCAAAATTAAAAAAAATCATTTTAGTGCCTTATGTCTAGTAGCAATGACTATCGACCGATACCTCTCAATTCGCCACCCAATCACCTTCTACAACACACCAGACTGTAAAAACCGAATACGACACTCAATAACCATCCTGTTCGCTGTTTCTTTCATCCTATTCATACCATCTGGATGGCAAAAAGTCTTGGTACCACATTGGGACTCAAAGCACCAAACTGTCTTCTGGACCATCGAAGTCAATCGACCACTAAATCAGTCGACAATCTTCCAAACATACCTAATGTTCAGAGAATTCATCAGTCGATTAGGACCGATTGTCATATTGACTGTACTAAATGTTGGTATGATAAGATCGTTACGAAGAATCAAGATACGATACAACTCGAGGAGAGTGAATCAGCCACCAAGGGTCAGAGAAATGGACAGAACGAGGATATCAGTGCTGTTGCTGATAACATCAGCCACTTTTGTTATCTGCACCTTGCCTGCAAGTGTACTGAGTTTGTTCGTCAGCAAAACCCACAAATACGACGACTGGAAGTTCCAACTATTCAGAGCGTTTGCTAATTGTCTACAAGTCTCACAGTAAGTCTTTTAGGCAATATAAATGATCTGTGCTGTATTTGTAACAAAAACAATGGCACAACATACATAACGTTGAAATCTTTACTTAGTTTAAAACGCCTTTTATCATAGTAGCTAGCCAATAAAATAGTCTGTAGTCACATAAAGTGTCAAGCCTCTAGCTATCTGTTTAAAAAGCTATAATGAAAAACATCCTTCACCTTGACTTCACCTACTATAATATCGAAAATCCACGCATTCTCGACTGAACCTGATCCAAAATGCTAAACTCTTCAATTCAAATCCTTCACAACAATCTTCTAATCATTTTGTTTTCAGTTATCTCCATAATTTTTACCTATACACGATCTGCTCATCCGAATACCGACACGCGTTCCTCAAACTCATTGGTTGTTACAAACCGAACCGATTCTCAAACTCCACCGGCGACTCTCCAACCATACGATTCTCAAACACAAATGTAGCTCAATATTTACTTACTCGGATCAATGGAAAGTATATTGGACGTAAAAAGCTTTCAACAACTCAAATCCCGTTTGATTTTGAACGAAAAACTCCAGCTTCCGCCTGATCTTTGCCAAATATTTGAATGTTAATATTGTTTTTTATTGTTTAAATTATTGTAAACTATTAAAAGAACATAAAGTTAAATGAAAACTACTAAAAATAATGCAAAAACTTACATTTAAATGGTGGAACGTCTTTGCTCTCGTTGAAGGCCGTGGTTTTGATACGAGCTCATTGAAAGGTTGTTTCCCAAAGGTGGAATTCAAAAGTCCGTGTGCAGATGAACCTAAAAACATATGACATTAATTTTTTTACAGTGTTTTAACAGAAATTGTATAGCAACATAATAATTTACCTAAAACAAACAAACCCCAGCGACATAGCCAATCTGATTAGGCCCCACAACGAAAACAATTTTGGCGTTTCGTGACAAAAATATTATTTTCTGGAAAATAATTTTCCTTTTTTGATATTTTTGTAGTAAATATACAGTGTTTACCATAAAAAGTAAGCACATTTTACAATATTGGAGTTTAAAAAATGAGAAGGAGTCTTTCCCGTCATTTGCACGCATCTGCATGTTGTTATAACCGAGTTAACCCGGATCGAAAGGCTTTGGAAGAAGTGGCAAGAGTCAACGAACGGAAAAATAAGAAGGAATTTCGGGATGAAGTAATAGAACCAAAAAAGAAACCGATTTTGGACTATAAAGGCATGTTTTATACTATTTTTGACTTTATATTTAGGCCCAAAGGCGAATTGTGCTGTGTATGGTGCCGGATTCACGAAATCTGGTGCTCTTGGGAACTCAAAACTTGTAACAGCTGAAGGACAACCTGAATTAGTCAACCGACCGCTTAGGATTGGGGTTTTGAATACGAAAAGCATTAGAAGAGTGGCTGCTGGGCTTGGATTTTCAGTTTTTGCTTCGCCGTCTAAGGTTTATGGCTGTGGATTGAACAATTTCTATCAAATTGGTGGAGAATATAGATCGGAAAAGAAAGAGTAAGGTTTTTAGAATTGTTTAATGTAAAATACGACTTCTCAAATATCCTTACAAAAACAATAATGCGCTTTTTAGTTGATGGGTACAAATAATTTACGATCTTTAATGGCTGTCTTTTTAAATTCAAATTAATGTTGATATAGACAGTTTATTTTTATTAAATTATAACTGTTTATATGTTTTAGAAGGTCAGAAAAGTATTATATATCACCGACAGAGATCAAAATACCAGAAACACCTCAGATTTTGAGCATATCTTGTGGTAGATTACATACATTGGTAGGTACAAGTGATGGTGTTTATGCTTTTGGAGATAACGTACACGGACAATGTGGCCAACATCCCGATCATTTGCCACAGGTACATTTTTGATTTTTTGTTTTTAATTTTAGATTTTGTGAAAAGAAAACGAAACAGAACTACAGCACCTTTACTGTGTACAGTAAAGTTTCTGTAATTCCTGACCTTACACGGGTTTTTAAAGTTTTTTTATACGGTTGGTGGAATAAATACATAATTTGTAATGTCACAATTTTTCAAGATTATTACCTGTCAAAGCTATAACAAAAATTGTTATAGGTAACACACTCAGTTAGGGACTTTTCCGTTCCTCGAGTGCCAATTGATTCGTCTGCCAAAGTAAAACAAGTTCATTGTTTATTAGATACTTCATTTGTACTACTAGAAAATGGGAAGTTATATTCGTTTGGTTTGGGAACAGATGGTCAGTTAGGTACAGGCAATTTGGACATCCAGTCAATACCTACAAACTTAGATCTGCCACCGATCCGGTTAGTGGCTGGCAGTACGGATACAGTTATGGCTGTGGATTATGATGGTACGTTTTCGTCTTATGACCTTAGAAAATCTGGCATTTTTTATGATTATTTTATATTATAGTAGGCATCTATTGTTTCTTTCATTTTTTACATTAGAAATATAAGTATTTACACCTAACTTTTTTAGGAAACCTATTTATGTGGGGTCAAAATGAGTATGGACAACTAGCCGAACTGACAGATGAGCCTCAATTAGCATATCCAATTCAAGTACCATTCAAATTTGATAGTCCAGTACGGTCAGCGCATGCTACGGCTACATCGTGCATAGTGGCAACAGAAGAGGGTGTAGTATACACTTGGGGATCAATGATATTGGGATCTGGGCCTTTGCTCAAGGAGTCAAAACGACCGGTTGAATTGTCTCCGAATTTGTTTGCCGATGCTCGAGGAGGTCATTCTAAGGTAATATTTTGCGGTTTTAGGTGTTGAACGGGGGTTTAAGGGCAATATTTGACGATTTGTGGTACATCTAGGTTATTATAAAGTAATCTTTGTTAGTTTAGCTATGGTTAAGGTGAAAAAGGGAAAATATTATTAAAAATATGTTGAAGTAGATTTTTTAGATTGTTATAGTAATTTTACTTCCAGGTTCGTCGTGTCTTTGCCGGAAACGCCACAATGGCCGCCATAAACACGGCGAATCAACTGTTTGTTTGGGGAGCCAATAGGCATAGAGCCCTGGCTCTTGGTCATCCTAAAGACCAGCTTTTCCCGATCCAAGTTCATATACCTACAGATGTGAAATCGGTGGCTATGTCACCAACTCATAGCTTATTCTTGGCTGAAACTACGTAATTTTGGGAGCGTTTAAAGTCATATTAAGCTAAAGTTGACTTTCAAGCTTATCGTTGACTAAAGTTTTCAGTTTTGTGTCTGGTTTGTTGTTGTTATAGGTTGTTGACTAGTGTAATATAAACTAATAGACAAAAAATAAATCTATTAGAAAACTATAAAGATGACACTACGTTACAATAATAACAATCAAAAATCAAACAGTTTGGTTTGGTAAGACAGTTTATTCTACAATATTCGTTTCCACTATGCAAGGTCTTCACTTTTTGGTGCTTTAGCACTACTTTTCTCTTTAGGTTCTTCAGGTCCTTTAATTTGACTCTTGGTCTCTTCTGGTGCTCCTTTCGCTTGGCTTTTTGGTTCTTTTACACTTTTACCGCCTTTGGCTTGATCCGCTTCTTTCATTTGGCTCTTGGTCTATTCTTGTTCGACTTGACTCACTGTTGGCTCTTGATCTCCTCCTGCCTGATCTTTACGAGTTTTAGCTCGACTTTTCGATGGGTTCGGTTTTCCAGATTGACTTTTGGGTGCATCTTTCATTTGGCTCTTATTCTCATCTGGTTTTCCGACTTGACTTTTTGGTGCATCTGGTCCTTTCATCTGACTTTTTGGTTTTCCTGATTGACTTGTGGGTCCTATCATCAAGCTCTTGTTTTTGGATAAAGGTGGACCAAAGTCGTCTGGAATATTGCCACTAATTGTATTTTCTTGTCTTCCCGGGAACAGCATATCCAGACGAACTGGTAGCAGGGCTTGAAAGGCCTGGAATTGTGAGATTTAACGTAATTTTAAAAAACGAAAAATAAACCCAAAATTTTTGTTAAAAAGTTTAAAAATCATAACTTAGTACTCAAAGGCCCCTATTTTAAGTCGAAAATGCCAAAAGTAAGGGCCCGTGTTTTGAGCTGAAAAATCCAAACATCTCTCAGTTCTAATGCAAACTCACATCATCGCAAACCTCCATGATCTTGGCTTCCAAGTTCAAGAGAATCGGCCTTTCATAACCATATACGCCGTATATGAAATACACCGCAGCAGCGAATATAACTAGAGAGAAAAGAATCGAAAAAAATGAGAACAAGATCAACCACAACATGCCAAATAAATTCGTTTTATTGACCGGTAGAGGTAGAGTAGCAAGGCATAGAATGGGGTTTTTTGAAAAACGGTTTGAAATTTAATAAATTTGAAATGAAAAAACTAAAATTTTATTTTTATCAAACATACAGTAATTGGTATAACATATATAATTTTTATTACTTGTTGCTCACAGTGATAAATAGATTATATATAGATTATACTATATTAAACTACGTAGTAATAAATACGTCCGGTTGCATCGGATACAAAAGTCAATGGAGGAAACCATTGAGGTGTATGGTACGGGGGCTGGTTCTGTTGTACTGGCTCGCATTTTGGAAATATCTGTTGATAATACAAAGTTGGATTTGGGAACGCTGGATGGTATTGCGGTTTGAGGACAGGTTCATACTTTGGCCATGCGATTGGTTGGTAGGGCGGGGGCGTTTGGTGCTCTGATGGCTTGTTGGGCACGGCTTCTTCCTTCTGAGGGCTTTCTAGAAGCTTTTTCGTTAGGGCCCATACTGAATTTGGTAAAAGGCTCGTTGAGGAAGGTCTATTTACCTTAACCTCGGTTTTCATCCAGCTCTGGTTGTATGACGCCATTTTAAACAAAGTTTTTGGTTGGTTGCTGAAAAACGGGTCAGAATTAATAGCAAAATACGACACAAAATTATAGTTTACAAAGAAAAACAACGAACTATTAAAGGGTAAGCAAAAATATGATTTATAAAAATATTGTGGTAAGACTTACTTAAAACCCGACCACCAAACAAACGAAAAAGTCCTGTTGTATGTTCAAGTATACGATTCTAGGCTCCTTTTATAGAGTTTTGAGGATAAGATTATTTTCTACGTGTTCAGTTTTCGTTGATATTTCTACTGATGTAGTCAGACGGGGCCCTTGAAATTTAAATCTTTTTACTGTAGGGGCCTTCAATAAAACCAGCCAGTTGCCAAATAAAAGGCAGTTATATTGTTCCTTTTGTAGTCTTATTTAAGGTTTATTTGTACGTGTTTAGTTTCCATCGATATTTCTACCGAGGAATACTGAAGAGCTCTTTGACCCCTCAAATCTTTTTTACCTTCGGTCCTTCAATAGAACAAGCCTGCTGCCATATAATAACGCAGATATATGTTGTGTAGTTGACATTTTTTATATTATGACTTGAATTTTTTGATAGATACATAATTTTAGGATATAATAAGAAGATGAGTAATAATTAGGGGAATTCATCTTGAAGTTCAATTTTAGTTTTATGCATTGTTTTTGCTGTAACCTTACAGTAAATTTAAGTTATGAGCAGTTACATTTCAGTCTTCTTACTCACATTTATTTTACGACCAGTAAGTTTATAACAAAAATTTATTGCGTTGTAAATGTGGGCAGAGTTAAGTTGATTTAAACATAATACAGTGAAACCTCTACAGTATCGTCCTCGATAACGTGACATCCTCTGACAGCTTCGTGACCGCTTTTTTACTAGAAATCTTATCAAAAAGTACCTGGGTAGTGTGATGCTCTGATTAGAAGGACAGGTTTGGACAGATTTTGGAGTGTCATACTAAAGAGGTTTGACTGTACATGGTGAGACATATTGTGAACGATGGGATGAGTATCAAATAGTAGTATCTTACAATAAAAGTTCTTAAGATAAAATTTGCTTTAAAGATGATGTGTTGTAGATTGAAGATCAAGTGAGACGATAAATTAATGACGTACGATACATGCAAAAATTACTTTTAAACACAAATTAATAAGTCGTACTAACTAATTATAGTGTGATCATTAAAGTCATAATGAAAAATTGAAAATTAAGAGGATATTAACAAAATTAGGAAGATGTTACCCTAGAACATATAAATTTGCATTACAGTAGAGTCGAATATTCTGATATAACAGCGTTTAAATCCCTTGGCAGGTTTTCCCAGCCGTTTTTCAACCATTTTTTGTTCATCTTTTGTAACAAGATCCGTAGCAATGTAGCCCATTTCTACTGGATACGCTAGTGTACAGTCGGTTTTGCGACCGGTAATATCGACCACACATAGGTCGCTTAACTTGTGCATTTGGGACTAAAAAATCCATATTTATAGAACTATATAACAGTTTTTAAGCAAGGAGTATAGTACTGGTATGTAAGTATAGTGTTGGCTTATGTGCACAAGTTTATATTATATGACATGTGCAAAAACTTATAGTATAGTCTGTGCATAAATTTATAAAGTATGTACTACAATATCCTATATAAATCAAGCACTACTATGACAAGCTCACCTTAACCGGACTAATCATAGTACCATCAAACTCATCGCAAAGCCGGCCTAATGCCGGTCTTCGAGTACCATAAGCACCACAACAAAAACAGGTTATTAGAATCAATATGGAACACTTCATTTGAACTAATTTGCTCTAAAAACAACTTTAAAACATTCGGGAAACGGAAACTCGACTCAATTTCACTTTAAAATAAGTTGCCTTTAGTTTAAACGCATAAAAAACGCGTAGGTAATAACAAGCAGTTTAGGTATTAAAGCAGGGTGAATTTAAGGAAAGGTGTGGATCAAGAAAGGGAGGGGGGGGGGGGGGAAAAAAGAATTTTTTAAAATTAAAAAAAAATTTAATTAGGTGAAGTCTTTATTCTACCCCAACGTGAATTCATATACTTAATATCTCAGCCTACAGTACTCTGTTTTACCCTAGTTTGTCTTACTCTGACCTTCTTTACCCTACCGTTCTACCTTACCGTAGTCAACCCTAATGATCTACTTTACCCTACTTTACTCTGCTCTACTCTATCCTAGAATATCATGCCCTTCCTATCCTGTCTTACCCCGTCTATCCTACCTTACCCTCTTACCCTACCTACATTAATATGCCCTACCAAACTCCACTTTACCCAACTTGCTTTTTTTACTCTACCTTACCGTACCCAACTTCACCACCCTATCTTATCCTAAATGTCTTGGTTCATTTCTATATGAGTACGATAGTGATTTTATCCGGCGAAACCAAAAAAAACCTTCCTTCGGTCGTTCGATATTATAATTGCAGCAATAACCAAAAAGCCTAAACCAAACCTAATTAGAAACTGTAGGAAGACCGTGACTTCCGTCTTCCGCAAAAAAATCGCTTTTCCACAAAAGCTCTACACATAAATTACTGCAAGAGTTAGACAAAGAGGAACTCGCACTTTACACATCCAAACCGTTTTGTAACATTCACATCTTTAATCAGTATTGGCTGATTACAGTCAATTAGTGTGAAATGAAGGTGAATGCGGGGGCGAACTTTCAAAGTTCATAATGAGAACAGTAAGGTTTTGAAAGGAGGAAGTGTAAGTGTAGTTCAAGAAATTTTGGAGTTAAAGATAAAGAAGGAGTTTACATTTTTTTCTTAGGTAATGCCTAAAGCAAAATGAAAAAACCGTACTGCCCAGAATATTGTAGGCATGAAGTTAGGGTACAGTAATATAGTGGAATGAAGTAGTGAAGTTGATGAGAGGATACAACAGGGCAGGATAGGGTAAGACTTGATTATGACTAGGGTAGAGTATAGCATCGATAAAACATAGTAGGCTAGTGCAAGGTAAAGGAGGGTGAGATTGAGTAGGGTATAATGCGATAGGATAGGGTAGAGTAGGGTAGGGTAGGGTAGGGTAGGGTAGGGTAGGGTAGGGTAGGGTAGGGTAGGGTAGGGAATAGTAAATCATATTATCAATACTATAGTTCATTAAACCAGCAACAACCACCAACTTTCCAACTTATAAACCTTTAAAAAACGTGAAACTTATGAAGATACGACGAATACGGAAGCAAGTTTAATAAATTTACGTAATCATAACCAAAGTAACATTAAACAAACACACTTCGCTTAAATACGACTTCGATATTGGCGGGTGAGAAGCTCGTTCGCTACTGGTTTTTACTGCGCTTACGTTGAGAAATATTGAGCTTACAATCGAGGAGTCATAATAATATAGGGGTATAACATAACCAAATAGTAGCAGTAATATTGATAAAACATGTAAAATGATAATGTATAATATGGCATATTAATCATACATAAGCCATATAACATAACACCAATCTTATTTAGACTTCAATTCTTACTCTACATACAACTATTAGGTAGTGCAAATAATTCTGTGTCCCTTAATTTCGAAAATTTGCTCTAAAATAGAGCACAGAATTAGTTGAACAACAGAATATTACAATAAAAACTTAAAAAGGAAACCAATTCCAAACGTAGACGTTAAACTTTGACAGGTATTGCCACAAAGCCGATGATAATACTCTTTAAAAGGTCATTCGAACGACCTAATCTCATCATCGAACACATTGTTGTCATAGAACTCGAGTTCCGGAATCTCCTTATTCTGAAGAGTCGGCTCGAAATCGAACGTGAGTTTCTCCGAGGTCAACGAGGCTAAAGCGAAAGTTGTAGTACTTTGGAAAATGTAACACAACTTTTTAGGAAAATGTTAAATTTAGGTTATTTGAGGTACCAATATAGCATGAGGTTCTGTCATTTCAATTTTGAAGAATTTTTACTGTGAAAGCGAGATACAGTATCTGTAAGTTGAAGCTATTTGCTTTTCTGAGAAAGTCAGGATGAGCTGGACCATGCATTCACTCTCATTCATCCCCACTTCTATAATACCGACCTCACTGCTTCATCCAGAATAACAAAGGAAGCAGCTTATCTGACCCACTCAGATTCATCTCAAAATTTTAATATGAAATCTTTGTGCCACCAATAGTACCCGTAAAAAATTTTAACTCGCCCTTTTAAGTTTTAAACTTCAAATATTTGAAGTTACCGCGGCCGCTTATTTGGCATTGTATTTCAAGCAGTTTTTACTTTTCAGCCAGGTTACGCTGACAACTTTTAAAATTTAGGTTTATTTAAACGTTTTCTACTAGTATAACAAGGAAAAATAGTTTGATTTCAAAAAATGACAAAGTTATAAGCTTGAAACACAATGCCAATTTGGCGAAAAATTCAAAACGTAATTTTTTGATCTCGCTTTTCTTGAGATTTCCTGTAAAGCGCGATTTAATACTTTGTTGAAGATCTTTTATTTATATGGTCTTTCTAAATAAAAAGTTTGAGGTCAATCAAAGCGAAACAGGTCTGGTACTTTACTTGTTAGTTTCAAACTAAAAAACTCACAAACATAACACCGTCGTTTGCCAGGCCATGAATCCCCAAGTTTTACCGTGCCCAGGTACCCATCGTAGCTTTCGTACTCTTCTTGTACTAAAAACTTTGATAGGTCAATATTGGTGATGGCAGAACAATGTCGTCGATCTCTCTTCTCTACATGAATCACACAAACCGGCTTTTCATAATCGTCGGCTGACAAAACTAACTTTACAATGTTGGCATTGTCACAGTAGCTTTTTAGGTCCGCTAGCGATGATAGGACTGGTAACGGTAGAAGTAGTACAATTAAGATATGGCTTATAAGATTTAAGGTTAAAATATCTTGTACTGGGGCCATAGTATGTTAAAACACTATTGTTGAGTTAAAAATAAAACTGCCACGCTTTTCAACAACCAATGTTGATTTTATTATTGTAAACCGTTTTGTATTTACCAACGGTTGATGTATTTCCGGGAATCAAGAGGGGGTTTTTTGGAAAATGAATTGAAAAAGCCCAAATAATTAACGACATCAAACCGATTGTTGTAAAGTGTCCACAAACATAAACCCAAAACAGTAAATTAAGACTGTTGATAACTATTTTTGGGTTTTGGAAATGTGTATCGAACCATGTGGTTTATAAGGAAAGGGTATTGTAGGATATGGTAGATCAGGATTGAATAGTAAAGTTAGGGTTGCATTTTTATTCAAACCTAACAAATAAAGGATGAATTACAATAGAAGAATCGTTATTATAGTGCATCAAAAACATAGCTTTAGAAGAAATCAAACCATAACCTTAAGAAGAGGTCAATGACGCAAATATTTCTGCGTCTTTATTTGGAAGCCGGCTAGTTTTATTAGATAACTTACGGTAAAATAAGTACAAAAGCTCTGTCCAACTACATCGGTACAAATATCGACGAAAGCTGAACACGTAGAAAATAATATCTTTTCCTCAAAACACTATAAAAGGAGTCTAGAAACGTATAGTTCGACATACAACAACAGTTGTTCGTTTTTGCAGTGGTCGAGTTTTAAGTAAGTCTGCTTATATATAATATTTTTATAAATTATGTTTATAGATTAGCTTATGGTTGTTTTAGATTTTATTCGTTTTAATTTGTTTCATACGTTACCTTTAAATTACAGTAGAACTCCTGTATAACAAATCTTTTCAATTGGCTCGTTATACAGCATCTTAGTTACAAAGTTCGCTATTTAGAAGTTCTACTGTGATTTGTATACTGTGTTGTATTTTACATATATATTAATATTTCAATTTTCAGATTATTTCAAAAACTTTTAAACAAAATGAACTTCGAAAACGACCAACTCGGGATCGGAACTGCGGCCAATGTTGATTCAACGCCTGTAAGAAGTAGTTCATCAGAAACAGCCCGGACCACAGAAGAACGTTTTGGAGTTCGTAAGGTGGAAACCCGCTTCAGTGGACCATCGTTATGCCTGCCGCCAAAGCCCCATCAGACCGCAACTCCAGTTCAAAGAGTTTACCAACAACCCCACCAACAGCAGCTATATGAACCAGCGTTTAAGCCCCAGTACCACCCAGCCATCCCTGCACAACAACAATTTTCTCAGCAGCTGATGGCTGCTCAATACAACTCAGCCTTCCCGCGTTCACCATTTGCTTCTTATCCAATAGCTCCGCAGTGCTATCCATTACCGAACTACGCATTCCAGCACTATCCTAATCCCTATGCTCGTCAACGTTCTCAGCCAATGCACAATCATGTACCATATCAATAATTGTTTTTTATATCTAATGTAAACAACTGTATACAACTACCAAGTATAATAATAATAAACATATCAGATCAACTATATAACAACCACTTATTGCCTTTTAATATCAATAAAACAACAAAATATAACATTTTTTAACAAGAAAAACAAAAATATTAATAGTCCTAATACATTTGCCTAGCCAATTATACTATCTGGCAGCCAAACAAATGATGTCCAACAAAAAAATTGATTTTTAACTTCAGCAGCCTTAAACTAGAGTAAAATTTCAATATATATATATATATATCAACCATCTACCTGGCAACTTTCTTCCTTTTTAGCCTTATAACTTTGGTCAACATCTCCACTATCCAATTGACTCGTCTTACCAGTCAGTTCCACCTTCTCCTTCAACCATTTCACTTGTCTTTCCAGTCGTTTCCTGATCTCTTCAGATCCATAAAACTCAAAAAGTTCCGAGATCGGTGGTCCATTCACATTGTTGATGGTTGAGATTCGAATAAACATTAGAAAATGTTTTGGCGAAATTTGGTTTATCGAACAAATCTCCTTGATTTTTTCGTAATCCCAGCCTTTTACTTCGTCTATGTAGTTGATGAACAAGTTTAAATAGTTTATGGCGTTTTCCGTTGATTTTATATGCTTTGGTAGTTCGATTGGTCCATTTGGTACTGTGAAAAGAAAGGAGAACCTGAATTAGTTAAGTTATGATGTCTTAAAGTAAGACAAAGTAAGAAAAAAGTATTTTATGATAAAATAAATTGTAGGGTACTATACGGCGGCGCTAGGACAAATGCGGTTTTTGGACATTTGCGGATCTGCGGTTTTTAGACACTTGCGGATCTTCGGTTTTTGGACATTTGCGGATTTTTTAAAGGTTTTTTTAAATTTTTTAGTTAATTTAGTTGTATTATGGTACTAAATTGTACTAAAGTTTCAATTGGTACGGTTTTAACATAACAGTACCTTTTTGGGCTTTTAGTACTATTTAGTACCAAAAATATAAAAACAGTACCGATTAAAAATTTAGTACTATTTAACATTAAGAAATATTAAGACAGTGCCAATTTAAAATTTAGTACCATTTAGTACCATACTACAACTAAATTAAATAAAAAATAAAAAAAACCCCTTTAAAAAATCCGCAAATGTCCAAAATCCGCAAGTGTCCAAAAACAGAAGATCCGCAAGTGTCTAAAAACCGCAGATCCGCAAATGTCCAAAAACCGCATTTGTCCTAGCGCCTATACGGCATACGGTATGGTAAAGCCTAAAGTATGTAATAGTTACCGATAGAGCCTAAAATACTGTAAAGTCAAAAGTAAAATTAGGCCACAAGATACAGTAAAGTCTAGTGCAGACTAATTCCAAGTAACCCATAGAAAATCACTTACATATCCTTTTCCTTCTTATTCTCAGGTACAATAAGTTGCCCCAAGTGTGAGAATGCTTCTTCATTATTGGTCAAAAACTCGGTCGACTTGTTCAAGTATTCTTCTGTCAATAACTCTAGATTCACTTTGACTTGTTTTCGATTGAAAAAGAATCGTATTTCATCATTCAATGTTTTCTCTTCATAAGCTTTGGCAATTGAAAGACGCGCGTATCTGTCCAAGGCTTCTGTGTCTAACTGAAATAGGTTTTTTAAAGATTTATGATAATTTGAAAAGTAGAGTACAATAGACTAAGGTGAGGTAGGGTAGAGTAAGGTAAGGTACAGTCGAGCAAGCCAGGATAAAGTAGGTCAAGCTTGGGTATAGTAAGGCAACAGACGATACAGCAGGGCAAGTTAGTGTACAATAGATCAAGGTAGAGTACAGTAGGTCAAGAGAAGGTACAGTAAGACGACGTAGGGTAGAGTAAAGTAGGGAAGGGTAAGGTAGGGTAGAATAGGGTAGGATAGAGTAGGGTAGAGTAGGGTAGGGTAGGGTAGGGTAGGGTAGGGTAGGGTAGGGTAGGGTAGGGTAGGGTAGGGTAGGGTAGGGTAGCGTAGGGTAGGTTAGGGTAGGGTAGGGTAAGGTAGGGTAGGGTAGGGGTAGATTGTACAATAAAAAACAGCGCCTTACCTGCAAACTCCTAGTCCCCAACAAGCTCTCATCAAACTGTTCAATCATTTCTTCCAATTCGTAAAACTTTTTCACGTCAAAGTACCTGATTCCACTGCCATTTCGAATCAACAAGTTCAGGATCGCCGACCTCAAATATCCCTTTTGATGATAATAGTAATCAGCAAAGCCATCTTCATCACGTTTCGACAGTTTGCTTCTTGCATTCCTCATAATCAATGGTAAATGAAGCCATTTCGGTTGTTGCCATTGGAAGGCTCTGAAAGTGAAGCAAATGACAGTTATCGGATGGTTACCGTAACATTCTTTAAAATTCAAAAATAATATCCTAATTCGATGAGTTTTATCGTTAATTACAGCCATATTTCGACACAGCTACGTGTTTTACTATTTTTCCCTTCATCATCAGCGGACCTCCTTCTGCAGCCTGCGGACTTCGGGCGCGACTCTCAAAACTTCATTTACCAAAATATTTTTCCAAAATGAACGAACCAGCTTACCGATATAATTTGACATGTTTGGGAACACTAGCCAGCCATTCTTGTCCACGTATGACATGTGAAATTTGCATATGATGATCATCGACAACATTGGCCAAATGGTAGGTGGGAAAGTGGTCGGATTTCATTATAATAAAGTCTCCTTCGTCGACTTCGGTATGAATATGACCGTAGGCAATGTCCTAAATGTATTTTTTATAATTTTCTAGGTTTTTTAAATGTTTCGACTGATATATTGGTTTTAAAGTGAATTTTTTCAAAAAAAAATCTTGTAATTATACCATGGCGAAGATTCGAAAGAAACTAAACGTTACGATTAACCTAAAACAACATAATTTTACTCACATCAAAGTCAATCTTCTCTTTGTCGAATTTAAACCTCACAACATGTGGTTCATCTTTTCTGGCTTCGCTTTCATCATTATTAACATGTCTACAATGATTATCGTATTTAGGTGAAGTCCGTTCTCGAATCGCATTTTTCTTCAGAATCTCGAGTCTTTGTGCTGTACAAAAACATCTATAGGCATGACCAGAGTCTATTAATTGTTTTACTGCATCATGATAGTAGTTTAGACGTTTGGATTGCTGATATGGACCAAATGAACCACCTTTTTGAGGACTTTCGTCGATTTTTAGGTCATAATCGGTGAGGATTTGCTCGAACTGAAATTATTATAGTGTTATGATGGCTTAAATTGATGTGGAAGTCATTTTTGTGGTCTTTGAAATCCATTTTTAATATTGAACTTCAAAAAAACTTCTACCTACTACAATATAATCTTTTGCTTACCAAAACCTACTACAATATTCTATAAAAACCCATTACCGCCGGTAACCACTAAAACTTCTCTGTCTATCATACTCTATTCTCACTCACCTCTTCAGCAACTCCATCAACCAGTCGATTCTGGTCCGTGTCCTCGATTCGCACTATGAATTGGCCATTTTTCGATTTGGCAAAGAGATAATTGTATAAAGCTGTCCGTAACGAGCCCAAGTGCATTCGACCGGTCGGAGATGGTGCAAATCGTACTCTTACATCAGTATAAGAGGAATAGTACCGTACTGTGCTGATTCGGTACAGTCTTGAGATCATTTTGAAAACTAAAAATTTTTGTTTTTTTTATGAAAAACGTCATATAGTGCTGGTTTCTAACGAAAAATGTCACAAAATCCTCATTTTAATAAAAAATGTCATAAAATCCTCACTTCTAATGAAAAATGTCGTAAATCCTCATTTCTAATGAAAAATGTCATAAAATTTCATTTTTTCATATTTCTAAATGAATATCTGGCATAATGACCATTCTCTAACCTTTACCAATCCATTATCACCATTTCCAACCACTTCAAGTTATAGCTTTTATTAAAACAACAAAGAACAACATGTTTACAATCATTGCGTGTTTAAACGTGAAATGTATATCAGTCGATTATAGGGTATACAACAACATTGATTTAAGCTTAGCTTATCATTTTTTGATTTACAACAACATTTTTAAAATCTAAAACAAAAAAAAATCTTTTTTAATATTTTTGGATATACAACAACATAGAAAGATCCTTTTTAACATTTTTTTGATCTAAAATGACATAAAAAAGCTAATTCTTTTTTTTCTACTATATATATACAGTTAACGTAGCTGCGGTTTAGATTATCTAACAAAAATGCAAAGACAAAGTCATCTTTTTTGAAAATATGACATTTTAAACTTGTCCTAATCAGTCTGTCATGTCATAACTTTTAAAATTATAGTAAGAATAGCTTTAAAACTGTCTTATTGCTTTTAGAAAGAATCATTTTCTACTAGGGTCAAAACTTTAGGAAATTCATGTTACACTAGCTCCAAGGACTTCGTTACAGACTTATTTTTTCTGGGAAGAGGAGGTGAAGGAGTAGATCTATCCCACCTCCCAATATATGTAATTTTGGCTTCCACCAGAAAAAATCTGTAGCGAAATCTAGCTCAAAACCTATTTTCAGCCTAGCTTGATATTCATTACAACAAGTACAGAGAAGCACCACACAATTATAATTGCAATTACGATAAAATTCTATTGAGATTTCTTTGCCACGCCTCGTGGCGGTTTAATTTGAAGCTTTTTGCGCCGTTTCACCACGTCATCCTGAATGGCACCGAGGTTTTCCGTACTCGAGTCCAGGTAACAGTTCTCGGTTTTGCCTTTGTATGAGATCTTCTTTGTGTACTGTAAATATTAACGTAGAACAAGGTAAGTTATGGTAAGTTAGGATAAGTTAAGGCACGATAGGGTAAGGTAGGGTAAGGTAGGGTAAAATATGGTAAGCTAGGGAAAGGTAGGGTAGGGTTTGGTAAAGCAGGGTAAGATATGGAAAGCTAGGGCAAGGTAGGGTAAAGACACGGTATTCTATATAGAAGTTATTACAAAAAATTTTTACCCTGACTAATAATATAATAATGAGTCGTATTTTACACCAAAAATATTAACTTACCGAATATTTAGCCCATTTTACTGATAACCAAATGCACCCGATTGTACCAATGATCTAAAATACACATTTTAATACAAAGCAAGGCAAAAAACATGTAAAAAATCTGTTTACTATCAAATAGTAAAAGGGTTATCACATAGTACTAAGCTACCGTATAGTCAAAGGCTATCTAATAGTGAAAGGCTGTCACATAAGCCTTCCTTGTTATTAGGTTGTTCAATTAATTCTAAGCCCAAGCAAATTTTCGAGGCAAGAGGTACAGAATTATTTGAACAACATAATAGTTACTATTACACTGTAAAGGACAATAACTTCTTCAATATATAGTTAAAAACAAAAAAAATCATACCAAGATCAATATCCAGACAGTGATCAAGAATATTTTCATTCTTGGCAAGATTTGTCGGCCAAATTTGACACAAATTGCCATTTCTAACAAACACACCGCCAGATATACCCAGCATTGCATTCCTAAACGTTTGATTTTTGGGTCTGTACAGTAGAGGTAGTATTGCCTGAAAATTGAAAATTATGACATTTTTAGATTGATATAAAGATTTTATGCCATTTTTCATTAAAAACGAGGATTTTATGTCATTTCCAAACTCCAACACTCAATGCTATGCCAAACCTTACCTTATACTAGGTGCTGAGATCAGAGCAATCAAAATAAGCCTCCAGAATACCACGGGATGTGTCGTATCGACCGCGAACACATGTTTTAAGAAAAAGGTGTTCAGTTCACTCAATAACCATATCATGATAAAGGCATATATCGATATACACCTTCTCAACGCAAAGGAATTGAACCAATCCACACGAATCCAGCTTTCCGGCGTGAATTGCATCACAGATCGCATGAACTTGCCTTTGGCCGTCCTGATGTTCTTCACGCTTTCCCAGTGGAAAATCCGCATCTCCAGAATCCTGCATACCCACATGCCGAAACAGATCCCGAGGCCGTTACATACGAGAACATCGAGAATGATGGCGTCCCACCAGCATTCTTGGAAATTAGGTAACAAATGGGTGAAGACGATCTCTGTCAGCTCCCAGGCTATGCTGATATACCAACAGATGATGGAGTGACGAATGAGGAGGGCTTTCATGGCCCAACCTAGGAAATGGCCTACGGCGAAAATGTCCATCATTCCCCAAAGACGTTCCAGAGTTACATGATGGCAGTTTACGGCGTAGTCCTGAAAATATGTGGATTCTATGATATTTTTGATTACAAATGGGAAGTTTATGACAATTTTCATTCGAAAAGAGGATTTTATACCATTTTTTATTAGAAATGACGCTTAAAACTATTTCAAGGCAACCACAACTCCAACCTAAACCATTATCACCACCAAAACCTTACCTTCTCTTTTAAAGTCGCCTGCCCAAGACCTTTTGGGTCCAACCACGTTAAAACTTTCTTAATGTCGTCATAAGTTTGAAACAATGTAAATTGTAACAACATAACGTAAAGAACCGACACTCCAAAGACAATCCTCCAGATAATCGGATGTGGTCGAACAAAAGGCCCGTTTGGAAATGCCATAGCCGATATCACCAAAAATAACCCGCCCATGGCCTTCATGCCAAAATATACATTGTGCTCAGTTTGTCCGTCGTCTCTAAAGACCAAAATTTTATGTTTCTATCAATTTTCAAAGAGGTTACGGTGAAAAGTTAACAATATTGTAGTACCTGGATCCAAGCCTGGAGACGTACCTGCCAAAAGCACAAAATACTTACTCCCAAAAAGCATAGTAGATCAAGTAAACTCCAAGTAAAGCAAGTACTGATATCGTATGAGGTTTATAAAACACTTCCAATGTAACATCATTTACCACACGTTCATTAACGTATCTAAAATGTAGCCGCTCCAAATCTGTTCGACTTCTTGATAAACTAAAAAATTTAAACTTTAAAAAGATGTTAGAACTATTGTAGTTACTCATGCTACCTCAATTGTAGCCTATAACATACAAAAACCGTGCTTAAAATCCTAAGTTTGATAAACTGTTACCTAAATTGAATGAATAATGACTAAAACAACAGTTTTCTGCCTCAAATTAAAATCAAAAGATTTTAACTTCATTTCTGAAAATCCAGTCTTGTTCCGTTACCTAAAATTATAAAAACCAAAAAATATAAACTTACATATCTCTACTTCGTTCAAAATCAGAATCTTCAAAACCATCTTCAAACTCGCCTTCATAGATTTCTGAATCACTACCAGTCGTGTACCTCTTTCTTCTTTTACTCCCATCGACTTCAGAGAACGGCGAAGGCATCGTACTGGTCGATTCTGTGTTATCAAGATTCAGCTTTGGCTCTTCATCACCGGATATCGGCTCTTCCGTGGCCATTTTTACCTTTAAAAATATAAAAGATGATTTAAAACCCGGAAATGGAAGTTTAAAAGGCGAATACGATATTGTTCTCACGATAAAACAAACAAATACTCCATAAACATCCCAAATATTAGCCATTTTTCAACGTAAACATCAAAATAAACAAGGGTTTATGGATCAAAAACCGTTGAAAGCGTTTTTCTTTTTTGAATTATGAAAGTTCGACTTATTTTTTGTCTGCATGCATCACGAGTTTCGGAATAGATCTCCAAAAATAAAATAGTGCAATTAAAATATATTACGCTATGCCACGTTCCTAATTTCGCTTCAAGACTAACATATCGTCTTATAGACGATATAATTTAGAAAGCGCAGGCTGCAAAATGGGGGCGCACGTCGCAAAAGTAGATTCTTCTTTCACTTTTCCGAAAAAAGAAAAAGAACATGTTGTAAGTAGATTATGGAGCAAAATACCATTATATTGTATGGGAAGGCTTATATATTTGTTATTTCAATGGAAAGGGTTACTTCTGTGTTTTTAGATTATTTTCAATCGATTTTGATAGGTTTTAGTTCAGTTTTGAAGGTATAGAATATATTGTTAGTTTTTGAGCATTTTAGCATAGGTTTTAGATATTATTTTGAGTAAGATTACTTTAATATAAATCTACAAGGTTTATTCTTTATTTTTGATTTAATTTTAAAGCAATTTATGCGGTTTGTTGAGCTATTTTGAACGATTGAATTAACATATAATCAATATCTATATAAGGCTAAATTCAAAGTAAACATTGACACGACTTCGTAGTATGTGATATCAATTTTTTGTATACATAAGATAATGTCAATTTATATTATCAGAAAAGTTTTGATCGATGTTTGATTTTATGTTAAAATTCGATTTTTAACAAATTTTCAATTTTAAAAAGTTTTTAATTTAAAGATTTTTCAGATATGGCCCTCCTGATATAGTCCTACCGTTAATTCGCCATGACGTAAGTGATTAAGTTGTCAATGTTTCCACGTTTCTTTTTCGATTGCTCGAAAGGTTTTTGTGATATTACACTAGACCTATAACAATGTTTTTGATGCGTGTGATGAAAATGCTTTTTGTCCTTGTGGTTTGTAAAGTAAAATTTAGTGTTGGGAGTGTAATATTTTTGGTATTGGGGTCGAAAATTAAGGATGAAATGATTTATTGGGGTTTCTGAACGTACTTTGATGGTTTTGCATTGGAAATGAGGATTTTATGACATTTTCTATTAGAAATGAAGGTTTTATGACATTTTACATTAGAAGTGAAACTTTTAATTTAAAATAGAAATTTTCAAAATTTTAGGTAACAAATGAACTTTTTGTTGTAAATTTAAAAGCTAATCTTAACCATAAAAATGTCTAAAGATGACATTTTCTGCCCAAAAGTTAAAACTATGTTTTCACGTTCTCATGACAAAAAATGAAAGTCATATTGTTCATGATCCCACGTTGAAATCTCCCTCCAATCTCTAACTTATCTAACCAGCCCTTATTCTTTAATTTCAGCTCGGTAAATCAGACGCGCAAAACGCCCGCAGCTCAACGGCCCGCTGAGAAGCGTCGACGAAATCAAAAGGAAACACCGGCGAAGTTTCCGCGCTCGCTGACCGCCACACCTCAGCAGAAGGAGGAACAGGAGAAGGAGGTGGTTGTGGAGGATCAGCCCAAAGAAAGCGAAAGCGAAAAAGTCGACGATGAGGAAACGGCGGATGAGGTCACGGATTGGTTCGCTGAGAACTGGAAACCCAATTTTCGGTAAGAATTTCGATTTTGTTTCTTTTGTTTTTAGGCGGTTTATGGAAGGATTTGAGGATGTTGATGTTAAGTTTGGATGGAAAGGATGGTTAATTTCTGTTCTTTTTATAAAATATCAAAGATTGAGATTTTCACCTTAAAAACATGAATGAAAAAACTTTTTTTGTGCTTTCATAGCTAGAGTTATTTCTTCTTTTTCAGCTCAACTTTTCCCCTAATCCACTCTCTCGAGCGCTCGAAAGTCCTATCAGAGTATCTTCACCTAATCCAACGTTACCGAGCACGAGTAGACAAAGTAGAAGCTAGTCCAAAACGGCTACCAAACCCTCAAACACAAACTGTCGAGGAATTGGAAAAAGAGTTGGAGAAATGCGACGCCGAGATCGACTTGCTGAACAAGAAAAGAGAGAACACCAACGATCACAAGAAGGAACTCATGGCCAGATACAAGGCGTTGTATCGTGAAGAAGATGAGGAAAGAAAGCGGAAGGAAATGATGTCTCAATGGGATGCGTTCAGCACGCTGTTGGCTGGCAATCCACAAGCGTTGAGTCAAGCTCAGAATTTGATGCTACAGCCTGGACTAAGTGGCAGTGAAAATAAAGGAAATCCGTTGGCTGGACTTAAAAATGGCAGCTCTTTATCAACTACACAGAGTCTACAAGGGATAACTGGACCATTAGGGGCGCTACAAGCCAATGCCATGAATAATATTGCTCAAACGACAGCTCAAAGCATAGTAAATGCTCAGACATTGGCTAGCCAAGCTAGCTTCTTGCAAAGTTTGACTAGTCAGGCTAATTTAAGTAGCAATTTGGCTGGAATCACGTCGAGTATGTCTGGATTGCCATCGAGCATGAATTTGGGGGCTAATATTGGCATGAACTTAAGTTCATCGGTTCAGAACAATATGAATCTAAGTTCGTCAGTTCAAAATAGCATGAACTTGAGCTCTTCAGTTCAAAATAATATGAATTCAGTGCAGAACAGCCTAGGCCTACCTCAAGACTCGTTAATAGGTCTAAATGTAACTACAAGTCAACATATGCCTAGTCAAGCAGCTTCATCTTCAACATCAGTACCTACGCAAATCAAGCCAGAGCCATCTCATCTACAAGATAATAAGCTCGGCTTTAGCGACGTCAAAGGTTCAATAGGTCTAAGTGATGTCAAACCGTCAGTAGGCTTGAATGTAGCGCAAAATTTGTCAAATCAGCCAAGCTCAAGTCAGAAGCTGAATCAGAATCTACAAAATCAAGCGAGTATTGTGCAAGGATTGGCCAATGCAAATGCTTTTAATCGAAATCTAACTCCAAGTACCAATGATTCACAAAGTAATTCACCGTTTGTTCAGAAGAGTTACTCACCTGATGCGCAGAGGAAGAAGATGAGCATAAATCCGGCATTGAACAAGTTCTACAGCTTGTTATCAACGTTGGACCCGAAGGATGGGAATGCGGACAATTTGACTGCTAATTATGTGAGATTTTTCAAGTTTTTGATTGGTTTTTAGGTAATAATGAGGAGTTAAAGGGGATTTTTTTGATCAAGAAGGCTTGAGAATGGTGAAAGCTTGTTAAAGCTCTTAAAAAGGGCGTTTTGAAGCTAAAAAAAAGATTTTTAAAAAAGAAAATTCTGTTTAAAATTTTTTGTTACCTAAATTTATTTTTTGATACCTAAAAACCAACATTTCAGCTCCTCCAACAACAACGTCAACAACAACAAACCAATAGCCCGTTACGTCGCGACTATTCCTCTCCAGTACAACAACAAGTTCGACAACAGCAAAAGCCTCAACTCCCCCAATCGTCCTTTGCTACTCCAGCACAAACTAACCCAACCCTACAGGCTTTAAGCCAACTTCAACAGAATCCGCTACAATATCAGAATGTGAGAGGCTTTAACCCGTTGACTGGCCTACCTAATCTACAAGGTTTGGCACCGAACACCAATTTGCTACAAGAATTTGCCAACTTACAACGGCTTCAACTGGCTCAACAGATGCAGAATCAGGCTAGTGCGGCGGACATTTTGAATGTAAGGGGTTTGTGGATTTATGGGCTTGTCAAGGCCTTAATAATTAGGGGTTTTATATCTATAAATGAAAAATTTAATTTTTACTATTTTCTAGGCCGCTAGAAATCGAAACTCACCTCTACAAACCTCCCAAATGCAACCAAAAGTTGCCCAGAACATTCAAGCTCAAAGGAAAGCGAGCACAAGTCAATTCCCAACGACACAAAGCTCGGTAGCGTCGAGGATTCAACAGCTACAGAACTCACAAGCACAACAAAGAAGCTCCACACCACAATTCGCGGTACCAAACTTGCCTGGACAACCGAAAATGCCACCACGACCACATTCATCGACTTCTAAGGGGAATGGTAATTTGTTTTTTGAAGTTTTTGGTTTTAGAGATTTTATGGAATCAAGGATAGATAGTGATAATGAAACAAAGTAGGGACTAGTGTAAATCCTATATAGGCCTTGTTATAGAAGTTCTGGGATAGCTGGTGCAATTTCCTAGTAAAACATGTGCAATAACGTAAACGACATGTAATTTATGAAAGGGACCTTAAAAACGTCTCTAATCCAAGATTCGCCACAAAAACGGCAAAAATAGTTTATTTTATTCGAAACGACTACATTTCAAACACAACAGTCTTTATATTTACCATAAAATAGTCTAAACATATTTTACAAATTTCTCTGTGGAGTTTGAGATCCGACTGATCGACTGGTTGGCGTGTTGCTGTATGAACTGGCAGTACTATTGGGCGACGGATTTCTGACATTATTAGGCGATGGTACTCTTCTCGAACCGGTCGAGTTTTGCCTTTCACTTCGTACTTCATCCAATGATTCTGCTGTCATTGGTCGAGTGGTTGGTGTGTTGCTGCATGAACTGGCAGTACTATTGGGCGACGGGTTTCTGACATGACTTGGTGATAGAACTCTTCTCGAACCGGTTGGGTTTTGTCTTTCACTTCGTAATTCATCCAACGATTCTGCTGTCATTGGGCGGTTGATCAAAGCGGCTTGATTCGAATTTTCGGTTGGTATCACAATGAAACTTGGCTCGGCTGATAAAGTTTTTGGAGTTGATGCTGGAGACACAACTAGAGTTGAAAATTGACTAGGTTCAGCTGAAAAGGCTCCTGGAGTTGATGCTGAGGTCACAACTGGAGTTGAAAGTTGACTTGGTTCGGCTGATAAGGTTCCTACTGGTGTTGATACTGGAGTTGCATTTGGAGTCGAAAACTGGACTCCACTTGCCGATGAGACGTCACCGCCTTCATTTACTGGGGCGTTTATTCCAGCCGGGTTTATATTGTTACCAGTTGGGTTAGCATTTTTTGCATTGGCATTTTCGGTCGCTTGTTGTTGTTCTTCCTCTAGACATAATGCGTCGATCGTTTTGTGCAATTTATGGTCATGAAGTTCAAAAGGGCCTAACTCGAAACTGATTGTTAAGATCAGAAAAAGAAAGGACAAGGCCAGAACCCATTGACAATGTGTTGTTAGGAGGTACCATTCCTATAATGGCACCATTTTTATCCCGTCATTAGTACTGTTCTTAAAAGCGTAAGGTCATTTTGTAAACGGCTTTGTTCTAGCTACCGAGGTAACACTATAAAAAACCCACCTCCCAAGGTGCTCTCAAAACATAGCTGCCGCCTTCTTTTTTCAGTGTAACCTCGGCTGTCCTGTTTCCAATTTCATTCGATTGAAAAATGATTAGGACTAGAAATGAGCACGATGCAAAGAAAATGATGACTCCTCGTGTGATCGAAATGGGCGTTTTTGAAGGGCTAGGCTTTATGATCAACGTCAATACCAAAAATATCCAAATGTAAAAGATACCGCCGCAAAACGCCATAACACAGCCGATTATATGAAGTAGTGGGAGATGTGTTGCCTGAAAATTTTTGAAATGACAAAACATGCTATAACATAGTAAAATGGTACAGAAACTAATAAAGTGATACACTAGAGTTTTTCTGTACTAGATCCACTCACAATTACCTCCTCCCAAGCGAGGGCTCTGAAATGATACAATAAAGTAAAAATCAAGGTAAAGTAGACGGCTTACCTCAACCGATGCCACAATAAGCACACCAAAACCTGATGTTAACCCAATAATCATTGTAAATAAAAATATCAGACGATAAACATCTGGTAACTGGAAGGCATGACTTGTACGGTAATGTGTGTTCAAACGTATGTGAATCGAAAAGACTGTACATATCCCTGAAAAACAACAATAGTATAATATATAAGGATATTAAAAAATATATTAGGTTGTTTAAATAATTCTGTGCTCCATCTCAAAGCAAACTTTCGGGGTTAGAGGGCACAGAATTATTTGAAAAACGTAATAGATACCACTTTTATCATATTCGGATGAAAAATAACAATATTAGCTATAATATGCAAAAACAATTGGAATTCTTGGTGGTACAAAGTATTCCAACTACTGTAACGTCTAAATAATAAAAGTAACAATCAAAAAAACCAAAAGACACTTACAAAAAAACGCTGACATTGCAAGTAAAAATCCAAAAACACACGATTCTGGAGGGTATGTGCCACCATCACTAAAATATTATAAGTAGTAAGGTAGTAACAGATAAACGTAACACAATATCTGGCCAAAAAACACTAATACAGTGGAAATCCTGTATAACTAACTCTTGTATAACGAAATTTCTGTATAACGCACAACTTTTAAGTCTTCGGCCAACACTACACAGTGCATTTAAAACTTCTGTATAACGAAACTGTTTTATAACGAACAAATTTAAAACACTTGAGCGATTCATTATACAGGACTACTGTATCAGGGTTAACTTTGAAAAAAAAACTTCAAAAAACACAGGATAAACAAGAAAAACCTCTCAAAAAATAGAGGAAAACAACCAAAACCTCACCTTAAATACGGCGTATACCATTCCACATTGTTTTTATGCGCCTCTAACACGTAACCCGTGAAGAACGCCAGCACGGCGGTAATACCGGTCATAACGGGGAATGCTCTAGTTTTTATATGTATTCGCGCATAGTCGTCCGGCTCCTCCTTCAGCTCCATGAACGGAGAAACCGCGAACTGAAGCGACCGAAGAAGCATGGCCGCCCGCTTTGAAGATAGAGAAATGGAAAATGAATGAGATCAGTTTCGTTGAGCGTTGAAAGGCGTTTTTCAAAATGAGAAAAAATTTGAATATTTTAGAAAAATTTGATTTATTTCAATGGTTTTTGGTTAAAAAATAGTGTATTGTATTGGTAGGGTAAAGCACAATACAGCCTTGAATACAGTAGAATATAGAGCATGATAGACTACGGAACGGTGAAATATACTTAAGATAGAGTGGAATGGGGTAAGGTAAGGTAGGGTCGACTAGAGTAGAGTAGGGTACGTTAGAGTAAAGTAGGGTAGAGTAAAGTAAAGTAGAGTAGAAGGCAGTAGAGTACCGCAGAGTAAAGTATAATGTATTAGAGTAAAGTAGGGTTGAGTACAGTACAGTAAAACAAAATACGGTACAGTTCTGTATAGTAGAGTACAGTAGAGTAGGTAGGGTAGGGCATGGTAGAGGGTCCGGTAGGTTAGAGTAGGATAGAGTATGGTAGGACAGACTAGAAGGGATAATTGTAAAAACTACTGATAATTAAAAAAAAATACAATTTCTTGTTTCAGCTGCAGGCACAACACCTTCATCATCAACTTCACAAACCTCTAATCCAGCTGCAGCCACTGTGCCATTAATGTTGAATCCGGCTGACAATCAAAGCGCACTGAACACCGAATTCTTGGCTCAACTTTTTGCACAGAACGGCGACATGAATCAGTTGTTGATGCAGTTGAAGAACATTAATCAAAGTAGGTTTGTTTTTTATGGTTTATGGGATTACATTCTTTGCAGACCCTATCCGAAAAATGGGTTACCTTTTGGTCAATATACTTTTATTTAATATTAATCATTTCTAGATCAACAATAATGCAATTGACGACTATATTTTGTCATACATGACTTTACATCTACTACAAGATAACTTGTGTTTGATTCTCATCAATTTCATACGGGACATTGTTTATGGAACTGTTTTTTCATAAATTAGATTGGTTTTTTAGCTATTGTTGAATAAATAATTGTTAATAACGGTAATTACTGTATTTATGATGGTTTTTGTTAATATACTATGGTTAACTACCATTTATATATACTTAACTTTTATTTTTTTGAATCTTTTTTATATGTAGTAAGATTTTTTACGTTGTTATATGAAAATGACATTTTTATTGATAGATAACACTTTTTTAATATATTTTTTAAATAATTTGTACTAAACTTTGTATTTTACCTTTACTTTCAGATATTTTTCGCACAAAATGGAGTGAAATTCAACGCCAACGTTTCAATCACACAGTAAATTTTTGTCCTCCAACTGACAAAAATTGTTATTTGTTAGAATAATAGTGACATTTCTACAGAGTATTTTCGAATCATGCTCAATTATTTGTTATGTACATACACAGTGATACTGGTGGTTCTACTAAATGGAGTCTTCGTGAGGTCAGATGGAGAAGATGCTGAGATTTTGAATCACAAAGAGGACTTGAAGTGAGTTTATTGTTATATTAGTGAGTTTAGTGCTCCCTTTCTGTCCAGGGCTGTAAATTTAGAATTTTTGGAAATTAGGCTAGGGGAGGTTCCTTTGCAGAACTAGTTGGTATGGTAACAAAAGGGGTATCTTAACCTAGTAGAATTACTGCTGAATCGTAAGATAACAACGAATATAGGATCCGCGAGAACGTACTCTATAAACGTTATAGCCAGAACAGTTACGGCCTAAGTTTTAGGTTAATGCCAGGAAAAAGTTTAAAACACTTTAGTTCTAGGTTACTTTAACTTGTCAAACATAATATTTTCAATTCCAGCTAGTTGTGTATTATCATATATTTTACTTCTATTCTTAAAAATTGTCCAATGTGATTTCTATTTTTTACATTTATTGCTAATTTACATTTTTACAATATTAATATATATTACAAGTAAAAGTAATGTATGCAGCCGTTAATATAGGCTCTCATTATTGGCTTGGACGGCTCTGGCTCTACACGGCATTGAGATGCTTGGGCCTCGGGCATGTACTGGTACTGGGTATCTTGAGGGTATCGCTGGGCAAGCTGGTAGTAGGCTTTCTGAGAGTATTGCTGGGCTGGCTGATAGTAGACGGGTGGCGGGCTGTAGCTAGCCATTTGGTTTTGTTGAGCTGGCTCGTACTGGGGCTCTAGTGGCTCCTCAAATCGCTCGGCTACTTTTCTGCGCACTTCTTTTTCTAGGAATGGGTCAGCCCAAACTCCATCGGGCAAGATGCTCATGGACGGTGGGGTATTGATCTTGGCCTCGGTCTCGATCATGACCTTATCGAATGGGTTGCAGAAGATCATTTTGATTGTTAGATTGATTGCTGAAATTTAAGATATTAAGTTAAGGTTAATGTGAAGTTTTATAAGGTAGTACTGATAAAGTGTATGTTCCTCGCCTCTTTTTATAGTGTCAAGTTTATGTGCCATATACGATAAAAAAGATATCTTACGTTCTCTTAAATCTTTACGATATGTAAATTTATTGCCAATTCGGCGATAATACGTTCAAGTTTAAACGTATTTTTCCTCGGGGTGTTGATTAAACTACGGTTTTTGGCTTTTGCCGCCGCTGGCAGGTGATGCAATTCATCTTTTTTTCTTGTTAATGTTTGATCTTTTTGATAAGAGTACTGTAGTTTTTATATTGAACATGATTTTTGGAATTTTGCGTTAGAAATGAGGACTTGATGACATTTTTTATTAGAAATTAGGATTTTATGACATTTTTCATTAAAAATGAGGATTTTGTGACATTTTTCATCAGAAATGATTGTTTTGTGACATTTTTCACTAGAAATTAGGATTTTATGACATTTTTCATTAGAAACGAGGATTATACTGTACTCATCTTTAACATTTTCAGAAATCAAGCCAAAGAGATGTTCATGCATGCCTACACCGCATACAAAACCCACGCCTTCATGGCCGATGAAATTATGCCAATCTCGTGTAAACCTAGAATCAGAGGTAAAACAAGGTCGAGAGGAGATGTGGACGACTCTTTGGGCAATTTTTCATTAACTCTGGTTGATTCCTTGGACACATTGGCCGTTTTGAATGAGCTGGACGAGTTTGAAGAGGCAGCGGCAGCTATAATCAGAGATGTCAGGTTTGACAGTGATTGGACGATTTCGGTGTTTGAAACTAATATCAGAATGGTCGGAGGATTGATTTCTGGTAGGTTGTTTGTATGGTTTCTTCGATTTTAGGTTTGTTGATGTTGTAGTAGGCACTTTGTATCAAAAAATATGAAAATATGGGGGTTTCTTGCTTAATATAGCAAGTAATGCCTATTTTTCCGTTTTTATGTTATTTTCGTTGACTTTAATGCCATTTCCTTTGATAACTATAGTTTTTCTGTCGCTTATAACATAAATATTTTAATTTTCATCAATAATCTCAACTTTCAGGCCATTTAATGTCAAAAATCATCCAAGACAAAGACCCAAAAAGGATGTTGTGGTACTCAGACCAGCTTCTAAAAATGGCAGCAGACCTTGCCGACCGCCTCTTGCCAGCTTTCAACTCGACCAGTGGAGTGCCATACTCAAAAATCAACCTAAAACGAGGCTTAAGTCCAGAACTGAAGCACCAAAGTGACACGTGCACGGCTTGTGCTGGTACTATAATATTGGAATGGGCTGCTTTGTCTAGACTGACTGGTAATCCAATTTACGAACAAAAAAGCCGAAAAGCTATGGATTTCCTTTGGAATCAACGAAATCACGGCTCAAACCTTATGGGCACGGTGCTGAACGTGCACTCTGGAGACTGGATTCGAAGAGATGCTGGCATTGGTGCAGGCATCGACTCGTACTACGAATATACGTTGAAGGCCTATATCTTATTGGGAGAAGAGGACTACCTTCATAGGTTCAATACTCATTATGAAAGTGTGATGAAGTACCTGAACAGAGGTCCATTGTTTGTCGATGTTCATATGCACAGACCGACAATAGCGGCAAGATCGTATATGGATGCATTGCTGGCGTTCTGGCCCGGAGTTCAGGTCTTGAAAGGCGATTTGAAGGGAGCAATTGAGATGCATGAGATGTTGTACCAGGTTATTCGGGTAAGGAGTTGGTTGTTTTGTTAAAATGAGGGTTTTTAGTTGAATTTTTTTTTATTAAAGTGAATGTTTTTATATGGTACACGAGTTTTTATGTTAAGATTTTAAGAATATATGGACTTTAAAAGGCTTGATTTTAATTTACAAGTTTTTAAAATGTCTTGAAATACAGTTTTTTAAAAATACCACTGAAAAGTTAAAGGAATTATATTTTTTATAGCTCTAAAATAAAAAAAATATAAAATCTGAACTAAAAACATGTCATTAAAAAATTTTTTGAGTTTTAAAATTTTAAAGTTTTTAAATTTTATAATTTCACCGATTTTTCAATCGAAAATCTTATTTCGCACCCTTTTCGCACTGCAAATCGCTCGAAAAATAGCAAAACGAAGAAATAAGGAGAGAAGACGAGCGTGCTTTTATAGCTCAGTGGGTCGGCGACTCGCTTCGTCTTCAAAACGAAGCGGGTTCGACTCCCACTGCCGATGATGACAGTTATTCCGCCCCAGGCATAAATGCATTTGATGATTGGTCAAATGCTGAGGCTTTTACTTTTGGTTTGAGCTATATTAATGTTAATTTTAGATGGCAGTTGATAAATAATGGGTTTTTTGTACATTTTAGGGAGAAAAGTTGAAGGTTTTTGGAAAAAATTAGGGGTTTTGTAAAGAAAAATGACTGGAAAGCGGGGGTTGGCGTGGATAATATTGCTGTTTATTGCATTATTAGAGAAGGAAGATAACAAAATGGCATTTTATATTTCAAAATATGATTGTGTTTTTGTAAAACACGAATTCTGCACGTCTTGTTACATATTGATTGGTATTTTTTAGAAACATAAATTCTTGCCAGAAGCCTTTACTCATGACCTTCAAATCTACTGGGCTCAACACCCCTTAAGGCCAGAGTTTCTGGAATCTACATACTTATTGTACAGAGCAACAAAAGACCCTCACTACCTAGAAGTGGCGAAAAGTGTGATGGACTCGATGAACCAACATGTCAGAGTAAAATGCGGGTTTTCGGCGCTGAAAGATGTCAGATCGATGGAGTTGTTGGACGAAATGGAAAGTTTTGTTCTGGCAGAGACTTTTAAGTATCTTTATATGATCTTTGCCGAACCGGGTGATCTACTTTTTGATCCGGATAACTATGTTTTGACCACGGAAGCACACTTTTTACCTCTGGCTATTGGGGAAACAAGGTAAGAAATTTGGGTTAGAAAAGGTGGATTTTTATGAGTTTATGAAATGGGGAAGGTAAAATTTGGAATTTTAATGAGATTTTTTATATTTAAAAATTTTTTTTTGACATTTAAAATTTTTTTGAAATTTCGAAATTTTAAAAAATGTTTTGATTTTTGATGTTTCTTGAAATGGCTTTTTTCTAAATTTATGACATTTTTTATTCTTTTTTGTTACTCTTACGTTTAGAACTAATTTTTAAAACTAAAAACCCAAAAATGTCATTCCAGATCCATCGACTCACTGCCAAGAAGAATGTTGATCGATCCAGACGAAGTGATTGGAGATGACACTTCTAAAAAGTATCAAAGTGCATGCCCCAACTTTGCCAGTGAATTCAGGACGGCCGATGAGCTCTCGCTTTATGGAAAGACGCTAAGAACGAATGTGAAGAAATTGTTGAGCGAAGTGACAAATCTAGGATCACTGTCATCATTAATGTCTGGCAATAACCTGTACTCGTCTTTGAGTGAGGAGGAAATTCAGAAGAAAGCGTGGGTTTTTTGATTTCAAAGAAAAAAATGATTTTTTTTAGATTTTTTTAAATGAAATTTTTAATTTTTAAACATTTGTTTTTTTAAAACTTGAAATTTTAAATTTTTAAAATTTAAAACCAACAATTTTAGTGGAGACCGCCTTCGAGCCTGGGCCTTCAGCACCACCAATGCCGATCACCTAGCTCAATTGAAACGAATGGGAATTCAAATTCAAGTCTTGCCGGACGGGAAGATGCAGCTGAGTCATACTGCTCAAGATGTAAGTTCAAACTTTATATTTTGGAAAAATTGTTTCATATTGAGCTTTCCATGGGTTTGTTTATGGTAAAATACGGATTTGGACAATTGATAGTCTTTGATAGTAATTTATTAGTCATCGGGTTTGGATTTGAAAAAATGACAAAATGGACAATTTAAAATTAAGATTAGACTGGGACTACGGTAGGATAAGATATGGCAGAGTAAAGAAGGTTAAGGCATTTTAGGGTAGAGTAAAATAAGGTAGTGCAATTTGAGTTAGTTCAGTGTTTGGAAGGGTATGATAAAACACGTCAGGATAAGGTAGGATAAAAGTGAATTTTAAAAAAATATTTTGAGCTATTTTACACTGATAAATAAGGCACATTTGGCAAAAAATATTTTTTTATTTGAGAGGTGGGGTGGTAAATCGTATCGATATTACTTTGTGTTGCCCTTGCTTCTTAAGTGAGTTAAACGATTTTTTGACGAATATAACTTTTACTGTGTACTTTTTCTTTTTATATTGATTATTTGTAACTACATTTTGTCAGCGGTGGACTTTAAATTTTATTTTTTAAATTTAAAAAAATAAAATTATTTTCAAAAATAGTAAATTTCAAAGCCGATTTTAATGATAAGCACGCTTTTTTGTTCCGCACCAAACTAAAATGGGTTCTAATTTCAGAAGAAGTCCGCCGCTGACATTGTTTCGTGGCAGTCGATTATGGATTACCGCGCGGTTTTCGGCGTCGCCACCTTTTGGGACCTCCAAAACGACCCCATCTTTGTTCAATCCAAACAAGCATTGGCCTCAATGTCTGTGGTCTTGCTGCTAATATTGATCACTTGGGTCTCACTAGTCTTGGGAGGGTGTTGTATTATGATTGTCACCATGATTCTAACTAAACTGAGGCATATTGGAGGGAAAAGCGGAGCTAAAGAGGTAGATGATGAAGAGAACGAGGAGTTTGAGGGAGAGAATGTTGAGATTGATTGGAGAGACAGAGAGAAATTGAGAGAGAACAGAGAAAACGATGGTTTTGGAGGCAAAAACAGCGATTTTGGAGCGAAAAATAAAGGAAAAGCAAGGGAAACAAGAGAAAAAGAGAGAAATAGTAAAAGAAAAGGAGATAGGATAGAGGGTAGGACCATCAGTGAGAGTACCAATAGCACTATTTTATCAGAAGATGGTGTTACTACGAGTTATTTTAAAGACAGTACTACAAAAGCCAATGATAACATAAGTAAGGGCGGTAATAAATGGAAAATTGATAGTTTAGGTAACAACACAAGCAAAAATGACAAAAGTAAAGCCTGGGGAAGTGAAAAAGGTAATATAAAAGGTGGAGAAGACAGAGATAGAGATGAATATAAAGGAGAATGGCTACTAAACAGGCCTAGAAGAGTAAGAAAAAGACAAATTTTAGGCCACAGGGACTAAAGTTAACCAAATTTTTTAAAGAAAAATTTTTTAAAAAATGCCATTTTAATGTATGGTAAAGAATACGAGGTTATTCTTCATGATATAGACACAAAAGAAGATATATAAATTGGTTTTTGATTAGATATACGAATGATATGGCTTTGTACATAAAGTAAACGGGTAGTTTTGACAGTTCAAAACAAGTTGACGGGCTTAATTTAAAGTAAAATACGAAGTTAATTAAAGTGATTCGACAATGAATATTATACAAAGTCTTTAAATCTTACTATAGTATAGTCTTCCTGTACCTTTAGATCATTTTTTTTATTTTAAGGGTATTTTTAGATCTTATTTTTCTATTTTAAGGTGCATTTAGGTCACCTTTTTCCATTTTTGGGGTACTTTTGCACTTTTTTTCTATTTTCAAGATATTTATAGATCATCTTTTTCTATGTCTTCTATTTTCAAGGTACTTTTATATCATCTTATTCTATTTTTGATGATTCTATTATATTTTTTTTGTCTAACCTTGTTTTTTTAACGTTTTGGGTCTTTTATGATAAGTATAGGGTTATTTACTATAGGTAAAAAAACAGTTCACTTGATGTTCTATACTTTTTTTCTACTAAATATTGTTATATAGGTTATAAAATACAACGAGAAAAAGTTTATTTCTTGTACATATCATCTACAAATATGTGGTTGTATTCAGTTTTTACAACGTTTTTTAGTATTATTTCGTTATAAAACATGTTTTTGTTTTCTTTTTAAAAAATATGGATTTATACTTGTTAAAGGTCTATTTCACTTTACTTCGATTTAAACACTTGATTTTTGAAAATAAATTTATTTTAAAATCTTTACAAGAGAAATATACAGTGGAACTCCTGTATAACGAACTCCTCTATAACAAACTCCCGTATAACGAACAACTTTTGAATCCCCGTCTAACACTACACAGTGCATTTAAAACTTCTGTATAACGAAACCTCTTACTAAGGAACAAATTTCATGTTCCCGAGCGATTCGTTATACAGGAGTTTCACTGTAAATGCGTTGTGGGAGCTGAACACAAAAAAGTTTAATCTTAAGATATAAAAATGGGTTCAAGCTTGGCAATTTTTTGACATTTTAAAATTTTTTAACTGAAAATTAGAAGAATGATAACAATATGTTTCAAAAAAATTGTTTTTAGGCGGATGATGCAGCTTCAGCTGTTGAAGGCGTGGAATTCATTCAAGAAATGATTGAATTCTCGAAACAAATGGAAAAACATGGTGAGTTAAAGTCCATTTTGATCGTTTTCCAAAGGTTATAGTTGGTGTGATGGACTCAACGTGTATGTCTCATATGTAAAACTTGTTTATCTTTTAGTGTTTTGTTGTAAAATACGCTTTGTAGATCGCCCACTTTGTAAAATGGCATTTTTTAGTCAAAAAGGGGCGTTTTGTAATGTAAATTTTAAGAAAAACTTGAAAAAAGTGCAGTTTTGTTACCTAAAGAGCTGCCTATATACTTATTTTTTTTATTTTTTGTAAAGGTGGATCTACCTTTATTTACTATCTTTCCTCCCCCCCCTTTTCTTTCTCTCTAGCAACGTTTTTGTTCTAATATACCTTTAGATAGGTATAAACATTATTTTTTAGTTCCTATAAGGATAGAACCTCTAGTTCAACTGATTTCCGACCCAATATTCGGTCGAGAAGCGTTCAAAGCATCGTCAGCTCAATTTGGCACTAATTTGGAAGAGGAAGATGTAATTTGCTTTTAATTGTATTTACAGTAGACGGTAATGTTAAAGGGTAAAATACGACTTGAGCCGGATCGTGCAGGTTTGATGGCTAAGTTTAAGTCACGGCCTCATGGGCCGAGTTTAGGTCCCGCAACGAAACCTTTTATTTGTTTTAATTTGTTTAAAACTAAATTTAAAATGACATTTTTAGGAACAAAATGAATTTTTTAGATATAAAATGACATTTTTAGGTAATAGCAGAAGTGGTATTCGCCGAGCCGAACCTAGCATGCACTTCTTTAACTAATATTGAAGAATTACAAGGTAAAATAGCAGTGGTACGCAGAGGAGAATGCATGTTCCAAGAGAAAGCACGGCACGCTCAGGACGCTGGTGCTGTCGGCGTTATTGTTATTGGTATGTTAATCTTAAGTTAGTGTTAGTGTAGAATGAAGATCTATTTTTAGATGTTGGTTAATATTTTTTAAATTTAAATATATTATTCTAGATAATCAGCGCGGAACATCGGCGGACAAGTCACCTCAATTCGCAATGAGTGCTGATGACAAACGAACAGATGACATTAAGATCCCATCCATCTTCTTATTTGACTACGAATCCCAGAAACTAATGAACAGAATGAGAGCCGAGCCAAGACTTTTGGTTCGAATGAGCACCGAACTTCTGAATCCACGCTTCTTGTTCACAGAATTTTTGAAAGGAAATTGTTGTAAGAGGTCACCGTTGGTCGTACAGGTGGGTGGATTAATTTATTAGGGAGCGTAGGTTATAAAAAGTAGCAAAAGGGTTGGTTCTGAAGGGAGGATTAGGTCGGGGATGATGGTAGGGTAGATTAGGTGGGGGGGCTGAGGGTGGAATAGGAGAAAAAAGGCATTACTGTAGGTTTTGAAGGGAAGGCTGGGGTATGGAAGGGAATGAGGGTAAGTAGAGTAGAAACGGGGCTGAAGGCTGGGTAAATTCTATTTTAAAGAATTGAAAATCCAAATTCTCTCGTTTATAGAGTTTAATTAAGTAATAACCATATAATAAACCCAAATAATAAAAATAAAAGAACGGACCGTTGAAGTATAAATATACACTTGGCGCTGCTTAGGCAGTGTTCACAAAATCGGCAAATGCAAATTAGTTATGAGTAACAGAAGACGGGTTTGTTCACAGGTATCCGTGGCACTCCCCCCAAAAACAATATACACTGAGAATTGGTGACACTGCCACCCAAAAGCCAACTTCGTCTCGACAATGTCGATAGCACTGCCGGCCAGACAACAATAACTCAATTTTTTGGCACAGACTAAACTTTAATTATTTTATCACTCGAGTCTTGTAAAACAATTTTTATATGGTAAATTTCTGATGCAAAGGTGCGAGCTACGCCTTGCAAAAAGCCAATATTCGAAATTATTTCTCGTTACCCGATTGTAATTGCAATTTGTTAATAAGGGCTTCTGTAATAAAGCTCCGCATGGACCCGCGGTCTAATATGGCGTGCGTTTGTACTACAATATCTAAACCATCTGGGACAACCGGAGCTGTAAATGGGACGTGTTTGCAATATTCATAAAAGTTGTAAACGGCTTAGGCTTCCCTACTGTTGTATATGTTTTCTCAATGCCTTCGGAATTTGCTTGCATATGTTTTTGAAAGGAAAAAGGTGTTTTTTTGATTACTCAACGGAATAGCATTTGAGTTAGACAATGGTACGTTTTTCGGAGGGGGCTTCTCCGCAGATCTTAAAGGGCACAACGCGAGGTGGTGGCTTGCGAAACAGTCACGGCACTTTATGTCTACCGTACATTCGTTATTCAAATGCTCGTATCGGCAACATTTCGAAAATGCATTCATTTGACTCAACCTCCTTTTTCTGTCTTCAACAGGGAAAGGTATGACGATGAATAATGCGATTGCTTACAAAATAAACAAAGGTACCCCGATTTATGTAAATTAGCTGTATTGTCTAAGCGCTTGTGACTCAACGATTATGTTACTGCAAGATTACTAAACGTTCCCAATTTTGAATAAAAGACCTATAATTGGTTCCGTTGAAAGTAGGGAGTGTGATATTGGGTAGGTAGCTAAGAATGCTAGTGCGTGTTTGTTCAGAAGTTTTAGGCTGTGCAGTTAATTCATTTTTACTTAAAAAAACCGACCTCTTTTTGACCTTCCTTTGGTTCTTCCAACTTCTGTGCTTTTGATCGAGGAGCCGGCGCTGGTCTATCCCTCAAAGTTGGCGTTAACGGTCTTGGCATTTCCAGTTGGTCTTCCAAATTCTGTTCCGCTAGTTTTTCGTCCCGCAAAAGCAAAATGTCGAGTTGCTTTACCAACGCTTTGGCTTGCTTATAAGTAGCTTTGGCGTTGTTCAGTAATTCTTCATGTCTTCCGTACTTCTCGTAGTATATATTATAGGCATACTTTTTTCTTAAACTTGTGAGCCCGTACAACCAAGCTCCATTCATGGTCGAGGTCTATAATCGATTGGTACCTTTGTAGCAATTTGTCATCCAAGGTAGATACGTCGTTTCCCAATGACTATAGTTCGTCGTATTCAGCTGAATTTAGCGGCGTTGGTTGATCCCGAAGGCGGGTTCTCGCCTTAATGGGATCAATTCTTCCAACGCTTTGCTCAATCGACCTTTTTCTTCGCCGAGTTCTCGTCGAAGTTGACTATTATCAGCCGTAGCCGTGATCGCCATATAAAGAATTGAAAAACCAAATTCTCTGGTTTATAAAGTTTATTTTTAATCTTAAAAAACTTAAAAGTAGTAACCATATACTAAACCCAAATAATAAAAATAAAAGCACGGACTAACCGTCCGTTCAGTTATAAAGACACACTACTGGCGCTGCTAAGGCAGCGTTCCCAAAATCGGCAAATGCAAATTAGTTATGAGTAACAGAATACGGATTTGTTTACCGGTATCGGTGACAGAGGGGTAGGGTAGAGTAAGGAAGGGGCTGAGAGTTGGGTAGGTTTTAGGGTGATTTGTTTATGAGTTCAGAGATTTGGCAAATTGAAAAATGCAGTTTTGTTGATTCCGAAGGGACGATTAGGCTAGGGAAGGAGCTGAAGGAGGGGCTGGGGGTTTATTAGGGCAGGGTCGCTACAGATTTTCTCTGGGAGAGGAGGAGCGATATCGAAAAAAATTTTTCTTTTGTGCTTGTGGATTTTTTTTTGGGTCGGATAAATTTTTTACTGCGTTAGGCTCAAATATGTTTAAAATAGCTAAATGTTATGCTAGGTGGATAATTAAATTGAAATTTTTTAATTTTACAAAATTTCAGAATAAAATCTTGACAGTCGACTACAAAGCTGGGCTTTTAAGGGTTGATTATTGGTTTAAACAATTGGAAGATGATGTGGAAATGAAGGAAACGGATGAGGAAGAGGTAAGTTTTTTAATTTTTTGATCTTTTTTATTTTTTAGTTGAAAAAATTAAAATAAATATAGTAAAAACGAAAAATTATTGCTTATTGTAGTCGTTTTGAAAAACAATTTAAAATTGACTATTGTCACTTCTAAATCAATATAAACCCAAATAAAATTACCTTCCAGATCCTAGACGAACAGACCGAACTCTTCAAGCTAGCCACCAAATTCCAAGATAAGCCAGATTCAATAAGATTCAATGCGTTGTTAAGAAACATTGGTCATCAGATTCTACACAAAAACAAAGAAATCACGTTGGGCCAAGCCGATATCAGAAGCCTTAAACGACTGATTAAGAGTGTGAAGCTACAAAAGATTTCAAACAACGTTCTGAGGCTAAAGAACAGAACGTTGAGGACTGTGATATGTAAAGCTGAGGTTAAGAATGGGCCAATTTGCGAGGAAATTTTTAAAAATTGATGGAAATTCAGGGTTTTTGGGGTGGTTTTAGGGCAGAAGTTGTAATTTTTAACAGTTTTGGGTCGGTTTTCAAGCAAAAATGGAAGTTTTTTATTTTAAATTTTATTTAAAAAAATAATTTTATATTTTAAAACATACCTTTTTGTTAGCTCATATTGTCTAAAAATTGCATTTTTGTTGTAAAATACGTCCATTTTTTAAAATTAGTATGTGAAAATTTTAAATTTCGAACAAAACTTCAAAGTGCTAAAGCTAAAAGATTCCTTGGTTTTTAAAAACTTTTAAAATTTGAATTGTAGGTGTTTTTACAGCTGTCTTTTGTAATATTATTTATTGTTTGTACACTCATTTTAAGTTATTTATGAGTGTAACAGTGAAAAGTCATGAATGTACGGGGTATTTATTAAATTGTCTTATTTTTGATTATTTTTGAATTTTTTTGATAAATGACAGTTTTCGTAACATTTTGGAAGTATGGTAACATATTGTATAATAATAAAGTTATAAAATAGATTGGCGATTTTGTTGTTTGTTTAAATTATTGGTTTTATGGCCAAGTTTATTTATTTTTTGTTCTAATTTTTTGCGTTTATATTGAAACCTCTTTAGTATGACTCATGATAGTATAACCCGTGATAGTATGACATTCTCTTTAGAACAACAAATTTCTTACCGCTTTTTATAATATTGGATTGTTCACATAATTCTGCGCCTCCGTACCCCACAAATTAGCTTTGAGAAGGGGGGGCAGAATTAAGTGAACAGCCTAATAAAACTCGTATCAAAAATTACCTGGATAGTGTGAAATTATGGTTATAAGGGCAGGTTTGAGCCAATCCCTTGAGTGTCATACTAAAGAGGTTTGACTGTACCTTTAAGCTAGAAAATTTGGGTTATATATATTATATGGGCTTGATTTTGTCACGAAACTTTGTTATAAGAAAAAGATTGAAATTTGTTGATTAAAAGTGACTTCTTAACTATTATATATTTTCGTAACGCACTATGGGCTATATTTTGTATACTCGGCTCTTACGACAAGGTTTCCAGTACAGAATTGATAAAAAAAACTTTTTTTTTAATTTTTGTTTTATTATTATATCATGATAAGGAAGAACTTTTTAGTTTTTTTCATTTCTTGGCTTTTTTCAATTTTTCACTTTTTAAAACTATTTATTTTACATTACAATAACATCAAAAATAGTATGTACAATCATTAATATAAGATCCTCTGATTTGGGGCTGGTAGGGCGGTATAGTTTGAAGACAAGGTTGTTGTGACACTTGCGGTGGCGGTTGCTGATACTGGGCGGTATCTAGGTACTGGGCATTGTGTTGGTACTGAGTGGTATGTTGATACTGTGAGACATAGGCGTGCTGGTGTGATATGTGATGATATTGTACTTGATGATGGTACTGAGCGGTATGTTGGGGCTGGGAGGCGTACAGTTGTTGCAGTGATATGTCCTGATATTGTACTTGATGATGGTACTGAGCGGTGGGGTTATATTGTTGGTTTGGGTACGAGTGTTGGCTTGGAATTTGGTGGTGCGGATGTTGGGTTGTTTGGTACTGATTTTCCTGGAGCTTCTGGTACTGTTGCATTGGACGACGGTGATTCTTTGGATTGTGATACTTTTGGTGCGATGGTTTTCGGTAAGATTGTTTTTGGTGCTGCTGGTACTGAGGCTCTTCACCAAATCGTTCAGCAACCTTCTTCCGGACCTCGATCTCAATCAAAGGGTCAGCCCAGACTGGATCCTTCAGTATGCTCATCGATTGTGGCGTGTTAACTTTGGCCTCGGCTTGAATCATAACCTTATCATAGGGGTTACAGAAAACAACCATTTTTGATTAAAGTTATAACTTAAAGAGGCTTTAACTCGAAGGCACTTGGTAAACAACAAGTGATGTTGTATGGTATATTACGATGTTTTTTATCTCTTTTATAGGGTTTTGGAGGCTCGATAAGATAGTATCTCTAAAGATATATGGGTTTATTAGTGCCGATTTGGATAGATCTGCGCGGATAGTTTTTGAAGTTTAAAACTTATTTAACCTCGGGGGCTTGAGGGAAACCTTGAAGTGCGAGAAATATGGGTAGACAAAGTGACGTCATTGACATTTGGGGTTAAAGTTCTAAGTGTCTAGATAATATTGTTGTAGATTTGATGGTAAACAGAGGTTTGCTCGTATTTTTTATAGGAATTGAGGATTTTATCACATTTTTCATTAGAAATGAGGATTTTATGTCATTTTTCATTAGATGTGTGGATTATTTGACATTTTATATTAGAATTGAGGATTTTACGGCATTTTTCATTAGAAATGAGGATTTTATGACATTTTTCATTAGAAATGAGGATTTTATGTCATTTTTCATTAGAAATGAGGATTTTAGCACATTTTTTATTAGGTCTGTTGATTATATGAATTTTTTTCATTAGAAATGAGGATTTTATGACATTTTTCATTAGAAATGATGATTTTATGGCATTTTTTATTATAATCGATGATTTTATGTAATATTTCAATGTGTAATGCGGCTTTCTCCCGTGTGTAACATTTTTTACTTTATTCTTATCATCAAACTTAATATCTCGCCATTTCCAGCTGCCATTACCTCCAAAATGGGCTCGAAATACATTCCGAAGAAGAAGAATCAAGTCCCACAAGCACCAAGTGATCCAGACGTGGAGTGGGAGAACCATCTTTTACTACGAGTACCTCAGGAGTACGCGGATCGAGTACGAGAGTTCTGCACCGATGCCAATCCGGACGATCACTTCAACATCAACTTTCATCCCGAACTGAGGAAAGGAACGTTACACTTGGGCAGAGAGACGTTGCACTTCACTATCTATGATCTGCCTTGTATTATTGAGGTAAGGAGGGGTGGGGAGTAATGTTTTTTGGTAAATAATGGCTGGCGGGCGTAGTAAATGAGGATTTTTCTAATTTTTAAAGGTTGTTCAAGGCCGAGAGGACGATGTTAAGACTTAGAAGAGGGTCACAGTGACTTACGAAATATTTTTTTTAAAAGACGATTGGGTATGTGTTGAAAACGACAGCTTTTAAAAACTTTGGTTTAAGAGATAACAGATGACATTTTTCATTAGAAATGAGAATTTTATGACATTTTTCTTTAGTAATGAGGATTTTTTCTAAATTTTGATTTTTTTCCAAATTAGCATTAAAAACATTACTTTAGGTAATGAAAACCCTGGACAATGTGAATGTATACAAAGTGGCCGACCTAGCCCAGATCTTAATTTGCTCTGAGAAACCGGTGCCAGAACCAACTTTCAACGACCTAAATGGCTCAGACCCAACCAAAGTTGAATCGATTATCAAACAGAAAAAGGAAAAGTTTTATCAGTATCCACATGGAGTGGCACCCTCGTTAAAGAATGTCAGAAAGCGAAGATTCAGAAAGACAAAGAAAAAGAAGTACATGGACGCACCTGAGATCGATAAGGAGGTCAAGAGGTTACTACGGTAAGGAGGAGCATTTTAGGATAAAGAATACCCTACCATTGCTTTTCTTTGGTCATATACTTTGTTTTGCTTTTCATCACTTTACTGTAATTTTATATTTTCAATTACGTTACTGTACATTCTACTCTATTACCAAATTCAGATCTGACCTTGAAGCAGAATCCGTTCGTTGGGAAGTGGTCAACGTTGACCAAGAAGCCAAAGTCCCAGCCTCATCCCAAATCCCAGCAGCAAAGCCAGAAGACCCGAATGTATCTCAAGAACCTCAGCCTTCAGCATCGTCGGCTTCTGAATTACCAACCACATCAAAGACGGTTCAGTTCGACGACGAAGACAGCCAGATGCCAGCAGAACAAGTAATCCCAGACGACGATGATTTGGACGATTCTGATGACGATGACGAAGCACTTCAGAATGCAATGAAGCGGGCTACGTTAGATCCGCAAGACGAAGATACGATGGATGCACCTCCACGACAGATCATTGTTACGGATGATGTGATTGGAGAGTTGTCAACTTCAAGTGATGAGGATGAGGAAGAAGAGTGATGGGGTATGGGTTCTAATGGCTGATGAGAAGGGAATTGACGTTGTAGAGGCTTCTGGAGGCTTTGCAAAGGGTTCTGAAGCTTTTAACGGGGAAAACAGATTCTGAAGCTTATTTGGAAGGCCGACGGCAAATTTTGGTCTTAAACTTGAAGTTATATGGTATATTCATAACTTATACCTTGTTTTAAAAAGTTTGATGTTGTATTGGTCTAACAAGTCACTTTTTCTTGTTTTTGCTTAAAAACAGGTTGCATTTATATTGTTTTAGATGGATAAAAGATGTACATTTAGAAAATTTACTTTATAAAGCAAAGTTCGCTCAGTGATTGTAAAGTTTATGTTGAAGCAAAAAAGATGCGGTTTTCATTTTCAATTATAAACTGTGAAATTGTCCATCATTGTTTCTTTCAACTCGAAGTAAGTGAGAAATGCCACATTCTAGTTTAAACGTCAGAAACCCCAATATTGCGTACAAATAGTAAGGGTGTAGACAAAACTTGGTTTCACTGTGCTGTCGGCTGAGGATGTGGCTTAGGATTGAGGTTTGTCGGCGTTGTAGACCTCTCTTTTAAAAAACTACAATATCCTACTGTAGGCAGAAGAAGGGACATACCCTAACGTATTATAATATGTTAAAGCGAAACTAAAACAACAATTCGTTTTAAGACAAAACAAGTACTGATAAGAGATCCTACAGTGCTTGAAAAATCAAAAAGTCAATTTGGAGTAGCTCAAAAAGTCATTTTTTCTTTGTTTTTAACTAAAACAACAACTCTAACCAATATTGTTTTAGATAAAAGTTACTCACTCTTATTATTTGAATGATTCTGCAGAGTAGTGTGGCAAACTCCAAGGTCTTTGACACGTTCTCAGGTCGTTTTTAAGTTTCTTCTTTTATCCCTGACTTCCGGGCCCTAGCGTCAAGTCCCAGGTTCTCGAGAGTAAAGTCGCTAGTTTTGAATTGCTGGAATTAGCGTTGTACGGTGCGTTCCTTAGCTGTACCAGTGCCAAATGTTATGGTACTATTCCGGGTTGCCACGGTTGCGTTGTGGCCAAGTTTGTCATGGTATAAAAAATGGCCTGTAACTCGATCTTTTTTTTACAATTTTAAAAACCCTAAATTAACAAAACTACAAATCAAAAAAGCATAAAAAACAGGCAAAACGATAGCCCAAACCCTTGACTTTCGAATGATATAAAACTCAATGGCAACATTTGAAGCCGTTTTTGCTTCAGGCGACTTCTTGCCGTTGTTATCAAAATCAGCCATTCTGTTCTTTCCAACCTAGTAATTGATCGGTATAGCCATGTTTGGCTCAAAATTACTGTTTTAAATCAATAAGTTTGAAAATGATGTATTTTTAATTTAAAAATCCCTTAACTTTCGAAATTTTGTGTGAACAGTTTACTTACAAACCACGAAATTTCAAAAATACTAAAGAATTGCTGTTTTTCTGACTAGAATTATATTTTGGAGAAGTGTAGCATATACTACGAGAACTTCTCATGCCTTTTTGGAGTTAGTTTCTAGTTTGATACGAATGCACTTTAATGTTACAAGCATCACAATAACACAAAAAGACAGGTTTCGAAACATTTATCAATTTAAAAGTCGTCTTTTTGTTTAATGATAGTAGTATTATTGACATGGACCTAGAAAACTTACTTTTTTCAGTGGGTTTTAATTACTTTAAGGTAGGGTAGGGCAGGGTAGGAAAAATAGTAATATAGCTATATAGATGTAGTTACAAACCTAGAATAAAGTAAGGCTGGCAACAAATAGGGTATTATAATAAAGTGAGGTGGCTTAAAGTAGGGGCAGGGTAGGGAAGGGTAGGGTAGGGTAGGGTAGGGTAGGGTAGGGTAGGGTAGGGTAGGGTAGTGATAGAATAAAGCCAAAAAGTAGTAGTACAGGATGATACTAAATTTGAACGCGCATAGTAATGTATAGTACTGGTGTGTAATTTGAAATGTATTATTGTGACTTATCCATTCAACTTAATTATCGTTTGGTATCACTAAAATGTTATGATTTTTAAGCTTGCTTCTATTCAGAAAATCTAGAATGATACCTCAACTCATCTTTTTGGCACTAGTTCTAACACTTTTTTACAATTTTTATTGGAAACGCCGCAGCTATCCACCAGGTCCAACTCCACTACCTTTAATTGGCAATATCTATTCTCTATCCAAAGTCAATCGTTGGGAGACGAAATTCATAGAATGGAGCCAAAAATACGGTACCACCTTCACCTACTGGCTGGGTGAGATGCCGGTGGTCGCAGTTTGTGATTACAATGACATGCAAGAGTACTTTGTCAAGAATAGTGACATCTTCTCGAATCGATTCGTGAATGAGAGGACTATGAAGATGATGAAAGGTGGTCAATATGGTATTATCAGTGGTAATGGTGGCCCGTGGAGAGAGCATAGAAGGTTTGCGTTGAAGGTGCTACGAGACTTTGGGCTTGGCAAGAATAAAATGGAGGAAAGGGTGGGTGTTGTACCTATTTCAGTCTCAGTTGATTTACAAAGATAAAATACGAGTTGTCTATCAAATTTGATTGGTAAAGGTAAAGGACGGCCGATTTAAAACGGAGTTTTTCAGATTTTAGAAGAGCTCTATTTATTGCTGGAAAGAGTGAACAAAGAAGTGCACGGTAATGAGGAAATCGACTTTTTCAAGTATTCGGATATGGCCGCTGGATCAATAATCAACTGCATTATTAGTGGCTACAGGTTTACCGAGGTACATATTCTTAATTTTTATTTTGTTTCGGAGTTGTTACAATCTTGTTTAAATTTTTCTTTTGCGTATCTCTACTCTGCTCCTACCCGAGCCTTAAATTAGGCTCTAATCTATCCTTACCTCCTCTGTCATATGCACTAATATATATGCTTTTCTAGGGATTACAAGACCAATTCTACAAGATGAAAACTCTAACTACCGAGTTAGTCAAAAAAATAACCAGTGCCAAAGTCAACCTAGTCATGAGTAATCCATGGTTGTTGAACGTACCAATAGTGAAAGACTTTCCAAACGAATCCATGTCAAATCTACACCAAATCTTCGAATACTTGGACATTCAGATTGAGAAGCATATCAAGGAGAATGATTATTCTCAAGACTTTGAGCCTTCTGATTACATCGATGCCTTCTTACTTCAAAGAGAAAAAGTCATCAGAACCGACGGTTCCGAAGGCAACTTCACTATGGATCAACTGAGGAACATCTGCATGGACTTGTGGTTGGCAGGTCAAGAGACCACGTCATCTACCATCACATGGATCATCGCTTATTTGATACGATATCCTGAGGTACAGGAGAAGTTACAGAAGGAGCTGGATACGGTAATTGGAAGCAAGAGAATTATTAAGATTGCTGACAAGGCTGATCTGGTTTATACTAATGCTGTTATTATGGTATGATTTTTTTATTTTTCAGTTACTTTTGACGTACCATACTCTACTCCGCTCTCTCTACTTTATGTTGCCTTGCCTTGCCTTGCCTTGCCTTGCCTTGCCTTGCCTTGCCTTGCCTTGCCTTGCCTTGCCTTGCCTTGCCTTGCCTTGCCTTGCCTTGCCTTGCCTTGCCTTGCCTTGCCTTGCCTTGCCTTGCCTTGCCTTGCCTTGCCTTGCCTTGCCTTGCCTTGCCTTGCCTTGCCTTGCCTTGCCTTGCCTTGCCTTGCCTTGCCTTGCCTTGCCTTGCCTTGCCTTGCCTTGCCTTGCCTTGCCTTGCCTTGCCTTGCCTTGCCTTGCCTTGCCTTGCCTTGCCTTGCCTTGCCTTGCCTTACTTTGCTTTGCTTTACTATTCTCTGCTCTACTCTGCCATATCTTGCTAGCATATTTTACTTATCTTATCAAAGCTTATTCTAGCCCCGACTTTAGGCCAACTTGTACTCTAGTTTAAGCTCTACCGTGTCATCAACCTTATTGTTCCTAAGACCCTACCATACTTTAGTTCCTTCCCCACTCTACGATTTATTATGTTACAATTGCTACTGTAATATTTTCTCTATATTAATATTATAAATCTTACTGTGTTATCTAACATTGTATTGTCTTTCAGGAATGCCAACGATGCTGCAATTTGTTAAGTCAGAACGTTCCTCGCGCAGCGGCTGAGGACGTCGAAATGGATGGTTATAAGTACAAGAAGAATACCGCCTTTGTACCACAAATTTCAGTGTTGCTACAGAATTCAAAAGTAATTTTTTAAATTTATGACATTTTTTATTAGAAATGAGAATTTTTTGACATTTTTTATTAAAATTGGGGATTTATGACATTGTTCATTAGAAGTGAGGATTATATGACATTTTGCATTAGAACTCACGATTTTATGCTATTTTTCAGATCTTCCCCAACCCAGAATCCTTCAACCCCGACCGTTTCGTGACAGAAGACGGCAACCTCAAGCACGTCGAAGAGCTGATACCTTTTTCATTAGGTAAAAGGATTTGTCTTGGAGAAGGAATGGCAAGAATGGAACTCTTTATTTTTATTGCCAACCTCTTCAATCAGTACAAGTTTATGCCCGGCAAAGTCCCACCAACACTTCTAAAAACAAATGGCAGATCCACTATGACTGAACCTTATCATTGCCGAATCGAGCCTAGAAGCTAGAAATGGCAAAGATATTTTTAAGAAAATAAACTAAACAGAAGTGTCTTATTGTAAAATACGATATAATAATCTGTATGTTTATTTTTCAATACCAAAATGTCATTAAAACAAAAAATGGGATTAATTTATATTCGCCATGCCGAACTTCAGCCAAATTTAATCATAACTTTTTTAAAAATCAAGTTTAGAACGCAAATTTTTGTTTAAATATCAACTATAGTATAAATAAGCTGGATACAAAATTTTAGCCAAATCCGTAAACGTTTTGAAACAGAACGCCGAAATAGCGGGAAATTCAAAACTAGCATTTTTTAAAGTGTGAAACAGAATCTTAAACTTTTCATATTTATTCCGTATAGTATAAATAAGTCGTCTAAAAAATTTCAGCTATTTGTAATCAGTACTCTTTTAGTACGGAGCTTTTTTGTTGACTTTTACCATTAGCCAAGTATAATAATATGCTAAACTTAAAAAATTGGCAAAAAAATACAAAATGTGTTAAATTTTAGGAAATCGAATTTTTAGTTAATTTTTTATTCCTTTTTTTTCTGTAAACCGGTTCTATACAGTAAACTCTCAGCTTGGCGCGAACCTTTCTGCAGGCTGCACGACTCTTCTATTCCGAACTGCGGCCAATCTCTTCTTCTCGCTTTTCGCTTTTTTTCTCTTTGTCCGTCGATCGTTTTGTTGGAAGGATATCGAGGGTGTTTTCCAAGTAAGTATTTGATTTTCCATTGCCTTTCCTTTAGATTTTGACTTATTACATTACTGGATTTGTCAAACTTTGGGTATTTTACGGGTAACATCTTTACCACCTTATTTTTGATATTTTTCTTCTGCTACTTCGTTTTTCGTTGCCATGGCGATAGAATTTGTGCGTGTATACCTGCTATAGTTATTCTTCGACATTCTCACCAGTTTTTTGTTTCGTTTTGTTTATTGTGCGTGTATGCTTTGTATTGAAATGGCAGAGATACGAAGGGAATGAAGGAGAAGGGCGCACTTTTTTCGAAAAAACGATGAAACTGCTGTTCTCCTATTGATTTCCCCCAAAGTTTATGTTGAAATGGCTTTGATATTGATAAAACAAAGATGTGTTCGTTGTTTTAATGCTAAAAAAACAAGGAATATATTGTTTTAGGTCGAAAATTTAGAGACTTAGAGGTCTGAAGACAGCTTTTGTGGTTTTAAAGTGAAAAAATTGAATTTTGTTGAGTTAAAATAAAGTTTTGTTGAGTCAAAGGTTAGAAAAGTGTTCTGCAATCTTTTAAAAGCATGCCACGTGACTTTAATTCACATTGGTGGCATTTTTGAATTGTGTTATATCTAAAGCAATATCAATAAACCAGTCTCAACTTAAAATGATTGTAAAGGATACATATCATATTAGGTTGACAATAGACGAACAGGTATGATATTTGTACCTTCAATGGTAAAGTGTTATAAGGAAGACGAATTCGTTCCAAAAGTTTTGTGAATTTTGAGTTTTCACACTTGCACCGTGCATTCTTCCACTGTTACGCACCAAACTTTTAATTTTATTTTTTATAAAAGTTTGATGAAAAAAAGGTTATTGTTCAATTGGAATCTTTCTGAACCGGTTGCATATATTTATTAGTAAAATTTTATTGCTGGATTCGGTAGAAAAGTTTTTGGAAGCTCCGGTTTATGTGTAAAATAATTAGTCGGCTAAAATTAGAACATTATCAGTTGAGTGGTCATTGTTTCATATTTAAAACTAGAGTTTAAGCTGTTGGTATCACGATTTTTTGTCAAAACATTTTATTGGCTATATGGGCATCTACAGCTTGATAACACAACGAAACTATAAACTTTGATTACCTAAATATTTAGACTAGATAGTTTTTGATTATGATGATTTTTTGGCATTGAATGAGATTAGCGTTTAGCAGTCGTAAAAAAGTCATTTTATTGCCAGATGTAACCAACAGAATCAAAGGTTATTTGGTATGTTAATATAGCGTAGTAGGTGATCAAAGTTTATAGTTTCATTTTGTTATTGAGCTGTAGATATTCATATTATTAATTAAATGTTCTGGCAAAAAATCATGGTATCAACATTGTTTGGTGAAACTATCGTCGATTTTTTTTGCTGATTGTTAACACATTTTAAAATTTCGGATGATATGCTATATTAATCGTATTTGACTTTGTATATTAAGCTTTTCATTGTCGTATATTGGGATTTTTAGCATAATAAATATATATCAGATCAACGGAGGCCCTACGGGCCTCCTATGATCTGGTAAATATATATTTATTTGTCTTTTTACTGTGTTCTGGTGTAACGTGCTCTTTTTTATCTTATTATGGGCTCTTTAGTAAGACATTACGCTATTACGAGCTCCCTAACGCGTTATATGTTTACCTATACCTACTCCACACTAATCTCATTCTTTTTCAGATATTTCTGTTATTTGGCATTTCGAGACGATCGTATGGATAAATAATAAAACAACTTAAACACTTTGTTATCGTTTTCACAAGCATTTAAATAAAGTCATTTTGTTTTGAAAAAGAAAAAATAGAAAAGCAGGAGGGTATTAAAAAGGAATGGCGGATCCGAATCGCATCTTCAACGGCGACCAAATCTACTATCAACACGTCAACGACCAACCCAACGAGTATCAACAGCACGTCGACGGCGAACCCGTCTTTCCGGCCGACCTGCTCGAGCCGGCGCCCAACGTTCCACATCAAGGTGGTGGTGGTGGAGGAGGCTATGTGTATGCGGACGAATATGTCCAGAACTTTGAGGTAATTGATGTGATTTGTGTTGGCGCTTTTAGGAGAGTACTGTAACTTTGAGTTCTGAGAGGAGAGTGTTGCTTTAGAGCTTACAGTGACGCTTTAAACATGTGATGTACGGTTTTAGAGGCTAATGATGCTAGTATGTAATCACTGCTTTGAGAAAGTGTTGCGTCTATTTAAAGAATGTTATTTGTTTTATAGTTTACTGAGACATTTAAAAGGATACTGTGGCTTTTTAAAGACTACTGTAAAGCTTCCAAGTGCGCTGTAACGCTTTCCAGAATACTGTGTCTTTAACTAGTGATGTACTTGCTTTAATGGCTTCTTTTATCTTACAAACAGACTGTATCGCCTTTTTTCATCTTTGAAGGTCTACCGTATTATTTCAGAATTACTGTTAATTCTTATTTTATATTTCAAGGTTTATTTTACTGTCTTGTTATTATGTATGAGTCCTTCTGTATTCTTTAGAGCATTAATGAATACTGAAGAACTCATACATAGTACGGTAAAGTGGCTTTGAATCATAAAAAGTACTGTAATTTTAAACGTTTTTTTGTAAGAACCATCAACCATGCTATAGAAAGTAACATCTATGAAGTATGTAGAGCGTACTAATTTTTTAGGAACGTAGTACTGATTGGAAAGTGCCATAGAGTTGTAACAAAGTACTGTCGAAGATTCTCTTATATTTTTGAAACTTTGGTTTTTATAAAAACTTGTAATACATTGTTTTATAAAGTAATTTAGTTACAGTGTTTATACTGATATGATATTAAGTGTTAAAGTCTTAAAAATGCTCTTATTTTAATTAAAATGACAATATTCTATTAGTTTTTTTGTTGTCATACTGTTTAGCGTTTTAAAATTGCTTTTTTAAAAAAAGCCAGTTATTAAGTCTTTAGTTACAGCACAGTACTTTCTACGCTATTTTTAGTTACAGTACTTATCATTTTTAAATCTTATTCAATTTTTTTAATGGTGTAGTATATATAATTTAACGATTTATGTTGTAATAGACCTTGCCTTACTAAACCAATTCTACTTACAGATGCCTTACGTAATCGACCAAACCAACCAGATGGACGAGCAGTGGAACCAACAATATTACTACGGCAACGACATTCCATATACGGGTACGGAGGAGGTGGTCGTGGGTGGTGATGAGTTCCAGTCATACGAACCAACTCTAGCACAACATAACTCGTCGATGAATAACCCATTCGAAGAGGAGGACGACGAAAGCTACTATCCTCAGCAAGACCTGGCTTCATATCCGGTGATTCATCATCAAGGTCCAACACCATTGCTGCTAGAAGAGGATGATTTTGATATGGAAGACGAACAAACAGTGGATGTTCAAGCTGGACAACAACCTCAACAAGTTGTGGTGGTGAGACAACAAAGAGATGTTGAAGCTGAGATTAAGAAGCGAAGAGCGGCCAAAAGAGCGCAGAGAGTGGCTAACGAAAGGGCTAGCTATGTGTCTGATGATGCTACGATGTAAGTTTTTTGATGTTATGTTAGGGGAAAAATCAAGTTTTAAAACATAATTTTTTATCTAGGATGTTGTTCTTGAGGTATTTGGTTGTTCAAATAATTTTGAGCCTTTCTTAAAGGTAATTTTCGGGGTGAGAGGGCTCGAACTTTTTTGAACATCTTAAAAGTAGGTGGTGGGTGAAGGAAAGTGGATAAAAGATATGGTTTTTGGGCTTTATACAATAAGAGGTTGGTTTTAAATTGTAAGAAAGATACTTGGCTTTCTCTATGTAGAAGGTAAGGTATTAATGTTGTGCACAATATGCTTGAATAGCTACTTTTATATGAGTAGTTATCTAGAGGGGTTAATTTGAAAGACGTTTGATAACCTTAAGTTTTTTGAATTTTATGCTTTAAATTTGTCTCACGCCTAAAGAAAACATTGTTTTGTATTGTGTGAAAAAAATTAAATTCACACAGGAAGGCTGGACAAACTTATGAGCTTTTTTTTATATTATAGTAGATACTTGTTCGGTGTTTTGAAAAGAATGATTGATAAGTATAAAATTTCTGGGCTTATAAAGACTTTATGGTTATTACATTTTTTATTATGACTTTTTCGTTTATTTGGTGCGTTTTGAAACATTTTTAATTTTTTTAACAAATTTATGGGCATTATCTTATAGTAGGTATGTATTTGGTGGGCTGGAAATGTGTTTGAGCTTTATTTTTGTAATTTTGGTATTTTAATTTGATATTTATAGTAAAATACGAGATGAAATTTGCCATTGAATTAGTAACATAATTTTATATTTTTTATATTGTAGTAGGTATAGAAGACTGATATTAGAAAAATTGTGAAAACGAAACTTTTTCTAAACTTTTATTGTAAAATACGCTTTTCTAAAATTAATTGGTTTAATTTTAATTGATGATATTGTTTTTTCAGAAATCAAAAAGCTCGCGAACAAGCAGCTCAACGGTTCGCGACCAAAGAAGGCTGGGAATGCATGAACAAGTGGCTAAAACAAGCGATTGAGAAGGACGACAAGGAAAGGTTAATCCAACATTTGGAAACCCTTAAATTTGTAAGTTTTTTTTATAAATTTGGGTTTTTTGAAGTTTAGGAAAAAGAGGATATTGATGTAGATGGGCAGATTAAAGACGAGGAAAGTTGATGTTAATGTATCATAAAGCATTCGTTTTTTTCTGTTAAAAAATAGCTAAACAATTAGGGAGTGTTATTATAATAGTTTGAAATATTTCTTTGAGTGTAAGCATGTTCTAGTCGGTGGGTAAGATAATATCGAAGATTTTTGATATTAAAAGGGTATTTCTTAGAATAACTTTTGATATTAAAAGATAACTAAAGCTACTGGGAACCTTATTGGTCTTTTTAATAAATTTATAAAAAATCAACTGAAAACATTAATTTGTTGATTATCGGTATATTATAGTTGATGGCCAAGATAATATTGATCATTTCTCAATAAAACTGAAATTCAGAATAATGTATTTGGTATCATAAGATAGCTAAAAGAACAGAGAATAACATGTTGACAGTTTGTTTTATTTAAAAATGGAATTTAGATAATATTTTTTGTTTTTTTCAGACTGATGTCTCAGTTGACCTACTACAACATACGGATACGGCTAAAATGGTGCGCGAGCAGTGGAAAAAGAATTCTAACAAAAGTGAGTTGATTTTTTTGGTAATTTAGTTATAGAATTAGAATGAAGCTATTTTGAAGTCGTTTATTTGTTTTGTTACCTAAAATTTGAAATTTTTGTGGTTTTTTGGTCGAAATTTTGAATATTTTTGAAGTTTCCAATGTTTTTTGAAAGGTTTTTTAAATAAAGTATGATTTGTTTCAGAAGTGAACGAGCTTGCCAATTACCTATTCACAACATGGAAGGCTAAAGTGGCAGCAGAACACAAAAAGAAGAGTTCGAAGAAGGAAAAGGAAAAACCGAAGAAACAAGAGAAAGAAAAGGCGTCTCCACCAAAGAAAATCTCGAAAGAAGAACACGAACCGGTGAAACAACAATCAACGGACGTGGATCTTGTGGGTAAACTAATCGACGCAACCGCCGACAAGCCTAAGGAACAGCCTGGAGCTTCGGAACCAGTCAAAAAGACCCGAGTCAAGGCGAAGGTCAAGATTAACAAGGGAAGAATGACAGGTAAGATCATATTATATGGTTTTTTGGTTATGATAGATGAAGACTTGATGGGTGGCTGTAGGCAGGGACTTTGCTACAGATTTATTCTGGGGAGGGTGGATGCAGAACTTTTTTAGTGAATGAGTAGGGTTGATAAAGTAAAAATTTTGGGGGGGGGGTGTGGCTTTCTTGAAAAATTACTCGTAGAAAGGCATATTGTATGTTTTGCACATGTTTGTTTGCTGGAGAGGGTTAGGGGAAGGGCGGTGTCTTACCAGACTAACAAGGAAGGTACCCGACATGCAACGTTCTGATTGGCTTCAAACTTTTTATATAGAAAGATCATGTAAATACCAGATCTTCAGCAAAGTACTAAATCGTGCTTTCCAGAAAATTTCGAGAAAATCAAGATCAAAAAATGGCCATTTGAATTTCCCGGCAAATTGGCATTGTGTTTCAAGCTTATAACTTTGTCTTTTTTAACTATTTTTCTTTAATATAATGATAGAAAAGCTTCAAATGAACTTGCAGTTTTAAATTTGTAAGCCTATTTTATCTGGAACGTCAAAAAAAGTGCTTGCAACACAATGCCAAATTTGTCAAATTAGCTTTCGTAGGGAGTGGGGTGGAAGTCAAAAGTTTTTTTGTTTCCCAGGTAGCATTTGCACCGATTTTTCAAAAATAAAATAACGTACAGGAGGTGCTTCTTTTTCTGATTTTTTGGACTGGCTCTGAGGTGCGGACTCACCCTTTTTTACCCCACCCTTCCTCCCCTCTCCTTTTACTCCTTGTAGCGACGTCTCTGTTGAGGGCTTGATTTAGGCTTGGGGTGTCGCACTATTGAGGGTTATGCCAAAGAGGTTTACTGTAATTTTGAAAATTTGAATAACAAAATTTTGAAATAAGGTGGAAAGTTGAAAATTTGAATAATAATGCCGTATTTTAGGTGCGTTATACGAACCACAGGCCGACCGAGTGACATTACTGTGCCAACCTCTCTCGTGGATCTCTTCTGATTTTGACTCGAATATTCATAAATATTCGAGAATTATTGCCATTTTTTGATTTTTTAGAGTTTTTTTCGTCTTTAACAGGTCTTTGGATTACTGTCATGTCTGATGGACTTTCGATGGATTACTGTAATATCACATTCGGAAAGCTAGGGAATAGCTCCTCTAAAGGTATACTGTAGAGTTGTATATGCTTACTGTAGTGTATTATTTTGTTGTGTGGGATACTGTAACATGATGAAGTACAGTAATTCTTGCATGGTACTGTAATATATCCAGCGATTGTTACGGTAGCCTGAGTGCGTTTTAAAAAAGACTAGAACGATTACAGTAACACATGGCTTACAGTATACCAATGGAGTTCATTTAGATATGTCAGTACTACCAATATGTACGGTAATACGAGTAATCTTGTTTTAAAATACGGGTTTAAATGAAACATGAAATGAAAAATATAATGAATATCATTCGAATTTCAAAGCAACCAGGACAAGCACAAGGCCAATATGGATGCAGACATGGATAATATAATAAGGAAAATGAATGAAAGCAATTTTAAAAGTGAAAAACATTAATGAGTGTAGAGTATTAGGTTGTTCAAATAATTCTGTGCTCTCAAACTCCTAAAATTTGATTTGAGAAGGGGCACAAAACTATTTGAACAACCTAATAGAGCAATAGGTATTATAGGTTTTTGAAAGGTAAAATACGGTTTTTATTGCTCGCGAGGCTTAAAAAAGGGGTTTTTGATTATGCAAAATGACGTTTTTGGCAACAAAGTTTGTTCAAAACGGATATTTTAGTACCTAAAATAAAGGTCTTTGAGCTTGATTTACGGTCACAAGGCTACAGAAAACCTTCACGGTGTAGTATTGTACTACATTTTTCAAGAGAAAAATTTGTCATTTTTGAAAAAAAATATGTCTTAGGCACTTATACAGCGTTTTTCGATGTTCTTAGGCATTGTTTTGAAAAAAAATTGTTTTTAGGTAAGGCAGGGCAAGGCTTGTTTAAAAATTTCAAGTCTTCAGGGTGAAACTGAGCAAAATAGCTTTTGTGATCTCGGGATTTTAGTAAGATGGATAACATGAACACGTTGAGAGTAACATAAAACTTAGGGTCAAAGGCTTTTTGAGGCAGTTTTTGTAAGAAAAACTACATTTTTGTGTCACAAAACGTCATTTTTAGCTCAAAAAAGATCATTTTAGGTGTTAGAACATAATTTTGTGATTAAAAACGGATTTTTTCTGATTAACTTGTGTCATTTTTAGGTAGGATAAAGCTACTATTAGGTTCAGATTGAAAACCGTGTTCTACCTTTCCAAAGGCTCTGTAATACTTATTGTTTTGTCAGGTTGTTCAACTACTTTTGTGCCTTTTCTTCAAGAAATTTTTTGGGGTTACGAAGCACAGAATTATTTGAACAATTGAATGGATAAAGCTGCGACACCTAGAATACCGAGATTAGAGGTAACTATAGGGCTAGTGTTACTCAGTTTTATGAAAGTTTTGTCAGTTTATTAAAATGTTATATTTTGGTTTTTATTCATATAACTTTAGGTATATTGAGGTTAAATTAGGGTTAGATGATAAAGAACGGCATGTTTCATGAGGCGAATGAAGAAGTTTTGAGAGATGAATGGAATGAAAATAAGTTTAGACCTAAGGCATATATACATGGGTAATATTATATAGGTCTTACTACTAAGGTAATAGGGTATTTCTCGTATTCTGTCATAAAATTTTGGGTAAAATGCGCTTGGTCTTCAAATCCTGTTGTACCTTCTTTTAGGTTGTGCAAATAATCATGCGCTTTCTTATCCCGAAGATTTGCTTTGAGAGGGAGCGCAGAATTATTTGAACAATCTAATATTTAATGTTATTGATGTTTTTTCTATTGATTCTTGGTCTATATGATAATATTAATGTACGCTTTCTTTCTATATGTCATGCGTTTGTAGGTTAGAAGGGGTTGCAAGAGAAGGGGAGAGAGTTTGCACAGAATGTAACACTTGGTCGGGTAATGTTGAGGTTCTTTTGATTAAAAAATTTTTTTTTGAATTTAAAAATTAAAATTTTGAAAAGTTTTTGAATTTTAAAACTAATAAAATCCATTTCCAGGCTTAGAAGAAGATGCCCCACCCCTACCGCCGAAGAAAGAACGCGCCAAAACAAAGCCCCAGCCCGTCTACACGGCCTCCGACGCCTTCCTAGCCGAACTAGACGCTGTGGAATCACGGCCAACACCAAAAAAGAAGCCCAAAGTCACGGTGGTCACTCCGATTCGACCAGCACCAGTACCAGAAACACCAAAACCGCAGGAAGAGAAGGACAAAGAGGAATTGACCGAGGAAATGATCGAGAAATTGGTCGAAAGCAAGAGACAAAAACTCGGAATATTGAGGACGGACCCACTGAGCAAAGAGGAAAAGTCGTGGAGGAAGATCAGGTTCAGGAACGAGCTGGTGGAGACACGCTTCTTCGATTGTGACACTAATGAGAGGGGTAAGTGATGGGGTGTTTGAGGGATAAGGTGAGGGGTGGGTTTTGGTTTAACTTTATTAAGGGGTACTTCTCTATTTGAGCCGTTTAGTGGGTGGTTTTTGGTTTAACTTGATGAAGGGGTGGTTTTTGAAAATGTAGTGTGGCGCACGGTAAGGCCAAATGTACGATTTAATCTAGGATACGGAAAAACATAAAGAATAGTAGTGCCTAGGGTATGGTAGGGTATATCATAGTGTAGGACTAAGGGAACGACCGGGCCTAGATTACCATAGAGCTCAGGGTAAGATAAGATCAAGTGTACGGTAAGCCTAGGGCATGATAGAGCTAAGTGTACGATTTGGCTTAGGATACGGTAAAAGCTAAAGACTAGTAGTGCTTAGAGTACTGTAATCCTTAGAGCCTGGTAGGGTCTGAGGTGAGCTAGAGCTTAGTACTACAATAGGCCCTAAGGTACTAGGGCCTAGGGTACGGTAGGGCCTAGGGTCTAGGGTACGGTGGGTACTAGGGTCCGTCAGGGCTTGTAGTATGGTAGGGCTTATGGTAGAGCTTTTATTTTGTAACTTTCTTATGATTTAATTTTAAAATTATTTTCAGTGAATGTCTCCAAGCTAACCCCGAACGAAATGAAGCATTTGGAAGCGATGCGAGAACACGACGATCTAGCCAAGCTGAAACACGAAACATCCATGCCACCCCTACCCGGCCTTCCCCACCTGAATCCGATGGAAGACCCAGAGAACCCTATCTTCTCATCGGTTTCATGGCGAAGTCCTCAAAACTCGTGGAGGCAACCAAATCAAGGCTACAGAGTGGTCAAGATTGCCAATAATAATATGTTACCCAGAGGCAAAGAAAGCATGATAATGAGGGCAGAGAAGATCAGACAACAAAAGAGCATGAAGGCTTTCTATGACCCCAGAATGTAGGTTTTCGGGTGGATTTGTTGGTTTTGTTACCTAAAATATTATTTTTTTTTTATTACCTAAAATTTTGTTTTGTTGTATTTTTGTTACCTAAAATTCTAGTTTTTGAGTTTTTGTTACCTAAAATACTATTTTTCGAACTTTTATTATCTAAATATTATTTTTTGAAATTTTGTTACTTAAAATACGGTATTTTTGATTTTTGTTACTTAAAATTCGATTTTTTGGGTTTTTATTACCTAAAATACTACTTTTTGAGTTTTTGTGACCTAAAATATCATTTTTCGAGTCTTTATTACCTAAATTCGTATTTTTTTAACTTTTTTTGTATATATTTTTTAGCTTTTGTTACCTAAACTATCATTTTTTCTAACTTCTGTTACCTAAAATACTATTTATTTTAAATTTTGTTATCTAAAGTACAATTTTCAGTCCAAGTCCAATAGTGAACGAAAACTCGGATGAAGAATTGATAGAATTGGCTAGAGAAGCGGAAGCCAAATTCCAAAATGATCCGAAGTCGCTTCACATCATCGTGTCTTACGATGGAGATCGTCGTAGATCAGACGAACCCAGCACCTCGACCGCAGCATCAACGACATCGGCTTCAGCTCTCAGTCTGCCACTTCCATTCGCTACTACCGCCAATCTGCCAAGTGTACCAGCTTCTGATTTTGAAAACAAACCTGAATTACTGGCTGGACTACCTGGAATATTAAATACTAAAGTATTAGCGGTACCAGGAGAACTAAATGTACCAGGTGGATCAGCGACAGCAGGAGGACCAGCGGTACCAGTACTACCAGAAACAACAAGTTTGTCTGGAATAGGAATAGATATAGCCCAGCTGACCACAGGTATGCCAGATACGCCACGCTCTCCAGAACCATCACCACGAAGCACCCTACCGTACTCCGGCTCTACCGTATCGAGTACAGTACTATCATCATCGAGTGCTTTACCAATTGAATCATCAAGCCCATCATCACGTGGATTACTACCATTAGTACCAACTTGTGGACCAAATGCAGGACTATCTGGATCGTCAGGTACATCAGTGGTACCATCAACAGTACCAACTGCACCAGTAACACTATCAGCCGATGTTCTATCGATTTTAGAGTCAGTGAAACGAACAGAAGTACCAAAAGACGCGATACTAGATGATAGTTTAGAGGACATTATCGGGACTGTAAAGGAGGGTAACATAAAGAATGGCAGAGAGAAGGTCAAGTCAGAAGAGCCAGAAGACGAAGACTTGAGAGTTCAAGAGGATGAAGACCTAAGAGGCGATTACGACATGCGTGAAGAAGATGATCAGGACCTCAGGGATCAAAAACCTGACATCAGTACCAGTGGTACCACTTTTGCTACTAGTGGTACCATTTTAAATAAAAATAATTTTGGAATTTTGGGATTACCTACAACTTCTACAGCATCTACCGGTCCTAATTTTGGTACTACTGGTGCAGCCAGTACGATTGCAGCTAATTTATTAAGTATCAGTACTACTAAGGCTAACACGAGTACCACACATACAAGTTCTTCAACACAAAACACCTTTTCAACTCCGTCCGGTCTAAGTTCGGCCGATTTGAATGGCCTACTGAGCAGCCTCGGGGCCGTGGTGTCTGGTACTACTAGTACACCAAGTTCGCCAACTGTAAAATCAAGCCCTCTGGCTAGTCCAGGCCACCTGGCAGGCAATGTGGACGGGAGAAGAGGCAGTTTCGGACAGAATGTGGATGGATTCGGCCAGAAGTCAGCCTTTTCCTTGGCCAATCCAGCCTTCCCCAACACTTCCATGCCTCCACCAGCTTTCAGGCCAGCAGCCGGAGCTAATTCAAGCTTGCCTGGATTGCCCGGGGCTTCTTCTATAGCTGGACTACCTGGATCTTCTCCAAGCCTAAGTGGGCTACCAGGCTCATCTCCAAGCCTAGCCAACGTGTCTTCACCAAAATTGGCCAACTTGACCGGACCACCAACCAGCTTTACCATGTCTTCTTCATCGCTTGCCAACCCAAATCAGCAGCAGAAATCGACCGAAGAAAAGAAACAGCCACTGGTAACGACTGATACCCTGAAGGTCTTGGCCGATTTAGCTGGAAAAACGGTTGGAAAACTGGATTTGGCCGCGATTTTAAGCAAAGTCGACAATGCAACCAAGAAGCCGGAACCAGTGATTGAACAGATCAACGATCCGACTGGAGTTATGGTAGGTTTGGTTTTTGGAATATTTAAATTTAGATTGTTTAAATAATTATGTGCCTTTTTTAGGTTTTTCAAGTAATTCTGAGCTGTCTTTAGATTGTTCAAATAATTTTGAGCTCTCTTTAGGTTGCTCATATAATTCGGAGCTATATTTTTTAGGTTGTTCAAATAATTATGAGCCATCTTTTTTACGTTGTTCAAATAGTTCTGAGCCATATTTATGTTGCTCAAATAAATATGAGCTATCTTTAGGTTGTTCAAATAATTCTGAGCCCTTTACTACGAAAATTTGCTTTTTTGAAAGGGGCGCAGAATTATTTGAACAAACTTAATAGTACCTTTATCCTACCCAAAATTGTATTATATTACATAAAAATGGTACAAGTTAGCCAGAAAAAATCGTTTTTTAAGCAAAAAATTAGGTTTTAATACTAATGACCTTTTTAACTTATATTAATCTATCAATTTTCAGTACCAACCACCCCCGGTAATCCAGCAAATCGACTCATACACCACCCCCTACCCTCCAGCCGGCTCATTCCCTGGCCAACCCAATTTTGGAGCCCGACCCCCCTTCCCGAACCAAGCCTTCAACCGCCCACAAGGACCCGGCTCCTTCTTTGGTACCCTATCGAACAGCACCAGACCAGCATTCGGCAACCGACCCATACGAGCACCAGTACCGTGCAAGTTCTTTATGCAAGGCTTCTGCAACTTTGGCGAAACTTGCCGCAACTTACACGCTCAACAACCTACAGAAGGTCTTAGGAGGCTACAACAACAAGCTTCAGGTGGTGGTACAGGCGGTATCGGCGCACAAGCTGGTACAACGCCACATGGTGGTGCTATTGGGAATCAAAGTGGCACTCAAGGTCCAATGGGACAAGTTGGAGCTGCTGGTACCGGATTTGCGGGAACTGACTACGGTGGTGGTAAAGAGTACGGTAACGAGCAGAATAATGGGTACGGTAACTCGAATGATCATAACAAGGGATACAGTAACTCGAATGATCACAACAAGTCATACGGTAACTCATTCGACAAGAACAACCCCCACAATCCAGGATTCTCACAAAGTGCGCCACCGTTCGGCGACAAGGATTCAGACGACCGTCGCGACTTCCGCAACTCCGGCTTCAGAGGCCGCGGTCGAGGCAGAGGAGGCAAATGGGATGACCGACCGCGACGACGATATTCACCACAACGACGATACGACAGAGATGACAGAGACCGAAGAGACGACAGAGATCGAGATGAGAAAGATGATAGGAGGGATAGAGACGACAGAGATGAGAGAAGGCCAAGGCGGAGGAGGAGAAGGTTGGTTTTTGAATTTTCTTACATTTTTTGGCATAAAACGGCAAGAATTTTCTTTACAAAGCTTTATCTGCTAATTTTTGCGAACGGCAGGCTGCGGATGACATTTTATGCGATAAAAACGAAAAATTGCTATTATGGCAATAACTTTCTTTAAGGATCATAAAATGGCAAGAACTTTCTTTACAAAAACAAATGGCGAAAACTTTCTTTACAAAACGCAAAATGGCAATAACTTTCTTAACAAAGTGTAAAATGCCAAAAACTTTCTTTACAAAGTGTAAAATGACAAAAACTTTCTTTACAAAACAAAAAATGGCAAAAACTTTTTTTTTAAATTGTAAAATGGCAATAACTTTCTTTACAAAATCAAAAATGACGAAAACTTTCTTTACAAAACGAAAAATGGCAATAAATTTTTAAAAATATTTTTTAAATAAAACTTAATCTCAAAATTTCAGCAACTCTAAATCCACCTCCCCACCACCACGCCGACGTCGTTACCGCTCCAGAAGCCGCTCACGGTCCAGCTCTCCGCCACGACGCCGACGCCACGAACGCCGTTCGCCGAGCCCTCAAACGGCGCGCGAACGAACCGCCTCTCCGCCGAAGAAGCCGGACGAATGAACTGACTTTGATACATTATCAACCATCTTTGTACTCTACGATCGTTTTTGTACCCTCGCCACAATGACTGTTTTGTTCATCTCCATACCTAATGTGATGACATTTTGTACAGTATACGATGCTCATCTATCTTGTTGTAGTATATTTCTAATTTTATGCGAATGTAAAGTCTTTTTTCAAAGTTTTGTCAGTTTTTCATTCAACGGGTCCATGTGTCACAGGTCAACACTGCTGTATCTTTGTTTTGGTGTGTTGTTTTAGGTTGTTTTGAACCGTTTTAGAGTTGTTTTAGGCTGTTTTTGATGATCTTAAGGTTGTTTTAAATTGTTTTTGAGTGATTTAAGGGCTGTTTTAGGTTATTTTTGAATGATTTAGGCTTGTCAAACGATCAAATTAAACTAAAATTTGCTTTTTTGGCTAGTTTTCTTTTTATTTTTAGTCTGATTTTTAGGCTTAACTTTAATGTTTAGACCTGCTTTATAAGCTTTGTTGAGATATCATATGAAGTTGTTCAAATAAGTCTGAGCCATCTAATTTTGAACATTTGTTTGGAGAGAGAGAAGAAATTGTTGAGAGGGCACAGAATTACTTGAACAACCAAATACCTAGAACAACTTTCTAGATCAAGATTTATGTCTAAAAACTCGATTTTTTATTGCACGGTGCAAATTCCGAAATCTTTCTTTTCTGCACAGTGCAAAATTTTTACTTTTTTAAATTTCAAAAATCTGATCATTCAAAAATCGTTGCCATTGCTTTTTATAGAATTATTTTGAACTGCCTCAAGTACAAGTCTGCTTAAATTTCAAATTTTCAATTGTTATTACCTATTTTTTTCATTTTTGAATTTTAATGCACTGTGCAGGTTTTTATTTCTGCACTGTGCAGTCAATGTTCAATTTTTGAATTTCGCTTTTGATTTTAGATTAAAATAGGTTAAAATTGCATTTCATAGAAGCAATAGTGTGTTTTTTAGTATGAAAACGAATCGGTGCTCAGTTGTGTCTGTTTTATTGTTTAACGAAGATGTCTTTATCAGATTTACCTTATCATCTATTTATTTTTTGTTCAATAAATTTTTTAAAAGATATTGGTTTTGACACGTATAAGCAAGTTGAAAAGCATAACGTTTTGCAGTTTTTACATGAATTTTGATCGGGTATTGATCAGACTTGATGTTGAATATGGTTAGGGATATTGTAGTAGGTCTGGCATGGTTAAAGATGGTTTAGTAGATCCAGCATCTGTTAAAGATATTGTCGTAGATTCAGTAGCTTGAAATTGCATTGGATATTTATTAAAATTTTTATTATACTTGATTAAAAATGTTGTGTTAGCTCCAGCAGGTTTAAACATGTTGTAGTAGGTCCAGCAGCTGTTTAATAACAACTTTTTGTAAAAATGAGTTGTAAAACTTAAGAGAAAGGCTACAATATAGTGTAATTCAATGAAATTTGTCATAACCGAGTGCTGTTTACTATATTATGATAACTTTCAGGTTATGTTTCCTAACCTTTCGACCGTTGGTCTCTTGGAATAGTCTCGAATAACTGATTGGACTAAAAGTATTATTTGATCGAATCGACCATGTTTCGCAGTGTAAAGAGAAAATAGTCTTGAGGTAGGTTGATTTTTGATGTTATGTTAGGTCTTATCATATTAGGTTGTATAAAAAAGTTTGAGCTACTGAACTTTATATATATAGATATATATTTACATGCCTTTACATATTATTTATTGTATATTAAGGGTAGTTGATTGTTTTTAAAATTTATCATAGGTTTGTTCATAATATAAGACTCCACTTGTTTTATTTTGTTTATTTTCATTTTCCAATTTAACATTTATTATACAATAACATCCAAAACATATTATGGGTAGTTCATACATAGAGAAGCGTAGAGATATTATATACAATAATATAAGTTTAAAATGGCTGAGGTATACACGTATTGAGATATTTCAATGAGGTATAATATAGTTTAAGGTACTGGTTTCGAGATTTTTGCTGGATACAATTTGAGATCTATGTTTGTAATGTGCAATAGTGTCAATTAGGAGAACAATTACTAGAATATTAAGGTTATCTTAATCAAGTAAGCCTTCCATTGCCATCGCAATAAGGTCGGCTCCACCAGAACCGACCGCCCTCATTTCCTCTTCATCATAGTAATATACATGTGCTAGGTCTTGTTGAGGTCCGGGTTCAGGCTCTTCAATAGCTGGATCATCTTCTGGAGCTTGGGCCAGTGGCGCAGCAGTCTCTTCGCCTTGGCCTGGAATTTGGACCGCCGGTTCCAGGTAGTTCTCCGGGTTGAACCAGTCATAATCATAATCATCTGGTCCTGGGCTAGCACTATTTTGTGACGTTCTTTTGTTGTTCACGTCGGCCGATGCATCATTATATGGCGGGATGTATGCGGGCTGTTCTATTGGATTCTCTGCCACTGGATTGGGCATATCCTGGTAATTATTAGCCGGCAGGTGGCATGTTTGTTGGCCAAACGTCTTGTATTCGTTCCATTTTGGTTCGAAGAAACCATTATTAGCTGCTAATTGGTCACACATGTTGTTGTAAGTTGTTGCCTGGCTATACTGTTGTTGTGTGGCCGTCTTGTAGTGATAAGGCTCATAATTGGCAACCGGCTGGTTCCAGTAGCCTTGGCTTGGACCAGCCGATTGGTAATAAGCCGGGTTTTGTTCGTAGGAAGCAGCCCATATTTCTTGTACTGGTTGAACGTGACGTTCGAGCTGTGCTGTCCCGTCTTCGCATATGTAGTTTCCTTGGCCTACGTAGCTAACTTGGCCAACTTCAGCGACTTCGTAATTTGTGTTTGGCCTCAGGGCATGTCCATCATTGGCTCGCTTTGCCGCAACTTCGCCTTCATCGGCCATACGGCGCTTGGTGCCGCGGCTGGTGGATGAGCCGGCTTTTGATTCCTCGCCAGCCGGCTTCTTAATGCAGTCGGTTACGTACCGACTAATTAAGACCTCTACTTCCGGAGCATACTGTATAGTGCCAACGTCTGTATCTTGGTAGAATGGTGCGTTGAGGTTTGGCGATTGCATGGTTCTATTCTTACTTTTAAAGGCAACCGTTTCTTTTACCAAGGGATAAATAGGAGGCAACTGAGCAGGTTCTAGTTCTTCAATCTTTTTATCTAAAAATTATAAACTTAGAATGTTCTTTTGTATTCGTTCTTAACTATGTAATTATTGAATTTCTACGTTACTAAATTACTTTAAAGTTCGATAAAATAGTTATTTAAATATACAGAGTAGTAACTTACGGATCGCTCTTTTCTTTTTATTATTCTCGTCTTTAGGGACGTATTCAAATAAGTCCTTTGCGCTCGGATTGCACCCTCCTGTGTGGCACAGCATCCCGGCACTGATCTCTAGTCTGTTTATCTGCGGATTGTACTGGACCGTGAATGTGAATTCACATTTCCGCGTGTCTTCGGAGTTTTTCTTCGTTACTCTTTTATTGTAAAGGGCCTCCCCGGTCTGGCTGTCAAATCTTTTGATGACTTCATGATTTGGACATTTAAAGACTAATCTGTCGAACACGAACTGTTGACAGATTTCGTCAGAAAAGGCATTTTTGTTCGCCTTCAAGAAGTTTGAGCTACTTCTCAAGAGGTGTACCCTGGCTGCCATTTCATACCGGATGAGGGCATGAACCAGCTCGTCATAACTAAAAGAAGCGAATTATTATTTTGTTAGTCTGCTTGGTTGCTTTACTTTAATAATTGATTATATTGTACTGACAAGGTATATTATGCTTGTTAACATGATCATGACTGTTTTTATAGTTTTATTGCATAACCTTTTATTGATTTGGTATCTGTTTAATACATTGTATAAAACTTACGATGTGAAGGTAGTTCCTTTTTGAATTTTGTAGCCTTCGTTGTTGTGGAAGACGCACCCCGACTGTTGTTGCACCATGGGTTTCTTTTGGTAGGTGTTGGGCTTCTGGTGTGCGGAGTTCATTTTTGTTTTTTAAAAAAACTTTTGAGCGCGATAAGAGTGAGATCTATAAAAATGTATTTAAGTATATTGTACGCTAATTTGTATCGATCATGGTCGAAAAAACACGGTTATGAGGGGTAACGATAAGGTAACAGCGAGTACGGAGCGCGAGAGATCAAGAATTTGGGTTAAGGAATGTTCTTTTAATAAACTTTTCGATAAAGTTGTTGCTTAGTGTGAGAAAAACGTTAGAGTTTGTAAAAATCGTTTACTGTATAGTAAAATCGCATTAAACACGGGAATATCCAAAACCAACATTGATTGGTTGTTTACATATGCTTAAAAGTTATAGAAGAAGGTTATACAACTTCAGCGTAATGATGTTTTTGTAGGCTACACATTATTTATATTATTGTAAGCAATTATTAAATGAGTAGATGAGAGCAAATCAATGTGTTGGTAATAGTATAGGTATAAAATTCATGTGGTAATACCTTTATATTGTGACACGTAAGGTGAAAAGCATTTTTATATACGGAAACCCGATAATATCCAGCCAATCACGGTCGAGGTCACGGTATTCGTAAGGTTAAAGAAGCGAACGGTATGATTAAAAGGTTTCAATAAATACTTTCGAATACCGTATACCCACGGTCATTTTAAGAACAAAAATCCTAATGTAAACCCTTAAAAACTGCTTAACAATCAAAATCTTAATTATTTGATGGAAACTCAGGACATCCTAATAAAATAAGGATGTCTGACCGTGTACCGGCTAAGCAGATAGCTTTAATGAAATTAAGTTTTGGTGAATCCAGATCAGAAATGCCGGAGGGTCTAATCAGGTATTACGCAAAAATACGAAGGGTTTTTAATGCACAAAAAAAATTAAATTGTACGTTTTCACTAACCTTGATTACCTAAGGGCATTATTCGCGCTTTTTGATAGATATGATTTTTGAATTTAAACCGAACTAATTTTTGGCCACTATTATCATGAAACTTAATTCTGTCATATATACATATGCCTCATAATGTTTAGACGACTAAACGTGTAAGGTTACGGTAATTTAAAAAGTAAACGAATGATAAAGTGGACAAAACAATATTTATGATCTGCTTGTAAAGATACCACAGTAAAGGAATGTGTAAGGAGTAATAATTGCAGCTAACGTGACGCTGGGTTAACAAAAATTGGCTATACTCAACCATAGTGTTTTGACCGCTACGACATTAAAAGACAAACCATAACTGGGAACATACAGGAGATAGTATTGACTATATAGTATATATAGTCAAAATAATATATGATCCATACTATTTTGAGTATACCAAACTCATATTGTAATTACAACACCGCAATTCTCAATAAAAACTACTTTGAACTTTTAAAATACCCCAATGTATATTACAATAACTATACAGAAAGAACAAAGTAAAAAAGAACATGCTAATAAAGAATCATGTCCAACCGTTCACCAGCTAGCCATATAGCATGAGTGATGTTGGTTTTGGATGGATTTGGTTTGGAAAGACAGGAGGATCTTATCAAGCTCAATAGTGCTAAGATTGACCCTTGTTAGGGCGAAATATCAAGAAAAATTTAAATTTACATTATTATCTAGCGATTGATTACCTCGAGGCGGCTTTCGCACATATTTTTACAATTGGATTGGGTTTTGAAGGTCATACAGATTTTTGAAACGGAAACTAGTAATTTGTACTAGTATATGTACAGAAACGACACAGAACAGCACAGTACTGTTTCAATAATGAATATGACAATTTAAAGGCAAAATTGTAAAAAGAGTACCTAAAATTTTTAAATACATACAACAAAAATTGTAAGTAGTACTGACAATACTCAAAATTGTGTTAAATACGTGCCTCATGAACCATAATATAACCAATTTTATTCCAAATTGCCCTTTTAATATTATATAGTATATATACTAAAAATTATACCACCTATACTACTTTGAGAATACCATAATCAATACCCAAAGTCCCAATATAAACTACCATAAGCTTTCAAAATAATCAAAAATATATTACAATAACAATACAGAATGAACAAAGTAAAAAAAGAAAATGCTAATAAAAAATCATGTCCAACCGTTCACCAGCTAGCCATATAGCATGAGTGATGTTGGTTTTGGATGGATTTGGTTTGGAAAGACAGGAGGATCTTATCAAGCTCAATAGTGCTAAGATTGACCCTTAGGGCGAAATATCCAGCAAAATTTAAATTTATATTATTATCTAGCGATTGATTACCTCGAGGCAGCTTTCGCACATATTTTTACAATTGGATTGGGTTTTCAATCTTATACTGATCTTTAAACATGTACTTTGTATTGTTATATGGACAGATAAGACAAAAATCAGTATAATATTGTTACAGTAATGGAAATGACCTTTTTAACCTTTTTAAAATAATTCAAATTTCGACAAGCAGTACCAATAATGTACTAAAGCTAGTACTAACACGGAAAAAAAAATATTTTTGTACAATTTTTTTGAAATTTGCAAAAAAAAATTTTTTGGGTTACCAAACAGTACCATAGCGAGAAAAGGTATATTTTTTATAAAAAACTCGTATAGTACCTATATTTAGTATTTTTATGCGTTATACGGTATTTTTCTTTAACTTGCCCAAAACGACATGTAACTCCATACAATAAGCATATATAGGCCCTGTTTTAGTTGAATACATACAAAGTTAATCCCAAAAGTACCCTAAACTTTAAATCTGTCTTGAGCACTCCCTAATATAGCTCAGCTTTAGAAGTTAACCTAGACATCCTGTAATGTAAAAAATGTTCGACTGTTCTTCACCGATGCAGATAACATGAGTGATTTGAGCTTTAGATGAGTACGAATTGAAAGGATTCGGCCATTGCGTAATTATACATATATTGACCTTTAGGGTTTTATCAAATGAAAAATTTTAATTTTTGGGGTTTTACTTGTGTTTTGACTATCTAGGTGAATTCGTTAATTTTGATCCACAAAATTCTATGTTTCATAGCTATTCCTTCTTCATTTGACTAATAATTATCTTTTTTAGGCAAGGAAAGTACCTGACCTGCCGCACCCGGCTCCTTCTTTAGTACGATCTCCAACAGCACCAGATTAGCATTCGACAATCGACCCATCCGAGCGCCAGTACCATGCATGTTTTTCGTGCAAGGCTTCTGCAACTTTGGCGAAACTTGCCGCAATCTACACGCTCAACAACCAACAGAAGGTATAAGGAGGCCACAACAACAAGCTTCAGCTGGTGGTACAGGCGGTATCGATGCACAAGCTGGTACAACGCCACATGGTACTATTGGGAATCAGAGTGGTGCTCAAGCTTCAATGGGACAAGCTGGAGTTGCTTCTTAAAAAACTCATTCGACAAGAACAACTACCACATCGTGACACTGACATTCAACTTGAGGTATTTCTTGATTTTTTTAAATTTTGTAAGAGAATTGATATATTCACCTGAGTGTCAAGGATAATATGTTAATGTCTTGAATAAGAGTTAATATAGCGATTGTTATGTATCTGTTGATTATATTCAATTTTTTGTGTATTTTTAGATTGTTTAGCGATAATTGGGTTTGATCTTGGCCTATTTTCAGCTGAATTTTTTAGGTTTTGTCCGAGACGTGTTGCTTTGATGTGGGTCCCACCACGAAAACAAGTCTTGGCATTTCGCTCCAACTATGTGCGATTTTTCGACAAAAAATCATTCTCGGATGTTGCCCTTCGAAACGTGACCTGCGCGACTGATCGAGTGGACTATGTAAGTCAAATTTGATATTTCTAGTAAATGTAAGTGTATATTTGGGACATTTATGCTTAATATTGTTTTTCAGGATTTATTGATGATGAACAGCAAGAGAGAACGTTTCTGGAGGTGTAGAAACATTTGGACGATGGGAAGTACCGGATAGTAACAAAAAACAGAGGATTTTTAATTCAGAAACAGTAAGTTTTTCTTTTTTGTTGTGTTTTTAGGCTTTGTGAGGGATCAGGGAAAATATTACGTTACACTTAATTGTCTCATATGTGGCGTAATTTTGCCAGGAATCGTGAGGAGTTTGATGTTGTTAGCAGGGAGGGGCAAACACCTCGCAAGGGTGGATAATGGATATTTTTGACATTATCATCATTGATCTCATCCACAATTTATCGTTATCACGTAACAAATATATGCTGAGGTACGTTCAGTCAATGTGTAATTCAGTAAATCAGTTTACTGACAACGTTATGTTTATTGTAATAACAATATCAAATGGTGCTTGATTTCAAAATAAAATGACATTCAAGTTTCCAGATGACAAAATTACCTTCCCTTCAAAAATATTTTTCGTATCTCTATCCACCCCTTGCGAGGTGTTTGCCCCTCCCTCCTCTCCAAAGTCCGTCACCGTCGGGTTGCCAACTGAATCCAGATTACTCCGCGAACGAAAAGAGCAACATCCAAGTGTGTATCGCTATCAAGGCATCAGAAATTGATTGTTTCCGTCCCTTGCGCATAATACCACAAGTGGAGGAGCAGACTCGGCACAAGTCAATATTAATCAAAAAAGCCTTCACTTTGAGAAGACTTGAGATTTGTAAGCCTACACTTTGAAAAAGTAAAATGTTGAAGAAAAATTTGAAAATTGATCCAAAAAGCTTAAAAATCATTTTTAATTTTCGAAAAAACGAAAACTTGTGCCTTTGCCACCCCAAGAACACGAGTGCTTGAACCTCCCGCTTAGCCTCGCTAAAAGTACAAGAAACAGAAGGGAGAGCAGGCTCGGCTTCACCTCTTCGAGGAAAGAAGGACAAATGGATAATAATACAAAAAATAAATTTTTGATTTCAAATTTAGCCACGTCAAAACTTAAAGTTTCAGAAGTTGTGACAAAACATACCGCAAAAAAAAGACACACAATATACAATTACAACAAAGGTATTTTAATTAGTGATCTAATATCTTCATGCCCTTACAGATTACAGGCTGGTTTCATCTGATATCATCTTTGTCCTGGTCTTCTTGACACTTCTTGATGTTATCTGGGTACTATCCAAGTCCGCTGTGTGATCTTGAACTCGATTGGTCGTTGGGCCTTGACGGACGCTGTAGTAGATTAGTAGACGATTCTGAAAAGTTTCAACATTACATTCAATCAAAAAAAACATTTGAAAGTCAGTCTGAAGTAGGCTTCAAAAGTGATCCCAAACCAAAAAAACTTAACATTATATCAAAAAGTAGCAACAATATCTTCAAATGAAACGTCAACGTAAATACATCCGTAATCTTACTATGAAACCTAAAATCCTTCTTATTGTCTACAAAATCAAAAAGACAAAATCTCATTGATGCCTAGTTCAATATACAAAATTGGCCCTTTCTCAAAAACTAGTTAAAATGAATGCTTCAATTTCTATTTTCATGTAGACACGTGAATAACTATAAAATCAAAACTAAAATATCCATACTTTATCAAAAAGCTCAATAGTAAAAGCAAAAAGACTACAAATAGCCGCTTGACGCCTATTGTAATATACAAAACGAATCATATCTCAAAAACTAATGAACCAATTAATAAAAAAATCTAGTTCTATACCTAGCCTAAACCTAGAGGCTGCTAACAACATCAAACTCCTCACGATTCCTGGTAAAATTACGCCACATATGAGACAATTAAGTGTAACGTAATATTTTCCCTGATCCCTCACAAAGCCTAAAAACACAACAAAAAAGAAAAACTTACTGTTTCTGAATTAAAAATCCTCTGTTTTTTGTTACTATCCGGTACTTCCCATCGTCCAAATGTTTCTACACCTCCAGAAACGTTCTCTCTTGCTGTTCATCATCAATAAATCCTGAAAAACAATATTAAGCATAAATGTCCCGAATATACACTTACATTTACTAGAAATATCAAATTTGACTTACATAGTCCACTCGATCAGTCGCGCAGGTCACGTTTCGAAGGGCAACATCCGAGAATGATTTTTTGTCGAAAAATCGCACATAGTTGCAGCGAAATGCCAAGACTTGTTTTCGTGGTGGGACCCACATCAAAGCAACACGTCTCGGACAAAACCTAAAAAATTCAGCTGAAAATAGGCCAAGATCAAACCCAATTATCGCTAAACAATCTAAAAATACACAAAAAATTGAATATAATCAGCAGATACATAACAATCGCTATATTAACTCTTATTCAAGACATTAACATATTATCCTTGACACTCAGGTGAATATATCAATTCTCTTACAAAATAAAAAAAATCAAGAAATACCTCAAGTTGAATGTCATACCTAAAACACCATATTATAAAATTTTGACAAGTTTTTTTCATGTTCATTCAAATAAACTTGCATATTCTAGTAAAGATACCTAAAAACGCCCAAATACATCCAAACACCATCAATAATCTAAATAAACCGTTAAATACGACTAAAAAAACTTGTCTCATAACTCAAAATTACATTTTATTGCCATCATTAAACTTACAATGATATCGAAATAATAAAGGCTGATATTACGCTAGATCAAAGATATTATAGTAGACATAACGTATATTTTACCATATTAGTGGACAAAATTTATTGCACTGCACGTTTAGACACAATTATTTCATAAATAAGTTTAAAAAGGTAAAATACAGGCAAGAACAGTGGAGTTTAAAATATCTTGATTCGGCAAAATAATCGACAATTGTTGCTTTTGAAAGGCTGCGCCCGAGATAAAAAGTCAAATTACAGTCAGCGGGTTAGAAATCTCTCGCCAACTCCCGAGATCTTTCATGAAGCAAAACTCAAATAGTAAGTGCAAAGTCAAAAAAGCCATTTGAGTATAAAATGATGTAGAACAATATATATATATATATATATTACCATTAACTCGCGAACTTCGCTGATCCCTGCATCGGCCGTCTTCGAAGCCTGATAAGCTGCTTCTTGGCCTCCTCGAACTGTGCCAGTACCTTCCTTATCCGCCAGTACAATCCCGAGTTCAGCCCAATTTGTTCGACCATCTTTTCGTAATGCATTGTCCTCACCACGTCCTGTGGTATGTAATGACGACATTGATGTAGGCAAGACACGGTCAGTTGGACTGTACCACTTGTCTCCGCGCTTATGCCAATTTTGGACGATATTCGTGGTAGTTGGCCACTTTCTAATATACCAGCGAATTCAGGCTGGGCCAAGTCTACGGCTTGGCCGATGAACCCCTCTCTTAGTCTGGCTAAGTGGCTAAACGGGTTTTTGGGCCGCCATGTTGAGATAGTCAAGACTTGTTGAGAAACGGGACAAATAGGTAAGGAAGTAGTACCATAGCCGTCAATGTAGAATCGACCCCATGAGTCTTCGGCTAAACAACGAAGTCGGATACGTGGCCAGAAGAATTGGTCGGTTTGAGGTTTGTAAGCTCGGTAGAGAAGACTGAACTGGATTGGGTAGGAGAAGTAGACCAGGTCTTGCTGAAAATAGCAAAACATAATACCCTACCGTATCCTAGGATCTCCCACATCCCAGGCTTTACCGAACATAGGCTCAAACCTACCCTATACCCTGCCGTACCCTAGGCCCTACCGTACCCTAGGCCCTACCGTACCCTAGGCCCTACCGTACCCTAGGCCCTACCGTACCCTAGGCCCTACCGTACCCTAGGCCCTACCGTACCCTAGGCCCTACCGTACCCTAGGCCCTACCGTACCCTAGGCCCTACCGTACCCTAGGCCCTACCGTACCCTAGGCCCTACCGTACCCTAGGCCCTACCGTACCCTAGGCCCTACCGTACCCTAGGCCCTACCGTACCCTAGGCCCTACCGTACCCCTAGGCCCTACCGTACCCTAGGCCCTACCGTACCCTAGGCCCTACCGTACCCTAGGCCCTACCGTACCCTAGGCCCTACCGTACCCTAGGCCCTACCGTACCCTAGGCCCTACCGTACCCTAGGCCCTACCGTACCCTAGGCCCTACCGTACCCTAGGCCCTACCGTACCCTAGGCCCTACCGTACCCTAGGCCCTACCGTACCCTAGGCCCTACCGTACCCTAGGCCCTACCGTACCCTAGGCCCTACCGTACCCTAGGCCCTACCGTACCCTAGGCCCTACCGTACCCTAGGCCCTACCGTACCCTAGGCCCTACCGTACCCCTAGGCCCTACCGTACCCTAGGCCCTACCGTACCCTAGGCCCTACCGTACCCTAGGCCCTACCGTACCCTAGGCCCTACCGTACCCTAGGCCCTACCGTACCCTAGGCCCTACCGTACCCTAGGCCCTACCGTACCCTAGGCCCTACCGTACCCTAGGCCCTACCGTACCCTAGGCCTTACCGTACCCTAGGCCCTACCGTACCCTAGGCCCTACCGTACCCTAGGCCCTACCGTACCCTAGGCCCTACCGTACCCTAGGCCCTACCGTACCCTAGGCCCTACCGTACCCTAGGCCCTACCGTACCCTAGGCCCTACCGTACCCTAGGCCCTACCGTACCCTAGGCCCTACCGTATCCTATTCCCTAACTTATCCTACGCAATACCGTACCATAGACCTTACCGTACCCTAGACCTTATCGTACCCTAGTACCTACCGTTCCCTAGACCCTACCGTACCCACACCCTATCGTATCCTACGTTCACCCACACCCTAGGTCCTGCCGAACATAGGCTCAAACCTACCCTAGGCCCTACCGTACCTTAGACTTTACCGTACCCTAGGACTTACTGCACCCTAGGGTCTACAGTATCCTAGACCCAACCGTACCATAAACCTTACCTTTTCTTAAGCCCTACTGTTACCTACGCCTTATCGTACTGTATAACCAACCCCGCCCCTACCTTACAATTAGGCCTTACTGTACTCGTACTCTAAGCACTCCCGTGCCTTACTTAAGACACTCCCACCCTAAAACCTACTATAACGTCAATCTTACTATATCGTAAGTCCTATAGTATGCTAAATCGTATGGTAACTTATGATCTACAATGCCCTAATCCCTACGATACTTTTGGCCTACTGTACCCTAGTCCGTACTTTAATATCCTAATCAATACCTAATCTTTAAACATTGGTAACATTAAAAAACCCGTATTTTACCTTGCCCTCAGCCTTTGAAAAGCAGATTTGTGTTCTTCCAGCCAGTTGTTCGTCTTGTGCCACATCCATGTTCTCAGGTACATCGATATTATACTCGACGTACAGTCCATCATGCGGCATGTTCCAGGCTTTGTCGATGACAATATTATATGACAATAAGATGGTACAGTTCGGTGGAATGTCAACCTTATATTCGTCTTCATGACCTTCATCGTCGTATGTTGAGATTGTGGGAATTTTGTCGAATTCTAGTTCTTCTGGTATTTCTATGGTACACGAATAGGTACCTATTTTGGTTTCGACCGTCTGTTCACCTAGGCCTGGCTGGATCTGAAACGTATACTTATTTAGTGTAAGACGGGGCTAGGTTAAGATAAAACGAAATCAAACTGCTGCAAAACAATATATAGGTTAGTGTACAGCCAAAGCTACAGTAGGCCTCAGGTACGGTACGGCGTATACTATAGTAACTCATATACATATTACGATAGACTCTTCGGGTAGGGCAGGGCCTAGGAAAGGTAAAGCCTATGGCAGAGTAAGACTAGGCCTAGAGTACGGCTAAACCTAAGGTACTAGAGTAAGGTAAAGCCTTGAGTACAGTAGGGCCTTGATTACAGTAGGGCGTTGGGTACAGTAGGGTCTTGAATCCGGTAGAACCTAAGTAACTTGAGTACGGTTGGGCCTGTAGAACGGTTGGGCCTTGAGTACGGTAGGGCATTAAGTACAGTAGGGACCTAGGGGTCCCGTAGGGACCTAGAAGTCCGGTAGGGCGTAGGGGTCCCGGTATGGCTCCGGGTAGGGGCCTAGGAGTCTGGTAGGGGCCTAGGAGTCCCCGGTAGGGGTCTAGGGGTCCGGGCAGACGCCTAGGGGGTCCCGGTAAGGGCCTAGGGGTCCGGGTAGGAGCCCAGGTGTCCCGGTAGGAGCCTAGGGTTCCTGTAGGGGCCTATGGGTATAGCAGGGCCTAGGAGTCCGGATAGAGGCCTAGGAGTCTGGGTAGGGGCCTAGTAGTCCGGTATGGCTCCGGGTAGGGGCCTATGGGTATAGCAGGGCCTAGGAGTCCGGATAGGGGCCTAGGGGTCCGGGTAGGGGCCTAGGGGTCCGGGTAGGGCCTAACTAGAATAAGATAGGTATTTCCACACAACAATATGTTACCCTACCTGTATAGTCTTTCTTCCAATCAGCCTAATCTCGCACAATATCTTCTCGTTATCCTTGTCGTATCCTTCATTCCACGCTCCAAAGTACCCCATGATATACATTGTCCTCGTCCCCAACTCAACCTTTCTCTGTTTCTTTTGTTGTTCATTAGTCGGAGCATCTCGTACTGGTCTTCTTAGGGTATCCGTGCTCAGTGGTACCACCTTTCGAGGTCTGAAGGCGATCGAATCTTCAGCATTCGATTGGAACGATGAAGCACGACGAGTGCTTTTGGAACGGCGGAGATCTGAGTCGGTTATGGTGAAGATACGACGGCGTCTAAAATTTAAAAAATTTTGAGCTGTAAAGAAAGTTCTTGCCATTTTTTGTTTCGTAAAAAAAGTTCTTGCCATTTTTTGTTTCGTAAAAAAAGTTATTGCCATTTTTTGTTTCGTAAAAAAAGTTCTTGCCATTTTTTGTTTTGTAAAAAAAGTTCTTGCCATTTCTTGTCTTCTAAAGAAAGTTCTTGCCATTTTTTGTCTCGTAAAGAAAGTTCTTGCCATTTATCGTTTCCCAGAGCAACCTTGGTCAATTAACTTACACAGTAAAAGTGCTGCTACTAGAAGGTTGACTATGTTCCCAAATCTCTTTTCTGGGTGACTTTCCTTCTTCTACAGTATCCTTCTCTACCGTATCCTCTTCGACCTTTTCAAATCCTTTGACTTCTTTTACCGTACCACTGTCTACAGTATCTTTCGTGTCTTCTAGACGTGGGTCAGAAGGCGGTGGGGTATCCTCTTCATCTACTGTGAAAGTTACTGGCTTCTGATCTTCTTCTTGTTCTTCTTTATATTCTTTATCATCTTGTTGTTCTTCTATATCATCATCAAGTTGTTGCTGTTTTTCATTATTATCTTCTTCATCATCTTTGTTATCTTCTGTAGTGTCATTTTGGACATTTTCAGGTTGGTAAGCTGCTTCTTCTGTAGGTTTTTGAGTTGGATCAGTAGCTTGAGGTATGTCTACATCTTGTTGATATGCTGATGACAATTCTTCCTGTAAAAGGTTACACTTGTCATATTTTTAACTATGAAGTTCTACCCTACTCTACATTACTCTACCCAAGTCTACCTTGCAATACCCTATGCCACCCTACCTTACTTTAATCTACTCTACCATACCCCTCCCCACCGTACTCTACTCTGCTCTATTCTACCAAACTTTGCCTTAACATACCCTACGACACCCTGCCCTACCCATACCTGCCCCACAAACCATCAAAAACAAAATCAACTTACCATAGGATTGCCAATCTTCTGCTGCCATTTCACTATGACCACTTCCGCGTTACTGTCGAGCGGTTTATACTCTGTCGATGTGCTCTGCTTCCCATGTTTCCAGACGCCGCGTTGGTGAATATCGGTTACTTTTTTGGTAAATTGTTGAAAACTGGGCAAGTTTCCGAAGGATGTTCCCACGTAGTTTAGCTTTACACTGAAAATACTTGATTAGATAGCTTTTCATTGATAATATTGTTTTAGCAAGGATTTTGAGTAGATTTCTTAAAGAAACAGATAAATTTTGTCAGCTTTTCAGAACAATATCAAGGTTTAAACATCCGTGCATCAAGAGATATCTAGTGGAAGATCGGGAAAGTATCATAACTCTAAAACTAATCAAGACAGACGAAAACTATTTTACAAATATGTAGGTTAATGTCCAAAAAGGGCTTTCGAAATAAACTATCATAATATACATAAATTTTAACAAAATACAGCGTTGTGAACTTACGGCCCCCTAATATTAAGTATAATATTGCGAAAAGCTCATAACTTAAAAACTATTCAAGATAAAAAAAAAGCGTTTTAAAATATTATAATCCAATGCCTAATATACCATTTACGGTATATATCATCAAAAGTTAGATCCATTTCCTAAAGAGACAACTTTTTAAAATTTTGAGCCAACTTATCAAGTATAATATCGATAAAAGCTCATAACTCAAAAACTAGAAAGATAAACGCAATTAAATTTAAAACATAGTAACTCGCTATCTATGAGACCATTTACAATATAAAATATTACAAATTACATTTAATTTTATTAAGATACAGCATCTTGAACTCTCGAGCCATCTGGTATCAAATGCAATATGGAAAAAGAATTGTATCTTTTTTACTAGCCCAAACATAAAGATGCCCTTTCACAAAACTAATAAAAACTATTTTTTACATATTCTAACATCATAAGAACAATAAACATCAATTTATACAGAACACTTTAATCGTTTAACTCCAGAAGACCTCAAATATCAACTACAACATCAAAAAAAACTTGAAAAAGACTTACGTCAGCTCTAAACTTTTTGGATTCCCAGAAAAATTGTAGAAATTTGCAGAATTTTTCCGCATTATATAAGAGCTCAAACTTCAGTTGCATTAGGAACCATTAAATGACCGAAGCCATGGTCAGCTAATGGCCGAAAAAAGAGTAAGGTTGCCCGAGCAACGCTGCAGATGTTTCAAAAATACAACAAATATTGACTTATTATATAATTCTGCTTTATTAAAACATTAAGATAAGCCAATTTAAAATTAAAAAAAAAAGTTACAGTACTATTTGCACTATAAACAGTTCTTCAATTCTTTCTTATTAGTCAAAAACCACTCAAAACCAGTTTTCTAACACTATATTCAGACAAAAATAAACGAAAAATTCATTTTCAAATAATGAAAAACATTCAAATAATGAAAAACATTTTTTAAATTTCAAAAAAAGCGCAAAAAACCGATTTGCAGGGAGTGGGGTTCGAACCCACGCGGGCTGACGCCCAGGGGAACTTAAGTCCACCGCCTTAACCACTCGGCCATCCCTGCGCAGCCGAATATGAAGAGAGAAAGCCATAGGTGCGTTCGCTTTTTGCGGAAAGAGAACACGCTTGAAGTCGAGAGGGAAATGTAGTTAATTTTGTATTAAAAACTTAATTTTACTTTGAGAACTTCTAAAATACGAACAATACTAATAAAAACTCGTAAAAGGTCTTTTTATCCTAAATCTCTCACGGAAAACGTTATATAAACATAAAAAAAGATCATTCTATGGCAAAAAAAAACAATGTTTTAAGATAAACCTTGATAAGGACAAGTATTAAATGACTTTCAAATACAATTTGCAAAGTTTATTTCTTCTAATAACGACACAAAATGAATCCATATCTTGATTTCCTTGTCGCTGTACTCATTCTTCCTTCTTGCTTAAGGGTTCGAAAGAACTGCGTTTAGTACGACTGCTCTTATTGCTCTTCGAAGATCCTTTGCTCATGGCTTCAAACTGAAAAAATAGAAAACTAGCTTCAAAATCATCTCTGTAGAAACTTCATCAAGAGTTTTTTTTCGATCATTGCTTACTCTTCTTTATATACCTACCGTATCTTATAGTACCCTTCACTGGTTTCTTATACAATTACTTATTTCGGCTTGTTTGACCCTAACTTTCGGTGTCTTGTACCTTACCATACCCTAGTTTACTCTGCCATACCATACTTTACCCTAGCTAACCTTACTTTACCATACCTCCATAATAAAACAACTTACCCCTCCAGTACTGCTAGAATGTGGTGCATTCACATCTGGGACTTTCACTGCTCCTAACACTGAATTTTCATTTGTATCTCCACACGTTTTGTTGAATTCATCGACCATTGAGGCTGCTTGAACAACCTCGTCGATCGGAACCTTGATTTTGTTCTCTTGCTCCAGAGTTTGTAATGTTTTGGAGACGTTATCGGCCTGGGTAGTTTTGTAGTTGCCATGAACTTCGGGGTTACTTATCGGAGCTATTGCTGTTATTTCACGCTAAAAAAAAGTTATTGTCGCAATGGTTAGGTAATATAATATTAGAATAAGACAAAATTAGTCCCAAGAATAGGAAGAGAGATCACTTAAGAAAAGTGGGAGAAAAAGAGGAAGCCTTTGGCAAAAAAATTCAAAAACTTAAAATTTAAAAAAATTGACTTACCAAATAAACGACAAGTTTTATGAAAGCTAATCGCTGTTTTTTCTCTTTCTTCAATCGATAAATACTCCATATTATAAACCCAATCATTAGTCCAAACGTGAATCCACATATCCCATGTAAAGCATGTGGAAAATGAAATGCACCAATTCGATAGTCCGGTGATTCTTTCATCTTCTTAGACTAAAAAAAGAAAAAAAAACTAGTAAGTCACCCGTATTTTACAAAAAATTAAAAGCTTTTGTAAACCGTAATACATCTCTGAAATAACATTAATCTACCCTACTAAGCTCTGTCATAGAACACAACCATAATCTAGACGAAAGATGAGAAACAGGCCCGGCGCGGCCCTACAATCGGGCGGCCTTAAACTAAATTTAAGTCGGGCCGGGTTTGGAAATCAAGGCCCGGCCTGTTGAACGTAAAGAATTCGGGCCGGGCCGGCTGAGGTAAAAATAAAAACGGGCCGGGCCTCAATCTCGGGCCCACTTTTAAGGCCCGGCCCGGGTCTCAATAAGCTAGGCCATACCGTACCCTAGGCCCTACCGTACCCTAGACCATACCGCACCCTATGCCATACCGTACCCTAAGCCCTACCGTACCCTAGGCCTACCGTGCCCTAAACCCTACCGTACCCTAGACCTACCGTGCCCTAGGCCCTACTCTACGTTAAACCTTAATGTATCTTAAGCCTTGCCTTGACCTATTATATTACTTACCGTGAAATAAGTTCTGAATTCAGACTACACACCAAGCCCTACTGCACACTAAACCTTATCGTATCGTAAGCCCTGCCATACTCTATGCCCTATTTTACCCTAAACCTCCCGTATCCAAAACCGACCATAACCAAGACTCTTGTAATCTCGTTTTGAGATACGTATTACACTCTACCACACCTCAAGGCATACTCTATAAAAACCTAAATCACACCTTACTGAACTGAACATACCAGATAGACAGAGATCGCAAAAACACTATAAGCTGCTGGAAGGAATGCCATGAATGCTGCGATAATGATCGTAAAAATTATGCACGATGGGTATCGTACACGGTGGGATAGCGGCCGCATAGTAGAAAAGGTAGAAAAGAAATTGAAAAAAAATGTAAATTTAAAAAAATTATTTCAAAAACTTCAAATTTTCATTTTTAAATCCCGTTTTTCTACTTTTCATACCCAAAAAACGGTGTTTTATAAAGGCTTTCCTACCTATGTTTCTCATTTTCTACCAAATTCAACGACAAAAACGGTCGTATTTTAGAAATGAAGAAAGATTACGAGTTCTATATTTGTGAAGGAGTTGGTTTGGCTATAAGTGCCGTATTGGTAGTGTTTTTGACTTATGTTTGGGACAGAATGTTGGATAAAAAGCGACGACAAAAGATGGAAAAGGTCCTTGAACTAGAGGTAGGTCCCTTCTTTAGCTCTCTAAAAACTACTACACTTTTTCTCATTATAAAGCTATTAAAACAAACTTTATATTATCAAAGCGCAGTAAAATTTGCTATTTTTGAAGTCCTTTAAATTCGCCAAAACTTAGTTAAATAAAAAAAATTTGAAAAATTGAAAAAATTGGCTCGGAAAAAGAAGAGTCGAGCTTGTTCGAGCTACTGTAACTTTTTAAAATTAAAAAACTTTTTAAAACTGTTTACATCATTAGATTCACAGTAAAATGCGCTATATTTCAACTTATCCAAAATCTGCAGAAACTTCCTTTACAGCTGCAAAAATTAAAATTTTAACAAAAAATCCCTAAATTTTAACCAAATTTAAAAAAATATTATAATTATCGTATTTTAGGTCGAAATTTCTCGAAACAACATCAATGTGTTGCCAGATGATCCCGAACATAACATGCAAAAGAAATACATCGCTGCCGTCACCGAACAACGCAAACTTTTGATCGAATTGGGAGTGCGCGACAAGGAAGTCAACAGCGATTTCAAACCTGATTCTGTTATGGCCTAATCTATGTACTACTGTTTGAAAAATAAATGACTGTAACCTTCTTTATTATACCTTCTAAATCATAACCTTCTTTAGGCTGTTATTAGTTCAGTATCAACTTTAAAAAATTACGTGTTATATGAAAAATGACGCAAATTTTCAAAAATTGCCTTCCAAAACAAAAAAAAATTAAATTCAAAAAATAGCTTTCAAAATTTAAAATAAAATTCAAAAAGAAACTTCATTTTTATCATTTGTCAACGCTTGGGAACGGTCCATGTTTGGGCATATACTACGAACGGAGGTCAAATGGGTTACCTGCCTCGGCATCGCAGTTTGTGTATGGATTGGAGCATTTTTCACCGCACATTTTTTGTATGAGGTAGGCTTTACTAAAAAATTTTGATGAATTTTCTCCTAGTCCTAGAATTGGCAGTACGATACGATTCATATTACGATGGAGTCTGTATACTAAACTCCACCGTAATATAAATCGTATCGTACTTTAGGCTCTATCGTAACCTAGTCTTTAATTGACCTATGCAATATCGCTCCATAAGCCTTTCTGTATTCTAAGCCCGACCGATAGGCCGTACCACAATATTTTTCCTATCAGATTCTAGATCCTACCGTACCATAAACCTACTGTATCAAAGACCCTATCCTACCATAGGCCCTACCGTACTATATACCCTACCATGCCATAGACCCTACAGTACTATCGACCCTACCATGCCATAGACCCTACCGTACCATATGCCCTACCGTACCATAGGCCCTGCCGTACCATAGGCCCTACCGGATTGCTTCTTTAAATTACTGTTACTTTCAGCAGAAATACGTTGACCCAAAAGAAAGTAATCATGAAGATCTTAAAGATGACGGCTATAACAAGATACACGCACTTTACGTAGTCCGAGGCTTAATTGGCGGGCTATGTGTTGGAATTTTTATTTCTGCTATCTTATGGTTCATAAGGATGCGCCTCATCCTAACCGACTTTTGCGAAATCATCCTCACTTCTGTAAGTACCCTAGTCTACTATAATAAAAGCTTTTCTTTCTAAACCTACAGTAACATCAAGTTTTCTTTCTAAGCCTACTTTAACGTAGCTTTTTCTCACTGAATCTATTATAATACAAGTTTTTATTCTCTCTAAACCAACTGTAACATCATTTTTCTCTTTAGCCCAAATTAAAAACTATCTCATTCCAGCGTAAATTACTGTATACTCGGCAAAAATTCAAGAATCAGAAGGCATGGTACGATCGAAATTCCGACAAACTAATCAACTTGACAAAACTGAAGCGCAAGTACGGCATCCAGCACGACCTGTACGGAGACTCGGCATGTCCTACAACACAACGAGAAAAATCATTATCATTAGTATCGGCCGAGGATTTCAATGCAAAAGAAGACACACTTAAAGCCGATGACAAAGCAGCTCCATCCGAACCCAAAGCCAACACCCCCGGCGGCAAAAGTGACATTGTTTTTCCACCCACCAAGAAGAACGTCGAAACTGAAACGAAAACTGAAGACGTCTACAACTCGGCTATGAAAGATGTAAGTAGCTACATACTATAATTCTTATTCTAACTACCTATAATGATATCTGGAACAAGCAAAAATAGAGTTTTCGCAAAATCCCCTCAGGCAAAAAATTAAATTTAAAAATATCAAAGAGCATTTTATGACCTAATATTTCGCACACACACTAAAAATAGTATTAGTAAACTGCACGCCAATTTTTACCCAAAGCCGAGCACCTTATCCCAAGTTGGACCCGTTTTAGGTAACAAGATACCAATAATAACATGTCGATTTTAAAGGTTCTGGAAAAAACACGATAAATTAAAGTAAAAACATGCAAAATAGGTATTATAAATAATTTTATCATTTTCAGACAAAACCACCTCAGCCAAAACCAACCCAATCGTATACAGAAAAATCTTGCAACGAGTCAAAATCGAACCTAACAAACAATACCAACGACGCTAGTCAAGCAACGATAACAAAATGAATAAACTTGTTAACTAGTACTGTATAAACGTTTTTCCTGCCGTTTTACCCCCAAAAACTACCCAAACTCCAACGAAAAACGTAAAATCCCAAAAGACTCGATGAATTTACGCCTTTTCCCTAATCTCTTCTTTTCTTGAAATGCATAAATTTTCTCGCTCATTCTCCATATCTTGCGTTTTCTAATTTCGGTCAAAGATATTTATTTTTTCCGTTTTCTGATAACATTAATAAGGTGGAACCATATCGATGGCGTGAAAGCAAGGTTCATCGCTCGGAATATTAGTTTTGTGTTCGATTTTGGCGTGTTTTCTTCTGGTTATTAACAAAAAATTAATTTACGTGTTCGTTGATAGCGTGTAAAACATTTATTTGGTTGTAATTCTAGAATGAAAGTCTCGGATCTGTATCTTTTTGGCTACAATGCTGTCCAAGTCCTTGGGTAAGTGCTTGAAATGAATTTTTGTTTTCCTGTTTAGGTATAGGTTCATAAACAATGCTGTGTTGGAGATAAGAGAGCTCTCAGATAAGGTGAACATTTGCGTTAAGAAAATGTTGTGTCTAGCTTTGGATTTCGATGTCCAATTGTTGTTCATGAACTTGTACTGCTGTTTTAATTAGTTTTACAACAAAACCGTCTAACTGAGACCATGGAACATTAGTTTTTTTAGATAGAGCTAGTGTAATATTATCTTGCATTTTTTGAAAAAATATGGATAAGACCATGCTTTTATACCTACTTCAGGATCACAAAAATTTGCGGTATACAAATTCTAAACGTATTTTGTCATCTGTAGCGTTTACTATACGAATTTCCTTTTCAGATGGGGATCGGTGTTGGTAAAGACGGTTTCTGGATTGTTGGCTGGAAACTCATTTACCGCTTTGTACGAGAATGTTGAATGGGAACTACAGGTCTTCCAGACAGCTGCCGTGATGGAGATCATTCATAGTTTGGTCGGTTTGGTACGATCTCCAGTCATGACCACTGTTACCCAGGTCTTCTCCCGAGTTTTTGTGCTCTGGGCTATTATGTACAAAGTTCCTTCTGTAGGTTGCTTTTCCTTAGATTGAGATGGTTTTTAAGAACGTAAAAAAGTATAGGTTTTGAAGTTTGGTTTCATAAATAATGTTTTCTGACTAATATTATTGTCGAACTGCCTAATTACATGTTCTTTTTCAGAGCCGTGCCAGTTTTGGAGTTCCTATGTTGCTGATTGCCTGGTCAGTCACCGAAGTCATCAGATACTCTTACTACGCCTTGAACCTTGTCAATGCAGTACCATACGTTCTCACCTGGGCTCGTTACTCTTTCTTTATTGCCCTGTACCCACTGGGAGCTTCAGGAGAAGTAATCACGATGTTATCTGCCCTGAAGGAAATCGATCAGAAGAAGCACTTCACCGTGGAAATGCCAAACTCTGCCAACATTGGATTCTCATTCTACTACGTTGTCATCTTGTTGGCCTTGTACTATCTACCAGGATTCCCTCAAATGTACTTTTACATGTTCGGACAGAGAAAGAAGGTGTTGGGGACTGGAGTACAGAAGAAAAAGGAGTAAATTTACCACAGTAAATTACATATCACATATTCCTTGCCGTTTAGATATTGTTCTACGAGTTTTTATTGTATTGATTAATTGTAATTCGTATTTAGGTATTAATGTATTGTTATTTCGTATATTTAATAAATTTTGATGATTCTACATGAACTCTGGGCTGTTTCTTAAAATCTAGGATATGTGTGTTAAAGATTTGTGTATACATGTATATACATAAAGTAAATTTTTCAACGATAAATCCTGTTTAAGCGTACGCGTACTTTGTACTGACGTATGACGTAAGTACGTATACGAAATAAACCTCTTCATAGGGTCGTATAAGCTTTTGATAAACATGCCAAAGGGTAAAAAGGCTCCTATTCAAATGTATTAATGATACTGCGATTTGCCTGCGGTTTAGGTTGACAAACCGTCTACATTTGACATCAAATTCTCAATCACTATAGTTTTTAGGCTTATAGGTTGTGGTCGGGTATAAAATTAAGCTCTGGGTTTTTAAGGGATACTGCTTTAAAAATACTTTAGTGTAAATAAGGTACGGTAATATCGTTCGTGTTCTTGTTATCTCTCTAGCTAGAAACCAGATCTTCAATCCGAGCCAATTGCCATAATGTTTAAGTCTGAACTCTTTAGTCCAGGCCGCTCACGGGATGTCTTAACTTGGTCAATTAGCATCAAGCTTGGCCAATTCCTTGTGTCTTATCGTGTAATCTTCATCTGTCTGCCTTGAATTCTTCAGTGAACTCGCTTAGCTTTCACTTACATTGTAAGAATCTAGGCCCTACTCTATGTCATTGCTCTCGTCAGTAGAAAAGCACTGCAAAGTTGGTCAAGTCATTTATCAATATAACAAAGCTCTAAAAGGCCTTTTTATAGTGAAGTAACGTTTTTTAAATTTACTACTACATTTCTGAAGCATACAGTGTAAACGTTGTCTTTTATATTGATTATACTGTAAATCATACTTTTCAACGATAAAAATCTATTTTATACCCATACGGACTTTGTACTGACCTATGACGCAAGTACGTATACGACTTTAACCGATTCGGCGTATCATATAAGCCTTTGATCAACATACCAAAGGGTAAAAAGGCTTCTATTCGCATGTATTAATAGCACACCGATTTTATGTGCCTTAGGTTGATAAAACGTCTACATTTGACATCAAATTCTCAATCACTATAGTTTTCAAGTTTCTGGGGTGCAGTCGGGTATGAAATTAGAAAATCAGCCTTCTAATCGTTATCCCAGTCTGCTTCTAAAGTGGATTGGCTCAGAAAATTGACCAGGTTTAAGCCAACTTTCTGAGCCAGAAGCTATTAACAAATCATGCAAATAAAAAATTCTGACACGGCTTTATGCACCATAATAAGGCCCTGTATAGTTCTGTACGGTAATAATTAACCATATCCCACATAATGTTACAAATAACGTTCTGTAACGCGTCCGACCCATATGAACACTGATTTTCAACGTTTCTAATCAAAATTCTGGCTCATCATTAAAGTCTCGTCCATTCATAAATTCGTGACCGTGTTCAATTACATTACCAATATACAATAACAAAAATAACGCGCTTCTTAATAATGATAACAACAATAACAATTTAATACCATATACCACTTTAGATAACCTTCCAACGCCTTTTTTTGATTATAATCAAAAAATTCAAAATGTGCAACCAAAAGTTGACCAACGAGAACGTTTCCGCCGCCAAGGCTGAAGAAATGAGCCGTAAGCGGCCAGCCAGCCCTGTTGAGGAGTTGGAGAGTGCCCCTGCGGCCAAAAAAACACTGTGGGACGATGAAAGAAAGGCCGAACTGGTCAAAGACATCAAGTTGATGATGAACTATCATCTCAACGTTTGTAAGCCTTATGGGCTTATGGATGTGCCAGAGGACATGGCAGCTAACGAAAGTGGTAAGTTACAACAACAATAACAATTTGAACAAGAAAAAATTAACAAAAATAGGGTAAGGTAATATAAACCAAACAAAACAAAGATGACATGAACTATAAAACAAACAAATTATGATGCCAAGAATAACTAACAATTTTTATAGATTTTGATGAACAGTATGGATTCAGAAGGAATGCTCATATTTGGAAAGAGCACGAGAATGACATGTTGGAGTTTTCCAAACAAAGAGTTGATAAAGAAGTGGAGAGTATCATGGATACGGTAACAAGGGCCACAAACCCATTTGTTATCGTACCCCCTTTGAAAAACGTTGTCCGACCAAGTCCTCCAGCTCCAACACAAGCCAAGCACCCTGAAACGGATGTTCAGGGTATTATGGACGCCGTAAAAAAGGCGACCAACCCGTTTCCGATGGTGCCTCCGCTGAAGAAGGCAAGAACAACAAGCACAGTGGCTGACACATCAGGGCATGGCAAAAAAGCAAAAGAAGGCGCAGAATCAAGCAAAAACAACGTGATGGAAATTGAAAGCATTATGGATGCCGTTATAAAGGCGACCAAGCCATTCCCCATAGTACCTCCACTGACGACAAGCCCAACCGCACCAGAAACATCAGAAAATAAAAAAGAACAAAGAAATGCCAAAAAAGATAAAGAAAACAAGGACCCGTCAGAAGCCAAGAAGACCAAAAAAGAGAAGAAACCACCAAACAAGCCCGCACCGTTGATGAGACAGGCAATGAGGATGATGAAGAACTGCCGTAGAAGCGGTTATTAATATTTTTAGTATAAAAATTGTATTATTATTAATATATAGACACAATAATTATGTAACGGGTAAAATAAATAATAATTAAAAAACAAATTCGGAAATAATTATAAATATAATTTGACTACAAGATAACAGATAACACCCTTGATAACCAAACAATACTAAAGAGACTATAGAGATAATAATTAACTAGTTATCTACATCTGGTATAACTTTAATTCTGCTTATCGTCGCTTTCCTCCAACTTGAAGATGTCGCAGTAGTTGGTTCCCAAAACGTAGTTCCGGCTGTAGTAGTCCATAAGAGAGCTCAGAGATGGGAAAGTGACGTCAACACGGACCGGATTCGAAGGGTTATCGACGTAGAGTCTCGGTGTTCCTTCAATCATGCCTTTCTTGATTTGGTAGTGTCTGAAAATAGATAAAAGAAGCGTAAAACTGTATTTAAATCTATAAGTAAACCTAAATAACCATAAAACAACATGTTCATAGAAATTTTAGTTAAAAATTAACTTTTCAAAATACAAAAACAGCGATGAAACAAAAAAGTCAATGTTAACATAAATGTTTCATGAAACCCCTTCATTACAGGTTTCAAAAGCCGGTTTTACTTCCCAAGCTCATACCTAATTACCAAAACTAAATATAAAAGCTAATCTTACCCAAAACTTCCGTTAAATCTGCGATGAACCATGGTAAGCTCGGCATATTCCTTGAGATCCGGATATTCATTGACCTTCATGTAGATGCGGAAGTCAGCAATGCCTGGCACCGATTCTTCGGCCTTTGCAGGATCGCAGTAACCAATATAAAACTTTTCGAACATTGCATCCTTCTTTGAGTCTTCAAAACTGAAATTAAATCAAAATGAGGTTGAAATTGGTGTAAAAATATGTAAAACAATATAATCATAGAAAAACTACACTTACGAGTTGAACACTGTTTTAAAATTCTAAAGTTTTGACCCCAAAAGAGCGGAAATAAAAATTTTTTCAATTTCTGGATTTCAAGAAAAACCTCCCCAAGAATGACAGGACGCAAGCCGCGATAAGTTTCTTGCAGACTGCACAACGTGCAACACGACAAAACAGACGTTTTTCATGCAATAAATGACATTTTTAAGAAAATTCGAAAGCCTTTACAGAATCATACAAATACTTTTAACGAAATTAAAAATATTTATGGATATTCTTAGTCTTAAACCGTAATTATATTAAGAAAAACGATAACCTACTTGATTCTATTGGAACCGTTGCTGGCTTCTCGGAGGATATCAGCAAGACTTCTGTCAAACAACGCTGAAATTTTAAAATTTATACGAATTACTTAAAAAAATGACAGCAATTTTTATAAAAAATCAAGGAAAGCTACTAATAATCGACCCAAATCTTCAAAATTCGAGGAAAAACAACTAAAAATTGGGTGAAAATTCAGAATAAAGTTTAAAATACGCTTCTAAAGCAATGTTACATAAGCAAAATTGATAATAATTGTTCATATGACAATATCTTACGAATTCCTTCCAATTCTCCAGTATCAACACTATCGAACTCCGAGATGGAGCTGGTCGAAGACTCCAAAGCGCTCGAGCTGCTGGTCTCGGTCATTTCAACCGTCTGATAACCGCGTTTTTCGAAAAAATGAATGAAACGGCGAGTTTGAGAAAATTTAAAACTTAAAGAAAGTTTACATATTCAAATTTCAATTTTAAAAAAATTAAAAATCTGATTTTTACAATTTTTTAATTTTTTTTAAATTCAATATTACAGTGACGTCTGTTATACTCCAATTTCAGGTAAAATAGACTCCATTAACCTCTCTTTCATTCAAACACTTCAAATCTGTTTAAAAAACTAGTATATTTTCAAAAAATAATAAATACAGACTTAAAGCACAGCTATAACAGAATAACAAATTTAAGAACGAGGAAGGGGTACTGTAACATTGTGTCGTTTGTCAGTGCACCGTATAGGTATAGGAGTACGTTTTCTTTCGTTTCTCTCAACTGTCCTGTCTTTCGTCCTGGCCAATTTCGTTGCGGAATTTGTTTTAGCCGGCTGGCTTTTCTTTGAGTTCTTTTGGCTGGCGGGCTCGAGTCGGACGGTATACTTCACGTTCGGGGCGTTGCTGAAATAGCAAGAATTAAAAAATGTATAAAATTTTTTAAAAAAGTGTAATGATCTGTAGGTTAAATATTATCTTTTTAATTCATTCTAGCTCTATTTTAAAAAAACCACCCCCTAAATGTCATTGCCCTACCCAATTGCTCTCCCTTTCTTACTATTTTCTAAATCATTTTCATTAAAAAGTGGCCTTTAATCATCCATTTTTATGCGCAAAAACCTTTAAAAATACCTGTTTTCTAGTCCTCTCCCTCTTCTCCTTGCCCTCTCCGCCTTTCGCTGTCCTCTCGTTGACCATTGATGGGTCCGGTACCAAGGCCGATGGCAGACGCTCCTTCTCACTTGATGACTTCTGAATTTCGGTGAAAACATCTTCGTTATTCTTGTCTTTTGTCAGTAATTTGATGGTTTTCTTTTCTTCCTTCTTCTCTTCTTTTTCCTTTCGCTCTTCTCTATCTCTTCGACGTGGTCTCTTCTCTTTTTCTGGCTTTTCTTCCTTCTTTAGTCGTTCTCGTTGTTCTTTTGGTTCTCTGGTCTCTTTTGGCTCTTTTTCCTTTTGTACCGCTGGGTCTTTAGCTTCTTTGGGTTCTCTCGGCTCTCTGGGTTCCCGAGGCTCTTTTTTGAAGTCTAGCTTTGAATCTAAAGCAAGTTTTGTCTTTATTTGGAAGGTAAGGTAGCCTCCGATTATAAGACACACCAAAATACAGTACTTTGTGTCTATTGTAAGATGGTTTTGCCAATATTATAGTTTAGCATAAAAAGAAGCCATTATTATTAATGTTAACTATAACAAGAGTCTAGGTTTACAATTTAAGTTAAAGAGGTTTTAAAAAATCAAGCAGCCATATAAGCGTATTTTACTTACCGCTTTTCTCTGGTTTAGTGTACTTGTCCTGCAATTTCTGTAAGCGTTCTTTCTTAATCTCTTTTTTCTCTTCTCTTCGCTGTTCTCGGGTAGTTTCAGACCTTCCGCCTTCTAAAATAAGGTAATAAAAAAATATTATTAATTGTTTGACACAAATTTTAAAATTTAACAATGACGTTCGTATTTTACATCGTGCACTTTTACAATCATCATGCTTTAAAATATCCAAAATCGTCAAAAACCTACGTTTATATGCTGGTTTCTTTCCGAAATCAGTCTTCTTCTCTTCTTCGATGGCTGCGAATGGAGCATGACGATCTCTACGAGCTTTTCGCTTTTTTTCCTAAAAAATAAACTTTAGCATACTAAAATACATACCAAGATAACACATTATCATAAAAATCATATCCCGAAAAACAAAATACAAGTCATCTTTTTTTACAGACAATATATTAACCTACTTTCTCTACATACTGTTTACTCATAAAATCAGTCAACGGAGTCGACTGAACTTGCCCATCTTCCAGCATCTTCTCCTTGCTCTCCACTTCCTTGATCAACTCGTCAAAGTCCGTTACCTTCTTCACCACAGTCGTAGCCTCATAAGCGCTCAAAAACTCTTGGTAATCCGGTCGCGTCTCTAACGTTCCGGTACGTTTGTCCGAGATCAGTGCATCTTTGGGGAAGCTTTTTGGTACCTCTTGATGAAATGCCATTTCCACTACCGCCTGGTTTTCAATTCCCTTTTTATCCACAAATACGTAGCCATGAAACTTGTTGCGGAACTCTTGAGCTTTCTCCATGTTGTCAAAGACAATGTAGGCTCGAGAGTAGGACCATGGCATAAGGTCTTTGTCGGCGGGACAAAACCATATAGTTTCATAAGTTTGGTCGATTTGCTCTTTCAAGTCTTCTTCCGTGAATTCGCGGGGTAAACGGCGAATTATCAACTAAAAAAATGGTTTTTTATTTAAATAATTTTTTCAAGTAAACCATATTATTCTGTATGTCACATCTAAAAATCAAATACAAAGTTTCAAAAAACTTACTTTTAGTCTACCTCCTTTAGATTTAGCATCTTGAGTCATAATGGTCCAACAAAGGTAAATCAACCTAAAATAAGAGTTTTAAAAACTAAAAGTAAAATAATGTTGTTTCACAATGTCAACCGCGTTCAAAAATAAAAAAAAAACAAACAAAACAAGTAAAAATTCGATTTGTAATAGGGTTTGGCATAATTAAAAAGGTGTCAAGACATTTTTTAAAGCAAGAAAAACCTGGTGATGTAAATATATAAGCCTAACTTACACAGCGGACCTCAAAATCCCACCAAGTTAAAGCGGGCTGAACCCGTCTTTGGCCAATTCCAGACCAATTAACCCGCACTACCTACAATCTCCAAAAAAGAAGCTTCTTCGCACTGTTAAAGCCTCAAAAATCCACCCCAACCACGCCATTGCCAAAACCTTAATCTATAATAGCTTCAACTATCACCCTTTACCTCTTTCAAATATCACCGCCCATTTATCAAATACTACAACTCGGTTAAATACCAAACAAACGCAAAATTATCGACAAGCTATATCGTATGTTTATTCCAATAATCGTTAAATGCAAGGCACAAAATCGTATGTTAGAACCAAGCAAATATTCTTTAAAATGCACTTATAGAACAAAATCACGTATGACAGCTGCCTAGTCTATGAAATGGCTATTTTACAGTTTCATCACATTTAAATTACAATGATTAAAGCGTCAAAAAAGCCTTGTCATCGCCTGTAATGTCGCTTCCTGGCATGACAAGACTTTTTTTAGCCCACTAATATTCAAGAACATACAACTACTGTTTAACAACAAAGAAATGACTATAGTTATACATTTAAGACAAAATGACAATAAAAGACATTGTAAGATAAACTACAGCCCTACAGAGTGAGTAAAACATTAAAAAAACCATAATCGGCTTACATTAAATTATCTCGATGTACTAATATAGTAAACAGCTTAATTGTGAACTAATTTACAGATTTTTTACATAAAATATTTTAAAAATAAAACGAAGAATGCATTTTAAACTAGATACAAGGCATGTCATGTACAAAAGCGTTTTATAGCTGAAGAACTATAGCTATATATATATAGTTTAAAGACAATTCCAAAATAATTATTGCTATATTACCTCAAGCAATCTCATTAATTAAAAATATTTAAAAAATATATTTTCCAGTCAGTCTATGGTTATATCAATATCCAGCCAGTCTTATAACAATATCAATTCAGTCTATGATGATATCAATACCATACAGTCCAACATATTTAACAATAATAATCTAGCTTAGACTACTTGTTTTGAAGCTTTGATGTTGTCATTAGTGTCATTTTCCTCCTCATCCGCTGAGCCATTCTCCAACGCTGGTGATGGTGATCTACTGACCAACTCCCTCAGTTTTGATCCCAAATTTAGGGTAATATGACCATCTTTGTGGAAGGTGTCTAAGAAGCCTCTGACCAGCTCATCTGAACGCGTTCTCCAACTGTTCAGAAGCTCAGCACCTTTTTGTTTCAGACTGTCAACTTGGTTCTGTAATTGGTATCGTTGGGCCTGAAATTAGAGTTTAATCAACAGATATTAATTTAGATTAACAGAAAGGTAGCTTAACCGTCTCCTCAGAAAAAATTGCACCAAATCTCCATCTAAACCGATATAAACCTACCGAAAAGAATCCCACATTCAATTCTTTGGCTGAGTAACCTCGCTGCAGGTTTCTCCGCACGTATTTGTCGTAGTCGCGGATGATACGGCATACCACATCCGACGTGGATACTCCTTCGGTTCTTTGTGTTTCTACAAACATCTCTTCTCGTCTGAACTTTTCGTACAAATCTTCTTCTCCTGGTGCAATATAAGGCAGGGCATCATGAGCAATAAAGTCTACCTGGAAATTTTAATTTTTTTAATATTTGCTATGATTAGAAGTAATTTTTTTACGACTTTAGTTTTTTTACATCACAAACACTTTTTGCTAAATATTACCATTAAATCCTATAAACCATTTATTTGTAAAATGCATTGTTCTTACCTTAAGCTCCTTCAAAAAGTCCACAGTGACGTACCATGGTGAATCTCTGTAAACTTCATCAACATATCTACAATGTCGGACGGCTTCGAAACGTTCCGACTCTTCTGTTACTGTACGACCCTTGTATTTGTGAGTGTTTTTGTCTCCGCATACTAGAATTATATTGTTTAACTTCATTATTCCATCACTATAAGATTAGTAAAATCAGTACACTCTATATTATATTGTTTTACCTCATTGATCTATCATTATAAGACCATTAAAACCTGTAAATTTTATATTATATTGTTTCACCCCATTATTCTATCACTACGGTCAGTAAAGCTTGTAAATCACTTAAAAAATACTAAACAGCGTTATGTCTTCAAAGCAAAATCCAAACTTTCGCTCCTTTGAAACCAACAAATTGTATACAAAATAAGATACCTACCTCCAACAATAAGGTATACGTTAGGGAAAGCGTTCTTGGCTTGTCTCAACTGATTGGCATGACCATGGTGAAACAAATCGTAGATACCATCAGCAAATACTCGAACTGGTCTACCGGCTAAAAAAAATCATTTATCATAATTCATTCATTTGTTACTTTTTTTGACTATTTAAAATATACACACTGGAACACCTGTGTAACGAACTACTCTATAAGGAAGTCTCTGTATGACGAACAACTTTAAATCTCCGGCTTTCGGTATACAGGAGTTTTAAAAGCCCTGTATAGAGTTAGCCGCTGACTTAAAAGTTGTTCTTTACATGAGATTTTTGTTATAGGGGAGTTTGCTATACAAGAGTTCCACTGTATTATCAGAAGTACGATATTTTCTTTAATCTTTTTTTATTGCTATAGCATCTTGTCATAAAATTTTGTTTCCATATTATCTTATTTTAAGTATTGATGACCGCTCTTTTGACCCTTCAAACCCTTTTTTAAACTTGGTGATTCATCAAAAAGTGGCGCCACATTTTTGCAACCACATGTTGAATACATTCTTTATCAATATTCGATAAAAAACATAAACCAACGGAAGTACAAAGTTTTCAAAAGTGTTGTAATGAGCTCAGAGAACCTGATCTCATTTATTTTAAGGTTCTGTATCAAAGACACTGAAGGGTAGTCGGGGACACTTTTTTTTGTAAAAATGGAGTTAACTTTGTTCGTTATAATGGAGTTTCGGTACACTGGGGTTTTAAATGCACTGTGTAGTTTTAATCAGGAATTAAAAGTTGTTCGTTATACCAAAGGTTCTTTATAGTAGAGTTCGTTCTACAGAATTTCTACTGTACTTTTTAAGTTTAATCTTTAAAATCCCTCTACTCACCTGAGTTCTCGTAAGCCTGTTGAAGTGTAATCTTTTTCGTGTAGTCAACTCTATTCCTCTCCGCTACGGCACCTGGCTCATCGTGATATGGTGCTGGTTTGTTTAGTGCCAATTTCAATTCCGATCCACCTTCAATTTCGGAAGTTTCCAGCTTTGGTGACTTTTGCCCGGCGCGTTTTTTGCCCGGAGGGCTTGCCGAAGCGTTCGCTGCTGTCTGACGTTTGCGTAGTTGACGTGGCGACATCTTAAATTAACTGTGAATAATCAAAGTGAACAAATGTGAAGAATTACAATGAACAAATGTTCGAACTGAACAAATAATTGAATAAGTTTGACTATCATCATATTAAATAATGTGCAACACGTAAAAGCAAATGTTTACACAACTGCAAATTGTAAATGAAAAAATGATGCAAAATTTTTTTAAACAGTGGGTTCAAAATATTACGTTCAAACACTAAACGTTCCTTTATAGTAATTATAGATAACAAGTCAACTATAACTAAAGGAGCCTAGTTCAACCCTAACTATAAGATAAAAAACTGTAAAAATACTACAATATTTACAAGTTTAAATCTAAAACAATCATAAACTAACTTATTCAAAAGAATTCGTAAAAGAAAAAATCCATATCAACTTCTCTGGACAAAATAAATCTCGGTATCTTCACTTCAGAGCCTTAAAATGATCTTTTTAAAGCCTTAAGGTTTACAAAAGTGAACTTCTTGCCCTCATTTGGTACTGATCGCATATGATAACACTACTATCTTGTTATGTTTATCAACAAATAAGGTTGTTTTATCACGTTTTTCAACGTTAAACGCAAAAATTGATATGTAAGCGTTCGCATAATATATTAGATTGCTCAAATAATTCTGTGCCCTAACCATGAAAATTTCAATTGAGAAGAGGTACAGAATTATTTGAACAACCTAATAATAAATATTTAGATTTTGTGAAATTTCATGAATTCAATTGAATGACATTTCAATTTTAAACTAAAACAAATACGAAGATATGATGAGATTGTACGGTTGGTGATTTACATTTTCACATGAATAATTATAGTTTGAATAATGCTCTTATACAATATCATGTACATGTATGTTATGGACGTGTCATCTGACCTTTATACTAACTATAAATAAAACACATTTATTTTTTATATCACTTTAACGGCTCGTTGTTAAGTTTAACATTACGATAATGATTGAACATGTTAAAAGTAACAAAGAACAACAATATAAACATAAATAATATCTTATTAGCACAGAGGTCAGATGACACGACAGTATTGTTGATTCCGATGACATTTCAAAAACATTATTCAAGTTATGCTTATTCTTACAAAAACAAGAACAATCAATGATCTTAAACTCAAATTTTGTTCATATTTGTTTTATGTAACACTTGAACGCCTGCCAATCAAATGGAAATTTCGAAAAATCAAATATTTACTACGAAAACCATTACATATTTTAGCCTTTAACGTTGAAAAACAAAACAACCTTATTTGTTGATAAAAATGATAAGATAGTAGCGCTATCACGTGCGATCAGTACTAAATGAGGACAAGAGATTCATTTTTGTGAACTGTAAAGCTTAAATCAATAATTTTAGGTCTCTAAAGTTAAGATACCAAACTTGATTTTGTACAACCTTATCACCTGCGGTCTAAAAGTCAAGCGAGCATAGTTAGCTTTCAATATTAAAAACCTACACCCCCAAATACGTTGTCTACGTTAAAATCCAGGTTATGAGAAGCAGCTCATACCACTTTATTCAGCTAGCGTGACACGAATCAAACCTTCGGTTCACCCTGTACCCTAACACAAAAGATAACCCGTTATCATCGTATTTTCATCTGATCAATTAATCGAAAAGCCAACATCGTCATTTTAAACGACAATCGACTCCGCCTTCCAGTTTTATCAATAATTAAGACGTATCAATCTTAATTTAATCAACAAACACTTCCTCCATATTAATCTCGGAGCGTAAACAAGGACATTGTAATGTCGTTTCCACATTGAAGAAGGGCAAAACAAATAGAAAATAGAAGTCCAGACCATTACTCATAAATTTGTTTATCGAACTCGAATGGTTCTTTGTCCTGTCTGGTCTGAGACAGATTTTAAAGATTAGGAATGCTTAAAATAGCCCTGAATTTAGTCCAAGTTTATGAAATGACTAATATTAGGTTGAGCAAATAATTCTGTACTCCCTAACCGTATAAATTTGCAAGCTAAGTGGCACAAAATTATTTCAAAAACCTAATAGTACAATAGTATACAGCAGCTCCTTTAACTTGAACTAAATTTATGTAGAGATTTTAAGCAAGTCTAATCTTTAAAATCTATTTCTAGACTAGACAAAGCAAAACACAATTGAAGTTCAATAAAAAAATTATAGGTAAAAATCGTTTTTCTACTATTTTTCTAGTTCTTTGCCTTTTTTCAACGTAAAATCGACATTACAATGTCCACGTTTACACCCGAGGTACACATGTAAGAAGTGTTTTAATAAAGTTAGAATTACTACATCATAATCGTCAGTAATTTATAAAAAAACACCTTTTCTATCCCAGAGAAATCTTCAACAGTTAGCTTTAAATACTAAAAGCATATTTTAAATTAAACTGTTAAAGCGATCATGTCCATAAAACATCGTTTTACAAAAAAACATTCTTATAATAGACATTGATACCTGATCAATGCCAAACAAATGTGTTTGCTTAACGTTGATCAGTATTAGTATGACTTTTGTAACCAACATTCATGTTTATTTATTTTTACCACTTTTTTCGAAATCGGTAGTAATAATAAACATGTTGTAATAAGAACAACAAAGAACTAGTTGGTTTCTTGTTAGTTATCAAATTGCTTTCTTTTATCAAATATTCTTACAATAATGTAAAAACCCGTGATTTTCACAACTGTGACCACATAGAGCGCTGGTTGCTTACAATATGACTGTGCGATCAGTTAAAGTTAAATTTTAATGAGTAATATGACATGATAAATCATTTTAATGTACTTTGATAAAATGTTCGAGAAATCAATATTCGTTTAAAAGTACAAACCACAGGTTTTAAAACTTAACTTTCTATTAACTTTTTGACCAAAATATTTAAAAAACCTTTAGTAAACATCAAATTTTAGTAATATTATATATTGAACCCAATTAAGCTTATGAAAACACCTACTTTTAGGTCACACATGTGTTGCCGTGAATTCTCATGAGAATATCAAAACGTAAAGAAAAATTAAAAAGTGGAAAAATATTCATTATGGTCGATTTCTTGCTAACTATAACAATATGATCGCCACAAACTCATCATTAAGGTTAAAAAAGCACGTCATATTTTATAAAATACGACACGCTTCTTCATATTATTTGCGGTTCTTAATAAGTGTCTCGTGACAGATATCTCCGCTATAAAGCTACATTAACATGTCCCGCCCACATACCTGTTTGTAATAGCAAGCAAAATACCTAGATTACAGTATTATATATCCACTGTTCTCTGTTCCAATTTACAAATTATCAAATTATGGGAAAAATAAACACAAATGGAAACTTTAAAACTTGTAAAACAGCTGTATAAATTGAACAAGAACGTCAACAAACCGCAATTAAAACTTGTCCAATCAAACACAACATATTGCCAACTGAACATCAATAAAAAGTCGAAATTAAACAAAAGCATCACTACACATTAACAAAACTACAATATTCAACTTGCAAATACAAAACATGAAGACTTAATCATTCAAAAAAAAGTTTAAATCATTAAAAGCCAAACTAAAACAATCAATTTATGATATCCCTCATGATTCATATCCAAAAAGCTAGAGATTCTAACCACTTTCACAATCTATGAAGCAAAAAATACGCCCAAATTGTTTGTCTTGTTGTTTTTCTTGAATCTTTTTTGACGAAAAATATTTTTGAGAAGAGAAACTAAACGCCAACCTTGTTTTCGTGCCGAGACGCACTTAACGTTCACATGTCTGTTTTGAATGCAGAAAAAAGAAATTTTCGACAAATTTTGTAGTAAAAGAAGCTTAAAACAGTTTGCTTAAGGTCTTATTAATACCAGTAATTATTACTATCGTTTATTGTTCATTTACTTAATTTTTATTAACTAGTTGTTTACGCGAATTTTACTGATGTTGTCGTTTCTTTTACAACAAATTTGTGGCCTGATTGTAAACAGCTTTGTAGTTCAAAAAAAAATTAATTTCAGACATAATGGAAGGGTATTTTTTGCCTCGTAGTCCAACAAAACGTGTCCAGGACATAGAAAACATCAAGGTGCCTGGGTCGCCAGATATGAAACATGCTAGAAGTCGACTGGACCACCTTTTGACGGGAATTCGAACAGGAGAATCTCAACAAACTGTTAGAGAAGAATCGTAAGTTTTCCTTTTTGTTTTTTTTGATGATTTTAGGAAAGGATATTAAAATTTTGCGTACGCCACTACAGCTTTTAAATTCTTCTTGATTACATAATGTCTTAAATTTTGTATGGTTTTAACAGCCTTGTAAGGCAATATTTATCAATTTTCATTGAAAATATTTTCAGCGTAGCCCCGCGTGAATCTGAATTTGTTGATGAAACCAAAAAAGGTCCAGGAAGACCAAGAAGGCCACGACAAGATAATGGAATGGTATTTGAGTTGAGAGGAAAGTCGTTTATGATGGAAGATAATGATACCGAAGATACTGTTTATGAAATGTGTAGAAGGTGGATCTATGGGAAACACGACGACTCGGTAAAGATTGAGAACGACCCACCAGTTGAGCCGTTTCATGAAGTTACTTCTCTTGTAAGTATTTAACATTATTTTTTTGAATTTTAGAGTTGTGTAATATATATTTGGATTAAATCTTAATTTTTTAGGACCTGATGGCCACAAAGCCCATCTACTTCATGCCAGGGCCAGATGAAGAAGCTGTCGAACTTCCCCCAGTACCAGAGAATCTTCCAGTCAACGTCCAAAGCCACGAGGTCCCTGACGATGAACATGGTTTGGCGATGGTTATGGCTGATCACATTAAGCATTGGAAAAATGTACGACGATGTTTTAACGAACACAATGAAGCAAGGAAAGCTCGACACAGAAGAAGTGTTGATCTTTTAAGAACTGTGTACAATATTGCTCAACAAACTCAAACTTGAGTTATTATTTGAGTTTAAGGGTGTTTTTACGTCGTTTGGATAATTTACAAAATATGTTTCGATCTCCAATTAATTTTAAACGTTCTTATTGTTGAAATTCATGTTGCAAGTTATAAAAAATGTAAATATCACCTAGTTTTTAACTTAATTTCCAAAAACGAGACAAAAATTATACGTTTAAAAACAGTTTACTAAACCAAAACAATAAAAAACAATGGAAACAAAAGTATGCGAAATAACTTAATAATTACAATGCAGAGTAACAAAAACAAAGATTACTAATTAATAACCTTGGCGAGGATGGCTTCCTGGCAGCGCCTGTCCTTCAGCTGCTCCGTGGTGTAAGTCTTGAAAATGTTGCGAACTCTCATCAATACCATTCCGGATAAGTTGCGACCTTTACCAACAAGTGGGCACATGTCCAAGGTGGCGGCTTTTAATTCAACGGGGTACTGAAATTAAAAAAAAATATTTTTGATATAAATTTAAAATTTTTAGTCCATTTTGTAAGATTCTTTGATAAAATCGTTTTATGCCGAAGTGCATTTATCAAAATCCTTACCTTGAACTCCTTGCCCTCATTCTCTTTTACCCATTCCATCAATCCTTCCGAGTTTGTACCACAGGCATAAACATCGTCTTTTTCGTACAATTGGACCAACAACTTCTCTTTTGTCTCCATTAGCTGCTCCATTAATCCAAAGTTTTGGAGGAACTTGAGAGTATTGGCGTACAACAACACCTGAACACCTTGAGTATTCTTCCAGCTATCCACAGTTTTGTAAGGAACGCGAAATTGCTGCAGAATGTGCTTGGCCTTCACTTTGGCTTCTTGAGGAAAACGACAAGCTCGAAGACGACCAGCTGCTATTGGTCCACACAAACTGTAAAGCTTGGTGGCCTGGTAGTATTGCTCAACTGATGGGTACAAAATGCCTCCGATGTTGATTTTGCACTGAAATATAAGTTTTTTAAAAAGTGAGATTAAAAAAGCTAATTTAAACTTCATAAACGTTAATTTTAACTCTGGTAACCAAAAAAATTTCTGTAATCCCCAAACATCTTGAGACTTCATCAGAAAACCTACTATAACTTTATAATTAGCGGTAACTATAAACTTTTTTTTTCATGTCGTTTTACATACAACTTGCAAAATGAGAAGAAATATTATAAAAACAATTTTGTTAACAATACTTTGACTCATGCTAAACTTTACAGCTTATTTTAAAAAATTTATAAGTTAAAAGCGCCTTATATTCTATCTTTTCACATCTAATTCAGTCTCCGAAACCTAAAAATCAACGATAAAAAATCTAAAACAACATACGCTGAAGAAGCTGCTCAAATAATCCGATTTTCCAACAAATGTCACAATGTTATCCTGGTTGATTGGAATCGTAGCCACCTGTAGATCGATAGGAATCGGTCTCACGGCAATCTTCTTCTTTTTCTTCGGCTTCGCGTTCTTCGAGGAATTCGGTTGCGCATCTTCCAAGGTTTGTTTCTCCATGGCAGAAGCGAGATCGCTCGAAGAATTCAAGGTGTCGCCCATGGCAAAAGTAGCGATGTCTTCGTCCAACGTGAAGTCGTCGGCCATGAGTGCAATGATTTTGCGTGAAAACGACGGCGCGGTTTTGGCCGCAAAATGTTTTCTCGGTTTTGCGGAATGCCAAGGATGTGGTTTTCGTTGCGGTGTTTGTTGATATGTTAAGGAAACGGGTATTTCGGGTTTTTTGTCTGTTTACCGTATAATAAATGTTGATAAAGAATATCTTTGATGTTTTTTTAACTGTAATTTTCATTAGTAACATTTAGATTTTGTAAAATACGATGTCCAGAATCTTACCAGTGTTCTCTGCAGAAACGTGAAAGTTTTGTAATAATTAAAAATTAATCACCTCAAACGTTCAAAAATATCGAAATCATCATAACATTGTCACTTTTGTTAACAATGAATGCATCGATTTTCACTCCGCGTTTTTTACTTCTTAAAATCCCCTCTGGCTCTTTTGGCCAGTTCTTTTTGCTTCAAAAAACGCCGCAAAATTTTCTTCCTCTCACACACTCACGTTGATGCTAATAAACAGCCATGGGAAATGCTTTAACCAGTCTGGGGTTTAATCAACCCTTCTTCTTCACTTTAATTGGGTAAGTGTAAATTGAAGTAAAATAATATTGGTTTAGGTGACTTTATTGTGTTTAGTGATTAGTGGGACAAATTAAGGCATAAACTGATAAAAAGTTAAGGTTTCTTTTCAATAAGTAACCAAAAAAATATGTTATAGCAGAAATATTTTGAAGTGTTTAATTTCAGAATTATGTTACTACTAATTGGCACAGTAGCATTAGTAAGTGATCCACAAGAAGAAGAAATGGAACTGCCAAGCCGTTTTGACCAAGCTTACGTAAGTTATAATAAATTCCGATAAAAATTAAGTATACTGTTATACGTTACATGCTTATAAAGTGAATCGACTTAAGTTTATAGCAATGAACCGGTAGTCTTATATTCTAGATGAACATATCACTAGGAAATCCTCGCCAGAGTAGGAAAAAGCCTACAATAAAGATGTACTGACACTAAGATCAGCCACATTTATAAAACACCTTGGACATATTTGACAATAACCTTGTCACAGAACTTATGATGACTATAACTGGTGATCTCGTATTTACTGAATTGTAATCAGCGGGTTGTAGCTGTTTTCTCGGTCAGCTACGTCTTCAAGCGGTTGCACTGGAACGCACGGTGTGGTCGCATTCAAGGCTGCTACTTTAATGTATTGGACATTTTTGCCCATTTTTTCTTCCTTTGACTTCCTTGACCGTTTGGTTGGCTAAAAATTGCAATTTTTGATAGTTATTGTTACTCAAGTTTGTTTTAAAGTGTCTTGCTAATTATGGTTTTACAGTTATTATGGGCAAAATTTTATTATTTGAAAAGTAACTTTTAGGGCTGCCCATACCTAGGGGCGATTTTTTTTGTGGGCGATCTTTTTTTTGGGCGATTTCCTCAAGGGCGATTTCTTTATGGGAGATCCAAAATATTTTTTAAAAAATACCCTTTTGGCCTTACCTGACCCCATTCCTGACCTTTTAGGCCCTACCTGATCCTACCCTTGACCTTTTTGGTCCAACCTGACCCTACCCCTGGCCTTTTTGGCCTTACTTGGCCTAACCCCTGACCCTTTTGGCCCTACTTGACCCAACCCCTGACCCTTTTGGCCCTACCTGACCCTACCCCTGACCTTTTTGGTCCAACCTGACCCTACTCCTGACCTTTTTGGCCTTACTTGACCCAACCCCTGACCCTTTTGGCCCTACTTGACCCAATCCCTGACCCTTTTGGCTCTACCTGACCCTACTTCTGACCTTTTTGGTCCAACCCAACCCTGCCCCTTACCCTTTTACCCCTACCTGACCTTATCTCTAATCCTTTTACCCCTACTTGACTCTACCCCACTATGGTATAGTAGGTAAGTTAGGTATGGTAACTAAGTAGTATAGGGTTTGGTATGGTATGATGTAGTATAGTATGGTATATAAGATAGTGTAGGGTATGTTAATATAGCTATATATATAGGGTATGACGGTGCAGGATACGGTAGGGTATTGTACGGTAGGTAGTATAGAATACGATATGGTAGGTAAGGTAGAGAATAGTAGAGAACGTACGATATAGTATGATATGGTATGGTATGAGACACTATGGTGTACTAGGTAAGTGAGGTATGGTATAGTAGGTAGCATAGAGTATGATAGGGTAGGGTTAAAATAGCCAGGGGTAGTGTTCGGTAGGGCAAAAAGGGTCAGGGGTAGAGTCAAGTAGGGGTAAAAGGATCAGAGATAAGGTCAGGTAGGGGTAAAAGGGTAAGGGGTGAGGTTGGGTAGGGCTAGAAAGGTCAGGGGTAGGGTCAAGTTGGACCAAAAAGGTCAGGAATGGGGTCAGGTAGGGCCAAAAGGGTCAGGGGCTGGGTCAAGTAAGGCCATAAAGGTCAGGGGTACGGTCAGGTTGGACCAAAAAGGTCAAGGGTAGGGTCAGGTAGGGCCTAAAAGGTCAGGAATGGGGTCAGGTAAGGCCAAAAGTATTTTTTTTTAAATATTTTGGATCGCCCATAAAGAAATCGCCCTTGAAGAAATCGCCCAAAAAAAAATCGCCCCTAGGTGTGCGTTACGACTTTTAGTCTTGTTGTAACACTAATAAGCGTAATTCAATGATTTTTTGATTAATAGTTGTAATTGATATCAGTGTCACAACGCCTATGTGTTATCTACATTGTTCTCTAAACTTACCACAATATTGCGGTCGGCCGCCATGAGTTGGTCTTCAAATGAGCCAACTGCTGGCCGCTTACGGCTAGTCTTTTCGGCCTTGGCGACAATTTCAACATTGTTCATGTTCATTGACATTTTGATTTTTGATTTTTTTTGATAAAAATTTAAAAACGTTGAGTTAAAGCGATCTCTGTAAAACAAAAAATATTTTTTGTTGTTTTCGTTATATTGTACTTATTACTATTAATCACGATGTAAATGTTATTTCATACGCGGGAACACGATATTTATCCATTATTCACGGTTACAGTACGAAACAGTACGGTAGGCACACGACAGGACCACACAGTACTGTAGGAACACGAATCATACGGTATGAACATCGAATTCAACTTATTTCCTCCCTGATTGAACACAAGAACATTTTTTTACTTTGACAATACATCGGAAACATGTATTAAATTATAATACTAAACCCCTTGATTGATCATAAGTTATAAGAATAAAAATTAATACACGCATTCCACCAACCTAAAAACATAAAGTGATGTGCGATTTTTAAAAATTAAAATATTGCAGAAAGGCCTATGGCACAAAAAAAGTTTATGTATCTTGAGATAAGATGCTTAAAGCACATTTTTAAATATTTGCCTTGAGGTCAGCGATACGCGCAGTCTGTAGTTCAGAGTTCATGGTGCAATTTGTGTAATTGTGAGATAAGATTTAATAAATAGGATTTTGATTTCATAAAAAAAACTACGTTTAAAATTTGATAAAATTTCAATTATGGAAGACAGAATATTGTCAGTATTTCATAAAAAGCTTATTGTTAGAAACTTTACATGGAAGAGTTTGATAAAAGCATGTATATACAAAAATAGAGGAAGTTATACACAGATAGAGTAGTTATTTATAATATAAGTACTTATATTACAATATAGTATCATAATATCACGCATAAATATCAAATACTATCAAAAAATATATTGTATTCATAAATTAGAGTATAGTAACATAATACCACGCATAAAAGATAAAATAATCAAAAATTGGTTAAAATGTAATTAGAAGTCGTCAGGATAAACTATACAAAACAAGTTGTCAACATACACACATTACAGTACCCTAAATTAATAAACTTTACTGTCCATACCTAACTATAGTTATGAATATGTTGTGCCTATACCTAACTAAAGCTATGTATAACTTTTAAAAATTTATAAACACATGATTGAACCTTGCAAACCCTACAGAATAAAGTCAATACCTTAACAATGACAATATGTACTACCTATGCTACATTACTAACATAGGTAGTACATAATCACTAAAATCCCTAAAAATTAATACACGACTGCATCCCACAACCATAAAAACACAAAGTAATTTGCATTTTGTAAAAATGTAGCTATTGGAAGGCCAACGGCACAAAAAAAGTTTATGGATCTAGAGATAAGATCCTCAAATCAAATCCTTTTATTTTGCCTCGAGGTCAGCAATCCGCGCACTCTGTTGCCCAAAGTTCGTCGTGTGGTTTAATTGGGAGATAAGACTAGACATATTTATATAAAAATGCAATGAAAATACTGCATAAAAATCGCTCAAAAATTTAAAATCTTTTCAAGCAATGACACGTTATACAGAAATTGCATTATAGAGAAGGCATAAAGTGAATCTACACGGGAAGTAAATCGCCAAAGTGTGCGATAAGCCACCGGCACAGAAATCTTTCCTATTGCAACACTATCACAAAAGCTTTTTATTTTTCTGTTTTACCTCGAGGTCAGGAAATATAGTACCTATGAGTACAAAGGTCATGCTGTCTCTTGAACTTGGTAACATAAAAAATATGATGTCGAGCCTACAATTTAGTAAAAGTTACATTTGTATAAAACGTTACAACAGTTGAACTTCTGTATAAAAAATTCTTCTATGACAAAACTTCTGTGTAATAACCAAATATAAACTGCCTAACAATACACATAGCATGCTATATAGCATATAAAACTCATGCAGAACAAAACTCCTTAATAACAATAAAATTTTACATCCCCGAGCAAAATTGTTATACACTGTACTCAGATATTATTATCCTATGTATACTTTCGATCCCCGTCTTTGTAATTAACTATAGTAAAAGAAACAGCTACAAACAACATCCAACTGCACCATGCAACCCTAAATATGTAAAATGAGTTTTCAATTGGTGTAAATTTTGTTTGCGATTGAGCTTTTGATACAAAAAATTTTATTATTAGGATACGAAACGACAAAGCTCATTTACATTAATATTACGTTAAGATCGGCCAATCGTATAACCAATAGTACAAAGATTAATCTATTCTTTCTAAATGTAGACAAAATTACGGTGAAACTCCTGTATAACGAAAAAAAAATTAAAATCTCTAAGCAATTCGTTATACAGGAGTTTCAGTATAGATATAAAACCTCATTTATGTCAACTACAATGTTTTAACCGTTGTTAGATGTAAAAACCTAAATCATTTTTTTGGCTTTATTATGATCTGAATACCATGAATATTTAGTGTTGATTTAAAATTAATAAATTATTGATTTTTTGAATATTGTTGTGCTTCGTTGTACTGGCATCATATTAAGCGGGCACGAGTACACCTTTTAGCGCCACGACAATGAAGAACTTGGCATTCTTCACCATGTACGTTTGAATATTGAAGTTGGGTCTTCATCAATTTTTGCTCTCATTAAAGATATCCGGCTATTATATCTCGAGATGCCTGAGGACGAGAGCGCGATGACCCGAGGGGTTTTGTTTGCGGTCGTTACAAAAGAAGGTAAAAAGGCTTTGGTTTCGTGTTCGCAAAAGTTTTTGGGGGGAAAGAGAAGGACAAAAGAAGAAGAAGATCATTCTGGTCTATTGTTTTGCGAGCTGGCCAAGAAACCCCACTTTTGAACCGATTTTCCATCGGCCAGAGGGGTAAAATTTTGCGCGAAAATTTTGGGGATTACCTTGAGCTAGGTGTTGGAGGCTTTACGTGTCGAAAAGAATAAAAAAAAGTGGGAAGAAGTAAGGTTGAGTAAAAATAAGATATTTTTTGAGGTTAGGATGACACTAGCCTCAAAAGAGAGTATTTTTCCTTTTTTTTGTTTCGTTGAGGTGTGATTTTAAAAAATTTTTAAATTTCGAACGTTTTTAAGTTCAAAAATTTAAAAATTTAAAATAATTTTTATTTCAGAATCTTCCAAAGATAATATGAATCAGAAACTACTAAAAATCTATCCATTTCTACCCTAAAACATTGTTTTGCCCAATTTACTACAATATCAAAATCAATCAATCTACTATAATATAAACCATCCAACCTCAACTTAATGTCCGAGAACCCTGAATGGATTGAAATCCAAGTCAATACGTTTACAAATTGGCTGAATCATGAGCTTCGACATACTAGCATAACAATCAACGATCTGTCCACGGAATTATCGACCGGTATAACATTGATTCGAATTGTTGAATGTCTTCAACAACGAATATGCAAAGCCAAGGTTTATGTGAACAATCCCACGGAAATACAATGTTTGATGAACATTCAAATAGCACTGGATGCTTTGAATGAAAATGGCATTAAGTTGGTCAATATTGGTAGGTTTTTATAATAGCATTGGCTAAAAAATTTTAAAAATCTTTTATTCTTTTTTTAAAATTTTTATTTATTTTTTTTACATTTTTATTTTTTTTGTAAATTTTTGATTTTTTTAAAATTTTGTTTTATTTTTTTTTAAATTTTCATTTTTTTTAAATTTTTTATTTTCTTAAAAATTTTTATTTGCTTTTTAAAGATTTTTTATTTTTTTTTAAATTTTTATTTGTTTTTTTTCTTTAATTTATAATTTTTTTTAAAAATTTTATTTAATTTTTTAAATTTTTTTTTATTTTTTTGAATGTTTTTACTTTTTTTTTAATTCAATATTAAAAAATAAACTCTATTTTTTTAAAATTTTTATTTGTTTTTTTCTAATTTAATTTTGTTTTTTAATTTTAATTTTTTTAAAATTTTTTATTTTCTTAAAAATTTTTATTTGCTTTTTAAAGATTTTTATTTTTTTTTAAATTTTTATTTGTTTTTTTTCTTTAATTTATAATTTTTTTTAAAATTTTATTTAATTTTTTAAATTTTTTTTTATTTTTTGAATGTTTTTACTTTTTTTTTAATTCAATATTAAAAAATAAACTCTATTTTTTTAAAATTTTTATTTGTTTTTTTCTAATTTAATTTTGTTTTTTAATTTTAATTTTTTTAAAATTTTTTATTTTCTTAAAAATTTTTATTTGCTTTTTAAAGATTTTTATTTTTTTTTAAATTTTTATTTGTTTTTTCTTTAATTTATAATTTTTTTAAAATTTTATTTAATTTTTTAAATTTTTTTTTATTTTTTGAATGTTTTTACTTTTTTTTTAATTCAATATTAAAAAATAAACTCTATTTTTTTAAAAATTTTTATTTGTTTTTTTCTAATTTAATTTTGTTTTTTAATTTTAATTTTTTTAAAATTTTTATTTTTTTTTCTTTTAAATTTTTTAAAATTTTTAATAGTTTTTTATCTTTAGGCAGTCAAGACATTTACGAAGGAAACCTCAAGCTCATCCTCGGCCTAATATGGGCTTTGATTCAACGCTATCAACTTGGTACAGACGCTAAGCCATTATCTAAGAAGCTGGTGTTATCATGGCTTCAAGCAGTACTACCAGAGGTACATTTGAGTAACTTTCGATCGAATTGGAACAATGGAATTGCTTTATCAGCTTTGATAAACTACTGTGATGACAAGTTGTTGAGCGATTGGAGAGATATCGATCCGGAGAATCGGTAAGTAAAAGGTTTATGGATGGCTTCAACGAGATCTACAGGTAGGTCTTGTTATACATGACAAAATCTATAGGAAGGTCTTGTTATAGTCAAAACTTTGTAAAAATTTAAAACTGTTTTCATTTATGTGGTACTACTGGTACTACTGGTACTAATGGTATTACTGGTACTAATGGTACTACTGGTACTAATAGTACAATAAGAGAAGTCTAGTGTAATTTTAGAAGCACAAGTAACTGAGCTCCAAATCATTTTACATTTCAGCCTCCAAAACTGCCAAAAAGCATTAAAAATCGCTGAAGAACACCTCAACGTACCTACTATAATATCAGCCGAATATCTAAGTTCATCAGACTTGGATGAACTGTCATGTATGACATACTTGTCATATTTTGTCCGTAAAGATGGTCCTGGATACAACGCTACATTAAGAGATGTCCAAGGAGTGCTGTATGATTTGGAGATTCCAGATTTTGGAGTTTGCTTCAATGATGGATACCTACTATGCAGAATGGTCAATGTTTGTGGTGGAAAGATTGATTTGGAGGAAATGACATTTGATGACAAAAGTCATTGGAGTTGGAATGTTAGACAGGGTATGTGGGTTTATTTAGCTCTATTTTAACGTATGTATACTAGCCGTTATCTTAAACTTATACTAGCTTATCTATGGGAGCTACGGCCAGCTAAAGGCTAGTACAAGTGTTAGGGCTATTCTTTTTTAAAACTTATCTTTTCAGCCTTAGATGCAGCAATAAACGTTGGAATTCGAACTACACTGCAATCTGATGACATAACTTCTAGTAACCCTGATCATCTTGGTAAACATCCTTTATTTCCTTTATAAACCATAGTATTAGGATGTTCAAATAATTCTCTGCCCCTTAGCCCAGCAAATTTTCTTGCAAAGGGGGCATAAGATTATAAGAACAACCTAATATAAGCCTAAAAGAGCTCATAAACAACATACAGGGTAGTTCTGTTACAAATCATTATCGGTCGTTTCCTCTATGTTTTTTTTCGTTTTTTAGTATTATAACTCTGTTTACCGTAGTAAAAAAGCTTATCGCAACAAAAAACCATGTTATTCCAGCTATAATGAACATATGTGCAATGCTAATACAAAAACAGCAATATGAAGAACCGAGTACCTCAGCAGGAACCTCAGCAGAATGTTATAATGGGCAACAACTGAAAATGGACTTGGCATTTGCTGAAAAAGCTTCAGTTGACATTGACGACTTGGATGTTGTGGTAGAGGATGACGATGGAAACATTGTATCAAATGATGTGCTGAACCTGGTGAAACGAGAAACTGATGGCGGAGCTAGCTTGACGTTGGTTCCTGAAGTTGCTGGGTGTTATCAGGTAAAATTTTGAAAATTTGGCGGGGGAGGGGGGAATGTTGGCTTGAGTTTTAATATTTAGTTTTTTTAATGGTATTAGTCTTAAGCTACTGTAAAAATGAGGTTTATGTTGTAAAAAAATAGTCTTTAGTCCTTATAAAAAGTAGACTTGACTTATTATAGAAGTAGTCTTGAGTCATTGTAAAACATTTTATATTATCAACTGCTCTTAGTAAACTACTATGACCGCTTGCAACGTATTATACACATAAATATCCTATCCGTTCTTCTTCTGTCCACAAAATCCTCTATTTGTTTTTGCATTTCCATTTTTTTCGATATTTTTTTAAATCCCACTCAATGGCTAATATCGAATAATGTTCTGTTTTGGTCAGGGTACAGAAATGTCTTTCTAAAACAGGGAAATTTTTGAAAAAAAGGGTTTTTATTCGGGCTGGGTGGGGTATTTTAGTCTGAAAGAGGAGGGGGGGGGGAGAGAGGGAAAGATAAAATAATATTTTTTTTTAAATTCAAGTTAAAAAGTTATTAAAGTTAGCAGGGAAATAACTTTTTTTTAAATTTTTTAAGGGGGGGGGTACGACAAGAAAAAAAATTTTGCAAAAAAAGTTGAACGTGGTCCTCCTGTGGATTTTTAGAAAAAAAATTTAAAATTTTTGACTCCCGCCACCTGACCAAAAGTTTCCGCCCGGCCCTGGTTACGACGGTGCTCTCATAGATCTAATTTTTCCTTTGTCTTGCTTTATATTAGCCTTGCCATAGGTCTACTCTAGCCCTATCTTATCTCTTTCATCGTTTCCTCTTAGCCCTTTCATATGCCCTAATACTTTAGTTCTACCTCAGCACTACCCTGGGTATATCCTAGTTTTACTTCGGTCCGGCTCATAGCTTTGTCATGGACCTACTTTATCGCGTTCGTAGTCTTCTCTTGACTCTACCTTATCTGTATTATAGCTCTCTTCTAGATCTTCTTTATTTCAGCCTTACTTTAGTTCTACTCTATCCTAGCACTACTCTAGTCTTGTTCTAGTTTTACTCTAGTCCGTCTCCTAGCCCTTCCTTAGCTTTACCTTCTCTCTTTCTTAGCTTCCTTATAGCTCTTCCTTATTTAACCTTACTGTAGTTCTGTAATAGCAACACACGACGTTCCTAGCCCTTCCTTAATTTAAATAGCCCTACCCTACCACTATTCCAGTTTTATTCTAGTCCCACTCTAGTCCGACGCCTAGCCCCGCCTTTGCCCTACCTTATCTCTTTCCTAGCTTTCTCTTAAACTATCCATATGCCTTACTTCTGTTCCACCCCGACACTACTATAGTCTTCTCTTAGTCTTACTTTATTTCTCTCCTAGTCTTACTCTAGCCCGTTTTCTAGCCATAACAAGTCCATGTAGAAAGTAAGCATCTGGTGCTATTACATACAACCAAACTGTTGTGCATTGCTTTTGTCGCTGTACAAAAAACGTTTTTTTGATTAATTCGACCCTTCCACTGGTTTAAGGTTGCTGTTAAAACCGGAGCGCGGTCTTCTGAAGGTCAGCCGGGCTTCTTCTCCTTTCGCCTCCCAAATGCCGATCTATTTTTGGTGGTCATCGCGAAAGGGACATGAATATAAAATACAGCCCCCAAGGTTCGCAAATCGCTGCTTAATGTGTTTCGAACTGTTATTTATTGAAGTTTGACGGGTCATTGGGCTAAGGCATATTATGCAGGTTTAAGCGGGGGGAGGGGGAGGGCGATTGATTTTTTCGGAATTTCGTGGAACAGGGGTTGCTTTTTCTTGATTTTTTTATATAGGGTAGATGAGAGACGTTGGAGGGGTTTTTGATTTGGCAGGGGCATGGGTAAAAAATAAAAAGCGAGGCAGGGTGAGTCAAAGACCGCGTAATTATTATAAATGACAAGAAAAAGATGAGTTTAGGGCTGTGGATAGGGTTAGAGCTTGGATTTGAGCAAGGGTTTAGGCTAGGCCTTGAGCTAGGGCTTCAGATAGGGCTTGAGCTACGACTTGATCTAGCACTTAAGCTAGGCCTTGAGCTAGGGTTTAAGCTACGGCTTGAGCTAGGATTTGAGCTAGGGTTTGAGTTAGAGCTAGGACTTGAGCTAGGGCTTGAGCTAGGGCTTGAGCTAGAGCTTGAGCTAGGACATGACTTAGGGCTTGAATTAGGCCTTGAGTTTAAGTTAGGGCTTGAGCTAGGGCTTGAGCAAAGGCTTGAGCTAGAGCTTGCATTAGGATTTGAGCTAGGGCTTGAGATAGGGTTAGAGCTAGGGCTTGAGCTAGGGCTTACGTTGGGACTTGGAGCTAGGGCTTGAGCTAAGGCTTGAGTTAGGGCTAGGGCTAGGACTAAAATAAGGCTAATAACGTAAATATGTCTCGATTTTCCGACCATTTTAACCCAAAAGCCTTCGTGTTACACGCCAATTCGCGATCCGCGTGTTCCACCGAAACTCTCAAAACCCAAACCTGTGCCGGTTTTATTACGAATCCAGTTGGGCGGATTTTTCGAATTTTTTTGTAATAATTTGTCTGACGTTTTTTGTTCATTTCGTAGTTTTTTTTCGCCCTGCGGCGGGGTTAACTCGAGCCGTTATTTTCGTCTGATCTCGAAATTCATTTAGGTTTAAATCTTACTAACCGGATAGAGGAATAGGTAATGAGTGTGGGTTTAAATCTTACTAACCGGATGGAAGAATAGGTAGTGAGTGTGGTGGGGAAGGAAGGAGGTAAGGGGGGAAGGGGGGTGGGGGGGGAGGGGGGGTTGTGTATTTTTGTTTTTTAAAAGATTTAAAATTTGCGGACCGTTTTACAAAATAAAATAAATTAAATTAATTAATTTATTAAATTTTATTTTGTGAACCGGTGCGCAACGGTTCAGATGAATTTAATGATTTTGATTTTTAATTATAGTAAATAAAATTTAAAAATAGTTTTTTTTTTTAAATTCACAAAAGCAAATTTGTCACATTATTGTAACAATCCATGTTCCTGAACGTCTCTTTCCAATAAAAACAAGTCAACAACACTTTGATTAACGATTCACTCTAAAACAATATAAAAACCACTTCCCAACCCTTCAAAACAGTTTTTGACAAATAAAACTGTCAATGCCATTCTTTTTTGCACTTTTTTTCAAATTCTATCACTTTGCACTTTCTCTCGCTCATTACACAATTTTATTTATTTATCACGCCATTACTATTTGTTTGGTTATGTCAGATCGATCTTCTCAAACGACCGACGTGAGATTCTGAACGGCTTTGGGGAGACGGGAGGCGATATCCGATATCTTTCTTATGATTTATATTTGCAATACCATGTTTATACATATAAAAGCGTAGGGTATATTACTGGTTGGGGGTGAAGTTGTAGTAGAAAAATTGGGTGGTGGTGGTGGGGGGGGGGGATTTCTTAAGTTATTTTTTAGGGAGGAGAGCTTAAACAATGGGTAAGGGTAGGGTGAGGTAGGGTACAGCATGAGTAAGTTAAGATGATGCAAGGGTAAAAGAACGAAGAGTTGGGAAGATTAAGGCAAGGCAAGTCCAGTTTATATCAACAGTTTTCTATTTATAAAAAAATATTTGAAAAATTCACGTTCTACTATAGTGCGTATTTTACCTGTCTTAAAATTTTATAAAACAAACTTATCTAGCCATACAGACATTCTCTTCATGTCTATTCTTTATTGCTTTTTAATTAAATTTGCGTGAATCGATCAGCAATTTAATTTGGTCAATCTGAAACCAAACAAAAAGTTTGTTTGGTATTTTTCGCTGTAATTTCGGTTTAAAACTGTCGCTTTTTTGTCACAAAAAAATTGAAAAAATGCGAGATTTTCACAAAATGAGCAGATTTTGTCGCGAAATTTTCCCATTTTCCCACTTCTTTATTGACATTAGTGATAGTTACTGGACATTTCGGCGCTAGGACAAATGCGGTTTTTGGACATTTGCGGATTTTTTAAAGGTTTTTTTTAAAATTTTTTAGTTAATTTAGTTGTATTATGGTACTAAATTGTACTAAAGTTTGAATTGGTACAGTTTTAACATAACAGTACCTTTTTGGGCTTTTAGTACCATTCAGTACCAAAAAATATAAAACAGTACCGATTAAAAATTTAGTACAATTTAGTACCATACTACAACTAAATTAACTAAAAAATAAAAAAAAACCTTTAAAAAATCCGCAAATGTCCAAAAACCGCATTTGTCCTAGCGCCGACGTTTCTTGTAATAATTTTTAAGATAAATATTATTTAGCATTCAATCTTTTATTTCTGAGGTATTCATGGCTAATTTTGGATTATCCGTCGTGGACGGCCAGTTAGAAATTGTCTTTTATACCTAAAATTAGGTAAAACCCTTTATATCAAACTTAAAACTTTATCAAGTTTATTGATTTTGTTTTAGCTAAATTGCTTATAAAATGAGGATCAATTTGATACTAAACTCAATATAATTCGTTGCATAGTTATTGAGATCTAAGTTCGGGCCTTTCGATATTGTTTTAGTAGATCAAGGACTTCGCGCGCGTCGAAAAATTTTAATATTTTTGTCATTTTAAGTTCCTCAAAGACGAGAATTTGAAGTAATAAATAAAATTAATGTCTCTAGAATATAATTATAGGTTTTTTAAACACTTTCTTAATGTTATACTTCTGCTTTGATGTTCTGTCTTTTCATCCTCAAGATGTTTCTGTTTCTACTTCAATATCGCTTTTTCTACCTCAATATGTTCTGCTTTTACTTCAACATCTTGCTCTTCTTACCTCAATAACTTGCTTTTTGTATCCGTCATTGTTTTATATTGATGTTATCCTTCTACTTCTGTGTTTTGTTCTTTCATCTCAAGATGTTTCTGCTTCTACCTCAATTTGCTTTTTTTTATCTCAATATCTTTCTTCTCCTACCTTAATATCTTCCCTTTTTTATCTTAACATTCTGCTCCTTCATCCTGAGTATTTCACAGCTGTTACCTCAATGTTATGTCCTTTATCCTCAATATTTTTCCTCTTCTTCCTTTATATCTCAACCTTTCTACCTCAATATTCTGTCCCATTTACTTTCATTTTCCACCCCTTCATCCTCAATATTTTACCTCCTCTTCCCTTATATCTTAACCGTCCTATCTCAATATTCTGTCCCATCTACATTCATTTTCCACCCCTTCATCCTCAATATTTCAACGTTTATACCCTCAATATTCTTCCACATCTACGTCTATACATTCTTCGAGTTTATTGTTAGCGGTCAAGACGTTTTACCGCAAAAATATCGAAATAATTTAAAAGGTCAACCGAGTGTACAGTTAGTGCGATGCCTGCCTTCTCTCTCTCCTTCTGAATTCCATTTGGCGGCGGAAGTCGGAAAAAGTCGATGAAAGCAATCGTTTGAACGATGTAAACATTTATTTCGCTAGCCTTTTTTGCTCCCTAATTTAAGAGTTTTATTGCTAATTTGAATGAAGGAGGAGGGGGGGGAGTTTAATTGTAGTTTTGACCAGAGGGGTGTTTTGTTAGGATTTTTTTCAAAGAAGGGATGGTTTTGGTTGTTTTTTTTTTCGCTGGAAGGGTAATTTTGGTAGCAAATTTGGGAAGGGGGGGAGTGGTGGCGGTGAGTTTATTACTGAATTGAAACTAGGGGGTGTTTTTGATCGTTTATTAAATTTTAGGGGGGTTTTAAACTATTTTTATTGGAGTGGTGGTTTTTTCACGGGAGGGTTGGTTTTAGTAACAAATTTGAGAAGAGGGGTGAACTTAGTTGTGAATTGCAAATAGAGGGGCGTTTAGATCGTTTATTCTATATTAAGGGTGGTTTAAGAAGTTTTTTTTTTTACTTTGAGGGATGGTTTTTTTTGGAAGGTATGGAAGGGTAGGGTATGGTAGGGTAGGGTAAGGTAGGCGTGTTTTTATGGTTTTAAAACTTTCTCTGTAGTCGCCATTGCAGTAATTTTTAAATTTTTAATAAAAAATAACCCAATCTCTTCAACTTCAGGTCCACATATTCTGTGAGGCAGTGGAATTGCCAACGTCTCCAATCTTTCTCACGGTACGATCAAGTTCACCAGCCTCGGATCAGAAGGGAAGACCGCCCAGTCCAATGGCGGATTACGATCAGCCTCACGTCGGAAATGTCTCGTTCTCCGGACTAAACGAGCCTTGCTCGGTGGGCAGTCATGTCGAAGTTGTGGTAGGTTTTTAAAGATTTTTGGTATAGTCTGGGCAGGGTAAAATTGATTTTTCTGATGAAAACAGGGCGGGGTAAAACTGATTTTTATGACAGAATCAGGGCGGGGTAAAATTGAATTTTGTGATGACAACAGGGCGGGTGAAACTGAGTTTTGTGGTAAAATCAGGGCGGGGTAAAATTGATTTTTATGATAAAATCTGGGCGGGGGTAAAATTGTTTCTATAAATTTCGAAGGTGGACAAATGAAATAACATAGTAAAGTATAGGTAACATAAAAGTAACATTTTTTTGGGCAGTGTAAGATTTTTTTTGGGCGTGGTAAAAAAATTTTTGGGCGGTGTGAAATGTTTTATTTTGTTTTGTTTTTAATAAAAGCAATACTTTCAATTTGTAGTTAAAAAGCGTACCACCGATGTGTTTCTCTATATTTATGTATTTGTTTGTATTTCTTATCAATGTTCTTGAAAAGCCTTATCAGCATCGAAATTTAACTCCAATTTGGCGTCACAAATCTGAGAAAAAATATTTTTTATGGGCAGGGTAGTGTAAGGTAAAAATTTCAGGATTTTAAAAAAGGAATTGACGAATTTACAGCGTATTTTACATAAATTTCTATTTATTTTTGACACTTTGAAAAACCGATAAAAATTGTGACATTTCGTCATAAGATTACAAAATTAACAACTTGTAATGCTGTACTAAATTGACTTTGAATGGGAGTGAACGTAAGGCGAGGTAGGGTAGGGTAAAGTAGGGTAGGGTAGGGTAGGGTAGGAATCATAATTGAACTTAACATAACAGAATATTGTACTAACTTCTTTCCAATTTCAGATCAATGCGCAAGGCGGGAGCGCCCAACGTAGCGAAGTGAGTGTGTTATCAGTGGCGCCGAGCGGCAAACGGCGAGAATGCAAAGTCACTCACCAGGCCAATTCCTTCACCGCCATTTTTCAGCCGGACGAAGTGGGTGAGTCGAACTTTTGATATTGATATTGGAGGGTTATGTTAAGCTAGTTTCTCTATATTTGTTCTAATTTAATTAAAATTTCTATGCTATGTTAATATTGGCAATATAATACCTTCTGAAGCAATATTTGGATCTAAAACAGTGTTTGAATGCTATTTTTTGCTATAATTTTGCTGTTATGATGACTTTAATCATTGCTTTTGGGCTTAATTAAAGTTTTTTTTTATAAAATGCTAATAAGGTCCGCCTCTCATGCAGGTCAGTGGCAAATTGGTATTGTTTATGCTGGAGAACACATACAAGGCAGTCCATTTGATGTCCAAGTGTTTGATGCTGATCGAGTGAATGTTTATGGTCTTGACGTTGGACTAGTAGGACAAGAACTCAAGTTCACAGTAGATGCACAACAAGCTGGAGAAGGAGCAGTTAAAGTGGGTTGCTTTTGGTTATAGTGTTTTTGGCTTTAGGGCTTTGATGTGAATTTCTGTGGAGAATACGAAGGGCATGATAGGATATTGTATTATAGGGGAAGGTACAATAAGTTAAGATAGGTTGGTGTGGGCTAGTGTAGAATAGGATTGCGAACTGTATGATAGGATAGAGTAAGGAAAGTCAAGTTAATGGTAGGGTAGTGTAGGGTAGCGCAGGATAGGGTAGGGTAGGGTAGGGTAGAGTGGGTAGGATGGGGTGGGGTAGAGTAGGGTAGAGTAGTCTAGGGTAGATTACAGTAGGGTAGAGCATCCTAGAGTAGGATACAGTATGGTAGAGTAAGGTAAGGTGGACTAGGGTAGGTTACAGAAAGTAGGGTAACATAGGGTAGTTTAAGGTCGGATAAGGCAATATATGTGTAGTAGACTATAGCTAGATTCTAATTTTAACATTTTAGGTATCAATATTCAAAAACAACAAACAAATCCCGTGTGGAGTAGTGGAAGAAGGCACGAGGCATAGGTATCGAGTACATTTCACACCAGACGGTCCAGCACGCTACGAAATTCACATTACTTTCAACGGAATGGAGATCAAAGGTAAATCTTTATCTAAAAGTTTTTAAAATCTGTATTTTAAGTTCAAAATTTGTTATTTTAATTTAAAATTGCAAAATTAATTTAAAGCGATATAAAAGTGCATTTCAGGTTCCCCATTCATTTTGGACATTGCTGATGCCAGCCAAGTCTCTGTCCACGGCGATTTCTTAAAAACGGCCGCTGTGGACAAAATGGCGCACTTTTTTGTTAATGCTATTGGCGCAACAGCTAAAGACTTGAATGTGGTCATCACAGGTAAGTTCACAAGCTTCATTTTGACAGTTTTTAATTTGCACGCTTCTAACTGCTATCTTGGACTTCTAACCTTTAACATTAGGTTGTTCAAATGATTCTGTGCCTCTCTTTAAGCAAAATTTAGGGGTTAGGGGCACAGAATTACTTGAATGGATAAGGAACATCTTTTGAGTACTTCTATCTTACTTTTAATTTTTTTCTAACAGTACTGTAACTTTTTGAAGGAAGAATAGTACTTAAATTCTTCTTTTCTATCATGATCTAAAAAACGATTGTAATATTTGAATATTACACTTGATATCAAAATGTACAGGTATTGGTACTAAAAAGTACTTTAATAAGGTCTACGTAACCCTGTGGTACTAATGTAAATATCAAAGGGTACAATAATGGATTAAAACAGTACTAGTACCTCTGCAGTACTGTAATTATATTTTGTTCAACCTACAGTAAAAGTATGTTACAGTACAGTAAAAATAAAATTTAATTTTTTGATCAAAAATATTGTCATTATTGTATCATATTGTCTGCTAAACGCTCGCTTATAACCAATTTTCTTGGGCGGATTGATCGCCTTCTTAAGGACCATCAGGAAAGCAGAAGCATGCCAAAGTGGCGGCCATTGAAAACAAGGCTTTTCGAGTCGAATGGAAACCGGTGGAAGTTGGTAAGTTTTCAATATTGTTTCCAAAAATGCCATTTTTTAATGTTGTATTAAATTTGAAATAAAATGTTTTATAAAAATCACTTTTTCGACCATCAAACCATCTAAAACAATATAAATTAATGTTCAAAACGTTGTTTTTCAGAGGTAAAAACAATTTTGATTGTGCAAATTTGCAGGTGAACACAAAATCGATGTCCAACTGTACGACCAGTCAATATACGACCAACATTTACTGTGCAACGTGGGCGATCCGGAGCTGGTCACCGTCCGCAACATACCTCAATATATTGATCTGAACAAAATTGGCCAGGACTTGAGTTTTGAAAGTAAGTTTTGAGGAAGTTATTAAATATTGACTTTGAGTAATGGATTTTATTTTTAAATTTAAAATTTAGAAAAAATTTTGTTTGACGTGTGGAATTTTTAAAAAATGGCTAAAAATTTCAAAAATTTGGGAAAAACAGGGATGGCGTTGGATTACTGTAACTTTTTAAATTTGACAAGTTTTAAAATTTTCTTTATATGTCCTTTTAGTCCATATTTACACAACGTTTTAAGCCCACAACTATATTTTGAAAAAAGTTATGACGAAAACTAGAACGCGATGTTCTTCACCTACTATAATATACCTTTTTTTGCTTTTATCTCGACAAAATCTAATGTTTCAATCAAGAGCTTTTAAAATTCTAAAATCTCTGCAATCCTAAAACAACAAAAAAGCAAAACCTTGTTTACGCATCTCTTTTCTCACCTCAAAATCAGTAAAAAGTAACATTAACCCCCACCAACAACATTATTCTTGTAGTTGATGCGGCAGCGGCGGGGTCCGGCAATCTCGAGATCATAATCAACGGCGGTCGGGTGACATGCCGTGTCCGCGAGCTGGCGACTCGACATTTCCTCGCCGAATTCACACCTCTACAGCCCGCACCTCATGTTATTGAGATGAAGTTCAATGGGGAACATGTTCGCGGATCACCATGGACATTACCGATCAGGAATGGTCAAGGATCGGTCGAGTATTCGTCGGGTTCGGGGATTCGACAGCTTAGAAGTCAACATGTTGAGGATGAACCGTGAGTTTTGACTAAACTGGCATTTTTTATTTTTGTGGACGAAATGTCACAAATTTTATTGGTTTTTTTGCGAAATGTCACATTTTTTGTAAAATACGAAAAAATTTTTAACAATTCTAATTAGTACGTAATAATGGTTTCAAAAAAATGTTGAAAAAAAATTTTGAAAATTAGACGATATGCCACATTTTTTATCGATTTTTGCAAAGTGTCAAAGCTTTTATTGTCTTTGTAAAATACGTATCCTAGTTTCTTCAATATTGTTATGGTTAAAAATTTTGCGATTTTAGGTATTCTGAATTAGTAGGAGTTGGCCTGCACCGTGCTCAAGTCAATTCAGTCAGTGCTTTTGAAGTCAACGCTTCTACTGGAGTTTTGAAGGCTTCTGATGTCAGGGTTAGGCTTACTGGTAAGATTTTGGAAACTTAAAAGTTTATTTTACTTTTTTTTTATCCCAACCTCACCTTATTCTATCCTACCTAAATTTGCTCGACCCCACTTTACCCTACCCTACGTTAACCTGTCTTATGTAATCCTATCACAACTTATGTTATTGTAGACGCCCACGGAGCAAAGTTAGACGTTCGAATATTCGAACAAAGGAACGGTGTACGATGTGAATACACAGTGAAAAAGGTCGGTGATTATTTACTGGAGATTTTCATAAATAATCGACTGATCGACTCGGGTCCATTGACTGTCACTGGCTACGACTTGAACAAGATTAAGGTGCAGCCGGTCAAAGATGGCGCTCCTGGAGAACCAGTACAGTTTGTCGGTGAGTTTTTGAGTTTGAAAAGTTGTGGTTTTGAGCTTTTTAAATTTTAAAATTTGAAATTTTTTAAAATTGGTTAAAAATGCCATTTTAAAATGAAAAACAATCAAAAAGTAAACAAAATTCAGCTTTAACTCAACAGAGATTAATTAAAAAACCAATTTTAAATTTGATTTTGATAATTTATGGGGCGTATATTAATATGCATGGAACGGAATGTGTAAAGGGGTCATGTACAATATCAATATTAATGTTTGTTTATGCAAGAGATGGGCTTGAAACAATTAAATATCGTTTTTTATTTTTGGTAAAAGTAAAATACGATGCTTGTAGGTATTGTTTTAAAAATTAATTTTTTTAAATTTAAAAATTTTTTGGGAATTTTATTTATTAAAAATGAAGTTTTTAAAATTTTTAAAGCTAAAAATCCTATTTTTAACAGCAGACTCTAGTAGACCAAAAAATTGAAACCACCTGACCGCAACCCAAACCTTTTTTAAAACAAATTGTTTTACAACATTGTAAAAGTAGCGACGTCTGTTTCATCGACGTTCGAAACAGGTCGAGGGATTCTCGTTTCGACTCTTTTTTTGTGTTCGCAGCCACTTTTCTACGCTTACTTGACCAAGAATGTTTACAAATTTATGGGCTTTTTGTTGGCGCAAAAGTTTTGGGTTTATTTAGTGGAAGGGGTAGGTACTAGTTTATTACTAGTGGAGAGAGGGTAGTTACTAAATGCTTTGCTGACTTAGAGAAATCTTTAAGAAACTTTTGTGGCCAGATGGACATAAGCTTATTGTTCTACCCTGAAAGCTTTTCTCTATTCTCAACGCTAGCCTAGATCCGCAAAGGGGCTGGGGTGAGGACCGAGGACAGGTTGGGCTTTGTGGGCCTTTTTTAAATCTACCTCAGCCTCAATTGTAGCTTTTGCTATCGTCCAAGCCCACGTTTCTCAAACCTTAGCTCTTATTATAGCCCTTCCTTTAGTTTAGGATTGTTCTAGCCTTAGTTTCAGCTCTAGGCTTAGTGCTAGCTTCAATTTTATTTGTCGTTCTTACTTAAGACGAAGACTCTTACACTAGCCTTTGATTTAGCATAGCTTTTGTACTAGCCTAAGCTCATTCTTTTTATAAATCTTAGGTTAATATTAACTTAGCTTTTGCTTTTGTCTAGGTTTAGATCTAACCTTAAATTGTAGATTTTATTGTTGCTTAGGTTTAAGCCTTTCTTGCCTCATATTCTTACATGTTAGTTTAAGCCAAACCCTCTTACCTTAGTCTTTGCTTTAGCCTGGCTTTAGCTCTCGCCTTAGTTTTAGCTCTAGCGTCAGCTTTAGCCTTTTCCTATGCGTACTTTAATCATAGAAGCTGCATTTTATATTATTGATGAACATAAACTTTTGTTTAGTGTTGCGTTTCATATATGTATTGTTGCTGAACTCTAATTCCAAACCCCTCCACTTCCCTGCCACTTACACTTTATACTCTGCATTCCACTAATAAAATCGTAAAATATAACAATATCGTTGGATGGTCTAAAAACGCATTGTAATACGCTTCTCGTTTCGTGTGTCAGGATGATCAACTTTACTTGGCTGACAAAAGTGTAGCAGCGCTCGCTTTGAGCCGATTTTTGTGTGTCAAGCGGGGCTGTCGCAACAGAAGCCGCCTGAGGGTTTTTTCGACCCATTTTGTGGATTCCCCCTTTTCCATTTTCGGAGGCTTGAAAATTGGGAAAAGCGATTTTTTTGGCTCGGATTATGGGAGGGAAGAATTATTGTTTAGGTGTGTGGAAATGGTTTTATTTTGCGAAACTTATTTTATTGGTTTGGGGTTGGGAAAAACGTCATTTTGGCATTAAAGGCTAAATTTTAGGCTTAAATTAGTCTTTTTAAATGGTTTTTTTTCTAAAAAAGTTGATTTTTAAGCCAAACATCATATTTGTTACCTAAAAAATCAATTTTCCAAAAAAGTGGCATTTCGTCACAAAACTTTTGCACAAAAACGACATTTTCCATCCAAACAACTCAAATGACATTTCCACCAATAAAATTAGTGTTAATTTGACGGTCTGTCAAGCTGTGTCACAGTTACAATAAAGCTTTCAAAGTTTGCGTTTTGGCTTAAGTGACCTTCACACTTGTTAAGGATTAAACAGCCCAATTCATTTTTTTTTGGTGCTCGGGCACTCTACGGTACTTTTGATTATTGATAGTAAAGGCTTAACTTGACATATTATTGCGGGTTGTTTTTTGGAATTTGGGCTGGATTTTTTGAATGGATTTTAAATTTTTTGTTTTTTTTGAAGTTTATGAGTACTAAGGTTGTTCAGAGCATATTTTTTCATATTTCTTAGTACTGTAGGAGTATGTCGACGTTAAGAGACGTTAATTTTGTGATGAAAACTCGAAATTACTATCATTTTTCGAAAATTTTTGATTCATACAGAAGGTACAATGCATAGTCCTAGACTTAGCTTTTGCCCGAGCCCTTATTCTAGCTTTACAAAAGGGTTGCACCAAATACCTTTCGACTGTTAGAGCAATATCTATAGAGAATTAAAGAGCATAAAACGTAACCAAGAAAACCGTTTTTAAAAATTGCTAAATGGTCTTGGCTAGCGAGATATTATTGGCCAAAGTAATATTTACACATAGCTTATGTTGGTGTTTTACCGTTATTACAAAGAAGTTTTGGTTAGCCAACTAATGTTTTGATTTGAAAATTTTTTACTTATAATTTTCGCGTTTAGTTAGACATGGAGAACGGGTCTGGCCTAATTTTGAGGCCCAGGTCTACCTAAATTTGGGTCAAGGCCGCCCGGTTCGTTCTTCATGTCTACTTTTTGTGGGGTAAGGGGGCGCAGAATTATGTGAACATCCTAATAGTTACCTTTGGAAAAAATATTTAGCAAAAGTATCATTTGAATTTTAAAACTATACCTTTTAATCATATAAGAATATTGAACGTACTGTAATTTGCTAGCCAAGACCAATTACTAGTTTTTGATAATGGTTTTCTTGGTAACTTTTTATGCTCTTTCATCCTACATAGGTCTCGTTCTAAAACCCGAGAGATATTTGGTGTAATTATTTAATTAAATCTAGCACAACTTATATCTTTTTAAAAATAATACATATTTATTCTTTTTCATCTTTTTGTTAGGCCATACTTAATCAAACTCATGTTATAATGAACTCAAGAATCTTCTCTTTATACTACTCTACTAGTCCCTACTCGTTCCCATCCACTCGTATACAACAATCACATAAAATACGTTTAGCACTCGAAACTCTGTCCCTTCGATCTCGCGCTCAACTTTCGATTGTTTGTTGGTCTTGAACGCAAAAACCGACCCACCAAGGTCCTTTCGCGCCCCCCCCCCCCCTGTTTACTCACTCACGTGCAAGAATGTTCCGATTGCTGCGTGTTTTTTTTTTCAACCGGTTGTATTATTGCCTTCCATCGATTTTGCCGGCTTTTCTTTTGTTTACTTTCGGACTGTTTTGTGTTTTGGTGATTATTCTATATTGTTGTTGTTGGGATTTGAGGTGAAATCGAAAACCGAACGGTTTTGTAAACGGATTTTAAGGGTGTTTTGGAAGGTCGGAACGGAAAAGGTGCAAAAAGTTGTCTTTTTTGAAAGGTTACTTGCATTTCTGGAAAAAGTAGGGTTTTTTACATTACTGTGAATGAAAAAGGCGATTTTTTTAAATTTTGATTTGGTCACCCCTGTTGGTTTAAAAAAATTTTTAGGAAACTTTAAGAATTAAAATCTTTTATAATTGCATAAAGTATGGCACGTCAAGGTAGGGTCGACCTGAAAGGGAGTCTATTAGGTGTGGGCGGGCACTGACGGCTCTTAAAAATAAGGCCCAGTGGCTCAACGTAGGTCTTGAAACGAAAGATTTTACTTGCAGCCTTACGTTTTTGCAGGTATAAGTTAGAGTTAATTTCCACCAACCCTCAAACCTATCCAGACGTCACTTTGTATATAAAAACAACAAAGAAGACCTCAAAAAAGGTTTTGAAAACATTGAAATTATTGAATGTTTACACAACATATTTTATGTTTTTTGTTATACGTTTTGTATACAACGCTTATGACGGTATTAGCTCACTGTGTGGGATGGTATTTTGTTGCGGTTTTTTTTTATTTATACAAAAGTTGTTGATATGTTGGAAAAATAGGTAGGAAACTTGATCGAACTGCTAGGGCTTCCAAGGTTTTTAATTTTTTTATATTTGGGTAGGGTAGAGTATTCAAGTCACTGATGACAGGCAGGACCGGGCGCTTTTAGTCTGGGGACAAAGGTCGAAAATTTTTTTTGAAAAGTCCACAGGAGGGGCCACGCTCAACTTTTTTCGAAAATTTTTTCTGGGGGGGGGGAGCCTCTTTGTCCACCCCCTCCCCTTCCGATACACGAAATTATAGGAAAAGTATGGCGGGTTCTTTATGTCGGCACCTAATACTAAATTTAAAAATCGCCGATGAGAAATAAAGCCAAACTTAAAAATCACTGATAAGAGATAAACTTAAAATCACTCCTTAAAAATGTCATGATTGGTCTGTATTAGGACTGTGAGTCACTGTCGTTCAATATGGTATTTGAGGGGCAAGGTAAACAAACTCAAGTCGTTATAGGTAGAGGTGCGTGGGAACCGGAGACGGAAATGAGGAGGTTATAGCGAGCAATATGAGATGAGGCAAAGGTTTCAGGCGGGGATGTTTGCGGGTTTTACAGTGATTAATGATTAGGTTGTGGAGTATTGATTTTTTTTTAATTTTGAGGGTATTATGGCAACAAAAAGTTGTCTTGTTTTCTCTGTTTTGGGCTTTAGAAGATGTTGTTATACTCGGCGCTTTCTAGTTAGGACTGACTATTTTCAAACTTACAAATTCCAACCTATAACTACTATAATATAACACATTAATTACAAGTTTTTATGGCTACTAATTTGAAATGCTCCTTGTTGATTTATGCCTTTTCAGCACATTCGCATTTTGTTTTTAATGTTTTCTACTGAATGTAAAAGCCTTTGATCATTTGTGACCTTTTTCCTTTGCTTTCACTCTTCAGAATGGGGTCTGGGAACGACGCGCTTACAGTTTCGGTTTTGTAGGCTTTTGGTTTTGCAAATGTAGGATTCGAAGTTTTAAAATTTTGAAAATGCGAAACGTTTTAAAACTTTTAAAAAAAGTTTTCAAAACGAGGTTGAAAACCAGTGTCGGGCGGGGTGATTTTGGTTTTTTGGGGGGTGAGGGGAGGGGGGGGTTAATAATTGTTTCAAATATTTTGTTTGAAACGTTCACCGAGAGACCAGATTCAACTTTTTCTAAATATAATTTTGTTGGTTGGGTAGGGGTTTCTTGTTTTAAAATTTTTGTTAAGCTCTGCTAACGGCATACTTCCGCTTTTTCTTCCTCGATTACTTACCAGCAGCTTACAGGGAAAGTACCCTACCTGCCCCGCTCAGAATCAACTCAAAATTTTTACATGAATTCCTTGTACTACTAATAGTACCTATAAAAAATTTTAGCTTGCGCTTTTGAGTTTTAAATTTGAATTCTTTTGGTCTTCCGCTAATTTGGCAAATTTGGCATTGTGTTTCAAGCACTTTTTTTCGACTTTCCAGGCAATTTGCGCTTACAACTTTACAAATGTAGGTTTATTTAAAAGTATTGTTTTAGTATATTAAAGAAAAAATTTTAAAAGTAAAAAAATAACAAAGTTATAAGCATGAAACACAATGCCAACTTGGCGGGAATTTCAAAATGCAATTTTTGATCTGGATTTTCTACATGATCTTTTTATAAGTTTGAAGTCAATCAGAGCGAGGAAGGTCGGTTACTTTTCTTGTAAAGAATGTTCTCACAACTTTTAAACTGGTACTGTATCTCTCATTGCTCAAATTTCTAAAGATCTTTCATGCAGTAAACAACTTTCTTCTAACTTTGCTCAAGCACTGTTACAGTAATTTTCTCATAACTCGTAAACTCGTGCTGTAAATAAGATCTTTCATACATACAGTAAACAAATTTTGTCTTACTGTAAACAAAATTGGAAACAATCCTAAAACTTTTTTGTTTCTTATTTACTCGCGGCGAGGGAAAAAAACATTTGCGCTTACAGCTCGCATGTTCTCAATTTTCTGTTTCAATTCGATTGCCTCTTATATAAATATATCCATGATCAAACACGGGCGCCCGACCTTTGCGTCTTTTGTTACCGATCGATTATATTCGTCTTAGGGACGGGTTTCGTGGTTGTTGCAGCACTGTTTCATGTTTACTTTACTAAATTTTTGTTTTTGGGTTGTACTGGTCGTATGGGGCTTCTGGGGTGGTTCTATAGGTATAGTTTACTAGAGTTTGGCCAGAAGTGTCACTAAAAATGTTTGGGAGGGGGATTATCTTGATTGCTGTATTCTACTCTTTCATTCCTTATCTTACTTTAACATGTCTTGCCTTAAAATATTCTACACTAATCTTTCCTGTCGTGCTTTACTGTACCCTATCTTGCCTTTCCCTACCCTATCTTAGCCTAATCTACTCTACTCTCCTTTATCCTATTCTCCCCAACCTAAACTGCCTTACCCTATCTTACCGTACTTATTCCTACCCTACCGTAACCTACTTTGTATTATCCTACACTAAACTGGCCTACCCTACCCTATCTTATCGTACTTAGGCCTACCCTACCGTAACCTACCCTACCCTAAACTGCCCTACCCCACCCTATTCTACCCTACGTTACCCTTCTCTACTATACCCTATTTTATCCTATCTTGCTCAAGCCTACCGTACCCTACCGTACCTTACCCTACCCTATCCTTCCTTACCGTATCCTACTCTACCTTACCCTATCCTACCGTACTCAAGTCTAGCCCATCCTACCCTACTCAAGTCAACCGTATTAAACCTCAGCCTTCCCTACGTAAGCCCAGCCTGTCTTATTTCATCTAACCTACTGTATTTTACCTAGGTCTGACTGTCGGCCCGGCCCGCGGAAGCCAGATCTAATTTTACCCGTAGCTTAATCTAAATTATTATAACTTACTCTTAATACATTGACTAAAAATGGACTTATTGCCATCAAAACTATCGTAAAATCTCGCGAGCCGTTCATACCAAATCCAAAACTCAAGTTACACATTCCGTTCAGATTCCGTAGCCATATGTTTTAAAGAAAATTCTCTTAAATTCGGAGAGAAAGCCTTTGTTGAGTTGAAGCATGGACAGTGGTTATGTGTCCCAGTTATACGTTATTCCTGCAGTCGACGCGGCCGAAGCCGGCAAAGGCCAGCTGGAGATCAGTGTGAATCAAGGCAAGGTCCCGAACAATGTTCAGATGCAGGATGCGGGTCGATGCTTGGTCACGTTCATACCACAACATGCTGGAACTTATGTCATCGATGTTACGTTCAATGGGCAACAGGTTCATGGTGGGTGGAGTTTTTGGATTTTAGGAGGGTTTTATGGGTTGGGGTGGGTTTTTTGGTATTTAATTTTTAAGGCTATGTTGAGGTAGGGTAGGGTAGAATAGGGCAGGGTAGGGCAGAGTAATGTAAGCTAGGGTAAATTAGGGTAGTGCAAGGTAGGCTAATATAAGATAAGGTAAAGTAAAAATTTTTAAACTTCAAAATGCATTCCAGGCTGTCCAATCCAAGTCGACGTGAACTCAAAGCACGTTGGGAAGCCCTTGTCTCATGCCGTTCATCACAAATCAGGTGGTGTGGCAGTAGCTGGCGCTTCGTCACCAGCACCATCAACCATCGAACGAGGACCATCCTCAGCCTACTTCTCTGGCGGATCACCTCAAATCGACACATCGTTCCAATCGCCGGTATCTCCACTGTTCCAAAGTCAACACAGTCCCAGAAGCCCGATCCTGGTACAACGTAGCAGTGAAGGCCAATATGCTACCGGAGATCAGGGTCTGAAGTCACCTCGGCTGGTCGATTTGGCTCGTGCCGATCAAGCCGGTCGTATGGGATATACGGTAGCACAGTACGGTGAAGGTCAGGAAGGAAATTCTGAATCATACCGTACCAGTCGCTATTTTGGGGATTCTACTGACCGTGCTGAGTTCAAGCCGACAGGAAGATCAGATTACAGTAGTCCTAGCCGTACTGATTACGGTAGCCCGAGTCGAACCGAATATACCAGTCCAAGAAGAGATTATACTAGCCCGAGTCGTACGGATTACGGTACTCGTACTGAATACAGTACGAAGCACACTGAATTCACATCAAAGGACCGTACAGAAGCTCTCCGTAGCCCTCCACACGGCGATTCTACTGTAGATTCCGGCCTCGGTAGTACGGTAACCAAACACCGTTATTTCGAATCTTCCGACAGTCGTCCTCACAGCACGGTGGAGCCAGAATGGCGTAAAAGCCTGATCGAACAACCCCCACCAGTTCCAAAATCACCACCCCCAGAGGAATCAGCCCAATTTCAGATGACACGATCGGCCGAAATGAAGTTGTACGATGACAAACTGAAGACAGAAGACCTGACCTACAAGAAGGGCGTGGGCGAAGAGGGCTACGACTACAAGGTGACGTCAGAGAAGTATAAGCCTGGAGCTAGAAGTCATGTGTCAGAAGGCCATCGTCAATTCTCAGAAGGTCAACAGGCTTCACCAGCACCGTTGGGTGATGTAGCACCGGTTTCCAAGTACGAGCCCGAAGTACAACGTCCCAGCTCACGGTACGAAAGCACGGTGAAGTACGAGGTCCCACCTAAGGATGAGTTCTCGGCTACACGACATGAAGCTCGAGGCGAATTCTCTTCGGCTGCTCGACAAGAATCTGCAGCTTCTAGACAGGAGGAATTACCGTACAAGCCCGAATCCCACCGTCAGTACGACGAACCCCCAAAAGACTACGATGAACCACTAAAAACCGAAAAATCTGAAGCCCAACCGCTACAGAAAGCTACGGAAATTCACGGTGTACCGTTCGAAGCAGCCGTAGAACGACGACCCACTACAGAATACACTCCAGGCCATAGAAGACAACCTTCAGGAGCCCAATCAACGCCAGCTACACCAGGATCACAACGAAGAATCGAGGAATCTGGAGGTGAATCAAGGTCTTCATCTAAGCCTAATACACCAAGATTAAGCCTAAAGTTTGGAAGAGATAAGAGCAAGGACCCGAACAAGGGATTCGAATTCGGAAAGAGCAAGTTCACCAGCAAACATGAAATCGTACGAAGAGGCAAAGATGTGGATGTCAAGTTGGAAAACCTGAAGTTGTCTAAGGAGGACCAGTTAAGAATTGTTGTACTGCGTAAGTTAATGCAATTAAGCAAATTTTTATGGTCAGAGGGCGCAAAATTATGTGAACAACCTAATACAATGAAAACTAACAAACAGACCTAAGATAGCATACAGTTTTTTGATAATAAATTTAAGAAAAACCGTTAAAAGACAAGGTGAATATAATTTCTAGATACTTTAGGAGATTGCAGTTAATGTTTTAGTAATTTTAAAAAGGTAAAACTAAACATTTTTGTGTTATAAGACCTAGAACGTTAGTAGATTATAGGTTGAACCAAAAGTAACGGGTCACTTTCCAGTTAAAAACTGACCCGCTACTTTTGGTTCAACTTATATCACCAGTCAAACCCAAAGTAATAGATTGTTCAAATAATCCTGTGCTTTCTAACCTTCAATTTTTGCTTGGAGGGGGCACAGAATTATTTGGACAACCTAATATCACGAGTAAAGCCTAAAGTTTGGGGAGTAAAGTTCAAATAATAACACAATCAGGAGTGAAACCTAAAGTGATATAAAATAATATAACTTTCTTTAATCATAACTAAAATTGAAACGGTTTTTAAATATTGGTTTTGAGATAGTTTGTTATCTTTTTCATTTAATTTTAAACGTTTTACAATAATAAAATGTCAAAAAATTGATTTTTTTCTTATTTAAACTTCAATACCAACAAAAAAGCCTAAAACAGCATGGTTTTTTTTGCTTATAACAACTATTTTTTGATTTTTATTACATGTTTTACCATTTTAAAGTATTTTAAAAAGAAATATTGATAAATCAAAAGCTACTTTTCAAGAAATGATTACAAATTTTACCCATTTTCCTACCTAAAACACCTAAAATTTGTTATTTACGCGGAAAAACAGATAGAGATCGACCTCATTCCTGAGTAGGTACGCCTTTATTTTGCATTTCTATTAAAAAGTTTTGTTTCTTTTGGAAGTAATTTAGCTGTGGGAACAAAATAAATATAGTTTTTGTAATGGGAACTTGTAATTACAATTGTTTTGAGGGAAAAAGTTGTGTTAGAAGGCCTAGTATAATATAGTGGAAGGTCAGGATATAAAATGGGGGAAGTTTTAAAATTTGTGTTTTACATCTTCAAAATCTCTCATATTTTCAAATTTTGCCATTTTTTGTCAAAGGGGACATGTTATACGATGAAATGAAAGATTTCACAAAATTTAAAAAAAAATTTTAAAATTTCAAAAAAATTAATAAAAATATTTTCAGCGCCATCCTCATCAAAATCCGAAGACCCGAACGCAGCCCCCGACCTTCCACATCGTGTCAAGAAGTCGGGCAAGACCTACGAGATCTCATTCCATCCATCCGAAGTCGGTACCCACAAGGTACTAGCCTTCGTCAACGACCAACCCCACCCTCACTCACCATTCCCAATCCGCGTCTACGACTCATCCCAAATCATTGTTGGTGAAATCGTACCACAAAGCTTCGTCAACGACACCGTCGAGTTCACCGTGGACGCGGGACGCGCCGGCTTTGGCAATTTGGAAATGGCAATCAAGGACAATGATGACGCGATCATACCATCCCATGTGAACCAACTGGAAAGTGGGTCGGCCAAATTCTTGGTCACTTTCAACCCAACTTCGGTCGGTACTCATACTGTGAATATCACCTTCAACAAGGAGGTCATTAAAGGAAGTCCGTTCGCGGTTCAAATCGTGGACCCGGCTGATGGATCGGCTGGAGATTTAAGGTAATTTTGGGGTGATTTTGAGAGTTAAAATGAATGTTTTGAAGTTATTAGATGTAGAAAATACTAGGGATTTTAAAAAATGATGTTTTACATATAAAGTTTGGACAGAAGTGGAAAAAATGGCGCTTTTTTAGAGAAAATGAGGGTCTGATGTCTACTATAATATAAGACATTACATAAGAAATGTAAAATAATGCATTTCTTATGGAATTTACTTTTCTTTGGATAAAATAAAGTAAGATAAATTAGGGAGTAACGGAACTTACAGCAGGTTTTGAAAGAAAACGACTTTTAGGGTTCTGCAGGCTGCAAAGTTCCATGTTATACGATAAAAACTGTTTTTAATTTGAGAAAATATTTCAGCAAAACCAAAGACAAATCAAAGCAAAAGAAGAAGGATGTGAAGAAGGACAAAACGAACGGATTGCCAAAGCTTAAGGACAACAAACCGGTTGTCAATAAGCTTCCATCGCTTTCCAGAGTTCGAGAGTCTGCTCACATCACCGTCCAGATCCCACAGGCTACAGATGTTGTTAGCGCTGTTGTTACCGGTATGTGTATCATCAACATGTTGTATTTTATTTATTTTAGTGATAACTACGAGTTTAAAAATTTTAGGTCTTGTCCAAGTATGAATAAGCCTAATATAAAGGGATGTTTATATCAAAAATGACAAAGTTAATATTATATACTTGTAAAGTATTATAATATCATTCAAAACCATTAATATAAAACTTATTTCTAACACATTTAAACCACTTTCCATCACTAAACACAAAGAATATTCTACTTACATCACTTTTTCCGATATTACACTTGATCTGATCTACTATAATATAACGTTTAACCCATTTCTAACTCACTAAACTCAAATTTCCAGACTCAACAAAAGAAAAACTACCAGTCGAAGTATTTGAAGAAGAACTAGGCCTAAGAAGGATCGAATTTGTCCCACAAAGAGTTGGAGATCACGATATCAGTGTGAACGTGAACGGCCATGAAGTCAATGGTTCTCCATTCACATGCCGCGCCTATGATCCATCCAAAATCGTGGTGGGTGTTGTACCTGATGGTGTTGTCAACAAACCAGTTCATTTTGTTGGTAAGTAGTTGGTTTTTGGGTTAAAACAAAAATTTTTTTGAAAAAAGTGGGGTACGGTAAAGTTACTGTAACTTTTGTATTTTGATATCTTTAAAAACGAAAGTTGTTGGATAGTTAGCAATGTAAATGATCTTTAATTGTACGAAATTTCAAATTTTTCTCTTGCATTTGGCAAAAGTTATAACAAAAATAAGTTATGTTGTTATAGTCATCTGTACCAAAATTTGTCTACTCAAAAGAACTTTTGTTTTTTGTTCTACGATTTAAAAATATGAACCCCAATATTAAGTATAATCTCTTGACCTCGGGAAAAGAATCTCCTCTTCCCCACAAATCTCTAAACTCTCTCCTTCTCAACGCTCTCTTTCTTTCAGTGGACGCAAGCGAAGGTGGAGTAGGAAACCTGGAAGTGGCCGTAAATGAAGGCAAAATCCCATCAATGGCCCATCCCCTAGGCCAACACAAGTACGATATCAGTTTTGTGCCACGAGAGAACGTGGACCATCACGTCAGCGTGCGCTTCAACAACGAGCCGGTTCCTGGTTCACCGTTCCTCTGTCGTCTCCTGAGCTCGCTTCAGGTGCGCGCCGCGGGACCGGGCCTCGAGCGAATCGCGGTGGGTCGCGAGACCGAGTTCGAGATCACCGTCGACGAGCCAGACACCGGAAAACCACTGGCCAACCCCGCTTTGCCGTCCGTCAGCGTGCTGGACGTGAAAGGCAACCGAATCCCGGTCACGGTGCAAAAGGACCCCAGAAGCTCGGAAGCCGGTCGATTCTTGTCCTCATACACGCCAAAAGTGGTAGGAAATCATCAGATCGAGGTTGTGTATGATAACGAACCGATTCCTGGCTCTCCGTTCAGTGTGAAGGCCTTTGACGCATCGTGCTGTCGTCTGATTCTGGAGGAACAGGCTATCGTGGGCAAGGCGTGCACGTTTCTGATTGATGCCGCCAAGGCTGGAGCGGGAAACATGGAGATTATTGTCAGTGTGGACAACAAGAATGTTCCCAATTTTGTTCAGGTAAAAAAACGTTTTTTGAGACGAATTGTCAAAATTTGAAGAGTATTGATTTTTAGGACGAAGTGTCAAAAAAGTATTGGTTTTATATTTTCATTGATAAACTTAATCGAAACAATTTTAAGTAAACCAAGTGCTTTTAGTAAAATAAAAGACGAAGAATTGAATATTGTAATGAAATTTTGCCTAATTTTTAGCCTGAAGGCCAAGCCCGCTTCAAAGTCTTCTTCACGCCACAAGAAGTCAAGGATCACGTTATCAGTGTGAAGTTCAACAGTGAACCAATCCCCGGCTCTCCACTGAAATGCCCAGTTTATGCTGAGAAAACATTGTCATACGAACCCAACTACTCGGTACCACCACCAGTACCAAGTACGCCACCGCCAGAGCAAGAGTTGAAGTTGGTCGGAGACCTGCGAAGTGCTCAAATCGGCCGCCCCAAGGGCTTTAGCATCGATTCACCCCACCCGGGGGCGGATTGTAATGTCGTGATTACCGGTGAGTACGCTTATGTGGCTTCGAACTGTTTTGGGTCGTACGTACGTGGCAGTATATTATGTTACGTACGTGGCAGTATATTATGTTAGAGTTGATCTTGGTTTTTGGGGGATTTATGACATTTTTCATTAGAAATGAGGATTTATGACATTTTTCATTAGAAATGAGGATTTTATGACCCTTTTCATTAGAAATGAGGATTTGATAAAACTTTTCATTAGAAATCACTGTAACAGAACTTTTTGCGCACCTTGCATAAATGAAGTTTTTTGGGATTTCATTTAAAAATGACATTTATATTGCTGTGTACGTACGACTATTACTATCTTCTGGCCTTGTTTTAATATGTTAACGCCGTTTCCGTTAATGAGTTTATGTGTTTCGCTAACTTACAGCTTACCAAAAACAATATTTTGTGCTTTGAGTTATAGAAAAGGTGAAAAATTTCATATTAAACAAAGGATAATGTTCATAGAGAGCATACTAGTTGAGGAAAAGGTGTATTATGAGCTATAATGAGGAGCTAGGACTAAAAAATTATATTGTAGTAGACAAAAAGTTGTCATTTAGGCTAATAATTGCCTTGATGTTGATAAGAAAGGCATTAGAATCAAAGGTAAATAGGGTAAATTACTGGAAATTGAATTTAAAACAAGGGAAGATAGAGAAAAGTTTTGAAAATTCGGTTTTAAACGGGTTAAATTAGGTCCAAATGGCAGACGAGTGTCAGTGGAGTTGGTACGAATGGACGAAGGATTTGATGTGGAGTTCACTCCGAAGGAAGAAGGTAAGCTTTTTTTAGGTGTACATAAGGTTGTTCACATAACTTTGTGCCCCTAACATCGAAAATGGGGTTTTAATTGGGGCACTGAATTATTTGAACTACTCAATAGCTACTTGTAAACTTTTTTTTTCAAAAATGTTTTTATTAGGTTGTTCAAATAATTCTGTGCTCTTGACACCGAAAATTTACTTTGAGATGGAACACAGAATTTTTTGAACAGCCTATTATAAATTTATTTTTTGAAATTTTTCAAAATTATTTGTAAAGCCTTGAGGGTCTTAAGAAGCTCGATTCTATGTAATTTTTGACCGCGTTAAAAAATACGAAAAACTTTTTTGAGGATATGTAAAATACGTTTTTTGAAGGTAGGTAATAAATTTGATTTTAAATATCATTTTTAATGTAAAGCAGCAAAATAAGTTATTTCGCCAAGCGGATTCGAACTTTTTTGGTTTTTCACCGTTTTTCAGTCAACGTAATCAAGCTAAAAGTTTATATTTTGATGAATAATTTCATTTTTATGAACAATTTCAAAGGCTTTACAAAATGCATTATGAAATTTTTAAAAAAGATTTTGAACTTTTGATAACTTTGTTTACCTACTGTAACTTAAAAAATTTTTTTTTTAATTTTTTTTGTTTTAAACCGAAAAGGCCAAAAAATCTTCAGGACAATACGAAATTGATATTCAACTCAGCGGCAAGACAGTGATCGTAACCCAGTGTACGGTAGAAGCAGCAGTAGCCACCACATCAGCCATTCCTGACCATGTAACCTGTGGCGAAGTCTTGGAATTCAATGTAAATCTAGGCAAAACGAATCGAAACGAAATCCGAATCGAAGTCCGGTCGGAAGATGGTACACTAGTGCCGTCGACTAGCCAGCTGAGTACGAACAACAACAATATTCACGTTTGTTGTACGGTACACAAGCCAGGACGATACTCAGCCATTATATATCAGAACAACCAGATCATCGAGGAACACTTCTTCAATGCTACGCCTAGTAATGAGTGTGTCAGCTTCTATGCTTTCAATGAAAAGGCTTTGGTGGATCAGAGTGCCAAGTTTGAGTTGGAAGTGGCTGAGGGATTGGATAGTCATCTTCATATTGAAGTTACTGGTAGGTCAACAGATTTATAACTTTTTGGTAAATTTGAAATTTAAAGTATTATTTTTAAGGAAAGTAGTGTCTGTTATTTATTTTTGAAAATTTTATTTTCGGACGAAATGTCAATTTTTGAGTTATTGATTTTTAACACGAAGTGTCACATTTTTTATTGGTTTTGCATATCGAAGGACAAAATTTTAAAAATTTGCGGATTTCTTTTAGTGGTAAAATACGCGTAATTGTTTTTTTTTTGTTGAAAATTTGTAATTTTTTGAGTTATTGGTTTTTGATGCGAAGTGTCACATTTTTATTGGTCTTTTATAAAGAAATAGCAAAATTTTTAAAAATTAGTTGTAAAATACGGTTAGTTAATTTTTTTGTAAGAAGGAGTCATAATCTCTAGACTTATTAATTTTGCTACGAAGTGTCACATTTTTTATTGGTTTTTTGAAAAAAATATTTTAATTGTTTATCTTTTTATTATCAGTCTGAGCTTATAAATAGTGTTAAAAAGCCTATTTATGACTAACTTATTCACTTAATCTTGATATAGCTTCACCAAAATATTATTTTCACTTCTCCATCTTTCAATATCAAAAAGGCCTATAACAATATCAATAAGATCTATAACAATATCACGTTTCAGACCCAGATGGAAACTCGGTTCCAGTGTCGATGCATCGAAAGGAAGGCAGAAGTTATGAAGCGGACTGGTTGCCAAAACGAGAAGGTCTACATGTTGTGTCAGTGCTGGTTAAAAACCAACCGGTCGCTGGATCACCGCGACAAGTCAACGTGCTTGATCTGTCTACTGTACAACTGATTGGACTTGAGAATAGTGTTGTTGGTACTCAACAAAAGTTTAATTGTAAGTTTATGTTAGGGTAGGGGTTTGTAAGGGTAGGGTAGGGTAGGGCAGGGTATGGTAGAGTAAGATATGAACTGTACTATAGGGTGAAGTAGTGTAAGGTAAGGTAGGGAACACTTTTATTACCTAAATATTGTAAAATACGGCTCTTGAATAAAAGTCATGTTTAGTGGACTGGACCAACTCTGGTGGATCAACAGCGTCAGTTAAAGTAACCTACAACAACAAGGATATGGTACCGTGTCAAATGAAACGGCTAAAGCACGGTTTACATTCATGTACATTCATACCATCTGATCCAGGACTCTACCTTGTTGATGTATATGTCGATGACGTCCAATTACCGGAATGTCCGTACGAAGTGATTGTGAGTGATACGAACGCGGTTAGAGCACGAGGTGATGCTCTGACTCATGCTCAGAAGGGGAAGACAGCACGATTCGAGGTGGTGATTGGGGATGGCGGCCGAAGCGATTTGGATGTGGTTATTACAGGTATGATGATCATAGAGATGTTTATGGTACTATTACTGTGTAGTACTAACTTATAGTTGTTTATATTGTAGTAGTATTTAGTACTAAGGTTTGGTACTATATTGTACTAGTTTTATAGTACTATATTGTTTCTCCATATGAGATTCTATATACTACCATGTTATGATGCTACAGAGTACTACAACTTATAGTACTAAATAGTACTATTTTCATATAGTACTATACAGTATCACAATTTACAGTACCATATATGATAGTATTACACGTTTTTACAGGTTGGTGATGGAAGATGTGAACACGTTTTGTTATTGTGCTGCACGAGTACCCCCTTGAATTTCAAAAATAGCACTATAAAGGGAGGGCGGGGTAAAAAAGTTAATTTTTGGAAAAATGGGCGGGGTAAAAGTTAAAATTATGAAACATAATAATAGAAAGGTCTAGAAACTTGTACATAATATGAAAATGACGTTAGTTTAGGCAATGACATTTTTTTAATTGAAAATTTCGAAGTTTTGAAAAAAATTTTAAATTTTAGGTAACAAATATTAAAAATAAGCTTGCTTTGAATTTGTGTTGTTCATACTAACACTTGTGTGCTTTTAACTGTCGTTTGTTGCTTGTTTCTTCACTTTTATTAAACTTCATTTTGAATTTTTGAAAAATATTGTTATAGACTCCACCAAGAGCCCATTGCCGGTACGATGCTACAAACAACAAGACCAAAGCTACTGGGTTGAGTTTACCCCAGAAACTATTGGTACGTTATTTTTAGTTTTTACATACTTTTAGAAATTCGATACTTTTTGTGACACTTCGTATTTTTGCAAATACTTTTTGTGGCTTTTCGTCAAAATCTGTAAAAAGTTGCAAAATTGAAAAAAACTTGGGCTTTAGTATGTTATATAGTAAAAATTCATTTAAAATGACATAAATAAAATTATATGCTTACAGGAGAACACATAATCGAAGTGACATTCGCCGACTTTCCAGTCAACGGCTCACCGTTCCACTGTGAAGTGGTTGATCCAAAGAAAGTCAAAGTATCAGGCCTAGATGAGACCATTCAACAACGTCACATAACTCGAGTACTAGTCGATCGTACAGAAGCTGGCAAAGGTCAACTCGACTTTGAAGTATCCGATCCTCAAGGTCAGGAACTCAAGGTTGATCGAGTGAGAACGGCGCCCGAGGTCGACTCCTTTACATTCTTGCCAAGCAAATTAGGCCAACATAAGGTGCTGATCAATTTCGCTGGTTTCCCAGTACAAGGTGCTAAAGACTTCACCGTCGTTGAGTACGGCGGAGCACCAAAGCTTGAAGGTCCGGCCTCACAATCTGTGGTTGAAGTAGACAAAACAGCCAAACTGTGGCTGGAATCAAAGAATGGTGGACTAAAAATCGATGTCCGTGACCAGTTAGGCAACAAGATTCGCCATCAGCTGGCCAAGGCCGAGCACGGTGCCACCGAGATCAGCTTCGTGCCCGCGAACGTCGGCAAATACAGTGTGGATGTGCATCTGAACAACAAAGCGTTGAGCGAGAAGCCACTCGAAGTGACAGTAGTCGACCCACGCAAAGTGGTGGTTAACGACGAAACAGCACGTGCTGATGGAACGTTCGTACTGGGAATTGGCCAAAAGAACATCATTGATGTGGATGCTACAGCAGCGGGGCACGGTGACTTGAACGTTGAGGTCCGTGACGCGTCCGGTGAGCTGTTGCCAGCTCGTGAAGCTCGTGCTGAAAGTCAAGGACGAGGAAAGCATAGGCTGATACTGCAGCCTAGCAAGAAGGGTGCTTTGAAGATCTACCTGTACTATTCAGGACTACCAGTACCGTCAGCTTACCCATTGATGGCTGTTGCTGAGACTGGTGGTGCCAATGTGAGACGGTCAAGTGCTGATCAGGCCAAAATCTACAGTACAGAAGCAGGTAGAGGATACGGTAGTCGAGGTCAAAGTGTCGAACACACAACTCACTACAGTACTTCAGAAGCCCGTCCTCATTCTACAGAACAACGTACTCGCTCCAGTACCGAATATACCACTACACATCGTACCAACGTGGAACAGACAAAGAATTTCGGTGCAAGCTCTGACAATATACACCATTCTCTTCGTACTAGTGCTGATCAGACAGTACGAGTGCACGGTGAAGGTCTAAGTCGTGCTATCGTTAAAGAACCAGCCGAGTTCATTATTGATGCTTCACAAGCTCCCAGAGCTAAGATCACGGCCCAATTGATCGGAGAACAGAACGATATTCCAGTACGGCTGCAAGAGAAGAGCAACAACATCTACAAGGCCGTCTACACACCATTGGCTGGTGGCGACTACGAACTTATCGTCAAAATTGACGGAAAACCCCTCAGGGAACAGCCTTTCGTCGTTCACGTTCAAAGCTTTACCACGCCCGCAGGTCAAATTGAAGTAGATACTAAGAACTTGAAGCTGGGTATCATTAATGAGGACATCAAGACTGTTATCGATGCCAGAAAAGCGGGATCAGGCCAGCTCTCGGCTCAATGTGAAGGCCCAACTCAGCTGGAGTACTGTGAACTGTACGATAACCGTGATGGAACCTACGTACTGCGAGTACAGCCAAAAGAACTTGGTAGACATGTACTGAGCATCAAGTATGCTAACGAGCATGTTCCTGGAAGTCCGTTTGTCTTCAACGTTTCTAATCCACCAGATGCTAGCAAGGTTAAGGTCTATGGTCCTGGTGTTGAACATGGCATTCTGGCTACGTAGGTTTTTAAAGGTTTTGGGTATGATAGTGTAGGTCTACTGGGACTTTACTATAGTCTGACAGGGTCTGGCAAGTACACTGGCTTTACCAAAAAATTTCTAGCCCCGACCTAGCCCATACCTTAACCTTTTCAATTTTAAAACCCAAAACTTTCAGTTTCAAATCCAACTTTGTGGTGGAAACGAAAGGAGCTGGTGCAGGCCAACTCACCGTCAGAGTACGTGGACCTAAAGGCGCCTTCAACGTTGAAATGCAACGTGACCGACAACAAGACCGCACCATTCACTGTAAATACGAACCCAAAGAGCCCGGAGACTATCAGGTGGAAGTGAAATGGCATGGACAACATGTTCCTGGTAGGTTTTTTGGTTTTGTGATATTAACAGCTTTGAAAAATGGTTTTTAAATTGTTTTAAAAGACCAATAGTTTTTGTGACATTCCGTCATATTTTTTAATAAGTTTGCGACATTTCTTTAAACTTACGAAATATAGTACTAGATAAGACAGAAAAATACAAAACAGGCTTATTAAGCATTATTTTGTTCTGTAAAACAGTTTTAAAGTACCAATAACTTTTGTGACACTTCGTCCTATTTTCCAATAACTTTGTGATACTTCGTTAAACATGCAAAAAACAGTTCTAAACAATTTAAAAAAAAACAAACAGCCTTAAAAAGCTTTCTTTTTATTATATAAAACAATTTTAATACACCAATAACTTTTGTGACACTTCGTCCTATTTTCCAATAATTTTTTGACTTTCCGTTAAACTTACAAATAAAAGTACTAAACAGAACAAAACACCAAAAAACAATAAAATTACAACAAGGAGCTATAAAATCACATAAAAACAATAAAATTATAGGCTCACCATTCATGGTGATGATTGTTGACACCGAACAAGAGCTTCAACGCTTCTTGGCTGGTGAAGCACCATCCCCACAGCCGGCTACACCATTTGTGCCGCCCGGCTGGGTTGGTCCTCCACCACCAGGAATGATTCCACCCCCATTCAGTCCAGCGTTAGCTGCTTCCCCTTATGGTCCTGTCCCGGTTGGCATGATCCCACCGCCACATATGCGCGGACGACGGTCTGGTCCTCCGGCGGTTATGGGTCCACCACAACCAATTTATGGTAGAAGGCCTTATTAGACCATAATAATGAATATGGGCATGAATATTGTTCTATAGTGCAACCATATCTTCATTATACAATATTATACTTGGTATCATAGTTTACCATATTCTATCTGGTATCATTTCCTCCCATACCATACCTGGTATCACCCTACACTTTGAGATACTGCTATATCTTTTACTACATGTAATACCATTTTACATTTCACTTAACATGACATTGCGCCGCTTTCTCTGAACTTAAAGCTCAATTTTTCGTTAAGGTGCTTAAGATTATTTTGGAATTTCATATCATTATCACTGCCTTACTGTGTTCAAAAATATCATTCTGGCATAATAATATCATCTACTTAATAGTTCATATCTAATTTTTGCTTCATTTCGTATTTTATTTGTCATATATGTTATACTATGCTTCGTATCTTGTTCATTTTGCTGTTACATCTTATCTTTTTTATATCTTTAGGTTATTTTTTACTATTTTACAAGACATCGTATCTTCATTTCTTAGCTTAAAAATTGCGACCATGTTATATGGTATCGCATGTTTCAGTTTAATATATCTTTTTTTTATATATCTTCATAACTTCGTATATACCATACATCTTCATAACTTCATATATATTGCTTTCTAACAAAGATACGACTGTATCTTCCCTACGTTGTGTCATCCGAATACGAAAAACGCATGTAGCTACAACTTGTGAACCAATATTGTTTTAGTCATCTAGCCATTCACATAAATTATATTCAAACAACTAAATTCTTCGACGCCGCTTAAAAACGAAATTTCAATTGCCAGCCACTCTTTCGTCTTGTTTTATTATAGTATTAAGAGAATTGTTATAACGTGCCGTACTGTGATTTCTACAAAAAGAGTTTCTAATAAATTTTAACATGATGATGATTATTTTTGACATGATGATGGTTATTATTGACATGATGACGGTTATTATTAAAATGATGATGTTCATTATGAATGAACAATTTATAACGCTACTGAACTTCTACTCAGGCCGTCCAAAGCTTTTGACCGTTGAGAACGCTATTCCAGTAAACAAGTATCTTGGCTGAAACTTTTAATTAAAAAATCATTGAAAAATGTCCCGCTACGTTTGGTTTTAACAGAGTCAAAGCCCATGATACCGTAGCTCTTAGCAGGCGCTGTACCGTAGGACTGAGAGTACAATAAGGGGTAGTTTTTTCTAACAACGTAGTTGCCCAAGATAGTCAGGGCCATTTATCAATTTTCGAAAATGTTTTTCTGGGTAAATTGTTATGCTCTTTCATCCTATATAGGTATCGTTCTAGAAGCTGAGTGATATTTGGTGCAACTTCCTTGTTAAGAGCTCTACCCTTAGCCCCAAGCTTTAGCCTTAGCCTTATGTTGGTTGTAGACTAGTATGAATCATTATTTTAAAAATAGCTAAATAACTTGGAACAACATGTAATTACTAAAACAAAACTATTTTTGATACTAATCACAAATGACAACTTTGTAAACAAAGTTTCTTCACAAACGTCATTTTTTTCGAAATCACGTTTCATCAGTGCAAAAGGTTTATTTTTAAAAATCTGCAAGCCTATGGACGTGTTAAACGTTAAGCAAATGGCAATCCGACAGCCTCATCCCATGTCAAGCTGTCAAATGATTTGTGACAAACATATATAAAAGATGGCGTAGCGCCAAAACTTTTTTATTGGCAGTTGGCTGAATAAATGGGATTTTAACGAGACCGCAGGGGTGGTTGAATTTTGTTTCTGTGTTAGGCTTATAGGGATTATACCCTAACTTATTCTACTGTATTTTATCTTTGGTTACCCTGCTCCACCTTGCTCTACGCTAGCCTATCCTATGTTACCATACCTTGCCCTACGCTACCCTACCCTTGCCCTACCCTACCCTACCCTACCCTACCCTACTCTCCCCTGCCCTACCCTACCCAATTCTACACTATCCTGATTTACCTTACCGTACTCCGCACTGCCCTGCCTTGCTCTGCCCTACTCTGTTTTGCCCTGACTTACCCTGCCCTGAGCAGGGTAAACCATACCTCACCCTACCTTACATTACCCTCCCCATCTACAGCCTGAATTTACAGTGTTTTTTCTTTACCGTACCCCAACCATACCTTAAATTAGTTTTATCACGCCTTTGGCCAAAACTTTTTTCGAACCCAACAAAATGACATAGCGAAACAAGAGTGGGGCTAATCGAGAGCCAAAAGCCCTCCGGGGGTATCAACAGCGGCGGCTCGTTTAAAACCCCGGCGGCATTTTAATGTGGAGAACATCACTGAGATTCGAAATTAAACCGCGGCTTTTCGAACGCGGCCTGAGGCTAATTTTCGGGACCATCTCGGCTCCGGAATCTCTGAACATGCTTTGATGTTTACTGCGTAATCTTTGTTTAGGCATGAAACGGGGGTTGGCTGGGGTAAACTTTTTGTTTAGGGAAAGGGTGGGGTTTATTTTGGCAAATGGCTTAATTTTTTGAGGGGAGAAAGGGTTTGGGAGAAAAAAATTTGATTTTTAAAAATTTTTTCTGATTTCAGTTAAAATAATTTTTTTTAAAATTTTTACTTTGTATACAAAATTTTGTCATTAAAGCCTCATTTCTAATAGAAAGTCAAACAAAAATCCATAGCTGGGCTCAATGTTGATCTCGACCCAGGCTCCGGGCCCAATGTTTACGCCCGGCCTGTTTTCAATATTTCACAGGCCGGCCTGGCTTGGTCAAAAAGTTTTAAGCCCTGCACGTGTTAAAAGCTAATTAAAAAATTTTTTTTTACATTTATTTTTGAAATTTGAAATAAAAATTTTTGAAGCCGGGTTTACCTTTCAAGCCCGAGCCATCTCTACTTTAGCTTAAAGCCAGATTGGCTCGATCGTAGGTCTGGGCGGGCCGCGTTTACACGGTTCGGTTCCCATCACTATTGATGTTTTATGTCACCAACTCCTTACTACTTACAAAAATGTCATAAAATCTTCATTTCTAATGAAAAATGTCACAAAATCCTCATTTCTAATGAAAAATGGCACAAAGTTTAAATTACCAAATCAAAATATTTGAAAATTTAAATTTGTTTTGTTCAGCCCTTCATTATATTTTAAAAAAACCAAATTAAATAGCCTATCGCTAGTTGATCTTAAAGCTTTTTTTGCCAAAAACCGAACACATAAACATAACAATCATGAAAATCACATAAAAGTGCGATCGCTTCTCGAGGCCAGACATCTGGCCACTGGTTTAATGAGGAAGATAAGGTGCTATCCAAAGTTTTATTGTTTTCCGAGTCCAAATAACAAACTCACAGCTTGTTCCGTGGTACAAACAAAAATAAACAACATGGGCATGTTTTTTACTAAACCTAGGCTATATTGTGGCGTTTTGTATTGGGCTTGAGGATTTTGGGACATTTTTCATTAGAAATGAGGATTTATGACATTTTTCATTAGAATTGAAGATTTTATGACGTTTTTCATTAGAAATGAGGATTTTATGACATTGTTAATTAGAAATGAGGATCGTATGACAATTTTTATAAAAGATGAGGATCTTATGACATTTTTCATTAGAAATGAGGATTTTATAGCGTTTTTCATTAGATGATGATGACAATTTCAAACTCTTTGCCCTCCAGCTATTTATATTGTTTTTTGAAATGTTGCCATTCATAATATGGGGGGAAAACAATCTTTTTCCTGCCCTTAATCATTCGCCAGTTGTTCCGAATCCGTCTTTGTATGTCATCCATGCTTTGGATCGGATTTGGTCGATTCTTATTAACAATCTTTTTTACTCATTTTTTCACGTTTTGAAAGATTGCTCGAGGGTTTTTAATGTCATAAGGTTGAAAAAAGTTTAGAGTTAACTTTTAAGGGGTGTATTACTGAAGGTTTTATAATTTTGAAGAGAAATTGAAATTAAAGTATAGTGGAACATCTACGGCATCAAAAATCGTCTAATCTAATATATATATCTCCCGAATTGTAATTGTAGACACTTGAAGAATGTAAAGTAAATTGTCATGATGGAGTTTGGTTATACAGGAGTCATACTGCATTTACTATAGTGCCTTAAAATTACTCTGGAAAGTTTTAAATTAGAATTTCTTAATTAGTCCGTCTACTAAAGAGATTACTTGTATACTACGATTCTCTGGAACATTTACAAGGCATTTTTGGCTACTTTTCGAGTTTTTTTTTATCTCTTATTGGGCTTGAGTACGATAGACTTTTTCATCAGAAATGAGGATTTATGACATCTTGCATTAGAAATGAGGATTTTATGATATTTTTCATTATAACTGAGGATTTATGACATTTTTCTTTAGAAATGAGGATTTTATGATATTTTTCACTGGAAATGAATTTTTGGCTATTCTTTGGGCTTTTTTCAATTTTTTATTTGGCTTGAGTACGATTGATAGATAATGATGTAATGAAAGTCGTGTTGTTGGGGTAAGATTCCTGGTAGGGGTGAATTTTCTCAAAAATTTTTTAAATACTTTGAATTGACTCTGATCAGCCCCGGACATGTGATATTGGTCTAACAAGGTTAAAAAGTATCATTTGTGTTTACAAAAACTGGTTTATAATGGCTTACTTTCTCTATCTTACCCTACTTGCCTTGTTTGGCGTTGCCTTTTCTTGCCCTGCTCTACCCTGCACTGTCCTACCCTACCCTGCTCTACCCAGTTCCACTTATGAATCTATTCCTTTCTGTCCTAACACATTAGATATGTGTCTCTCCAATTGTCATATTGAAATGAATAATATTATGTTTGGTAAAATACGGAAAAACTACTTCTTTATCATTACAGTGTCATAATGGGCCTGAGTTGTGGAGCACGAGTACTAAAGTTTTGTTTATTCGTTTTTAACCTGGTATTCTTGGTAAGGACTTTTACATTTTTTTGTTTAGGTACTGTTACTAGGTGCCGACATAAAGAACCCGCCATTTTTTACAGGAAATTACAGGAAAAGTATGGCGGGTTCTTTATGGCGGCACCTAATATTAGGTGATTGCGAAATTATCCCGCCAATTTTTGTTTTTACCAAAATTTAATATTAAAAAAAACAACAACAACTAATTAACAAATATATGTGTCATTATTATCAACAACCTGTTGCCATCCCTTCGGCAGCATTTGGATTCAACTTCTGTAGAAACCTGGAGTATTAGAATTGAAAAAGTTAGTTCACTATCGGTTGAGGTCGTCTCGGTTGTCAAAGCGTATTGCATTCAGATGGTTTTGAAAAAAGTGGAACATATTATAATCTGAAGGCACAACATCGGTGGAGTACAGCGCATGTGGCATCTCAGTCCAGCCGCAACTTTTCAGCTTGTGTTGGGTCAAAATTGTCACATAGGCGCGAGCATTGTCATGAATGAAGAAGACCCGGTCTTTTTTACCATGAAATGCAGCGGCAACAGATTTAATTTGTCTACAGTAGACATCCACAGGGATCGTAGTTTTATGTGATACCATTTCCCAGTACACAATACTTGTTGAGTTCCAGCTAACGCTGGTCACCTCCTCCAGTTGGTGAAGACTAGGTTTTGGAGTTGACCCACCCTTTTCTCCACGTCCAAACCATTGTTTCTTCTTAGTGTGATTAACATACAGTACCCACTCCTCGTCCCCAGTAACCAAATTGTCAAGTCATGCAAAGGTCCTTGGGAACATCAACAAATAAGGGCAACTTCCACTTAGCGTTTCAGCTGGTCGCTGTTGAAATCATGTGGAACCTCTTGGCCATATTTGCATGATCTTCCAAGGGTCTGAAGTCTAATTAATATGGAAGAAGGATTACATTGAACCTCTACAGTCCAATGAGTAATAGTTCGTCTGGGGTCTTCTTCGATCAGCTTCAGAAGGTGGGGTTTCTTCAACGCTGATGGTCTACCATATCGAACTTTTCGGACATGTCAAAGTCACAGTTTTTGAACATGTGAAGCCAAACTTTTGTGGTGTCGTAAGAGACAACTGAAGACCCTACAGCACTGCATATTTCCTTCGTCGCTCTTGTTGCGTTGCCGTTCTCACGGAAGTTGCGAAGTAACATTGCTCTAACATGACCATGTTTTACCTTGATTTCTTGAACCACCGTAAACAACAGAATGCTTGAACATGCAATATTTTTTAGTGCTTGGACATCTCTTTATATAGGTTGACAACAGAAATTTCTAGAACAATCCAAAATTTTTAAAAAAATTTTTGAAAAATTGGCGGGGTAATTTCGCAATCACCTAATATTAGGTTAAATCACAAGTAGCGGGACACTTTTTTATCGAAAATTTTGGTACAGCCTAATATAACAGCTTTGAAGGTGGGAGCCAGGCCTTTTTTCAGCCTGGGGCCTCCGCTGTACTTCTTTTAGAATTTTTAAAGTTTTAAAACTCAAAAACAAGTTAATGTTTCAGTTCTGTGGCATAGCCTGTCTCCTCCTTGGAGTATGGCTAGTGATGGATCAATATGCTGTAGAATCCCTGGCTTCAGCCGCGTTAAAAGCTCCAGGAATTAAGGACGATGCTCTAATGGAGTTGGCCACAAAACCAACGGCAGTACGACAGATTGGCTATGCCTTACTGTTCGTGGGCTGTGTGGTACTAATAGTCGCTTTCTTGGGATGCTGTGGAGCGGCCAAGGAGTGGAGGCCATTGCTTTGTTGTGTAAGGGTTTATCTTGATGTTTCTAGTGTTTTATGAGATTTGGAATTTTATACGATGAAACATGCTTTTTGAATTTTTTGAAAATGGAGACTTTTTATACGATGAAAAGTGTTTTTTTTTGTTAAAAATTTTTTAAAAATTAACAAGGAAAGTATCCTACCTGCCCCGCTTAGAATCAGCTCAAAATTTTTATATGAATTCTTTGTACCACCAATAGTACCCATAAAAAATTTTAGCTCGCGCTTTTGAGTTTTAAATTTAAATTATTTCGGTTTCCCGCCAATTTGGCAAATTTGGCATTGTGTTTCAAGCACTTTTTTCGGCTTTCCAGACAAGATATGCTTACAAATTTAAAAATGTAGGTTCATTTAAAGGTTATCTACCAGTACATCAAAGAAAAACTATTAAAAGTCAAAAAATGACAAAGTTACAAGCTTGAAACACAATGCCAAATTGGCGGGAAATTCAAAATGTCATTTTTTAATCTCGATTTTCTCGAGATTTCCTGGAAAGCGCGATTTAGTATTTTCCTGAACATCTTATATTTATATCATCTTTCTATATAAAAATTTTGAAGTCAATCAGAGCGGGGCAGGTCGGGCACTTTCCTTGTAAGATTTTTTTCAGTACGCCACCTTGTTAATGGCAATATTGGCCATTGAGATAACTGCCGCCATTTATGCTGCCATGCATTCACATATGGTAGGTCTCCGTGTCTTAACTTTCTTTATATTAACCATTTTTTAAAACTTTTTGAAATATTTTTTTAATTTTAAAAATTTAATTTTTGTACATTATGGTATAAAGAATTAAATTATAATATTCATTTTCGTATTTTACAGTTCCAAAAAGATTTCCGACAACTACTAAAAGCATCACTAAAAATGTATAATGGTACCGAAACAGTAACCGCGAATGGAGGTGGACCTACCGTTCACAGCGATGACTTATTGGTCAAATTGGCTTGGGACAAGTTCATGATTGAGGTAGGGGCATAATAATGATTTTTTTTGTAATTGGAATACTGTAAGAAAAAGAAAGGTGGATGGGTAGAGTAAGTCAGGGTAAGGTATAGCAATTTATAGGTTGATTTAGGAATATGGTAGGGGGTAGGGATCAAGGTAAGGGAGAATAGAGTAGGGTAGTTTATACTAGGGTACGGTAAGGTAAAGTAGAGCAACCTAGGGTAGCATACGGAAAGGGAGAGTGAAGTAGAGTATATTAGCGTAGGGTATGTTGTGGGACGGTATGATAAATTAAAGTAGGGTACGGTAGGGTAGAAGAAGATAAAACAGGATAAGATAAAAGGCACGTTAGAGCAGATCTATTACAAGAGAGTTTTACTAAACACAGGCTAGGATTATGTTAAATACAACATACACAGTGACAGCTACATAATTTTAGAAAAAATGTTGTGGAGTAGATTCGCGGCGGGGTGATTTCGCCCAAAGCGGCTGGTTCCAACAGACCGGTCGATTACACGAATTTCCTCCATCTTGTTGCCCGCCTAGGGCTAATGGTAACCTTATGCCCTACTGTCCAACGATTTCACGCTATGGAGAGGTAGGTAACATGCTTTTTCTTATCGTACTCTACAGTACAGCTATTACTATCGTACACTATGGTACGGCTATTATTATCGCACACTATGGTGCAGTTATTATTATTGTACTCTATAGTACAGTTTTTTCTGGTTTTAGTTTTTATTAGGTTGTTCAAATAATTCTGTGCCCCTCCCCATTAGAAATTCAAGAAATTTGGGGTTAGAGAGCACAGAATTATTTCAACAACTTCATAAAGGTCCATTTTTGTTGCTTGTTGTTGTTCTAACTGCGCCCTATGTTTTCGCAGGCAGCAGGCTAGCTCTGAGGTCTATTTTCAGCAGTTATCGTCGTATCTTATTTTAATGTGAATCAAGCTTCATAATATTATATCAGAGTAAACAAAATTTCATTATCATGTTATTGTGAACCAAGCTTCATGACCTTATATTACTGTGAACCAAGGTTCATTATCTTATGTTTGTGTGAACCAAGCTTCAATGTATGCCATTTTTAGGGCTGCTACGCCAAGATGCGTGAATCAGTGATGGAGCTGACAAACAGCTTTAAAATTGTAATGTGGACGGCTTTAGTGATATCATTGATCCAAATATTCGGTATTTTTGTGGCTTTCTGCTTGTGTAATGCCATCTCCGTGGACGAGTATTACTATTGATCAAAAAGGTCATTGCATAGAGTTGAAAGATCATTATATAGAGCTTAACGGTCTTTAAATAGAGCTAAAAGCTCATTACATAGAGCATGGTAATATCCAAAACAGCTGCCTTTGATTTTATATCGTACTGTTCTTATACTATTCAGTATTTTCTTATAGTATGTAGCATTTTTTGCAAATTCTTAGTAATGGTATATGCTTTTTTTCAGTTCAATCGATACTGGGTTGTTCAAATATTTCTGAGCCCCCTCTCAAAGCAAACTCTAGGGGTTAGGGAACACAAATATTTGAACAACCTAATACATTGTAATAGTATTTTTTGTTAGTTCTTCGTATTGTTATAGGCTTTTTTTCAGTTTATTTGCCATTTGATATCAGTTTGTTGTCTATGATAAGTTTTCAAACTACATTTTTACTGTTAATCATATCTTTTACTATATGCATGTTACTAGGGATGCTTGGAGTTTATGCGCTTCGAAGAACAGCTCCGATTCTCCGTTATATTGGGCTTGATCACGTTGGTGGCGATTGTTCAAGTAGGTTTTTGGCTCATTTCTAAACTATGCCAAACCCTAATTATAGATTTTTAGAAAGTGTCAGGTGTTTTACTTTCGTATTTTATTCTTAGGTTTTTCAAATAATTCTTTGTCCCTCAAATTTTCAAAAAATCAGTAAAAAACAACGTTAATATGTTATTCATATTTCAGCTGGTATGCTTTGCACTTTCGGTCCGGCTGTTTATTCATGTTAAGAAGGAGATGCTCGACTTATATTAACCATGCCACCTCATATTTATTGCCTTTCTTTTTTCTGATTCTTGTTTTACTCTTTTGGTTGTTTTTCCAATCTTTATTCTAATTTTTATTGTTTTTGATGTCTTTGTTCTACTTTTTTTGATTATTTGTCATCATTTTGATCTTTTTTTAATTTTGTTCACTCTTCCTCAACCCTTTTCCCTCAATTTTTTCCTATTTCCGTACACCTTTTCATATTTATAAGCTTATCACAAAATAAATTAGTATTAACCTTCGATATAAAAATAGATATTTAGCCGTTTAAGCGATTGAGCGGTTGACTTTTACCGTTTTTTGTTGTCGTAGTGAAGCTCTTTACGCGGTTTAGCAATAGCACGATCCATCGTCAGTGACGATTTGACGTGGTTTTATTGGGCCAATATCCACCACTTGACGAGCGTCGGCTTGACGTTCGTTCTCCGTTCCTGGCAGGGCGTTGGCGATGCGGCGGAACAACTACAATATATAAGGTTAATATTGACCTTGATTTGTTATTTTTGTCCTAAAAAGACATATATCCACCTAAAATGGTCCTTCTCCACATAAGAAGATACTTGTCCACCTCAAAAGCTCCTCCTCAGCCTTAAAAGATACTTTTCCACCTAAAATTATCCTTCTCTGTCTTCAAAAGGCCATTTTTGATATCCAAAGGTCATTATCATCTCAATCTTTACATAAATTGCTAAGCTGTGGCAGAGTTAAACCTAAAACTTCAAAAATAAATGATAAACCTTACTTGTTTTACATTATAGCCAGCTTTCGACGAAGTTTCGATAAACATAACATTCAGCTCATTCGCTTTTCGTTCTCCTTCTTCAGTCGACACTTGTCTAAACAAAAAGAGGATTAACTTACATTGAAAATATTAGATTAACCTAATTTTATGATTTTTTACAAAGAAAAAGGTTCAAATTTAAGTTTTCTTTCAAGAAAATCGCCAAAAATGACATTTTATCGTCATTTTGGACTTATCAATGTAAAATCCGAAAATTAAAATCCCTACAGCGCAAAATATGTGTATTGCCTTTACCTTTTATCAGAAAGATCAGTTTTATTACCAACCAACATGATAATGACATCACTTCCACGCTCCGTCCTCACGTCGTCAATCCATTTCGAGGTCTGGTGGAACGAATTTGCATCTAAAAACAATAAATTTTGCAAAATTTGATTGTTTTCGTACGTTTTTTATGCAAAAACAATAATGTTTTTTACAAAAACATTCAAATCGACTAAAGATTGACTAAAAACTGAATTTTAGTGAATAAAACAAGGTGAACTTGATGTATTTGCCCAATTTAGAGTTCCTATAGTAAAAACCAAGCCTAAAAATTAAAGAAAAAGTATACAAAACATAAAACTTACTAGTAATGTCATAAACGACCACAGCTACAGAAGAATCACGAATATAGGAAGGAATCAGAGATCTGAATCGCTCTTGGCCTGCTGTGTCCCATAATTGTAAACGGACCTAAAATTGTCAAGCATAACCTTATTAACATCGTAGAATATAGGCAGCACCAGCTTATCATTCGACTATCTGCTTCAGAATCAAGCCTTTGCATGAAAGCTACTAAAATTACCTAAAACTCAATGAAATTTATGTTATGCTTACTGTTCTGTCCTCCAAATACATTGTCTTACTAAGGAAATCAATGCCAATCGTAGCCTGATATGTATTATCAAAGCTGTCGTACATAAATCTTGTGATAAGCGAGGTTTTGCCAACTGAAATTGAGTTACATCAAAAAATACATAATATGCCATGAAAACTGTCATTTCTAACCTCATTTCATGCTTCAAAAACATAATTACAACTTCATTTCACATTAAAAACCTCAAAATGCATTTGCCAACACCTAAAAGATCCGAACACCACCAAAAAAGCCAAACTGACCACTTTGTTCTCCCAAAAACACCAACTTGAACTTCTTCATGGGCGAAGAAAAGTCGGACGACATTTCGAGAGTCTCGACGAAAGTTGAATTTTTAATAAAATAAATTAAAATTCAATTCGTATGTCGGCTGTCTTCATCTCCGTAAACGGAAGTGCAGTTGGAAAAAGTCCGGAATATAATAGCGTTATGCCAAGCGCAGGGTTTCGTGGCAAGGTTAAATTAAATAAATAAAATTTCGGATTTTCAGCGGAAAAAATTTTTTTTGGCCAACTTGGTGTCATTTTTTGACCTTGTTGGAGGTTTTTACGTGATTTTTTTAAATTTTAGTATTGTAAAATACGAAATGTAATAATGTTGCCACTTTATGATTGTTTTTGATGTGTTAAAATAGTGATTTATTATACAAAACAGTATTTTGTGGTAAAATACGAACTATGTCACTAAAAAGCTAAAAATTACTTGTATTATAAGATACAACTACTACGTTTTTGAACTGTTACCACTTTAAAATAACACATCTTCAAACAGCGTAAAAAGCCTTGTTTATTATAGACGGAATGTTGAAGTCGCTTTATTTCTTGATAATGACCTGGTTTGTCGGGAAATTTAAACGATTTCACGTCTTGTCTACGTATTCACAGTTTTTTATACTAATTTTTTTTAAGTTTTATTTCCTGCCATGGTGAGCTACTAATTTTGTAGCCGAATCACTCGTTTATCGTCTTATTTTACCAACTTTTGGGTATAAGATTGGAAAAGGCAGTTTTTTGAGTAGGTATGTTAGTGAATTATTTTCAGTTATTATAAAAGAGCTATTTATAGTTTTTATTAACAGTTTTGACGTGCGTGAAAGAGGTAGCAGCATTAAAAGTGATGTAAATTATAGTGGTATGGTATGGCCTTAATTTAAGAAAATCAGAAAATTTATCACTGAATGGCTGGATACGACAAATTTAGTTACTGAAGCTTAAAGAGTAGTAAAACCTTACAGTGTGTAACGTTTGGTTAATTTTGAGTCAAAACTAAAAAAGTTATAGTGAATTTTCTAAATACTCATCTGTTGTCTAGTATAACATGCTTAACCTTTAAATTTGGCATTTCTTTTAGTAGGAAACAATTCATTGTTGTATTATAATAAATATGATAATAGCTTATTATTGTTAATTTTTGTAGGGTTTTTGACGATTATTCAAAAAGTTATGATTAATTTTCTACATACTTATGTGTTTTTCAGTATAATATTTTTTATATGTTGTTTTAACTTTTTCTATACTGCCATTTGTAAATTTGTATTTGTTTTGTGAGTAACATGGTATTGGCTTGTAATTCTGAAGTTTTAATAATTTTGGGTTTTTATTTCAAAAGTTAGGACCAAATTTCTAAATACCTACTGCTTTCTTTAGTGAACTTTGAAAAATGCTTTATAACATTCAATTCTTCCAACTTTTCTTAAATTTTCTATTTTACTAATCAAAATAAGTACCTTTTGAAGCTTTAAATTCGTCTGAAAGTGCATTAGCTTATCAAGAAAAACAAGCCCGGCTACAAAATACAAAGTCCGTTCGAAAAGATCGCCGCTGACCGAATGAAAAATGGAATGGGGAGGGCTCGAGAACTTGTGTTATTAGTAAACAAAAAAGCACGTTGTGCAGACGGTTACACTAAATGTAGTCGATTTTTGGTTTGAAATTTTTTGGAATTTTAAGATTTATATTGAAAATGGTAATTTCGTCTTGCTTTAGGCCTAAAGTGGGGTTGTTGGTTTAGTTTTTGATGTTTTAATGTTGAAATTTCTGAAGTTCTTTATTTGAGAAAGGAACTACTATGTGTTTTTTCTATTTTTTTTAATAGTAAAAGCTGTACTTTTATATGTGTGTTGGTGTTGAAACATCAATTTACATTGTAGTAGGTCCATTTTTTCTCATTTTTTCAAGTTTTTTGATATTTTTTCAATATTGAAGCCGTGTTTTTGATAATTGTTTATTATAAAATTACTTTTTGGTATCTGAAAAGCATTTTAAATTTATTTTACAGGATGTTTAAGCCTACGCTGATCCGGCAGACAGCCAGGACCTTGAGCACTCGGTTGTGCTCAACTTCAAACGGCTTAGACTTCCGTAAGTTATCAAAAAACATTTGAAAGTGTCTGTGATTGAAAACACGTTTCATTTGTTATCATTCTCGATGTTTTTCAACGTGATTGTACTTTGTAACACGCACTTTGAGCTTGTGAGCTTCGAAAAGGGCTGTGACGTACATTTTTTGGAAGTTTCAGAAAAATATTTTTTTAATATTTTGATGTAAACTTTTTTTAGGTTAATAGGTAATTAGATATCTTGTTTGTATTAACATATATAAGCCCTGATTTATATGTCAATAAAAATTTATATTAATTGTCTTCAGAGCTCACCGATGACCAACGCCAACTAAAACAAGCTGTAGATCAGTTCGTGAAACAAGAGGTAATCCCAGTCGCCGCCGAATATGATCGTACTATGGAGTTTCCATGGGATGTGATCAAAAAGGCCCATGCTAATGGATTCATGAACCTCGATTTACCTCAAGACATTGGAGGCTTGGATATGGACTTGGTATCTAACTCGATCGTCGCTGAATCCATGGGCTATGGTTGTACTGGAATTGGCACTGCTTTGAATGCAAATGACTTGGCTTGTACTCCGTTGTTGTTGGCTGGTAGTCAGGAGATCAAGAAGAAGTTCCTCGGGAGATTAGTCGAAGAACCTTTGGTTGCGGTATGTTGTTTTATTAGTTTTTTGTTGATTTAGGTAGCTGATGAAGAATATTTTGAAGGTAGATGAGGAAAACGTGGAGTTATAATAGAGAAATGTGTCTAAAATTGAAAAACATTGAGTTTTAATGTTTGGAAATGTCGTTTAGAATGTTAGGACCTTTATTTAGTTTACAAATAATGCGTTATGACAGCAAATTTAATATTTTAGCTCATAAAATGATCAAATATAGCTGTTTTTGAGTATAAAGGATAACAAAACTGTAAAGTCAGCAAATCTAAATTTAACTTACCGTTTACAGTCCTACTGTGTAACCAAGCCAATTTTCAGTCATACTGTGTAACCGAACCAAACGCCGGCTCAGACGTCGCCGGAGCCAAGACAAAAGCCTTGAAGAAAGGAGACGAATGGATTCTGAACGGTTCCAAAATGTGGATCACTAACGGCGGCTACGCTTCATGGTACTTCGTATTGGCTCGTACTGATCCGGACCCAAAAACTCCAGCCAGCAAAGCCTTTACCGCTTTTGTGGTCGAAGGTGACACTCCAGGCTTGACTCGAGGCAAAAAAGAAGTTAACATGGGCCAAAGATGCTCATCTACTGTTGCGATAACCTTTGAGGATGTTCGAGTACCAAACTCACAGGTTTTGGGCGAAGTTGGCAAAGGCTTCTTGGTGGCCATGAAGACGTTCGACAAAACTCGACCATTGGTCGCGGCTATGGCTGTGGGATTGGCGTCGAGAGCTTTGGACGAGGCATCGAAGTATTCGTTGGAGAGAAAGACGTTTGGAGCTCCAATTGCTATGGTGAGAGAGGGAAAATGCTGTTGTTATAGTTTATTTGGATATGATTTTTCGATTTTTAATTTTGCATTGGTTTAAAATCTACGGGGGACCAAGTTCAATTTTTTCAATTTTTTTTGAATTTCGAAAATTTTTTAAAAATTTTTATTTTTGGAACAAGATTGTTTATACAGCTAAGATTTTACCTGTTTTGTCTATCCTGAACCTCGTTTCTTTCAAACATCCACTTTCAGCACCAAGGAGTAGCTTTCATGATTGCCGACATGGCCGTTCAAGTCGAACTAGCCCGCTTAATGACCTACAGAGCCGCCGACTACGTAGACTCGGGTCGCCCAGGCTCCTACTACGCCTCAATTGCCAAACTCTTCGCGGCCGATGCGGCCAATCAAATCGCCTCAAACGCGGTTCAAGTCTTTGGTGGAAACGGCTTTAACACTGAATATCCGGTCGAAAAACTGATGCGTGACGCCAAAATCTTCCAAATCTATGAAGGTACCTCACAAATCCAACGGGTTGTCATTGCAAAACAGCTATTGCAACGCGTCAAAGAAACTGGCACGGCTGTGGAGTTTATGGATAATTAGCGGCATGTATAATATAAAATAAATTTTATAGCAATTGTGGTTGGTGTTGATGGAGGTTTTGATGAGTTGTTTGAACTCTGTGATATCTTGATTTAGATTTTGCTTTTTTTAGATTTTGTTTTGATTTTTCGTATTTATTGATGGTTTTTGGCTGGAAAGTTACGCTTTTTTGCGATTTTTTAAAGTTTTTGGAGTTTTAAAAAGCAAAATTTGAAAATCTTTATATGTTTTACATTATTTATGTTATAGACGTCGCGATTTTAAGGTCTACGGCTTTTAAAACTTTGTTTTACATCACATTAACAACTTTATTTTAGATGCTCCGCTCATCCTCCTTCCTAAACTCCTTACAAAAGGCAAACGTTTCCTCACAACGTGCCTTCTCGTTTCGCCTGAACGATCAACAACGTGAGTTTCAACAAGTTGCGTTACAGTTTGCCAAGGAAGAGATCGCACCAAAGGCCGCAGAATATGACAAAACTGGCGAATTTCCATGGGATTTGATCAAGAAGGCTCATTCTATCGGTTTGATGAATCCTGGAGTTCCAGAAGCTTATGGTAAGGGGGAATAGGGGGTAAAAAGTTGGGGAAGAGTATAAAGTTTAAAAAGGAATGGCATAAACGTAAAAAAATGGTGGTTTTTAGGCTTAAAAATGAAAAATTTTATTCTTTTTGAATAAAAAACGGGTCTTTACCTAAAATTCGTCATAAAATTTGTCAAGATTAAAAAAAACTCAAAAATTTGTTATTATGACTACAAGACAATACTCTAATTAACCTTAAAATTCCAGGAGGACCAGGCTGCTCAAACGTCGAAACCGCCTTGATTATTGAAGCCCTCTCTTATGGCTGTACCGGAGTTCAGCTAGCCATCATGGGCCCCAGTCTGGCGTTGGCCCCGCTTTTGTTGGCTGGAAATGAAGAACAAAAGAAGAAATACGCTGGAATGCTGACTGCTGAACCATCAATTGCTGTAGGTTTTGACTAGCGATAGTTGTGGGATATTGTAGTAGGCTATATGGGAGATGCTAGGCTTGAAAAATACTTTTTAAGTCAATTTTTGCTTTGAAATCTTTTCTCATTGTAACATACGAATAAGCAGAACTTCTTTTGAATCCTGTATGGTTTAATATCTATTAATTATCGGTTTCGTTAATAATATTGTTTTAGTCGTACTGTGTGACTGAGCCAGGAGCCGGATCTGATGTGAATGGAGTGAAAACTAAAGCCGAAAAGAAAGGTAAGCCAGCTTTTCATGTGTAAAATACGCGTCGAATAAATTTTCTGCATAAATGCATGCGTTTTATAACATAGATCTATTAATTTTTTGTGATTTTAGTCTTGAAAAAAAATGTTCATCAAATTCTAGTGGAGGCTATTGGTGTTAACAATATTATTATTAGCTTTATATTATTCAAAACGATAAAAAATTGTTTTATATTACTTAAAATGGTCCAAAAGTTTACGCAAAATTACTTTGGCAAGCTCCGCCCACTCGAATCCTCCGAATCGCTTTGTCGATAAATCAGATTGTCGTATGTCATCCCATACGCACTCAATTGTCTCACTTTTTGGTCGATAAACGGGATATCGCTCAAAGCTGCGGGCTGAAAAGCAAAATGCCCTCCACCGCCACCTTTTGTCAAAGCCGAAAATATGGCCAAAGCGTCGATTCCGCGGCCCCATGCGTGTAGACTTTGAATCGCTGAAGAGCCACACATGTCAACCGTCATGGTGGATAAGATAAGACCGGCGAAGATGAAGCAGATCCAACCAAAATAGTGCTCGGGAGGGTTGTAGGCGAGGGCCGGGTCCAGGTCTCCAAAGCCGATGGTGGTCTGAAAGGGGAAGAATTAGGGCTCTGTTATCCTATGTAGATCTCGTTCTAAAACTCAGGATATTTACTGCAACTTTCTAGTAAAACATGTCGCATGTTGAGTATAACAAGTTTCTTACCATAGTAATGAGACAAAAGTAATAACTGTCCACAAAGTTCCAAGTCTCGGTAAAGTATGAGCAAGTAACAGCAGCTCCAAACATGTAGCCCAATAGCAAAAACAGCACAAAAGCCTTTGATAATGGGCCCGGTTCACAAAGCAGATCCTCCTCGTCTTCTTCATTCCCTTCCTCGGTCTCTTCGATGGCACTCTTTTGTTTCTCATCACTGTCTGACTTCTTCATCAACCTCTTTCGATAACGATTCTCGGTTTGGGCCAGCACGTCCGTGAAGAATTTGGCCACATCGGCTATTGTGATCAAGGTTAGGGGGATTCTGAAGTATTTTTGTTTTGATTGGAAGTTTATTGTAATTAGTGATGGGAGAGAGGTTTTGGTTTTGACTTTTCCTCCTATTTGTCCAGGAGAGTAGGTGTAAAATTGTTATCATTACTGAATGTTTGTTTTTGGAAATTAACAAAAAAAACTTTTTTCTGGTCGATTTTTTTGGTCAGTTCGATTTTTCTTTTAGATTTTTTTTCTGGTCGATTTTTATTCTAGGATCAAAAAATTAAGAAAGTGTCATATCACTTACCCCAAAGCACCATAAACAATACAACATATCCTCCCTAATGGTGAGATCGGCACTAAGTTACCGTAGCCTAAAATTGAAATGAAGTAGCAGGCTTTTTCAATCAAGGTGATTTATATACGTCGCTGGACTAGACCTGGAAGACGGCTTACTAGGTCCTGCATTGGCCCAGTTTCTTTACAGGTCTACACTGGTCGAAATATGGCAAAATTTGAGTTATAGATATGACAAGATCTATCAAAAAATTAAAAAAGAAAGTAAATAACTCAAAGTATGACAAAATTTGTAAAACCAAGAAATTAAAACTAAAAAACAAAGTAAAATAACATACCTACAGAAGTGAGAACAGTAATAGAAAAGTACAAAGCCGAGTGGAACGACCACTTTGAGCCTTTCTTCCTCTCCACTGAGTTGTGAGAGATTTCTTCGGCCGATATGCCTTCGGAATAGGCTTCCATAGCAGTTTGAATGATTTTGTCGATGGTGTCTTCGATAAGCTCATTGGTTTTGTTCTTGTCTTCTTCGGTTATGGTATCAGGACGGGGGATTTCTAGGTTCAGTAAGGCGTTCTGAAAAGTTTTACTTCAGTTTCTTTTCATGTGGATTTCTGAAGGGGATGAGGATGTTTTATATCTCTGAAGGGGGTGCAAGTAGCAAATTTTTATTGTTTTGGACATTCTTTTTATTTTTGAAATTTCTTAATTTAAAAGCACAATGTTTTTTAATTTTATAACATTGATTCACTAAAAGAAGTTATCAGTAACACGACAAATTGTTTAAAATTTGTTAAAAACCCCGAGGGAGTTGAATAGAACAAGGTTGACACACTCTGTCAAATGTTTATGACGAAAAGACAATGAAATACCGCTTGGGGATTCAAAAATACCATAAAAGTTTGAAATTTATTTAATTTTTGGTGGGAAAAATTTTTTGAAATTGATAATACTTGTTTGGAATTTTAAAATTTAAAAGGATTTTTGAAATTTAATTTTTTACGAATTTTTGATTTTTGAACATATTTTTTCAATTATAATATTTGGACATTAACAAATTTAAAACAATTTATCAAGACATAACAAAGCTTACCTGTGCCGCTTTAGCATTATGAGCATATCTAGTCATATGGCCTTGCCCATGGTTCTGTTCAGTATACTGAAAACACAATGCTCCCAAGATACTGTACAATATTGTCGTACACAACAGTAACACATGAGGCAAAATCAGTCGAATCCTCTGCACGATACTCGAGGTCATAACCTGCGGAACGGCGAAGCCACGTCGTCGACCGCGAGGATCTCGTTTCTCGTCCAAATGCAATCGAGTCAAGGTGGCTTCGGCCGCCGCCGCCGCATTCGATCTGACCCATTGTGCCTTCAGATGAAGCGCTCTCATTCTTCCGGTAACTTGATAGGTTTATTGGTCGTGGAGAACAGGTTGTTTCGGGCAGTTCCGGTTAAAGGTAGATGTAGAAGGAGTAGTGAGGAGATGGATTGGGAAGTTGTAGTTAGTTGGGTAGTATTCTGGTGGTTGGTTGGGTGTGAGAGCTAGGTTTGGGTGTGAAAATGTTGTTCTTGGGCTCAGTTTTCGGTGAGGAGATGTTGACCTTGGGGACAGTTTTTGATAGGAAGATGTTGCTCTTGAGATTTGTTTTAGTAGGAACGTTTTGCTCGTGGTAGCTTGTGATGAGTAAGGTTGATTGTAAAGACTTTGGGATTGATGTTAAGGTTATACTTGTTTTCTCTGAAACAACGTTGATAAAGTCAGGCACTAGGAAAAGAAATAACTTTAAATTTTTTATTTTGGCCGCTAGGGCAGTTAGAATTTGTTTTAATACAGTGAAGATTCTGTATAACGAATCGCTCGGGGCTATTAAAATTGTTCGTTATACAGTACTCTCTATATAAGCAACCCGAAGGGACCGACATTTTGTGTTTAGTATAAGGGATGTTGCCTTTACAGAGAGGCTTTTTAGTGCAAATTGACTTGGCGGGACCAAATTTCTTGTTTACTATAAGGAGAGTTGCTTATACTGATGGTTAACTATATAGAGAGACCACTGTAAAAGAGTTTTGCTATAAAGACCTTTGAAATATACTGCTTAGTGTTAACCGGAGGTTTAAATGTTGTTCGTTATACAGAATTTTTGTTATAGAGGGTATTAGAGGTCCTACAGGGGTTCCACTGTAAGATATTGGGTTGTACAGATACAGATGAGCCTTTCAAAGCGAGAAACTTTGATTTTTTTGTAAGTATTATACTTAATAACCAACATCGTAGTATTTGAATACATCGTATCTTCATTAAGTATTTAAAAATTTAAAAAAACGAACGCTGTCAAAATTAATATTTTTGTAATTTTCAAAACCAAAAATTTTGGCTCATTTATATTTGAACAGAAATTGACTTTTAAAAACAATATTAATGCAATATAACTATAAGAAACCATAAAAAATTAAGCTTTGGACCTTCAAAAACCCCCAAAAACACTCACATCAAGCTACACGGGCAAAGGTGTTGTGCCACATAAACAATAACAGGATCTGGACATTGTTCATCCTTTTAATTCACCTGCCCTCCTGCAAAAGTTGTATCCCGTTGGGGCGATTAAAGTGTAACCGTCCATGAAATTCCCCTCTTCCTCTTTGGCCGCACGATTTTTTGACTCCAAAAGATTTGGGCGGATCCTCGGGCTTTATTGGGAGTGTTAATTTGGAGGGATTTAAAGTGGTAATTGGCATTAGGATGCAGGATATTGGGAAGAAATTTTAAACGATTTTGGTTTACTGAGAAGGCTTAATGTTGGAGTAAAGGTTAAGATGATAGGGTTGGGTGTTAGGTTCTTGAGTAGAAGGTTTTGAGTTTTTTTAACGTTTGTATTAGCAAAATTACCTTAAACCTAGCATCTAAACAACCCATACCTTTTCAAAAATAACCTTTAATCTATCTTACAGGCAATGAATGGGTTATCAACGGTTCGAAAATGTGGATCACTGGCGGAGGCCACGCCAAATGGTTCTTCGTTCTGGCCAGAACCGACCCAGACCCAAAAGCTTCGGCTGGCAAAGCCTTCACCGCCTTCATCGTGGACGGAGACGCGAAGGGTGTGACGAGAGGAAAGAAGGAGATCAACATGGGACAAAAGTGTGCCGACACCAGAGCCATCACCTTTGAAGATGTTGTAGTACCCGAAGAGAACGTGCTCGGAGCACCTGGAGCCGGCTTCAAGGTTGCTATGGGAGCTTTCGACACCACAAGACCCGGTGTAGCCGCTGGAGCTGTTGGCCTGGCCTGGAGGGCTTTGGATGAGGCTTCAAAGTATTCGCTGGAGAGAAAAACGTTTGGAGCTCCGATTGCTATGGTAAGCGTGGAGAGGTTTTCGGTCTTTTGGGGGAAAATTTGAGTTTTTTGGGGTTTTAAAAAAGTTTTGTCAGTTGAAAATGTACTATAATATTTTGTTTTGTCTAAACAAGCTATTATAAAAGCGGGCGCAAAATTAAATGAACGACATAATATTATCAATAAACTTATCAAAACCAAATTTTCAGCACCAAGGAGTATCCTTCATGCTCGCCGACATGGCCGTCAACCTCGAACTCTCCCGTCTCATGACCTACAAAGCCGCCAACGAGGTGGACAAGGGCACCCGATCCTCATACTACGCCTCAATCGCAAAACTCTTCGCCGCCGACACCGCCAATCAGGCCGCATCGAACGCGGTCCAAATCTTCGGCGGAAATGGCTTCAACACCGAATATCCAGTCGAAAAACTGATGCGTGATGCCAAAATCTACCAGATCTACGAAGGCACCTCCCAAATTCAACGTGTTGTCGTAGCTCGCGAACTCCTACAACGAGTCGCACAGACCGGAACCGCCTCGGTCCTTCAATAAGTCATGTATTTGTAACAATGTTTAGTAGAACCATAAATAAATTGAATTTTGTATAATTACTAAAGGTTTGTTTAATTTGTTACCTAAAGTTAAGGTTTGGAGGGAGCGTGTTATAATGAGATAGATAAAATATAAAATGTTAAAAAATATCGTAAAAATAAGATAATTATCTGCAAAACAATCCTACTTTTACAATTTTATAAACTGAATATTCTTGTGACACTTCGTTGAAAAGCTAGCCACATTCCAATAAGATTTGTGGCATTTCGTCTCATCCATCTTTCTCATCCTTCGCTGGAAAGAATCTTCGTTGATCTATTTCACAAGCTTCACAAATTGTTTACCTTCTCAATTATAACGACGTTTTTGGCCATGAATTCGCGGTTGGTATTAATCTTGGCACTCGCATCTATCTTGTATATTACACATGGAGTTTCGTTGGACGAAGTCAACGATTTGGATGATGGCAACAGAGTAAGTTCTTCAAGTTTTTGATGTTTTTAGGTGGTCGTTGAAGCTGATAAGGTTTTTGAGCTGGCTGTGCGTTTTTTGTCGAAAATGGGAGGTTTGTCGAGATTTTTATGTTATCTATGAGTGAGTTGGTGAAATTCGAGCTTTTGATGGTGAAGATGTTTGAATATAAGTCGTTTTTGGTTATTAAAAGTTGGCAGAGATTCTGTTGGAAGTTTTTATGGCAATTTAGATTTGTTTTACCTAAATTAGAGGTTTTTTTTGAGTATTCTTAAGCTGATGTTATTCTTGAGGGTGCATTTTACAGTTTCAACCGGAAGATGGCTGGTTAAATGGGATAATTGGGTAATAATAATTGTGTTAAATCTTGCTACAGTTTTTATGGTATTTTTGATTTGGTTTAGTTGGTTTTATATGATGTTTTTGCTTCAGTTTTCCTTGATATTGTCTATGTTATATGAAGAAGATGAAATTTTTTATGAAACTAGGCGTTTCATTGATCATTATTGTTCAAACTAGTAACGTTTTTATTTCAGTATGCTCTGAATGAAGTTATTGAATCGCTGCGAGTGGCTGGACGTAGCAATGGAGGATTCACCAACAACATCTACGAATTCGAAGGCAGTGGCGAGGAAAGCAGCTCAGAATTCGAGGAATCTGGCGAAGGAAGCGGAGAAAAGTCTTCTGGAGCTTCGAGTGAGGAATTTGGCATTGAATCGTCAACATTGCCTCGGACTTTCTCGCGTGTTCGCCGGGCCAAAGCGTTGGAGAACTTCTACTACCTGCCTTCGAGAGGATGAACAATATCTTGATGTTTAGCTTCATTTTTGTTCTTAAGTTGTAATTTTTGGCAGTTTTTCTTGTAGATATGATTTTTCATATTCTCTTGGGCTTTACTTTTCATGTTTACTGTAAAGTGTTTTCTAATCTGGCTGATTTTGTTTATAATATGTCTTGTTATACCTACATAGGTCTGTAATATTGCCTTTTCGTCTCATGTATAGTCATGATCTCGCTTGTTATACTTATACTGTCAATTATTATGCTTATATGTGATACTCATAACTTAATATTATCTCACGTGTTTTTATAAATCATAACTTAATTATTCTTAACTTTGTACTTTGAAAGGAACTGTAATAAATATTGTGCAGTATAGTTTATTCAGAGGTGATGGTATTTTTATGAGTAAAGGCTTGATATATTTTGGTTTATTTACTTTTTCTAATTATAAACATTATATTCTTATTAAGCTTTTGATTATTTAGTTTTTTCTTCCACCATTATGCACGTGTTTATTCTACCCAATACCTATTACAAAGGATTCATCAGATTACAATATTGGACAAGCTTTTTGGGTTTAGCACGTTACAATACTGGGCAAGCTTTTGATTCAGCTATCCCCACTCTTGTTGACGGCAATGATCTTACCAATGGCCACGATTTGACCTATGTCACGAAGGGTAATTGAACCCAGAGACGCGAACTCTTTGAAGGTTTCGACACACATTGGCTTGATCGGCTGGAACACCACTTGGACCGCGTTCCCGGCCCTGGGGCTGTCAACTGGGTTATGCTCAAATAATTCTCCAGTACGACCGTCCATTAACCAAAACTCAACGACTTTACAGGGGACATGGGCGGTGTGACAATCCACAACCGGGGTGTATCCAACGCGGATATTTCTAAGTCTTAAGACTTTAATACGGGCGGTGAAGGTATAGGCCGGCTTCGCTGGATACTTGTCGGGATCGGAAGCGACACAGCCACGCCGAATGTCATTTATGTTTATGTTGTTCACGCTGAATCCGACAATGTCTCCGGGGTGGGCTTCGTCGACGGATTCGTGGTGTTTTTCGATAGAGCCGACTTCACCGGTAACACCTTCTGGTGTGAATGTGACATTCATGCCTTGGCGGAGCACACCAGTCTGAACTCGGCCGACTGCGACTGTTCCAACTCCTGGAGGGGAAGAATTATAGGGCTTGTAGAGGATTGTAACGCGGTTTCGTAGCTGATTGTGAGAAAAAACTGTTATTAGGTTGAACCAAACGTAGCGGGACACTTTTTAGTTCAAAAACAAGTGAAAAGTGTCCTCTTACTTTTGGTCCACCCTAATAATTTCTTTTCCCTTTAGCCTAATATTAAAGGCATGTCTAACAATATCAAAATGCTTACCGTCAATATTCTGCACATCACTAATTGGCAAACGCAGAGGTTGTTCCGCAGTTGATTTTAGTGGATACGTTTTATCGATAGCCTCAAGAAGAGTAGGGCCCTCGTACCATGGCATGTTGGACGAGGCTTCAGCGATATTGTCTCCATCATAGCCACAAGTCGGGACATATGCTACCTTGTACGGGTTGTAGCCCGCCTTCTTTACGAGCATGTGTATTTCTCTAGCGGCTTCGTTAAAACGCTTCTGGCTATAGTTGACTGAATCCATCTTGTTCAAAACGACGACGATTTGCTTGACGGCCATGTTGAAAGCCAGGATGGTGTGCTCACGAGTTAGGCCGTCCGCACTCAAGCCTTCGTCATATTCATCTTCTACACATGACGCAACCAGGAGAGCACAGTCGGCTTGAGATATACCTATAAGTGGGAAATGTGAATGAAGACTAGGGTAATATTAGGGTGAACAAAAGTAACGGGACACTTTTCATTTGTTTTTGAACTAGAAGTGTCCCGCTACTTTTGGTTCAACCTAATATAAACTACATAAAGGTCAAAACGCCTACCAGTGAGTGTGTTCTTCAAGTAATCACGAGTGCCAGGAGTGTCGATGATAGTCACATTGTGGTTGTCAGTTTCAGTTTTATTGAAGGATATATCTATAGTGATATCTCGTTCACGTTCAGCCTTTAGTTTGTCGAATATCCATGCGTACTTGGAAGTTTCTTTACCTTCGTTCTGGGCTTCTTCCTCGATGTTATTCATGGTGTCTTGGTCGATGCTTCCTGTCAGGTGGAGCAATTGACCAGCGATGGTGGATTTGCCGTGATTATGGTGGCCGATCATGACGACGTTGATGTTGGTTTTACCGTTACTCATGGTTGGGGTAGTTTGATGAGGTTATAGGTTTAGGGGCAATAGGCTTATGGGTTTAGGTGAATGGGATTATAGGTTTAGGTTAATGAAGAGACAGGTTTAGGTCGATGGGCTTACAGGGCTAAGTCGATGAACTTATAATGAGCTTAGGCTTAAGCTTTCTTAAAATTAGGTATAATTTTCTTTCAAAAATTTGGCCTTTGGCTTAGTTTCAAATAAGTTAGCCTTAAGCGTTGTATAATGATATTAAGAAGTAGATGAACTTTAGAGGTAGGTAAAGCCTAGAGGAAGACAATATTAGGCAAAAACTAACCTTGATTTAGTTGATTATTTTCTTTTATTTTTAAGGCCTAGCTCCTCCCAGCCTTTCCGAGAACTAGCCAATGTGTAAAGCAAAGATCACACCTTCTTTTACCGATTTATTACTTTTATAAGCGTTCTTGTTTTTAGCAGTTGTTTGATTGCTATCATCTACGTTTTTAAACTCTACTTCAAGTTCATAGTCTACCAAAAGTAAATTGTTTGTTTACAAAAAGGTTGGTTCCTGGAAAGGCAACAGTCACTGCATTTTATGTTTATAAATTAAATTTAAAAAGCTTTGTATGTTCTATAAATAAGGATTTGTTGTACATTGTGTTAAGAAGCATATAATTAGGTGAACGACCTAATGGATATTTATTATCGCCCGGTATAGTAATACCCCAAGACTTTGGTTTTGCTTTAGCCCTTATTCCAGATTTACTACTAGCTTTACTTTAGCTTTAATATTGGTACTTTAAATCTATATTATTAGTTAACACTTATCTCTAATATATAAATTATAGTTAGTAATGTGTATAAAAGTGAATTGTATTTACTTTTTTATTAAATATTAACTTTTTCTGTCTACTATTGTAGCTAGTTAGTTTTTTAGGCTTAACGCTTGTTAACGGACATGATGAGGGGGGGGAGTGAGAAACGGGCTGAGTGGTCCCGGCCCATTATGCAAAAGTTGAAACGGACCGGGCCTTAAAGTTGGAACTGGCCCATCATGAAAAGTAAGTAGGCCCGAGACCCAAATTTTTTAAAAATTTTTTGCTTTGATTCCCGTTAATTTTTTTCGATTTTTTAGGTACCACATCGGGCCTGGCTGGACCTACATGAGAAAAAAGAAAAATGTAAAAAAAATAAAAACGGCCCGGACCTGAACGTTGACCCTCAATCCTCTAAAAGCAGGTCCGGCCCGTTTCTTGTGCCTAGACATGATAACCCCAACAGCCACTGTTTGTCGTATGTCACTAAACCAGAAAGTGGGCTTACTAGGCCCGTCTGAAACAAATTTGAAAGGGACCAGGCTGGATTTTGCGGGCCGGGCCTAAACGACAATCCTCTATTGCTTTCTCAGTAGGTCGGTCGTAAATTTTTACATTATTAGAGCTTCCAAAGGACCATATTTATTTCAAAACCTTCATTTTTCAAAAAACGTTAATGTCAATTGTCATAAAATCATTAAAAAAATCATGGAAAAGTGCCTAGTGAGAAACAAAATTAACAAAAGCATTAAAAAGGTATATTAATATGAGAATATTTGATCAATTTCTGTATGAAAAAAGATGACAACATTAATTCAAAATATAATATAAGACCATAAACATTATATTGTCATAAAAAGTGAGAGAAAAACAATATACAAGGTTAAAGTGCACATTAAAGTGCATAACATCAATTGTGATTTTAGAGAAAAATTTTCTTAATTTCGAATTTAAAAAAGTCAAATTTTTCAAATTTTCATCAGTTAAACACGAAATTTGGATGGTGTTCAACTATCAGCAGCATAGTAAAGGTAGTACAATTAGTTTGTTCAAATAATTTTGTGCTCCCTATAAAAAATTGCTTTGATAGGGGAACACTGAATCATTTGAACCACCCAGTATAATAATATAATTCAAAACAGTAGTAGATCATTAAACAATATTGCACTTGATTATATCTAAAAAATTATTCAAAGAGTCATAGATGTTAGTACCTATGATAATAATTCAAACTTAAGATGAAATTGTATAAACTACCTTTGATGACATCGTCGTACCAAGTTATAGTACCAGTTCAGTATTAGTACTACGAATCATAATACAAAGTCAGATATAGTACTATATGCGAACCACGGACTATAGTACCAGTCCAGTATTAGTACCATAATCATAATACAAAGTCAGTACTAGTACTAAAAATTATAGCACCATTTCAGTATTAGTACTACAAATCATAATACAAAGCCAGATATAGTACTATAAGAAAAACCACACTATAGCACCACTTTAGCACTAGTACCATAATCATACTACAAAGTCAGTATTAGTACAGTATATATCATAGTAGTGGTACTACACGTCATAATATTAGTCGTGTATATCATAGTACTACATAAATTCAGCGACGCAATCCACCGACGGCCGAGCCACCAAAGTGAGTAGGTAATGGTCTTTTAAGAGTTGGTTTTGTTGAAGACGGCAATGGCTTTGAAACAGCTGGAGCATAGCTTCTTGGGACTTGAGAGTTCACCTGAGAGAATGGTTGAGGTGGAGGTGGGAGTTCATGACCTCGTTTGTCCAACTCGAAGAGATACTTGAGGTCGTTCATCGTGAGCTTGGTCAGGTTCTTTTGGGCCACACTGAAAGTTTAAAACGGGTCACATAAAGTCATTTTATCAAAATTTTAACTAAACTTTAAATTTTTAGGTAACAATTGATCTTTTTTTGGCTTTAAAATCTTATTTTTAACAAAAACCTTCAAAACCTACCCATCCAGCACACTCTTAGCCAACATGATCTTCTTCTCCTGCAGTTCCAGCACTCTCTGCTCGATGGTTCCTTTGCAAATGAACTTTTTCACAAAAACCTCCTTCTTCTGACCCATCCTGTAGATCCTGTCAAAGGCTTGTTGTTCTTGAGCTGGGTTCCAATGAAGATCGACCATGAAGAGATGATTACCTCCCACCAAGTTCAGACCTACGCCACCAGCCGTCAGTGATAGCAATAGGACTGGGATGGCGTTCTTGAACGAATTAAAGTCGTTCATAACTTGTTGTCGGTCGATTGGTTTCATGCTTCCTGTTATTGACATAACTGGCACGTTTTCCACCGACAGATGGTGCTGAATAATATCTAGTACACTTGTCCATTGACTGACAATAACAACTTTGTCACCGCGGTCGATGACCTCCTTCAGATGATGCAGAACAGCCCGAACTTTGGTGCTGGCAGCTTCTGGTTCGAAGAGTCGTTCGACTGCCACCACATCTTGACCTAGCTCTTCGTCTTGTTCGAGGGTTATGGCCGAGAAGGTCTTTTCTAGTTCTGCTAGGTCATCTTCGTCTGGAGTGGCTACATCTTCGTTCTTGAAGCAGTCCACATCGACCGCGTTTTTGGTCAATGAGAGATGGACACATGCTTGACGAAGGCGAAGTAAGAGGGCGAGTAAGCAGCTCATGATTTGGAAGTGATCTCCTGTGTCGATTTCGCGATTTCCTCCTGAAAAAAGAGGTGTTATCGACCAAAAATGTCAAGTTATACACTCTCTAAACGCAAATTCCAGCTCACTAGGTAACACTACTTCATCCCAAACAATATTGCTTGAATCTTATGAGTAAACCTTGGCTGAATAGTAATAAAGAGTACTGCCTTACCCAAGAAAGGGTTGATAATCTTGGTCTTTTCCTTCTTTTTAATGTGATAGCCTTCGTTCTGGCTGTCTTGGATCATTTGTTTGACTTTTTGTCTTGATGCTTCAAACATGAGTTGATAGCACCGGCCTTCAGCACCTTTCATCTCTAGTTCGATTACCTCGAAGGTCCTCTTGGGTAGGGTTAGTATTGGTTTGTTAGTGATTGGTTGAGTTTGGTCTTTGGTTCTGCGGAGCAGTAGACCTTTGATAAGGGTGTTTAGGCGTTCGTTGTTTTCTAGAATAGACAAAATTTTAAAAAAAATCAAAATTTCAAAAAAAAAATTCAAATTTCAAAAAAAAATTCAAAATTTCAAAAAAAAATTCAAAAAACTCAAAAACCTACTACTCCCGCTCATAATGTACATTTTCCAGTGTCCTTCTTCGTGGAATGGGTGAATCTTCATGAATCTGATCAATGAAAACAGGTCCCAAAGCTCATTCTGAATTGGAGTACCAGTGAGGCACCATCGGTGGATGGCACTCAGTTGACAAGCAATTTTCGAAACTTTCGCTTTTCTGTTCTTGATTTTATGAGCCTCGTCTAGGATAATTCGCTCCCATGCGATTCTGCCCAACACGGAGTTTGAGTTGTTGTCCAGCGGGACGTCTGAGGCCAGGGTACCATAGGTTGTGATCACAATGTCATAACCGGCGATCCTGAAAATATATTACACATTAGTTTTATTAAAGTTAAATTTAAAACAGTACCTACTGCATACCGTATTTTACACAAAACCGACAAATAAAATAGTATATTTGGGTCCCGCAACGAAAAAATCTTGGCACAAATCAACCCTTCAAACATATAAATTTACTTACAACGTAGCTGACGCCTTTCTCTTACTCCCGTGATACACATGAACAGTCAATTTGCCCAAGGCCACTCGATCTTCCACTTCTTTCTGCCATTGTAGGATCAGTGAAGCCGGTGCTACGACCAGTGTAGCATTCGAATAGACCAGATTCCTATGTCTACATACATTTCTTCGTTCATCTCTTTCCTTTTCCCAATTCTTGTCGGCCAGGCGTTTGTTCTTCTGTTCGAGTATCAGAGATATCATGGATAAGGTCTTGCCGAGGCCCATATCATCAGCCAGGATTCCGCTTCCAGGCTTTTGGGTTTCTCTCCACAACAGCCATGCCAGGCCTTGTTTTTGGTGATGCATAAGGTCGATTTTGAGGCCTTGCGGATTTTCGGCTAGGACATTTTCGTCTGGGGCGGTTGATAGGGCTCTGAAACAAAATTTTTAAATTTGCATATAAACTTATACAAAGGGAACCAACAACAATATAGTAGTCTAAAGACCAAAAATATCTTACAGAATCATTATACAATCAAAAATTAGATAATACAGTCGAGAGCATATCTAAAAATAGCCTCTGAACCCAAAAAGTACTACCAATACCTAACATAACATATATTACAGTACGTCAACCCCACAAGCCCTTACTTATGCATGCTAGCAATCAAATTGTTGGTCTGATCCCTGATGTCTTCGTATCTGCCAGCTGTCATTTTACCGGCAAAGTTCCTCTTTGTCGGATCATTCGAAATCAACCGGTTGTAATCGTTCAGGCTGACTTGTGGAGGTGGTACTATGACTGGTACTGGCCTCTTCAGTACTTGTTTTTTGACTGGCGTTGGAGCCTTTTTGGGTGGACTGTCAGTGATTGAGATTACGGTAACTTCGTCATCCGAATTGGCTTCGTTAGAAGTGACACTTGAGTTCCAGTTGTGTTTCTTCTTGACATCAAGCACCTGGATCTCACTATCGTCCGAGTCACTGGCTGGCACGGTGTGGAACGATGCTGGGGGCGATGGTCCTGAAGAGTGGTTTTGGAAATCATCTAAAATCTTAAAAATTAACCAAATTTTTTTTTAAATTCTCACTTCTAATGAAGAATGTCATAAAATCCTCAGTTATAGTAAAAAATGTCATAGAATTGAAAAAATATATCAAAAACCTCACCCATAGCCATTCCTTCATTCTCTTGTTCCTGAAGTTGTCTGGCAATGGCTTCATCAGTCGCTATTTGTTCGGCCGAGTCCATACCTTCAAAACGACTGCCATTATATTCACCATGCTTCTCTGAATCAGCATTTTCTTTACCAGGCCGATCAGAACTGTCCATAGCATGATTATCCTCATCGCTTTGCTTAGACTTGTTCAGAGTGCCATTAGACGAAACAAAAAGACCTGAATTTCTCTTACATTCACCATGATGATCAAAGCTGTCATTCTTCTTATCACAGCCAACTGACTTCCGATTCTCTTTACCATAATGACCAGAATGATCCATATCATCTTCTCCATGCTTAGACCACTTCATACCACCATTATCTTCATCAAAACGGCCAGAATTATCCATCCTATCATTATCTACATCAACATCATTACCCTTGCTTCTTTTCCTCTGTTCATGTTGACTTTTGTCATTTTCATCTTCATCATCAGTTATTAATGACACCACTTGAGGTTTGTTTTCGTGTTTTTTCGAAACTTCACCAAAATCCTCGTCATCCGATGACATTATGATTTGATGTTGTTTTAGAGAGCTAACTGAGTCAGTTGGCTCGGATTCGGCAATTCTTAACGATGGAAAGGATTCTGGAGGTTCGGAGGCCTAAAATGAGGTTTTTGTGGGTTAACGTTTAGTTGAATTTTAATCTTTTTCATTACGATTTTAAAAAATTAACTTTTTTCAAAAAATTTTTAAAAATCCACCCCTAAGTCGAATTTTGAGTATTCTTGCTGTAAAATACGAATTTTGCCCTTTTTAAAATAAATTTTGATGATTTCAAGCAAAAAAAACCAAAAAGAAAGTTTTCCTTATTAATAACCCTTATGTTATACCTCCACTCACCTAAAATAACACAAATCATCTCACCTACCAAAATCATCCAAAAAAATCAAGATACCTAAAATACAAAACCATGCCATCTCAAATGTTTAAAATCCCCCTACCAACCCTTAAATTTAAAAAAATATCTCCGAAATGTCAGTAAAATCTTTTATCACAGGTTAGATTTGACTATCACATAATGACAAATCAGTGCTAGTATAATTTCAGTCCTAAAACTGAGAGTGGAAAAACATCAGACAGTATGATTAGTATAGTACGACTAGTACAAAATTGTACAAAAACGTTAGATATCTGGCTAAAAATCTTTTTTTGTAATTTTTTATGTTTTCTTCAGTTTTTCTTATGGTAACATCGATGTTTTTGATGAGATCCATTAATACTTTCGCATTTTTAAGATGAAAAATAATCCAAAAAGAATCAGAATGAACATATAAATCTAAAAAAAACAAAAAACTAGTATATTTCAAACATTTTCAACGTTTTTTCACCGTTTTTTACAAAAGTTCGTCAAAAAAGTCACAAAATTTCAGCCAGATATCAGTAGTTTTTCCCAAAATTTCGACAAACATTTCAAAGGTGGTTAGTTCAGAGACAGTAATTTAAATTTATCCGCTACCTGGTGTTCTTCGCCGACCGATCGCATCGAAACATCTCCTTGATCCGAGTCACTCTCCATTACGATCGTGTTACCGTACTTCTGCAGAGGCGGCCGTCTTGTTGGTAGAGCTCGCTGAAAAATGATCAAAATTAATTTTTAATACCTTGTGAATCTAAATTTATATTAAAGTTTTGCATCAATATTCTAAAAAATATAAATTTTGATTTTTCCCGACCAATACCTACTACAACATACTCACCCGTCCCATTCGTTGCTTTCTCTGTCGCCGTTCCCTCTTTGCCTGTTCTGACAATCCATACCAATTCTCCTTCTCATCATCATCATCGCTTGGCTCGATTATGCTTCGACTCCGATGCATTGGACTTGGCGGATCTGATTTTCCATTAGCTGATGTTAATGGAGCTCGGAACGTTGGCAGTTTAGGCACGACGAAACGATCGTTAGTTGGTGTGGCGACTTTTTTCGATTCGGCAGATCCACAGACAACTCCTTCGGCCGTAGAACCATTGGATCTGACTGAGTTTCGTGCGACTTCTGGAGTATCGTCGTCTATTGAAATCACTTCATGAATTGTTGAGAAGTCAAGTGTTGGACCTGGTGTGTTCTAAAAAAATAGATAGTTTATCTTCTTTATTGTTTAAAGAATAAAAACATAACTTTAAAATGAAAAAAATCTCAAACTCTAGACATCATTTTAGGTCTCTCTAAAGCTACTACAACATGCAAGTATTGGCTAATTTCAAAATTTTATCTTAAAAACTTGTTGACCCATTAAATTATCTCGTAATTGTCAAAATTTGAAATCTATAACTTTCTGTTCAAGAAAGTTATAACAAAAATAAAATTTAACACTAGTTTTTATAAACAAGTATAATATAACACATTAAAACCGTACTTTTCCACTATATGTAAACCTCCAGAGTAACCTAAAATATAAAAAATAGATAGTAAAACAACTTACCAATGTAGGAGCATTCGGACGATGGCGGATCACACTCAACTAAAACAATATTCATTAAAATCTTTCAAACTAATAGTTTTAAAATTGCCAAAACTGAATGTAAAACTCTTTTAACAATACACAAACTTACAGCAAGTGTAGGTTTAGGAGCGTCCTTTGAAATAGGAGTAGAAGTAAAGGATGGACCAGCATTTTCGATACTTGAAAACAATCGTCGACGGTCCATCACACCCCTAAAACAAGCTGGGCATGAATTAAACGAATCTACACAAACAATAAATATCAAACATTGACGTCAATCGTATTTTACTAATTTACACAGACGAATCTGATAATTCATAGCAGAAAAAGCTAACATTTAGCAAGTAACACTTCAAAAATTACAATTTAGCACAACAAAACACCTCAAATTCCCTGTTTTTCAAAAAATGAATGTAAATTCACATTTTATGTCAAAAAATGCAAGAAACTTTTATGAAATGTAAATGATAAGGTCAAGATTAAAGTCGAGATCGATTTTCTACAAAAAATTGTCCGCTCAACGTTCAAACATGGACCAGTGCGCCTGTAAGTCATTCGTCGCGGGACTCAAAAGCGAGGGAATATTTGGCGCCAATTTATCGTTAGAATCGAATTATTCCATTTTCCCGAGTTTCGGTGTGAATCCGCTCCAGGAAAGGCTTGCGTTGATTCCAAAGAGTCGGTTTTTATTCGTGTTGACGTCTGTTTGGCTAGTTATTCAATTATATAGAGCTTACAAGTTGTTTTAGCTGATTTTTGAACGTGGTTTTGGTCGATTTTCTTTAGATTTCGAATGATTGTTATTAAAATTTTTGTTTTTAGGGGGATTATCGAGAACCATGTCTGATTCCGACTCTGACTTCGATGCTCCCGGCCCGTCGGCCAAGAAAACGCCGCCGTCCAAGAAGGCTCCAAAGGCTAAAAGTATGTTGTTATAGGTTTTGTATATAACTTTTTTGAAACGACAGTTAGAGATTTGAAATTTTATGTCATTATAGATAATATATTTTGCTAATTAAGTGATAAAATGAATTCTTGAAATTATGACAACGTAGATGATACAGCAATATTACTTTAGTCTACTAATATTTACCGTTTTTCTTTCAGAAGCCGTCAAAGACGAAACAAACCAGATGAACGAGGAAGACATGAACGTTTTCACCAACATCGACAAGAACAAGGGTAAAGCACCTACTATTGAGGACATGTATCAAAGAAAAACGCAGCTGGAGCACATTATGCTTCGTCCCGATACCTATATCGGATCTGTGGAGTTTTGTGACAGGCAGTTGATGTGGGTTTATGATAGAGAGGAAGAGAAGATTGTTCAACGTGAAGTGTCGTATGTGCCAGGTCTTTACAAGATTTTCGACGAAATCTTGGTAAACGCGGCTGATAACAAACAAAGGGATCCGAAGATGAACTTGATCAAGATCAACATCAATCAGTAAGGTTTTTTGTTACTGTTTTGTTTTTATAGGTACTGACAAGGCTTTAGAATGAAGTAGAAGAGATTTTTTGTACAGATTATCATTGTTATGTTAAGAAAGAATGTCATTTTTGGGCTAAACCAATATTATTCGATCAAACCATCTAAAATAATATAATTTTAGAGCGAAGAACGAGATTTCCGTGATGAACAACGGCAAGGGTATTCCGGTGGTTATGCACAAGGTGGAGAAGATGTATGTGCCAGGCATGATCTTTGGTACCTTGTTAACCTCGTCCAACTACAATGACGATGAGAAGAAGGTTACTGGTGGTAGAAACGGTTATGGTGCCAAGCTGTGTAACATCTTCTCAAGCAAGTTCACATTGGAGACGAGTTCTAAAAGCGATAAGAAGGCTTTTAAACAGGTAAATTGTTAAGTTATGAATGAAAATATTAATATTCCTATAAAATTATTAAGATTTTTCTGGATTTTTCATTGGAAATTGGGTTTTTGGCTACAATTTTGAATTTAAGTTGCTGATTTCAACCTCATTTTTCATAGAAAACAAGGATTATCTAGAATAGTAAAGCATTGTTAAAATTATATTGTTTTAGACCTGGACCAATAACATGACGGCTACAGAAGACCCAGAAATTACCAAAAATGAGGCCGAAGACTTCACCAAGGTCACTTTTTGTCCAGATTTAAAAATGTTCAAAATGGAGAAACTTGATGATGACATCGTGTCTCTGATGTGTCGTCGTGCCTTCGATATTGCTGGATCGACAAAGGGAGTCAAGGTTTACTTGAACAACAAGTTGGTACCCGTAAGTTGATTCTTTGGTTTATTTTGCAATAAAAATGGGGATTTTCTGGCATTTTGTATTAGAAATGAGGATTTCTTGACTTTTTTTCATTAGAAATTAGGGTTTTATGCCATTTTTCATTAGAAATGAGGATTTTGTGACATTTTGAACTATAAATTATTTTTTCATTTTAAAATTTACAGTGCCAAGGCTTCAAACAATACGTGGAGCAATACACCAAGAACCTAACTCACGATGACGAACCCTACAAGGTGGCCTACGAAACAGTCAACAATCGATGGGAAATCGCGATGACAGTTTCTGACAGAGGCTTTCAACAGGTCTCATTCGCCAATTCTATTGCCACAACTAAAGGTGGTAGACATGTTGACTATGTGGTAGATCAAGTGGTCAGCAAGATGATTGAAACCATCAAGAAGAAGGTCGGAAAGAGTGGAATCACGGTGAAACCGTTCCAAGTCAAGAATCACATTTGGGTATTCGTGAATGCATTGATCGAGAATCCGACTTTCGATTCACAGACTAAGGAGACTATGACGTTGCAGGTAAGGATACGTCATAAAACATGGTTTTGATCTAATTTTTGGTGGTTTAAAGTTATTATATGTAATTGATGGACTAAAAATGAGTTTTTTTAGTTATTTTCATGCTGTTTTAGAGGCTTCAAGGGTTAAAAATGAATCTTAAAAATTATTTATTTCCTATTGTTTTTTAAACTTAAAGTAACATTATTTTCTTTTCAGTCAAAGAGCTTCGGATCAAAATGTGAACCATCAGACAAATTCATCAACGAAGCCCTAAAGTCGGGCGTGGTCGAGAGTGTTATGTCCTGGGTCAAGTTCAAACAACAAGAGCAACAGGACAAGAAGTGCTCGTCCAAAAAGACCTCCAAGCTGAAGGGAGTACCGAAACTCGAGGATGCCAACGATGCAGGAACAAAGAACTCACACTTGTGCACTCTGATCCTGACAGAAGGAGATTCAGCCAAATCGTTGGCTGTAGCTGGACTGGGTGTAATCGGCAGAGACAGATATGGTGTGTTCCCACTACGTGGTAAAATGTTGAACGTGAGAGATGGTAACCACAAGCAAATCATGGAGAATGCCGAGATTAATGCTTTGTTGAAGATTGTCGGTCTTCAGTATAGACTGAAGTATGCGACGGATGAGGAAAGGAAGACTTTGAGGTATGGAAAGATCATGATCATGACTGATCAGGTAAGGATAAGTTGGGAATATGGGCTTTTGTCTTGGATGTAGGCTTATTTTTGTTGTTTAGAACGTTTTCGGGCTTTTTAAGGATTTGACGAAATGTCACATAAATTATTGGAAAACTTGACGAAGTGTCACGAAAATTATTGGAATTTTAATTTTGCAAGAACTGTAAAATGCGATGATAAAATATCGATTCTATGTGATTAAAAATGAAAATTTTGTCTTTTTTAATGACGTTTCGTTTTAAATTGATATTTTTGTAGGATCAAGACGGTTCCCACATCAAAGGTCTCGTTATCAACTTTATCCACGCCAACTGGCCAAACTTGCTGAAGACGAACTTCCTGGAAGAGTTTATCACTCCAATTGTCAAGGCAACAAAGGGAAATCAAGAAATTTCATTTTACTCATTGCCAGAATATATGGAATGGAGATTGAATACAGAGAACTGGAAGTCCTTCAAGATCAAATACTACAAGGGTAACTTTTTTTGAAGTTTTTGGCTTACAGGGGAACACACTTATTTAAAATTTAGTTTGATATTGATATTATTTTAGGTTTTTTTATTGAAATTTTGCTTTTACTGCCATTTTTTATCGATTTTTGCTTGAAAACTCTCCTTTAATTAGTTTTAAACTGGTATCGTTTCAGGATTGGGTACCTCCTCGGCAAAGGAGGCTAAAGAATACTTTTCGGACATGGTACGCCACCGAATCAAGTTCCGCTACGGTGGCCCCGGCGACGATGAAGCCGTAGAGATGGCCTTTTCGAAAAAGAAGATTGAAGACAGAAAGGACTGGCTCACCGGCTGGATGCAAACCAGAAGAGAACGACGACAAGCAGGCGAAGCCGAAGACTATCTATACGACAAGGACACGAGAGACATCTCCTATGCTGACTTTGTCAACAAAGAACTGATCTTGTTCTCAAACATGGACAACGAAAGATCAATTCCATCACTCGTGGATGGCTTCAAACCCGGCCAAAGAAAGGTTATGTTCACGTGCTTTAAGAGGGCGGACAAGAAGGAAGTCAAGGTGGCTCAGTTGGCTGGTGCTGTAGGAGAAATGTCAGCTTACCATCATGGTGAAGTAGGTTTTTTATTTTTGTAGTATTTGGGGTAGATTTTAAAAATGAATTGAAGGGGTGAAATTTATATTGAACTTGATCTAATTTCTGCATTTTTCAGCAATCTCTCATGATGACCATTATCAACTTGGCCCAAGACTACGTAGGCAGCAACAACATCAACTTGCTGATGCCAAACGGTCAGTTCGGTACCAGATTGTTGGGTGGCAAAGATTGTGCCTCACCTCGTTACATCTTCACACAACTCTCACCAGTAGCCAAAGCCCTGTTCCCAGCGGCCGATGAGAACGTACTCAAGTTCCTGTTCGAAGAAAACCAAAAAATCGAACCGGAATGGTACTGCCCCATCATCCCAATGGTACTCATCAACGGAGCAGAAGGTATCGGCACAGGATGGTCGACTAAAATCCCCAATTACAATCCAAGAGATGTGACGGACAATATCAGAAGACTGATCAGAGGCGAGGGCATGAAGCCATTGGTACCATGGTACAAGAAGTTCAGAGGTACCATCACCAAGATCGACAGTCAAAGATTTGCCTGCTCTGGAGAGATATCGATTCTCGATGACGACACAGTAGAGATTACCGAGTTACCTATCAGGACTTGGACCCAAGGCTACAAGGAAAGTGTACTAGAATCCCTGATGGACGGTACTCCAGACAAGCCAGCCTTGGTCGCTGACTTTAAGGAGTACCACACGGAAGAGACGGTCAAGTTCTTGGTCAAAATGAACCACGGAAAGCTGAGAGAAGCCGAACGAACTGGTCTTCACACCGTCTTCAAACTCACCACAGTAATCAACACCACTTGCATGGTACTGTTCGATGCAGCAGGAGTACTAAGACAATTCTCAAGCCCCGAAGAGATCTGCCACGAGTTCTTTGAGACCAGAAAGGTGAAGTACATTGAAAGAAAGGCCTTCCTCGAAGGCATGCTTCAAGCTCAAAGTGACAGGCTGTCGGAACAAGCTCGCTTCATCCTCATGAAGATCAACAACGAGATTCACATTGAGAACAAGAAGAAGCAGGTCATCATTGAACAGCTGATCAAGCACAACTTCAAGCCAGACCCAGTCAAGCAATGGAAGGAGATTCAGAAGCGGAAGGAGCTGGAAATGTGCGGAGAAGTGGAGATGGACGAGGAGGAGGAGGAAGGAGATGATAATGTAAGAAAAGGTTTTGGATACGAGTTTTATATTTGAAATAGTGAATTTTCGATGTGGTTTGGCTTAAAAATTAAAATTTTTCAAAAATTTTAAAAGTTAAGAAAAGGCTTATAAAAAAGATAAGGTTATTTTAGGACCAACTTTCGCGCAAGGTCTCGGACTATGACTACCTGGTCGGTATGGCCATCTGGAAGCTCTCAATGGAAGACAAGGACAAATTGATGGGTGAAAGTCAAACCAAAAAGGACGAATTGAAGGTACTCCAGAGCAAATCTTGGGACGAACTGTGGGAAGAAGACTTGAAGGTCTTTGAAGAGGCGTTGGAGAAACAAGTAAGGTTTAAGTTCAATTTCAAAATGACAATTTTAGACCTTTGGTTAATATTGCGGCTTAAAAGTTAGGTATTGTTATATTATTATTATATAACTAATAGTATTAAAAAAAATGCTTTTTTTCAGGAAAAGAAGGAAAAGGCAGACCTGGAGGACTGTTTGAAGAAGGCCGTTACCAAGTTGGGCAAGGACAAGTCAGAATCCGGGAAAAGAGCAGGTAAAAAGCTGGCTGCTGGCTTGGCTGACGTCAAACCAAGTGAGAACGCTGTCAGAGTCGAAGTCAATTTGGATGTTGTGAAAGGCAAATACGAAACCAAGCCTAAGCGAGAACCCAAAGCTCCGAAGGAACCAAAAGAATCGAAAGCAAAGGCCAAGAAGAAGGACCTGGAGAACAACACTTCCATGGATGCGTTCGTCAAGAAGGGCGTGAAGGAAGAGCAAGACGATTCAGACATCGAAGAGATTGACAAGGAAAATCAAACTAAACCCGCGCCAAAACCCAAGGCCAAGAAAGCACCAGCGGACACCAAAGAAAAAGCACCAGCCAAGAAGGCGGCTCCAAAGAAGAGGAAAGCAGCTGAATCTGATGGTGAAGACGATGTTGTCACCATGTCTTCAGATGATGAAGAAGCCATGGACATTGGAACTCCACCACCGAAACGTGAAACCGCTCCAAGAAGAGCCGCGGCCGCTAAGAAGCCAGTCATCGTGGATGAGGATTCAGACGAAGAGTTCAAGCCGAAGCCAAAGCAAAGAAAAATCGTGGATTCTGACGACGATTTTTAGGATTTTGAAGACCTTTTTGTAACCATTTTGTGTTGAAGAATGTTAACGATACGGAAGAATTCAGAAGGCTTGAGCTATCGTATAACCGTCTTCAAAGTCGTTTCTCTTAATGTTAAATTGTATCTTTTATCATGTTAAACTGATTGTAAAACGATCAACGATATCTCATGCCCAATGCTATCTCAACCTCTTTGAATTGTAACGTGTATAGAAGTTTGTGGTTATTTGATTATGTTTTGTTATTCCACACTAATCACCTTGTAACATTACTGTTTATACTGATTACTGAATTAAAAATTGAACGAACGTACCTCAGCATATATTTGTTACGTGATAACGATAAATTGTGGATGAGATCAATGATGATAATGTCAAAAATATTAATTATCCACCCCTTGCGAGGTGTTTGCCCCTCCCTCTCAAAGGTCCGTCACCGTCGGGTTGCCAACTGAATCCAGATTACTCCGCGAACGAAAAGAGCAACATCCAAGTGTGTATCGCTATCAAGGCATCAGAAATTGATTGTTTCCGTCCCTTGCGCATAATACCACAAGTGGAGGAGCAGACTCGGCACAAGTCAGTATTACCCAAAAAAAGTCTTATTTGAAGACTTCGAGATTTTTAAGCCTAGACTTTAAAAAAGTCAAAATTTTGAGGGAAAACTGGAAATTGAAACAAAAAGTTTAAAAATAATTTTTAAATTTCGAAAAAACTAAAATCTTGTGCCTTTGCCACCCCAAGAACTCGAGTGCTTGAACCTCCCGCTTAGCCTCGCTAAAAGTACAAGAATCAGAAGGGAGAGCAGGCTCGGCTTCACCTCTTCGAGGAAAGAAGGACAAATGGACAATGATAACGAAAAATCCCCCAAAAGCTTAAAAATACAAGTACAATAAAGATATTATAACATATTAGCTGATCGCTTCATATCTTCACAGATTACGGACTGGTTTCGTCTGGTTGCATACTCTTCTTGGTTCTTTTGGTACTTAATCTTCTTTGGGTGTGAGCTATGTTCGGAGCGTAAGCTGGAACTCGATTGGTCGGCGGACCTTGATGAAAGTTGTTGTAGATACGAAAAAACCTGAAACATTTTAATGTTAAGTACGATAACAAAAACTGCGATTTTTAAGAAATAAAAACCAGAAATTTTACTCCAAAGTCCTATGTTATTATAACCTAAAAAGAATAATTTTAAGTCAAACGAAGAAGAAATAGCCACAGAAAATAAAATATTGTTCAGCAAAGTTAAAGGATTCATCTAGATACTCAAAACACAAGTAAAAAGAAACATATTTGAATTTTTCATTAGACAAAGCCCTAAAGGTCAATATATGTATAATTATGTAATCGCCAACTCCTTCCGATTCATACTCATCTAAACCTAAAATCATTCGCAGTATCTGCATGGGTCAAGCATAGTCGGGTATTTTTTTATATATAGACTTGATAGGTTACCTTCTATAGTTGAGCTATTAAGGGGTGCTCAAGATAGTTTTTGGCATTTTTGGAATTAACTTCGTATGATTACTGTGTGGTACTATTTTTACGTCGAGTCACTTTAGAATTGAAATTGTTATATCATTATTTTGTTCTCAAGTTAACTATTTAAAGCATTATTAGTACCAATTACAGTCAGTAATTTTTTTAAATTTTAAGTACTATGTTTGCTCGTTTTCTTTGAAGTATATTAAAAATGCCATTTTCATTACTGTGACAGCATTGCATTACTCTTTGTCGTATCTGTACATATAACAGTACAAAGTACAAGCTTCCGTTTTAAAGACCTGTATAAATTTCAGATAATATGTGCGAAAACAGCCTCAAGGTAATAAGCGCTAGACAAAAATGTAAATTTACATTTTTCTTAATATTTAGCTTTAAGGGTCAATCTAGGTGCTATTGATCCACATAAGATTTTCCTGTCTTTACAAATCATGTTAAACCAAAACCAACATCATTCATGCTACCTGTCTAGCTGGTGAACGGTTGGGCATGATCTTTTACTTGCATATCCGGGTTTTTACTATATTCTTCCATCCTGTTACTGTATGATATTTTTGGGTATTTTAAGAACTTGTGGTAGTTTATATGGGAATCTCTTATGTTGTAATTATAATATGTGATTAGTATTCTCAAAGTAGTATAGATGGTACATTACTATATGTTAGTATTGGGCGCGTTGAAATGGAAATTTGTTATATTATTACTTGTTTCTGTCCTTGAGTTAAGTCATTAAAACATTTAGAATATTTTCGGTACTAATTACAGTTTAAGCAGCATTTCAAAAATTTTATGTACAATTTTTACTATTTGACTTTGAAATCGTTTAAAATGTCTGATTCATTACCGTAACCGTATTATACTGTTTTTAAGTTGCATCTGTACAAAATATGTGCGTATTCTGCCTCGAGGTAATCCAACGATAGATATTAATGTAAATTTAAATTTTTCTTAATATTTCGCCTTAAGGGTCAGACAATGTTATATCGCGCAAACCGAGATAAGATTATCCTGCTTTTCCAAATCATGTACATCCAAAAACAAAACCACTCATGCTATCTGCCTAGCTGGTAGACGGTTGGACATGTGTTTTCATTAGCATTTCCGAGTTTAACTATATTCTTTCATCATTGTTAGTGTATTATTATACATTTTTTGGGTATTGTGAAAATTTAAGGTAGTTTATATTGGGATTTTCGGTATTGTTAATACAGTATGAGTATGGTATTGTGAAAAGAGTATAGACAATACAATATTTTGGTTTATATACTGTATAGTTGTACCAGGCGCGCTGAAATTGAAATCTGTTATGTTATTACATGGTTATGTCGTTCAGTTAAGTACGGATTATAGTTCAAACTCTTTGAATATTTTCAGTACTACTTACAGTATTGATAGTATTTAAAAACATTCAAGTACTATTTTTACTATTTGACTCTGAAGTATGTTTAAAATGTCATATTAATCATTATAACAGTATGGTGCTGCTCCTTATCGTATCTGTACGAAATATGTGCGGATTTTACCTCGAGGTAACCAAGTTGGTTTAATAACTTGAAATTTTAAGTTTTCTTAATATTTCGTCCTAAGGGTCAAACAATGTTATATCGAGCAAACCAAGATAAGATCCTGGTTTTCCCAATCATGTAAAACCAAAATCACTCATGCTATCTGCCTAGCTGGTTAACGGTTGGACGTTAGTTTTTATTAGCATGTTCTTCTTTTTAATTTATTCTTAAATCCTTAACCATACTTCTTGACCTCTCGCGTTCCGTGCGCACCGTGACTTGCCGTTAAATAAAATGGCCGTTTCTGACCCCACTTCTTGACCTCTCGCGCTCCGTGCTCACCGTGACGTCGCTACCCCTTATAATTGCGTTTTTCGAAACCATACTTATCAAATAACTATGTACAATATATTAAAGTAAGACTTTTAGATCGCAATCTTACACTGCTTTAAAGTATTTAAAAATACAAAAATGAACTCCCAACACATCAAGCCTACCACCTACAAGAAGAACGCATTGAAACAAGACCAGTTGGGCTGCATCTTTGAGAACAACGAATATTACAAAATTAAACAAGGAACTACTTTTAAGTCGTAAGTTTTACACAACATATTAAAATAACAGAAATGACTAAAATTTAAGCAATACATATACTCTTAACGAATAAATTTAAAAAAATGGCGTTTCAAAGAATATTTAAATCAAAAAATTAAGTCATTTACTGCGACAACTAACTTTACATTTAACACAATATAATCCAGCTGAAGTCAAAGATAAACAACAAGATTACAAGTTCATTTGTTTTAGGTACGATGAGCTAGTTCACGCCATCATCAGGTACGAAATAGCAGCCAGAGTGCACCTTTTAAGAAGTAGTTCGAACTTCTTGAAGGCCAACAAAAAGGTTGTCTTCTCAGAAGACATTTGCCAGCAGTTTGTATTAGTTGATCGGCTCGTGTTTAAGTGTCCGAACCACGAAGTCATCAAAAGATACGACAGCCAGGGGAACGCTCTCTACAATAAAAGGGTGATAAAAAAGAATATTGAAGACCCAAGGAAATGTGAATTTACCTTCACGGTACAGTACAACCCAGAAATAAACCGGCTACAAATTAGTGCCGGAAAGCTGTACCACACGGGAGGTTGCAATCCCAGCCACAGGGACTTATTTGACTATGTCCCAAAAGATGAAAACAACAAAAAGAAAAGAGCTATCCGTAAGTTATACGCATTATATTCAAATAGCTGTAATTTTATCAAATTTTAACGTAATTTAATAATCTACACAAACCAAGAAGCTAACAAATTAATAAAGAATATGCAAAACAACATATTAGCTTCACTGTTTTTAGATAAGAAAATTGAAGAAATGGCACCGACTCGGCCGCCTGTTAAATACTGGCCCGCAACTACAACAATTGCCTTCAAGTCCAAGAATAGAACGATGCAATCACCGAACTTGAACGCGCCATTCCACCAGGACACTGACGCTGGCACGATAACGTACGCGCCAGAAGTTGAAGCCTTGATCAGTCAGTATGTCACCGACTGCATAAAGAAGCCGGCTGGCGAAGAGCCTAAAGCCGGGCCATCCAACAGCCGCGGCCCCAAGCGCCGTATGGCAGACGAAAGCGAAGTAGCCGCCAAGAGAGCCAATGATGGATATGCCCTGAGACCAAACATGAATTACGAAACCGCAAAATTTAGCCAAGCCAGCTACGTAGGCCAAGACAACTACATGAGCCATGACGGGACAGTACAGTTCGAAGGTTATGTACAACCAGTGCAACAAAGATGTGAAGGCCAGACTGATTTATTCAGCCAAAACCAGGCTTACTGCCAGCCGGCTGGTCCAAGTCAAAGCTATTGGAACCAGCCGGTTCCCAATTATGAGCCTTATTATGAACAGACGGCCACACAACAATATAACCAAGAAGGCTTCCACAACATTTATGGCCAACAAGCGAGCAATAACGGTTTCTTTGAGCCAAACTGGGATGGATACAGTAGGTTAAGCTACGAAGCAAGCCAACCGCCAGCTTACTGTAGCCAAGACATCGCCGAACCAGTGCCAGAAAGTCGAGCAGAACAGCCCGCGTATAATCCGCCATATGCTGCCACATTTGTCAATGATCACAATGTAAGAAGGTCACAACGTAGTGGTAGTCCAGAAGAAGATAACTATGACTGGGGCAACCTGGATGATTACTTCGAACCGCCGCTCCAGTGTTCAGCCCAAGAAGAAGAAACCACTTTGTCGTTGGCCCAAAATCCAGAAGGTCAAGATAGTCCACCCATTGAACAGCCTGAACCGGAACCTCAGCAAGAACCAGCGCCTATATTCTACTATGATGAAGAAGAAATGCAGGCAGTCGGTTCTGGAGGAGCCGACCTTATCCTAATGGCCATGGAAGGTCTACTAACATAAACTTAATATCCTTGTGAAATACAATCTATAGATCTGCAATTATACCTCTTTAATACAAAAGATTGTACCTCAACTTATTTTATACCTCAAAATTGTAAAGAAGTATCTCAATAATCCTATATTTAAACCGTTTTGATCTTATATTATTGTAAATAGTATATTTCTATCATTATTGCATATATTAAAGTGAAAAATAAAAATAAATAAAAAACCAGTTAGGCATATTGAGAACAAACCCATAGTAAACCTAAAAAATAATAAAACTGAACAAAAAGAAAAGCCAATGCTTCTCATCTTTATAGATTCTACAGTTCAAAAAACATCAGATAAAAACTCATTCAGTCGGAACTAATATAATAAATTATAATACAAAACTATGACCAAAAATATTTCACCTTTTAATAATTTAGCAATGACAACATAACTAAACTTAAAAATAAAAAAACCAGCAAACCTACCCTTTTCTCGTTGTCGTTTTACATGTGAACATCGAAAAAGTGACCGGAAAGCACCATTTTTGTATATATCATCGTCAAAGTGGTCTTATCAAAGAGAGATCCGTGGAGGATTGGAGCTTCGACAAAATCATCTAATAAACAATGAATACAGGAAATTGGGCAAAAAGTGTATAGACCTATATAAAAAATTACAAATTCAAATAACAAAACTTGGCTTAAAATAGCAAAAACCTTGTGTCCAGCCATTAAAGTAGTAACCAGAAAGGTAAAACACATTTTATCCGCCCCCAAAACTTTAAAAATTTACAAAGCTTACTTTAGAATCCGATCAACCTCCATGTCAACGTCTAAAAAGTGTTCTGAATAGAGCAAAATACAAGTTGTTGTAGAATCTTGTGCTCATCTGAAAATAAAATTTGTTACCTAAAATTCACCAAAATCAAAACTTTGTTACCTAAAATATCGAAAATAACGAAAATTTATAAACAACTAAAAGAGCCACAATTTTTTAACCTAAACTCATCAATACTCAAAGTTTAATACCTAAATAGAACGAAATCCAAAACACAATACCTAATCTTGAACAAAACCATCTTTAATACCTAAAAAACAAATTTAAAACAATATAAACTTACGTTTGCAACTGTACATCATCCTCTGTCTTTGCTATTAAAGCCACCAGCTTCTTCATGTAAGTATCAAAGGCTCGTTGAACTGTCTGAAAGTTGCCCAAAGCATCCTCAACTTCTCGAAACTTGGATCCTTTTGTCAATTTGTCAAAGTTGAACATTCTAAAACAAATAACATTATTTAAATTATTTAAAATACTTTATCAATAAATTAAAATGAAAGATTTATCAAGTTAATTTGATTTTACATCAAAAAATTGTTGAAATTTGATGAAAATATTTCCACAAAGTTGCTTCTGACTAAAATTTGCTCGAAATTAAAAGTTGAGTCAAGTGTTACTTTTTAGGGGTAATGTATATTCGGATCAAAAAACCATGGAGTTTTTGATAAAATTTGAAGTTTCAACGCATAAATTATAGAATCAAACGATGAAGGGCTCATAATTGGACATTGTAGAATGTTCTTCAGTTGATAAATGCAATGATTTTTCCACAAAAAACGCTGTAATTTTGTGGAAAATGCGCTTTGAAGAGTTGTCTATGGCCTTTACAAGCATAAGGATGATGGAAATTGGACAAAACTAAATTGGAAATGAAAGCATTTGGACGTTGAAGTTATTTAGGAGATTCCGAAGGATTTTTTAAAGATAACTTTGCCAGTTTTTAGTTTTATTTGAAAGTTTAGAGTCTTTTGGAAGGTAATGTTCTCGGCTAGTTCTTGACCAATTTTGCTGATTTTTTGATTTATTGATGTCAAATGACATTGTAAAACTTGCTCTATCATACTCTCTGTTAAACTTTATCCTAACCTCACTTTAGCTTTAATTATTTAGCCGTTACCATCTAGCCCTAACATCTTTAAGCTAACGCCTACCATAATATCATTAATGTTCAAGTTTACCATAAGTTCATCAGTAAACAAAACCCGTAGGCGCTACAGTATATCCCTTGTAAACAAAGTAAATTTTTGAGTAGAGAGTGACCTAACTAAACAACAATAACATGTTGTATTAGAGTGTAATGTATTCAAAGTACACTCCGCATCATATTGTTTGTTCGACAAACACTGTGATGATGATGTTATTAGCAGGATTAGCGTCTGGATGAGTATCAAACTTGTACTCGGAATGCATTCGAACATCATTGTTCTATTAACATGATATCAAAAAGTAAAAAAAAGTTACTAATCTTTTATAATTATAGTAGTGTGTGTATACATATGGGATATAGTACTTGACTTTTGATAAAAAATGGTTTTTTGTGTTTCAGAGGTTACGGTAATATATGTAATATTATGATAGTTTAGCAGTTTAACTTATAGGGAAGGGTTGGGTAGAGTAGGGTTGAGTAATTTAGTGTAGGTTAGGGTAGGGTAGGGTAGAGTATAGCAGGGTAGAATAAGTTAGCGTAGTTTAGGTCAGGGTAGGGCAGGGTATTGGAGGGAGTAGGGCAGGGTCGGGGACGACATAGCAGAGTAAGATAAGACAGGGCAGGCTAGGAAAGGGAGTGACATAGAAGGGTACGGAAGAGCAGGCTAGGGCAGGACAGAGCAGGGTACAGCAGGTCACTGAGAGGAGTAGGGCGGGACAAGACAAGGTAGGGCAGGGTACGTCAGATAGGGTAAAGTATTGCAGGCTACAGGGTTATTGTTGTATGATAGGATAGAGCAGGCCACTGTTAGGACAAAGTATGAATATGGTAAGGCTAACGAAGGGCTGTTGCAGCTTTACATCATCTTCTATGTGAGATGCCACGAATAAGATAATATAAAGTAATGTTAGAGTAAGAAAAGTTAGGACTAATTTCTATATTGTAAAATACGCCTTTAACATATTTGAATTAAAAAATTACGTTTTCACCAGACAGTAGCTGAACTTTTGTAGCATTAAAACGTATTTGTTATTCACTTTTAATTTTTTATCTTGTGTTATGCAGCTCGCCGTTCTATTTTACAAGTTACACTTGAAAACAAAAACTAAATGGATTTACTTAATTTGAGGGCTAGTCCTTGCTCTTGTCAGCTCTTTGGACATGGAGCTGCAGTTATAATGTGACATTTTCTTTTGCATAAAACTCTTTTGACTGTTTGTGTTTGCACGTTGCTCTTGGAGGTCATATGTATAAGCCAGCATGAGTGTTGGGGTGGACTTTTGTTTTGCAAAAAATGGCTAGTATGTAGTATAGTAGTATGAAGTTACTGTAAGAAAATAACGACTTGTTCAATTAATTCTGTGCCCTTTCTAAAAGCAAATTTTTGGGATATGGGGCACATAATTATTTGAACAACCTAATATAATATAATGAGGTATTCTACTTTACCCTACCCTACACTACGTTATCCTACCCTATCTTGTTCAACTCTACTCCACTTTGCCCCACGTTACGATTTCCTACCATAGATTACCCTACTCTGTCTTGTGATATATATCATACGTTAGCGTAGCGTATATTGCCCTACTTTACCCTACGAGTATGTTGGTCTAGGTCATTTGTGTATACGTTGTTTGTCATAAACGAAACAGTGACAGTAAATTTCTATGTTAGAGCATTAAAAGCTATAGCATGATGTGTTAGAGGCAGGAATGGTTATAAGAAGGCCATTCTTGAATTATGATTTGGTACAGTAGAAAACGGTAGGGGCTTGTAGAGTGAAGTAGCGTAGGAGAGGGTATGATGGGACGAGAGCTCTGAGCTAGGGTTCTGGGCTAGGGCTTTGGGCTAGGGCTAGGGCTCTGGGCTAGGTCTCTGGGCTAAAGCTTTGGGTTAGGGTTCAGAGTCATTGTATGTTATATTTTTTGTTGTTTACAGTATTCCCTTTCCTAGTTTTTACACGTGAAATTCATAAAAAATGTCAAAAGCAGGACCAAATACGGAACTACGTTAATATTATAGCTTCCGAGTAAACATTCAAAACATGTGTCAAATGACAAAATCATCTGTCACTAAATGTGCAACATTTAGTTGTACTGTAATATAAAATGTCATAAAACAAACAATAAAAGAGTATTTTTGACAAAATTAGCATAAATTTTTGCAAGTACAGGGAATGAGTATAGTATAGTATAGTTTGTATAGTATAGTATAGTATAGTATAGTATAGTATAGTATAGTATAGTATAGTATAGTATAGTATAGTATAGTATAGTATAGTATAGTATAGTATAGTATAGTATAGTATAGTATAGTATAGTATAGTATAGTATAGTATAGTATAGTATAGTATAGTATAGTATAGTATAGTAGAGTATAGTATAGTATAGTATAGTATAGTATAGTATAGTATAGTATAGTATAGTATAGTATAGTATAGTATAGTATAGTAGAGTATAGTATAGTAGAGTATAGTATAGTATAGTAGAGTATAGTATAGTATGGTATAGTATAGTATAGTATAGTATAGTATAGTATAGTATAGTAGAGTATAGTATAGTATAGTATAGTATAGTATAGTATAGTATAGTATAGTATAGTATAGTATAGTATAGTATAGTATAGTATAGTATAGTATAGTATAGTATAGTATAGTATAGTATAGTATAGTATAGTATAGTATAGTATAGTATAGTATAGTATAGTAGAGTATAGTATAGTATAGTATAGTAGAGTATAGTATAGTATAGTATGGTATAGTATAGTATAGTATAGTATAGTATAGTATAGTATAGTATAGTATAGTATAGTATAGTATAGTATAGTATAGTATAGTATAGTATAGTATAGTATAGTATAGTATAGTATAGTATAGTATAGTATAGTATAGTATAGTATAGTATAGTATAGTATAGTATAGTATAGTATAGTATAGTATAGTATAGTATAGTATAGTATAGTATAGTATAGTATAGTATAGTATAGTATAGTATAGTATAGTAGAGTATAGTATAGTATAGTATAGTAGAGTATAGTATAGTAT